CTGTTCAGCGCCGCTTCAGTACATCATGTAGTACTCGATGGAGTTGCATCGGCTGGCGAGGAGCATCTGTGGTCTCCAGTCGGCTTCTGCAGTGGGGTGATAGTTGCCCATCCACTCGCTGTAGACCACTCGTTGGTGACCTTCAGGGGAGTTGTGGCCCGGCTGGGCCCGGTAGGCAGCGATGACGTCGAAGAACCTGTCGATGGGGAGGTGTTGTAGGGCGCGGAACTCGATGACGCCATCAGGGACGTCAGCGATGCCGCGGCACATCCAACCCGCCATCTGGAAGTCGATGGAGTTGAGCCAGAAGTAGTAGTGGCCGGGGGCGAAGTCGTGCGGCCGCGTCACGAATTGGGCGTCCCATGCCAGCTGGCAGAAGGAGGGCTGGGCTTCCTCCTGGCGCGGGTCGTAGACGTCGATTTTGAGGTGACGCCAGCGGGGGAAGATGTGAAGCTGGAGGGCTGACGTCACCGGGAGGAGGTTGTAGGACTTGATGCCGGTGGTCGGGCCATAGTCCTCCGCGGGGGTCTGGTTCTTAGACTGGTTGGCAAACCAGTCGGTGATGACAGAGCTGGCGTCAGCGTACGGGCGCGTCTTCAGCAGTTTGACGACGGTCCCGTCGCCGTTGGTGGTGAAGGTCTTCACGCGGCCCAACTGGAAGCAGTTGATGCCGTGCGTGTCGTAGTCGCTCCCGTTGTACCAGACAACTAGGTCTGGCACAACCCAGACTTTGTCGGCGGCGAGAATGCCGTTGTTGTAGAAGTTGCGGGAGCGTCCGTTGAATTCCTCCGGGGTGGGGGCGTGGCGAATGGTGTTGCCCAGCGTCTGCCACGTGCCGCCCTCACAGGTGACGTGGCGGTCTTGGCCTGCGCTGTCGGTGAAGATGGGGATGTGCAACCCCTGTTCCTGGAGCCACTGGGAGTGGGTGGAATCCATCGCCCCGCCTTCGATGGTTCCATCAAGCTGTCCGCCGGTGTGGACGACGCGCCTCTTGCCGTCGTAATCTCTGGCGTAACCGGTGTGGCTGAAGACGTCAGCGGCCTCCTTCCGCAGGGCGTCAGTCTGCTCCATGATTGGGCCACGTTCCGGGGGGTCCACCAGGGGGTGTTGCTGCGCCAGCCGCCGCAGCTCCTGTTGGATGGTTTCGCCCTGGGCAGCCACCTGCTGGACTGCGGGTTGGGCCTCCGTGGACGGCGGGGCCGCCGGGAGTGCGGTCGTCTGAGGGGTCGCCGTCGAGGGGGGTCCTTCTGCACCCGGGGCGCCTTCCGCGGCCGCTTCGCGGCCTTCCTGCACGCCCTGGGCACGTGGCTCCGCGGCCGCCACAGCTCCTGCCCCCGCCTCCTGCTCCTGAAGCGCCTGCGAGCGCCTGATGGCCTGATCCAACTCTTCTTCAAACTCGTCCCCCCTACCTGTGCCGCCGAGAGGGATCTCCGGGCGAGGGACCTCCCGCACTTCCTCCTCTGCTGCAAATTCGGGGCCTCCTTCTTCCAACGCCTCCTCGTCCACCGCCTGGCCCTCCTGGAATGGAATGATGACGTCTTCTGACGCCTCGCGCGCGCGCTCCGGGGGGTCCATCAGGACATCGGCACAGACTTTGGTGAGGCCCAAAACTGGCCACAACTGCAGCAGCTTGTTCTTCACCCGGTCATCACCGGCCGCCAACTCGAGCTGCATCACCCGGTACTTGGGTAGCATCGCCATCAGCTGAGCCGCGTCGGGGGCTCCCTCCATCTTGCTGCAGACTTCCCGAAGGATTTCGATTTCACGCCGCTTCAGCAGTGGTACGGAGAGCAGGGGCACCGCCTTCTGGGCCGTCGCAATCTCCTCCTCCGTTGGGCCAAATGTCGTTTCGCTGGTGCCGCCGCAGGAAAAGGGGTCCTCTCCTTCGCTCGGTACCCAGGTGCGGGGCCATTTAGCCGCTGCCATGGTGGGGTGCTGTAATTGGTGCAGGAGGGATCCTGCTGATCGGGGGCTGTTCGACTGGGATGGGAACGATAAGCTAGAGGAGCCAGACGCCAGCGCTATGAGAAGAACGGATTCTGAGATGGGTGTTTTGAGAATGTGGGAATGAGGGAAGCTGGCGGTTTGGACGAGAGGACGAAGCTACAGAAGGAAGTAAGGCTGTAGCCTCGAAGTGTAGGGGGAGCTAGCTCTAAGAATGGAAGAGTCTACTTTCGGCAGAGTAGATTGATGGCTGGGCTCCCGGACTTGTCGCGTAGACCCGAAAATGGCGGCGAACCGAACCAATACGAGAGAAAGTTGTCTCGGCCTACTCTCGTAGCTATCCTCGGGTTCTGACGAATGATTCTGCGGCGTTTGGGCTCTCGGGGAAGCTCTGCAGGCTCCCCGCTGACCTTTGTCAGGTCAACGTTGGGGGTCAAACTAGTCAACCTTTACTAAATCGAGCCCGCGGGTCTTGGGTCTTTTCCGAGGTTGCAACTATTGGGATTCTACGAGAGCGTCGGGCGTCTGCCTGATAAGGTTCTATCTGAGAGGAAGTGTCTCCGGTTTCTACTGCTACGAGAGGGCTTACTACTGAACTGGAATCGACTGGGTCTTCCTAGGTGACCTGCGGGGTCTGCTAACTTTTAAATCGACTAATCCTATTGTCACCGTAGATCGAAACCCTAGCGGTTATGCGCGCGCGTCGACCGGGTTTTGAAGTCGACCGCGTAACTCGGGGACCGGGCGCGTCGGGGGATCACTCGCCGGCCGCCGGCTCGCGATGTTCGTGAATCAGGGTCACGTGGCGAGTCCAGCAAAGTTGATTGGCGTCCTCCAGGATGGCGACTTGCGCGTTGTCGTCCATGAAGCCGACGAATTGGTAGGGCCCTTCCCAGCCCAGGTCCAGCGGGTGTTGTTTGCGGGTCTTCCGCATGACGACTTTGTAGCCAGGCGCCAAGTTGGACGCGCGGTAAACGCCTCGGTGTTGGCGCTTCTTGAAGGCTTCGATCGCCTTTTGCTGGCGCACGTCCTGGTTAAAGGCCGCCGCTCGGTAAATCTGCGCCTGGCGGGTCGCGCGGAGTAGGGCGTTAAGCCTCTGTGTTGCCACAATGTCCTCCAGGCAGCGGCCAGTGACGTCATCGACCTCCTCGTCGGTGGCCGCCAGAGTGGTTTTGTAGCGCTGGGCGAACAGTCGTTCCACCGGGAGCACCGGGTGGCGGCCGTACACCATGTGAAACGCCGAGAAGAGGGTGGCGCCCCGCACGCAGATTCGATGAGCGAACAGCAAGTCGTAGAAGTAGCGCGGCCAGTCGTCGCCGTAGCGAGCTTGAAGCTTGCGCAGCCCCCGCTTGAAGTGCTTGACCGCTGATTTCGCCAGGCCGTTGATCCAGGGGGAATACGCCGGTAGGGGTTGGATGTAAGTGCCTTTCTCCTGGCACAGGCTTTTGACAGCGCCCACCGAGAGTGCGTTGTCCATGGTGATGACCGCCGGGGAGCCATGATGGCTGAATAGTTCGCGCCGAAGGAAATCCGCTACTTCCTCGGTATCATTCCGAGCGCAGAAGGCCGCCAAGGACGTAATGCGTGTGGTAGTCCTCTAGGAGCGCCACGTATCGGTAGCCTTCCTTCGTGGGAGGAAAGGGGCCCAGCAGATCCAGGCCCACCTTTTCCCAGGGGAGGTCCGTCTCGGTGGGCACCAAGGTCCGATTGTCCGAGCGCTCCGTGGTGGGTTGGTTCGCCAGCTGGCACAGCGGGCACGTGACCACGTGGTCCGTGATGTCCTTGCCCATTCCGTGCCAGTAGAAGCGGTCGGTGATCAGCTTGCGGGTCTGTTTGTCGTTAGGGTGGCCGTTTTGGTTATGCAGGTGGTACATAACCGACTCCGCTTCTGCCTTCGTCAGGACGGGCCTTCGAATGGTGTCCGGGGGCGGCGCTTGGTTGGGTTGCGCCTTCGGGGAAGCCAGGCAATAAAGCCGTTCGCCCTCCTGATGGTACATTTTGGATCGGTCGCGGATTTGGCGTCGGAGGTCCTTCCTTCGGGTTACTGACTCGCTGTGGAAGGAGGGAAGGTAGCCGGTTTTGAGGTAGTACGCCACGTCAATGTCTCCGATGACGTACTCCATCAGGTCTGGAGTTGGGAAGCTCGACAGGTCGAAGGGGGGTGGGTTGTCGAGTTCGGGCGCCGGCAAAGGGGGGATGGCAGCTTCCGTTGGTTCCGGCGGTACGTTCTTCGAGAGTTCGATCTCCTGCTGTAGGCCCTGCCGAAGGTGCTGAACAGTGGTCTTCACTCGTTGAAGTGCGTCGGCCGCCGTGAGGTTGGGGTCTTGTTGAACTAGCGTGAGCGCCACTCGCTCGGTGAGAGTCGCCGCTCTCACCAGGCTGTCGTCCCCTCCATTTCGGTGAAACTTCGCGGCTCGACTCCAGTCGACCATTCTGGCCTCCGTTAGTGCGTCTAGGTCTGGGAAGGTTGGGGGTGCTGGCGGCAGCTTCTTGGCCTCTTCGTGAGCTTGACATATTTCGAAAATGTCCCAGCCAAGCTGCGCGTCTAGCAGCTTCACCTCGTCTAGCCTCAGATCCGGGTCCAGCTTCGTTGGTAGGAGGGGTGCTGACGTCAGCGTCGGGGAGAGATCGGCGCTGTCCGGGGGTCCAGCCTCCGGTGGTGACGTCATGACGAGGGCGGTCCGGTCCTCCAACGCCAGGCGCTTAGTCGGGAGCTCCGTTTGGTCGCCTTCAGTCTCCGTTAGATTGCGCTTTTCTCCAAGGTTGACAGTCGCTGGGGGCCGCTCCAAGGGAGGTTCGTCCGAGGCGCTTCCCTTCTGCGGCTGTGCGTCCGCCGCGGGGGCTGCCAGCACCAAGCACGCCTCCGTTTCTCCGTCCGGGTCCGGTTGCTCTGTCGCCGCAGGCTCCGAAGTCGCGGCCGCCAGCGCCTTCGGTAGGGCTTCCGGTAAGTCTGTGGTGTGCTTCGAAGTCGCGGCCGCCAGCGTTGGTTCTTTTGATGCTGTCACCGCGCGCGTTTGTAGCGCAAAGTCTGGGTGCTGGGCGGCCCAAAGTCGGTAGGGGACTGCCACAGCTCCGTGTAACGCGCCGGCTGGTTCCGGTAATCGGTCCTTCTCGCCGTATGGAACGGCGGGGTGCTGCCGGGCCCAGTCCTCATAGCGTATGGTGGGTACACCTCTGTCCCCTTGCAATTCCGAGACGTCCCGGGCTCGGTCAATTGTACAAACCAAAGGTGGAGTGCCCGGTTGATCTGTGGGTGGGGGGGAGGGAATTCGTGCTTTCCATTAGTCGGTACTGGGCTCGCAGTAGTTGACCGTCGGGGCAGCTTCCACCAGTTCGCCGCCAAAGTGGGGTTGGTACGTGGAGAAAACGTCGAGCGGGACGACATCGGGTTCCCACTCCGGCAGAGGTGGTGCGGCGCAAGACGTTTCGAATGAGGGGAGCCAGTCGGGGGCAAAACCGTCTGCCAGAATCATATTGACCTCCGGCAAAGCGGCCTCCGTTTGGAGCTTGCGCGCGCGCGTTGGGCACTCCTGGTAGAAGTGTCCGGGTCGCGCACAGTCGAAACACTCGCGGTGTTCGAATGGTGGGGGCGCGGGCGCGCGTCGGCGCGACCGTTCGATTGTGAGGACGGTGGGGGCCTCCGTGTGCGGCAGCTCGCCGGTGGGGAAGCTGGCGTAAGCGGGGAGGTCATCCCAGTCCGTCGGCGGGGGGTCGTCATGGGGGTGCCGGCTTAGCGGGTCCACGTTGCTGTGAATGCGTCCGGCGCGGTGCACAACGGTAAAGTTGTACTCCATCAGCTTCATGTGCCAGCGCGCCAACCGCCCGGTAAGGTTGCGTTGTTGGTGAAGATACACCAGCGGGTTGTGGTCCACCCGGCAGGTAAAGGTGGGCCCGCCATAGAGGTAAGGACGAAATTTGACGGTGATGGCCCACACCATTGCCAAAAGTTCGCCATCGGTGGTGGAATAGTTAACCTCAGCGCCGTGAAGGGAGCGCGAGGCGAATGCGACCGGGTGCTCTTTCCCGTCCCCGTCTAGTTGGCTGAGAGCGGCGCCGATTCCGTCGGTGCTGTAGTCGGTGTAGACAATGAATGGCTTCGTCGGGTCCGGCCGCACGAGAATGGGGGCGGTGCAGAGCGCCTTCTTGAGAGTGGCGAACGCGCGCGCTTGTTCGGGACTCCATTCAAACGCTGTGCCGAGCTTGGTCAGATGATGCAGGGGCTTCGCCGTTCGGGAGAAGTTGGCGATGAAGTGGCGGTAGTAGCCCACCATGCCGAGGAACGCGCGCACTTCGGAGACGTTAATTGGCGTCATCCAGCTGGCCACCGCCTTCACCTTCTCGGGGTCCGGCAAAAGCTGGTTTTCGCGGACGATGTGTCCGAGATGTTCGGCTTCGCTCGCGCCGAAGAGTCATTTGGTTGGGCAAAGTTTCAGGTTGATGGCCGCCAGTTTGGTGAGGATGGTGTCGAGGGCCTCCAGATGCTTCTCCCAGGCTTCAGTGTGCACGCACGTGTCGTCCAGGTATTGGGTCGCCACCGGCTCTGGTCCGTGAATCTCGTCGCTGAGCGTGATGTCCATCACGCGCTGGTAAGTCGCGGGCGCGCCGGTGAGACCAAACGGCATTCGCACGAATCCGCGCAGACCGTGGTGCGTGATAAACGCCGTCTTGTGGACGTCCTCGGGCGCCATGGGGATCTGCCAGTAGCCGGATTGAGCGTCCAGCATGGTGAAGTAGCGGGAGTTGCCCAGTTGGTCGAAGATGGCGTCGATTCGGGGCAGGGGGTAGTTGTCGGGCACCGTCACTTTGTTGAGGCCGCGAAAGTCGACGCAGAAACGCCATTTGCCGTTCTTCTTGCGCGCGAGCACCACGGCGGCGGCGAAGGGGCTCGCGCTGGGGCGGACAACGCCACACGCTTCCATGGGGCCCACTTGCTTGTCAATCTCCGCCTTTTCCGCGAAGCTTTGTCGGTAAGGTTGCATCTTGACGGGCTTGGAATCGCCGGTGTTGATGTGGTGGGCGAAGCCTTGGACAAGGCCCAAGTCGGTGGGGTCCCTGGAAAAGATGAGCGCGTGTTTCTCCAGGAGCGCCAGTATTTGCTCGCGTTGGGTGGGCTCCAGATTGTCCGCCAGACGGATCTGGGGTCGGACCGCTTCCCAGTGGGTCCGTCTTTCGGCATCGCTGACGTCAGCGTTGGCAGCAGGCGGCGGGAGAACCACCGTGGTGTTGACCTCCGGCATTTCGTCCGTCGCTCGGAATGAGTTCGCGAAATCTTGCTGCTCGGCCTCCGTGAGATTAACGATTTGGAAGCCACGCCGCCGGCGAGTCGCGAGCGGCAGAAGTAGGGCGGTTTCGTCATCCACCGGATGAAGAAGTTCGCCGTAGTGATGATGCTCAAAGCCCTCCGTGTAAAGTTGTGCCAGCATGGCGACGCGGGCGCGAGGCAGCAGGTTGTGCTCAAGGCTGAAACGAAGAAGACTCCGGGCTTCCGCCAAGGTGTGGAGTAGAATGGCACGGGTGACCGGCTTGCCTGTAGTCGGGGGCCCTTCCGGCGCTTGGTCAGGCGTGACGTCAGGTAGGGCCTCCGTTTCGCCGTGGTTCGCCGCAGGTGTGCAGCCGCTGGAGCTGTCCGCCGGAAACGTCGTCGAGGTAGATTCTGAGGGCTCCGAAAGGTCGGAAGACGGATCGCCTGAGCTGTAGTCTGCAGGCCCGCTGTCGTCGGAGGCCACCTGAAGGCGCGCCGAAGAAGCCGCTGATGACGTCATAGCTGCGTCAACTGGTGGTCCGTTGGGGTCGGGCTCGCCTCCAGGGCCGCCGGGCTCGTTCTCTGATGGCAGACAACTTGGTGCTTCGATTTGATACACCACTGGAACCGTGAGGGTTTGAGCCACATGCGCCTGGTAGATGAGTCCGGTGGGCGCGCCTTGGATCTGGCTGACTTCAAGTAGCGGGAGCGAACGCCAAGCCTTCGTCTGGGGAAGCTTGAACCTGAAAAGGTCCGTTGAGTAGTCGATGACGCCGAACATGGCGCGTAGTGTGCCGACGCCGAGTAAAATCGGGTAGCGGAAGCCTTCCGCCACAATGAAGCGCGTGCGGACGTTGAGGTAGCGTCCGAATCCGACGATCGCGTCCACTCGTCCGATGCCGGTGCAGTCCGCGCCGTCGGCCACGTTAAAGCGCGCGCCGCCGCTGATGAGTTGCGCCTCTAGTCCCGACCTTCGGAAGTGGTCGGCGCTCATCATGTCAACATTAGCGCCGCTGTCAAGCCAAGCGATGGTCCGATGACCGTCAACTCCACCCATTTTAGCGGCCACTTTCGCAATAGAGCGCCGGGGGGCGTCGGGGTCGACCTCCAAGTACTCTGCTGACGTCGTGATGATTGTGTTGACGGTCTCCACGGCGCGCAACGGGGGCAGCGTTGGGGGGCGTGGTCCGGCGGGGCGCTCCAACGTTTGTAGCGCTTTTCGAACGGTCGTTTGCAGGTCGCGAACGAGCTGGGGGCTGCCGTGCCGCACCGCCACCGCCATGGGCACCCAGTCTAAGGGAAAGCTTCCCTGAATGGTTGGCCGGTTTGCCACGTAGGCTTGTGAAGAGGCCTGCCCGCCAGCGTCTCCGGTTGGTTCGCCCATCGGGGGAACTGGCGCCTTCGGTGGGGGTTTCGCCGGTCGTCGAGGTGGGGGCGTGGCTTTCGCGTTTACTGCAAGCGGGTTGCTTCCGTGGGGCGCCGGCGGAATCACTGGCCCCAAGTTGACGGGAAAAGGTTGGCGCTGCGCCGGGAGGAAGCGCCGGACTCCGTCAGCGACCTCCTCAGCAGCGTACACTTCGGCTAGGTGTGCGTCCTGGACAGTCTCGTCAGCAGCCAGCTCCAAGCTGTCGGCGCCGTCACAGGTGGCGGAGACAGTGTTGACAGAAGCTGGCGACTCAAAATCCGGTGGGGCTGAGTCGGACAAGTCGTCGTACGGATCGTAATCATGAGCGTAGTCGTCGTCCTCTTCGTGGCACGTGCGGCAGGGGCACTCTCCTTCGATGAGGTTGGCGCCCTTCTGATCGGAGGGGTGTGGGCACTCTCGTCGTAGGTGACCGGGCTTCCCGCAGCCGTAGCAGAGGCGCGGCTTCCCTTCGTCGCGGCGCTGGCCGTTCCACGCGGGGCGGCCGCCGTTTTGACCCGCCCTGTTGTTGTTGAACCGATTGTCGCCGCCCCGGTTGTCGCGGTTGTAGCCGCGGTCTGGCTGCTGGCGCTCGGTGCTGACGTGGCGGTTGTTGTCGGGCTCCGCGGCTGGGGAGTTTGGCTCCAACGGTGGCGGGTCTTCTACGGAGCGCACCATCGCCCGCGGGGCGCGCTTCGACTTCTCCTCCACCGTTTCCTTCGGTTTACGGTTTTTCGCCTCGTGGGAAGTCGCCTCGGCCGCCAGGTCTTGTGATTTGACGCGGTAATTGAGGAACTCTGCGTCCACAATCGCTTGCTCCAGAGTGGCTGGCATCCGGGTGTTGACCTGCGACTTTAGCGGCTCGCCAAGTGCGTTGATGAAGATCGTAATCTTCACGTTCTCATCGTTGATGTTGGCTTCAAAAATGCGGTCGCGAAGTCGTTGCGCGAAGTTGAGCAGGCCCTCCTTCTCGCCCATCTTCATACTTTGAAGCTCGAAGTAGCTCTGCGACGAGTTGACCTTCGCGTAACGCTGTAGGAAAAGTCGTTTGAAGCCCTCCCAGTCGTCCACCAAGTTCGCGCCGGTCAGCTGGTAGTACTTGGTGTCCTCGGTGAAGTACCAAGACTCCGCTGCGTCTTGTAAATTGGCGGCGGCGGTGGTGACGAGCTGCGCGTTGGTAAACCCGGGGTAGCCCGCCTCGTCATTTCAAAACGCGAGATAAAATCTCGCGCGCGCCGGCCTTCTTCTTCGATGGTCCCTTTGAAGGGCCTCCCAATCTTCTGTGCCTGGAAGATTTTGTGGGGTGCTTGGGGATTCTCCGAGGGCGGCGCTGGCCCATAGCTGGGAATCGGGGGTCCGTACATCGCCTGCAGCCCTGGGGGGCCGCTGTACGGAGCGCCGGGTCCGTGGCTGTAGATTCCGGTGGGGGCGTAGATGTATGCACCGTTCCGGCTGTCCGTTGGGGGGTGCTGTTGTGCGCCATAAGGACCGGCCATCGGGTAATGGGCGCCCGCCGGTGGTGGCGGCTGGTAGGGGGTCTGAGACGTCACGTAGCCGGGGTTGGTGTAAAACGGCGAGGATGACGCCGAGGGCGCGCCTGGGGGAGCCACAGGGGGTCCGCCAGCGCGTCCGTACTGGCCGGGTGGCACCGCGGTTGGGTTGAACGGAGCGCCCGGGTTCAACGGAACGCCATATGGGTGCTGCTGAACCGGCGGTTGGTACTTGGGGCCAACAGGTGGTACACCGTGGTTCTGGTACGCGTGGTAGCCTGGGCCCATCGGTGCTGACGTGGCAAAAGGTTGGGCTGGCGCCGGTGGTGGCGCAGAGGCGGCTGCGTGGGGGCTTCCTCCTGAAGACTCCAGGTTTGGTTGGCCGGTGGAGGCGTAAGCGCCAGAATGACCAGCGTGGAACGCAGGCGCCATGGTAGGAGGGACCTCCGAGGGTATTCTGGTCGCCGGAAAGGTCGGCTGATGATACACCGCCGGTCGGGGCCCTTCTGGCGCCACGTTCTCGCCGTTGGCGTGGCCGTAAGTAGGGGGCGCTCGCGAGGGGGTGCCTGCTTGGTTGAACGTCACGGAAGCGTGTTGTTCCGGGGAAGAGGGCCTCGGTGTGGTCTGTCCCCTTGCAACTCCAGGCACGGGGGACGTGGCAGGGGGTGCCATGGGGTGCTGCACAGAGGGTCTTCCGCGGGTAGCTTGAGTGACGTCAGGTCCGCGGTAGGCGGCCGGCCCACTGCTCCTCAGCTCGGCGGCGCTCCTCGGCTTCCCTGGTCCGCTGCTGAGCTGCTTGCTGTTTCAGGTACTTGGCAAAACGTGTGATCTCGTCAGGGGTGAGATCCACAAACTCCCCCTCTGCAGGTGTGGTTCCGGTGACGTTGGAGGGGCCTGCTTCCTGCGAGTGGGCCTTTCCTCGGCGGAGTCTCTCTGCTTCGGACAGGCCCTCCTCCGGTGGGGGTCCTCCGCGAGGAAGTGGGTCTCCGGGGGGGTCCACTGCGGGGCTTCTGGGGGGTGTTGAACCTCCAGGAGGCTCTTGGTCAGGGGGATCCGCCAACGGAGAAGCAGGGGGGGTGTGCTCCCGCTGTTGCTCCGGTCCCTGATCGCCAGTGTTGTCCCTTCTGCGTCCGCGGGTGCCGGGGCCCGCCATGTTCCTTTGCTAAAAGCTCAACACAAAGCAATTCCGAAGAATCCGGCCCCTCTGATACCAGGAAGACCACCGGAACGCTGAGACCACTAGCAGACCAAACTGCGCACCACCGCTAGCGCTCACTTCCGTATGGCTCAGAGTTATACTAACCCACAATTAACCGTCAACGTAACTCAACGCAGAGCTACAGACAAGCTAACTATCGATTAGCAGGCAGCGGAATGTAGCGTGGGGCCCATGCAAAGCTAACATGACAAGTGCGATATTACCGAGAAATATCGCACGAGGGAGTGTCCCATACCACTCCAGCTAGCAGTCATGTGAAGTAACAATCCGAGACAAACAATTACAACTTGCGTAAGCTCACCACTGGCAGTGTCCCCGTAGAGTGGATCATTGTGCATTCACCATGTTGCAACACTGTGCATTCGCGGTGAAGTCCGAACTGGCTCAGAACCGAGCGGTGAAGCTGAGGCGAGAGGGTACGAGGCTGAGATCGTCAATTACGAGACTTAAGGCGTCTCGAGGGGGCCTGACAGGCTTACACCTATACAATGCCGGCAGACTGCCAGCCAAACGCTACGGAGACAAGTGTCTCTAACGAAAGCTACTAGAAGCAAGCGCCTCTCAAAACAAGCAACCAAACAAGCAACAAGTTCAATTGTGTCTACTCGTGCTAGCGTCTTACGAAGACTACCCGAACGTCTTCTTCCTGCGCTAAGACCTACTGTCCTGGTGGTACTCCGAAACGCTAAGTCTTCGGGGCACCACTTCGGCTCGACCAATAAGCGATCAGAGTATCTTTCTACGAGTGGTTCTGCGCGACCCAAATCTATCGGACGACTCCAAGGACTAGTGGTCTTCATCGCTACCGTCAGCGACTGAACCCCACTGATTCTAACAATGACAACACTATGACATCAGCGGCGGCCGCCTAAAGCCTGCTCGCGCGCTTACTCGCGTATAACTATGGCTACGCGACCGGTGGTGTCGGACACTAGGTGGCTATCTCGGGGCACTACAGTATTCGTTGGATCTAACATCTTAAGGCTTAATGATATTTGATGAAGCATCTTTGAAGTTTGGAAATTGAACTTGTACAACGTTCCGACGCACATGATAATAATTGGCATTGGTAATATGGTAATAATACAAATCGATTGAGTTTATACGTGAGCAATCAGATGTAAGTATCTACGTAGTAAAATAGATTTGTATCATGCACGAGTTGGATCAATACAAACATCTACTTTCGTGCGGTCATTTGGGAAGTTCGGCACATTCAACATGATTTCAATATAAGATTGTCGGCTATTGCAAACACTGATGTGTTAGGTCTAAACTTTAGTAAGTGGATTGTTGAATATCTTCCAACTTCAACGGTTCAAATATTGTTTCAAGCTTGTCAAATCCTCCGTACGAAGGGTCAAATAGACTTCGAGATACCATTTGCATATCACGACTAAGAAGCATGATTCAACGTAGCATCGATTGAATAGCAAATACCCCTTTTCACAATAAAATATATGGAGATACAAAATCCGGGATTTATGCTTGGTAGATGGGTGTGTTTTCGGGGTACCGGCCGTTCGGTGGGGTTGATTGAATGCGGGTTCCATGCCCGTTTATCGGGTGGTTTTCCGGGGTTTTTGAAGATGCATAGAAGGCACCAACTCTCTTCGACAAAGTGCAAAAACCCGGCATTGGGCCTTCATTATGGGTGAATTTTCGGGGTTTGCTGTTCGTTGGTTCGTGGCCACATTACAGTTTGTACCGTGGTACATACCTACTACCGAGGAACAAATATTGAATTCCCGGAATTCTACCCGGGATTCGGCCCAATTTCGGGGTACCATATGCCCGGTTGGTGATTCCGGCGGGGCCGTGGGGGCTAGCACTAAAGCTGATGACGTGGCAGATCCGGCCGAATTTAGACACATTTATTGTTTTACGCCGACCGACCGACCCGCCCCCGAAGGGGGTGGACCGGAAACCCCATATCAAATTCGCGTAGCCTAATAGAAGTATAGCAGCTAGCAAATATGCCAGAAGTGAAGATACCGCATCAACGCGTTCAGGCTCATCGACGCATATAATGATATACTCGATGCCCGGCCAGGACAGATCGTAATATCATTGTCAACCTTATCTACGCCACTAGCTAACGAGAGAACTTCCAGCATGACGGTATCCAGTCTTAAGCACGTCGCACATGCATGCAACTAACTGATTAGTGCTTTGAAGTTCTCTTTTGACTGTAGAGGATTAGTCACAAATTTTCGTTTAGTCCGCTTGAAGGTAGCGCGGGCAATATAGCACCTTGCAATATTTAGTGGCCTAAAACTCTCAAAATTACAGCCGATTATAAGGAGCAGAAATAAGATTCCGTACAATCCAATCATCATAGTTACAAATGATCTTTGCACCAATACAGTCAATACAGAGTCACCTGCAATCGTCAATTGTCTCTCTGAATATCACCTTCTTAAAGTATTTTGGATACTTGCGTCTCTCTAGACCTAAATTGTGAAACAATCGGATACCTCCATCGGCGGACAGTTAACCTAGAAACTTTCTGGTCCCCTAATTCAACAATAGAGACCCGAAGACCTCTCGACTCCTTTCAGAAACAGCTATTCATACACTACTTGATCTTCTCTTGCTCTGTTGGCCTTTCGACAACATGTCCCTCTCGGAACGACAACTGAAAGGAGACGGAGTAGGACCCGACTCCTACTCGGCGCCTTCTTGAACTGTGCATATCGTACAAATTTGATAAAGTCGAATCTCGTGTCTCAAAAGGCTATCGTCCAGTTGTGCGGTTACCAAACTCCCAAGTAATTACCGCGAAGACCAAACGGCAAAGGGCCACCTGAAGAAGGTCCAAAACAAAGGTTGATCGTCAAGCAATTAGCCAGGACTTGATGGACTTTGACGTGGGCCAGACAAGCAACCCAGGCGAATTTTTCTAAGGAGCTCGATGGTTTGTTCGAACAATTATAATGCACACAGTCTATGAGACGCGACCTCAGCTCCTCGAAGTTGGTCCTCAGCTCCCAGAGTCCCATCAAGCTGCTTTTGTAAGGTAGTAACAAAGCAGGAGGAAGTTAAGCTATTCTCACCAGCGACCAGCATTTTAGTCCCCGAAGGATCATACGCATGAGAATAGATTGCGTGCTTGACGTTCTGGCCCCGAAAGTGCTGGTAATATACGTCGTTGTGCTCCTGCATTCGGAAGTTGCGGTCAGCCTCCTACATGAAACGAGGGCTAGACAAGCAAATCGCAAGCAATCATGTCCTTCGTCCTGGAATCTCTCATCCGTGCGCATAAAAGCGAGTGCTATAAGGCCCTTGCGTAGTAAACGTAGACGAATGAACGATGAGAAGGACACAAAGAAGCTGCCATAAAGAGGTGAAACCAGAAGAGGGGGGTATTTGTGTCTTACTAGGGCTCCTTTTCCGGTTTCGAAGTAGTACGACTCGGAAGGCTTTTTTCCCGAGGCCAGCTGCTCTGCGCCTTCCGGGCCCCCTGCACAATGGTGGATGTTGGCCGGGACACTCACTTGAACAACTCGAGTGTCCTCGGCTTGAAATGCAGCCAGGCAACGCACGGCGGACGGGTCACTTTCGCTTACGGATCCACGACTTCGAACAAGGTTGCGAGCTGTGGCTTGCACTTTAATATTCATCTCAGCTGGTTATAGTCATCCGAGATTAATGACTGACAAGGCAAGCGTCTTTTACCGAACGTGCTTCCTTTCGGTGCTCTAGCACAATCGGATCTGTCAATACGACGCAACTTACGAAGGGGCAAGTACTTGAGGGTTCGCAAATCCAGGAATGATAGCCGCCCCTTTCCACCGCCTACGCTTAGGATGTCGCCTTTGAATGCAAGCGACCGGATCCCTGCGGAGAAGAACGATAAGATTGCGTCGCGTCCAGACGAGCCGCCTGTATTCGTTTCGGAAAAACCACTGTCTCTCGAACCTTGCGAGTGGACTCTTGTGGAGAAGCAAAGCGGGAAGAAGAGCGTCAGACTCGGTTTGAGGACGAGGATAAACACAGTGGCCCGTCGTATCATGGGGCACGTACCCCATCCTTCGTCGAGAGACTCTACAGAGTGCGCCACGTGACCACAGCGCATGTCGACGAACGTGACGTGGTTGGCTGATCCGATGGCGGCGAGCGGTTGCATTACGGCCAAGGTAACCAGCTCCTTCTGGTACGGAAGCTTCACCGTCGTAATCTGTGGGAGATTAAAGGCAGTGTTGCAGGCTTTTTGAAGCAAGTCCAATGAGGCAGCAGGCGGCTTGTTTCAATCCGCACAGCTTTCTCTGATTTGGCAGAGAACAGCTACAATGCGCAGCAGTGTTCGGCTTTGCGGTTAGAGTGTGATACCTTCAAGGCAAAACAGCAGTCACACCAGTAGCGTTAACATATATCGTAGTCCACAGTTTGTGCTGAAACTTACCGACTCCATCACGTGAGGATCCCAGATCCTGAGTGTGCCATCTTGGCCCAGCGTCAATAGTTGCTGCATGTAGGCAACGTGTTCAGTTAAAGCTGGATGGTGGAATTTTGAAACCGAGGCCTGGAAAGGACGAGGACGTCAGCTAAAACTCCAGAGGCCCGAAGCAGAGACAATGAGTACAAATTGAACTACTCATTGGGGTCAGCTGTATTAAGACGGCCGAATTCGGGTGTTAGATCCAATGGCTCATGACAAGAATGGAGCAACCAGATTTCATTCTCTGACAATGAAACCTTTCTATTCAAGTGCTTACCTCTTTTTCAGCAGAGTAGCCTACATCTCGAACCTTTCCCCGATGATCTGCCCTCGATGCTTTTGGCTGTGTGTTCACAAATTTCCTGCCCGCTCGACAACTCCAAAGTTTTATGGTACCATCCCGAGAACCTGTGGCAATCAAATGACCGCAAGATTAATATACCAAAACCTCCTCGAATTCTGCTGACCACAGCAAGTTAGAGTCAATCACCATGAATCGAAAGGCATCAGACATCTGGGTCAGAAAATGGTTCGAAGGACAAAGATGCTCGGCTGAAACAGTAATCTGCACAAGGACAATTCAACCCTCCAACATGCCGCTATAAGCGCGGAGGCATACCTGATACCAGCATGCTGTCAGTAACCCAGGCCGTTCCAAAGAGCCAGTCTTGATGTTTCTGCAGAGCAGATTGTTTGGGTGCTTTCAGGGCCATCTGATACAAACAACATCCATCTGTACAGAGGCCACAAGCACATGTACGCCAGTTTTGAACCTCAAAGACGGAGTGAAACGAACACGCAGATGTAAGGATTGACCTACTAGAGATCAGGCAAGCAATGAAATATTTACACTGATCCTTGATTCCAAGCTTTCCTGCTTTGGATGGAGTTCAAAATGAGCCCTGTTCATACGAGATTCAACCATCGACATTCCGTGCAGCAGAAGTGATGTAGAAATCTTGTTCAATCTAGCACATTGCTTGAGAATTGCAATGGAGGCACTTACAGATAGGACCTGCAGCGGTTCAAATGTTGGAAGCTTGAAGATTGAAATGTCATTTGGATCAGCGCCACCAGTTGCCAGCAAAGTCTGAGAGGCATTGATGGATCTGCAAGAGAGAATCGTAGGGTCTCCCATGGTGGACCTTCTGGATTTGCAGACTGCCGCCATGTGATGTCTAGCTCCTGGCTGTCCGCATTTTTGGAACTCCTTTGGTCACCGTACAGCTGTTAAGAGTCATGGATGCCTTCTAAGGATGCTGAGGATGCAGAGATCATGGGCAGCCTAAAGATCATGTCCAGATCAAGACAATCTATTCAGATTCGTATAGTTCCGACATCAGAATAAACTCCACTGCATAAGCCTTGGCAAACGGGAATGTTCTCACATTGTATGTATCCCACTTCCTTCTTGACGCCGAGCTTCCTCCATCCTTCGAACCTCCACAAGCGGTATCTCTATCTGCTTTCCCAAGAGGTCTTGCACAAAGAGCCTGTTGCACTTTGTTCCAAAGCAGATGGTGCCATCGTCAACCCATTTGGCAGCAAACACCTTGTCAATCCCTTCAAGCATGGCCACGTCCTGCTCAGGTCTCAACAATAGAGGAATGCGTGCTGCCATGGTGTCCTGGCACAGCTGCATCCCCGACCTGCAACAGGTCAACAGAAAGCCCAAATGTATCTGTGGAACATGTTGCCAATGAACCATCTGGCTGGCAAGTTCAAGCTGAGCATCAACAAGAATTTGGCTCAAAAGCCGTATGAGGTGTTTAACTGTGTTTAACTGTATGACAACCTCCAGAATGGCTTGTGCCTTTTCAAGAGTAAGAGAGAGTTTTCGTCTTACCTTCTGACTGCAGTTATCTGCCGCTGGTACAAGTAGGACGTTGGCATCTTGGCAGCCTTTGTACTCTCAGGATTCTTAGTGCCTGAGAAGGAAGACCATTGATACTTCTCCTTGGCCTTGCCCTACAAGCCGCATTGAATCACTGCAGGCCAATGTCAGCCATCCAGCTGATTGAACCGCTCACTCGTCAGGAACCATAGAATGTCCCATTCTGAGCTGACCAAATGATTATGGGGACTTGATAGCTCACTGAAAGGCAACAGCAGCTCAATATGCTTGCAACCAGGTGGTACTATTCTGGCAGCAAGCTTCCACAATCTGTCGAACCATTGAAGCTGCAAATTAGGCTACAGCGGCTACAGCGGCTACAGCATGCCTTTAGGATTCATTTCACCTTGGGCGCATTCGGCATATCTTAATCAAGAAGCAACAAATGAATTCTCACTGCAACAATGCCCACTGCTTGTTGTTTGCAGAGGGATAATGTAGCACTAAAGGGTGGCGCAATTGCAGCACCCATGGGCCACTCTCATTGTCCTCCAAGCCTTCCTGCTTTCATGGACATTACGTTCATCAGCAAAGCAGCAATCCTCAATCCCACTCCTTGGAAATGACTTTGAACACTTTCCCTTGGGCCTTCCCTGTTACAGCTACCGTACTTCACGCTGACTGAGGCTGACTGTGCAGGCTGTGTCACTGTAGGTGTACCTATGTACCTACGGTTCACAATCTACCTATGGTATAGCGTCTGCTTATACAAGTTAGGGTATCGTCATTTTGTAAGTGGTACCCCCCCATTCTTAAATCGACCATTTTTTTCGAAGCCACCTTTCTAGGACCCCCCGGTGGCCTCCTTCGGGCGATCAAGCCCCAAGCCACTCCCCCCCCCAGGCTTGTCAGTCACAGAACTTCTTCGGGCCCCGGAGCCAACATTTTCGCATTTTATTCCGCTTTTTAAGCGGAATTTTTTGAGGATTTGTTTCAAAAGGAGATGCATACCGGTACCTAATTGGGCACGCTCATGCACTGTTTTCTGCATCTTCACAAACCAACTGTGCATTCGGTGGAAGACAAGAAAGCCCACTTTCTGGTAGTATTGAGCCCATCTCGTCACAGATTTTGAACGTTTATGTGGGTATTTGACCAATCAAGCGCCTGTGCTTGGGCCTTCGGCCCAAGCCTCAAGCCCCCCCCCCCTCCCCGCTTGAGAGCTCGGACCCACTCCTAGCCACCCCCCCAGGGCGGTTAGAATTTACGAGTCAAGCCTCTAACGGGTACCCCCTATAAAAGAATGGGGGGGTACCAGCTACAAAATGACGGTACCCTTATAGGTAGGAACGGCCCGATTTCATCCAATTTTGCTCAATCATTGAGGTTGCGAACTCCGAACATCATTTCTGTTTTCGATGCAGACACCACATGGAAGCAACATTTCCCGTCGATCATACGGGGAGCGCCACATCGACGGTAAAATTGAAAGCTTCAGATAATATAATGTCGTCAGGCAATGTACTTCCTATCATGCCATGATGTAGGTACGTCTGAGTCTGACCAACGGTGCGTTGCCCGCTTATGTCACATATAAGCGCCTAGCTGACGTGCAATCTGCAAGCGCGAACACAGCAGCCCAAGTCCTTCTCAACTTCAATTCCAGAGACTCCTACAAAGGCCGGAGAACGGAGAGGCTAAAAAGTGGGAATAGGCAGATAAGGGAAAATATAGAGGCAGACTTAGGAAAAAAGAGAATTTCCTTTAGAGGGGGAAGAAAAAGGCATAGAAAGGAGAGGGGGGATACGGAAAGGAGGGGGGATCGCCATGGTTACATGAGGAGTCTGTACTCTTGAACAGATAATGAAAACGCGTCGCGTACTCCCATGAATGCGTACTTTTTGCAGTCTGAGTCTGCTTATCTTGAAGAGGGAGAAGGGAGAGCCGTGGATGTCCATCGCACGGCTCAAATTCATCGAGTCCCACGCATTCTTTTTTTTAAGATTTTTTACTCTCTTTCGTGGATGCGTGAAGCTTTTTGCCAAACCGGATAGGGTGCTTGGACTTCAGCGGAACCTTAGCGGAACACCGGAAATCGAAAGGTCCACGGTGCGAGCCCGAGCTTGGAAGGGTCATCTTTTCGAAGAAAGTGATGAGTACGGTGCGAGTTGTACGCTTCGACCCTAAAACCCTAAATCCCTGTAAAACTGGCCCCTGTGACCCTACGACCTGAAGCCTGAGAAGGAGCAAATCACTCTATGCTGTTATCTTTGCCCAGTCTGTAAAAGCGACCAGACTGGTTTCCGCTCCTCCTAGGGCGTAACGCCAGTCGAGAACCTCCAGTATGTTGTATGTATTTGACAGATAATGTAAGCGTTACCTCCGGGAGGGGGACTTTCCCTCGCTATGTATATGTATATCCGAGTAGATTCAGAAGCCTAAGGTTACCTAAACTCGAAAGTGGCGCCCCCGCAATCCACCTTTCTTACCTAGTAACCTACTTAATACAGCTTAGACAGCATTGTTGAGACGTGTTCTATTGCATATGCACCATGGCATCAGAGAGGCCGGAGGATGCACCAATGCGGTTGGACGACTTCAGTGAAAGGGCTTCAGATGCCGAGGTAAAGCTAAATAAAATACAGTCTATTCCTTGATCAGTTTGGCAGGAGAAGAAGATCTTTCCGTCTGGCTGATGTGGACACGCTCATTGTCTGTCACCTTTCTCATGTAGGCCGGACTATCTTCTTATATGCATATCATGAGGCTTGGCATTACATGTGATTGACTTGCACACGCAGAAGAAGATTGGCTTGCTTCCTCTGGGCATCTGTGACAAGGAGCCTGGTCCACACTGTTACAGGCCAAATCAACCCCGCAGATGACGATGAACAATGGACTTCTCTTTATCTGGCCTTCCATTCATGACAAGGAATGGTGTTTCACCTCGGGTGCTCAACGTGCAGGGCCGCTTGAATGTCCTGGAAGAAGAGCTCCAGCGCCTGAGTAAGTGTCAGTTCAACGTCTGAATCTTCAATTGGATCTGTCGTGTCTACTTCAGCACCGGTTTGACCTCCTATCCGTTAAAATCGACTGCACAATATTTGCAGATCAGCAGGGTCTTCTTCACTGCTTTGAACAGATATGGCTGGGCAGGCTTTCTTGCTTTTTCTCCAACTGTCTCACGACGACAACTGACGAAAGCGAGTTGGGGACTTGAGAAAGTACGGGCAGCCAGGAGAATTCTTGAATTCGAGCACCAAATATGTGCCCTCCTTTCTGTAGGGGAGGGTGCAAGTGGCTCCACGGCAGAATACAACGCCGGAGACGGTATACTTGAGGAGCTCCTTGTTCTGCGGAGTCAATTGGAAGCTGCCTTGGTTGAGGAGAAGGAGGTGAGTTAACAAACCCGATCTTTGATCGGCAGCGAATCAACGCGCGCCAGACAGTAATATAAGCCCTGCACGAGAGATACACGATTGTTTGTCTTGTCCCCGTCCGTAAACATGGCAAAGATGTTGCAACTCGTAGGCTGTATTGAACATGGGCAAGAGATGTACATCGGTGCGGTACAGCTGGCTTGACCTTTCCAGCTGTTGCAGCTTTTTGGAGGGTTGTTGCAGGTTTTGAGAGAAGCAAACGAACTTTGAATTGGTCCTAGGTCACCCATCTCACGGACCAGCAGATGCTCTTTCAAGGGGCTAGCTCATGTGCCTTTCATGTCCCTTCTGTGCAGGCAAAACTCTCACATCTGCAATTGAAGTCAGAAAACGACAAGCTCAAATATCGGATCAAACATTTAGTATCGGCCTTGAGAGAGTCAGATGAAGGTGCAACGAAGACAGTGTGAAGGTGAAGATTGACAGGGCCAACGGATCGACCATTTTTTGGGATGCAGCTTTTTGGGGGTTCCTCATCCGTGATGAGGATGAGTATACAGCCAGAGTTGACGGTCAGATATGCAAGAGCATAAGTAAGTTGCAAGGTGCAGTCAGATCAAAGCTGTTGATGCCCTCAGCTCCAAGCCGAGTGACGGCGCAAAGGTGATGCAGGTGGCCATGTTCCATGCGTGGCCATACACTGAGCCAGCCCGCAAAACCGTATGCAACGTACAGCAGACGCCTCCGTCTAGGGTTGTGGCAGAGCATGACGGTCCCATTCGTTCGTCACTGAAACAACACACCTTTTAAAGATCGGACCGGGCCGCTCGGCGCGGTGCAACTCGGTAGCATGCAGAGAATGGTACATGCAGATGATGATTTTACTATCATTAGCCAATGCATCATTGGTGTATGCGCATGGTATATGATGCGGTCCAAGATGCATAGCGCGATGAAAAGCTGCCTTTAAATATGAATCGAACGACAGCTACAGCCGGCCATACACCATGTGGGCAAGGACAGCATGAACAATCGACTCGACCTGGCACCATGCTGCCATCAAATATTCAATGCACCCGGCGAGGTCAACGTACCTACATATTGCAATACGATGGCCTGCAACTAACGTAGAAACGTACATGGACCTATGTAGAGCTAGCATTCGGTGTTTCAAGCGGTCGGACAATGTGCTGCGGCATGCATTGAGGTTGCGGCGGCGGCGCTGATCTTATGCATTCGCATTGCACACGCCAGGATCAGTAGATCCCAGAAGTTAATCGTATTTGTACGTCGAGCTAGCTGTACCAATCACTATGTTTAGGGTCTTCACATGGCCTTCATCAAGCGGCCAATGTGACGACAGCATCTTCAACTGAGTTGAATCGTGCATAAATTAAGCACATGCAGAACTTCCAGGCTAACAGCCGACTGCCGCAGAACAACCACTCAACCTAGCCGAGACTCATCCTCATTTATCCTCGCGTACGGAAGGGGATAAAAACTTGGCACAACAGAGGCCCACGGCCCGATTGCCACTACAGTGGGCTTTTTGACGCCGGAGTCTTTCGCCTTGACAGAATAAGAAGCCGGTTTCATCTTTTGACGAGTATAATCTCTGGGCTTGGCGTCGGCCTCGCAACGAACCCCCGGATGCTCTGCGAAAAAGGACCCTGGCCGGGCACTAGCTCGACTCTATACCGCTTCAGCAGGGTGGCCAGCATTATCTTCTGCTCGGTCAACGAGAAGAGGCGGCCCACACACGACCGCGGGCCCCCTCCAAACGTGAAGATGGGCCGTGACTTCTCATCCCCGACTAGTGGCAACGAAGCCGCGTAAGTCAGGTCGACAAGTTTCCGGCCGGCTTCTTCCCCTTCGTCATGCTCAACCGCACTTTCCGCTTGAGAGCTTTTTGCAAGCTCTGTTTCCACGGTTTTGGTTTTCGACACTACACCCGGAAGGCCTGACAGAGACTGGCTGGTCCTTTTCCACCTGTCGGGTCGGAACTCGCGGGCGTCATCGCCCCAAGCCTCGGTGCTCCGATGAATGGCTTGGATGGGCACGACGATGCTAGCCCCCGCAGGGACCTTGTACCCGCCAACCTGCACAGTTAGAAGATTGAAGAAAATCAATTCATGTACCAAAGGGTTGCAAACAAGGGTGTTTGCGAGCGAGGAGTGGAAAGCAATCCCAGATGGTAAGGGACTTTTGAAATATCCAAAGACATGCAAACCCGCAATCGGAGCTGACGTAGCATCCTTCGCGTCCTTAGCAGTACTCTCAAAGTCGATGCTGAGGATCGCTTGCAGTATCTCGGATTTCATCAAGCGACAAGCTGTGCCAGGTTGCCAGAGAAAAAGCGCAAAAGCAAGCGAAAAAAGGCCGTCATCGAAACGAAGAGAGGGGACACGTCAGAAAACAACCAATAGAAGAGTGCGGGTCGTCTGACGTGTCTCAGGTTGAGATTGGCAAAATGTGTTGTCCTGGTCTGACTACGAACACTCTAAGAGCAGCACCGGTAAAACGGGGTAGAACATAATCAGAAGTGACGCTCACCTTCAGATCCGTGTCAATTGAGCAGCGCAGAAGTGCGGATGCAGCGGGCCACAGCCGGCCAGTCTCCAAAAGGACAGCGCCGAGGTAGTCTAGCCGGGGAAGTTCCTCCTGCGGAATAATGAGGTACAGACGTCAGCCTCGCCAGCATCGACAAGAAGAGGGAGACCGTAGGGAAACCGAACCTGCCCAAATGGACCCCGTGAGTGCTGAAGTTTCGAAACCACCAATCCACAGCCCGTGTGCGCTTTGACTCGATTCCACGTGCGTCCTCGCACTTGAAACCATCTCAGTACGTGCAGGGTCTGTATAGTTGGAAAGGAGGATGTCAGAGGTTTTCCGAAAGCCATAAGAACAGGCAGTGTGCACTTCGTACTTCAAATCTTGACACCGGGCCACCCCCTTTGTGCCCCGCAGTATTGACGACTCAATCTGGTGGACGGGACCAGGGCCGCAAAGGTTCCAGAAAATCGTCTTCTGAGACCACTCTCGAGCAGTGACAGAAACGAGCAAAGGTAGCTTCAAACGAGACCCCTGTTGCAATGCGGCTGTCAGGCCTTCCATGCTGGGCTGGCAGTCTGCGCAAGATGCCACGACAGCCCAATGTTGGGGGTACTTTCGACGCCTCACAACAGACGTCAGACCCTCCTTCCCTAGATATTATGGTCCTTGATGAATTCACCGACCTTGTCAAAACCTGGAAAAGCAGATGGTTTTTCCCTTGCTGGACCTCCGCCTGTTCCTGGCCCCGCAAGGCGCCAACTTCTTGGTCTTTCACACCCGTTGTTTCTGATACATCACGGAATCGAAGCGGGATCATATTCGAGCATAGTGATGCTGTAGCTGTTTCCCTCACTTGCGTCGGCGCCTCCCCCTCGACCAGCGCGTCCAGCTCCTGTTGCACTTTCGCTTGCACCTCTGGGTGCTCCGCCATCTTCAGAACCGCCCAGCACATGGCCATCGCAGTCGTGTCGTACCCCCCAAACGCGGCTCCCACCAGGAACGACGTCCTCTCCTCTGGGGAGCTGACAACTCGCCCCCCGTCGGTGTGGCGGCTGCGAAGGGCGGCCGCAACTAGGTTGGGCTCGTCCCCGGGGCGGCTGTTCTGGAGCATGCGGCCGGCGATCTGGTGGAGCTTTGCGCCGCTGCGCGGTAGCCTGTGGAGTGAAGAGGGCTTCTAAGGACACCAGCTTGGAAGAGAAAACTGAGGAGGTCTGGCGATGTCATGGGGTAAACATCTGGAACTCCGACGAATGAATACTTCATATTAGATTCCCCAGGACAGTGGCCGAGCAGTCATCAAGCCAGCAAAGTGGGGCTGTTCCCAAAGAAATTATCAAGTGCAAAGTGCATCAATATGGGAAGCCGCATGTTTTGATAATCCCTCAAACCAGCACCAGCATCAACCAAGTAACTTGCTTTTCAGGCCCTCTTCTGGATGTAGGCTCTGCGCTTTTTTGAAGAAAGTGTTCCCTCTCACTCACCGCTGTTCCAAAATGGGGTAACCACCTTCGTGCTCCACTTGGTCGCCCCGTCTGCCGCAACTGCCAGGTGCTTCACAAAGCCCTCCTTGTCCTCGGCGCTCAAGCGCTCAAACGGCTCTCCGAACAGCCCCTGAGTCATGACTTCAGCAGCGGCTGCCGTAAGCTCAGCGCTGAGGTCCACTTTCAGGCCCTGTTCTGCATACACCGACCAGGCGGCCGCAGTCTTCTCTGCAACTGAGCGGGCGACTGCCCCCAAGCGCAGCAGGGCCTTTGGACTAGCCAGATGCTGAAGGAGGACTGTGCGATGTGGCCTGCAGTGCCAACGAGAAGATCGAGGGTGTTAGATTGTGAGTTGTGATGAGTAAAGACCGGGATGCCAGCTGGAATCATGGTGGCATTTTGGGCAGACACACAACGAAATCAGAAAAGCCATCACTTATCTTGTGTGTCTTGAGCGGAAAAGTTTCTGACACCTTCTAACAAATTGCTCACAATGATGTCATGACCCAAATTCAAGATCTAGAGTCCCTGCAATGTGAAAGAGATCCACAGGACTCCCTGGTTTTAGACGCTCCCGTCATACTGGCTCTCCAAGCCAAAGCTCCAGGCTGCTTCAGCGGCTCTGCACCACTAATTACCACTTGGAACCACTCGATCAAGACGCACCTCGCAAACTCCTGCTTCTTGAACGTCTGGTTGTCCTCCCCCAGGAACTGCAGCAGCTGTTTCATCATGGGCGGCCGCTCCGCCGCATTCTGCAGCACGTCCTTCACCGCGGCCGGGTCGCTAAATGAGATCCAGAGGCTGGACGGGCCCAGCCAGTAGCGCGCCACAGGCCCATACTTCTCATGGAGCCACTCGTAGAATGCAGACACGTTCCTGTTGGCCCCCGCCTTGCGCCGGTACTCTGGGTAGTTGCCGCTCAGGAGGCTGTCGGAGGGGGGCCCGGGGATCCTGTTCCCAATGTGAAGCGACCTGAGGTAGATTCCAAGTAAGGCTGCGAGCGACACCAGCGGGATGGAGAAGCAGGACCATGTGGCGACGCTCCACTCGCTGGGAGGGTCGTTCAGGAGCGAGAGCACGATCTGCTGCGCCGTGCTCATTGTGTCTCAATTTATGTTTCAAAATTGATGACAAGGTGGAGGAGCTTGGAAGCACAGAGTTGCTCCTGCCCACTCTACCCCTCAACAAACTCGGATGGTGAAAGCCTGCAAAGGCAGCAGGAAACCCTCAAAAAGGCCCTTGCTCACGCAACCTGTTGACCACCACAGCCATCGTGCGCACTAGCTGCAGACCCTAGCTGTAAACCCTGCTGCAGTGCAACTTCTGCTGCATTGCAGATAGAAGAAACCACCTGCTGTTCCATTCACTTGTCCGAGTCGCCACATCTAATTTCTAGCTGCATTTTCCTCTATCCTAGGCCACGTGACCTGACACCTGCAAACGTACGAAAATTCGCCCGAGCCCAGAAGCGAAGGTGTTGGAAAAGGGGATGTCGTATGAGCAGAGGGCTTATAGAAAGTGCGCACAAATATTGGCTATTCGCAAAATCAACCAACGCTAACAAATTAGAACAATCCTGAATTTGTAGTCTGAGGCCCGCTGCCAACGTGCTGTGCAAATATTGAATCCATTTCGGCAGTAATATACGTACGAGTGTTGCGTATTAAAATTCGAAGGAAGCCTGGCTCAGTCCTTCAGCGGCGTTCACTGTTCAGCCTTTGATCGATCAAGAACTTGAAGAAGTCTGGACAATCTCTCCTTGCAAATCTGTGCTGAGCGCAGACAGGCGCCCTTGATTTTCTGCCACCTCTTCTTCATACTTAGATAGGACTAGGCTAAAGTACGAGCTCTACAGACAGGTGAAGCTTTGAAAGTGGTTGAGTTTTTGAAAGATGGCTTCGATGGTGGGTGGTTGCCTGCTCCTGGTCGCCCTTCTCACAGTGGTCAGCCCATCACTCGCACACGTAACTTGGGAGTCATGTGGTGAGCCAACTCAACTTTGAAAGCGAAGTTCAAGAGATGGCTAGACTCTTTATGCATGCAACCCAACAGCTGGTGGTGAGACAGTAATCGCTTTGATTGCTGTGCTTTTCTTAGCATTGATCGCGCACCCAAGCAATTGATCTCTCCTTTTGTCCGCCTGTTGTACTGCCCGTTTGTTAGTATATATACATTGAGCAATTGAGCGCGTGGTTTCTGCTTGACTTGATACTATGTTTTTAAATGTTTTCTGTTGGTTTTGGCCAGTTTCTGAAGTCCCCTAAGCTGTTTGAAGCGGTCCTCTGATGCCCCAAGTTTAAATTGACACTTTCTCAATGGAAAGATCGTATCATAGTAGGAAAAGCGGGCACAGTACTAAATTATTCATCTGCTTAGGCACTTGAGCGAGAGACACATCTCCGGAACGGGTTTCCTCCAAGGTGCACCTGCCTTTTATAAGAAAAGTTTAATCCAAGGCATCCCCTGAACTTGTTGTTTACGCAATTGCGCTATGGATTTGACAACCTCAACGGGTATTTTGATCTTGACTTCAAGAAAAGACTAGGTTTTGTGATCTTCCCCAACGGTATATGCACAATTTTGAGACCAAGTCATAGGTAGACCACACTAATCTTTTCAATCGAGTTGAGTTATCTGGAGACTCGCAAAGGTCATTCCTGTTTTTGAAGGAATTCACAAAGCTCCGCAGCATCGGGGTTCAACTCGCAGGTATGTCTTTGATCAAGGGAGAATCGAACCTGGGTGTTTGGGTGCTTGTAACACAGATAAACCCAAGCTTTTGGGCCAGTTCACTTTTCTGGATCGAGTTTGAACCCCTTGATCGGCCTGGCAGGGTTGTTGTTTTGACGGAAGGGCTACGCGTTGAGACTAAGTTTTGTGATCTTCCCCAGCAGTATATGCAATTTTTTGAGCCCAAGTCATAGGTAGACCACACTAATCTTCAATCGAGTCGAGTTATCTGGAGACTTGCAAAGGTCATTCCTGTTTTTGAAGGAATTCACAAAGCTCCGCAGCATCGGGGTTCAACTCGCAGGTATGTCTTTGATCAAGGGAGAATCGAACCTGGGTGTTTGGGTGCTTGTAACACAGATAAACCCACCCAAGCTTTCGGGCCAGTTCACTTTTCTGGGTCGAGTTTGAACCCCTTGATCAGCCTGGCAGGGTTCTTGTTTTGACGGAAGGGCGGCTACGCGCTGAGAAAATACTGGACCGTTTTTGGCGCTGAATTCCATGGGGTCGTCGGATGTTGGTTCACCGGAGTTGAGCCAGCAGCTTGGTATCCAACAAACTACTGTCTGGATCATATCATGGTCCTTGGCAAGAGGTTGCTCCACCAGTAGTCTTAGTCGGATGACTCCGGTTTTGTTCCCCATTCCTTTCCGGTTGGTGCCCAGTTGGTGCTCTGAGCGGTCCTCTCTCTCTTTCTTTATCCAGGAGAGGGAGATGTGGAGGTCTTGAACGTGACCATGACGCCTGATCCGGCCGTGAGGGGTGGAGTATTTACGTTCAACTTGCCAGCTAAAACACGTGAGGTTTCCTGCTGCCCCTTACTCTTGCATCAGATGCGGACGGAGTTGCTCTTTGTCTGCATTGCGACTTGGCCCTTCTTCTTGCATTAAACGCCAACGAGGCCGCTCATTGCAGCGCAGGGCTAATCCACACTTGCTGTTTGTTGATATCTGAAGGGGATGAAATCCGCAAAAGATGAGCGCATGTGAACTTTAGAAGAGTTCTCGTGTGGGCTCCCCATTTCTAGCCGAACGTGTGGTCCTGAGAAAACAGACTTCTGAGAATTTTTCTTCGTTGGAAGTGAGGAACCTTTCGTGTTGTGGATCTGCTTGCTGATGCTGTGAGCTGAACTAAAACGACGCACGGGAAACACCTATTTGTGTTTGGTGGACTCGAATAACATGACAGTAGCTTCTGTCATTAATCTCGGGCTTAGGTGATGTGTTTTGGACTTAAGGCAGGGTTTCGTAAGTTCGTGTGACAAGTCTCCTGAACAAGACCGTACTAGTTGGCGGCTCTTCTTGGACGTTTGTGCAATCTCGTTATCCAATAAGATGTTTTCGGGCTTTTCGTGAGCTCGTGTTGTTCGTGCATACATCCTGATCTGAACCCGAAAGAAGCTACTTTTGTACCCAAGAATAGTCTTTGTTGTTCCTGACGGGAGTCAGCAGGTAAAGTTCGACACGTTACAAAAAAGACGTATGCGTGCGCACTACTAGTAGCTTCGGCAAGACGCTGTCGCCGAATGTTCGTAGATTCAAAGGTTTATTGTCTCTTTGCGCAGCGCGTGTCATCGAGGGGGGCCACGTTTCGGTCTTTGTTTTTTACAAAGGAATACCGGTCTACTTCGAGAACGACGACCTGTGCGTCAAAACGAAGTGCCCTATCACCAGCGACGTATTCACCTTCACCAACACGCAGCAGCTGCCATCCATAACGCCCCCCGTGAGTGCTCCAAATGCTTGTGTAGCTAGCTTCACTTCTCTGTGTCGCTTGCTGCCTTCCTTGGCCGCACGTTGCTGAGTATCTCGACCTCGAATGCGGGTTCCTTCTTGCATTTCTCTTGCACATATGGAACTCGAGGAGTCGCTTGCAAAAGACGGCCAACGGGGATTCTTTTCGAGAGAAATGTTTTTCTGTTTGCAGGGGCCGTATCAATTGCGAATCAAGGCTAGTGACCTCGACGGCAAGCCGCTCTTTTGTGCAAAGATGAAGTTCCAGATCGTGTCAGGGGCAGAGTCCAAAAGTGCTCCTCTCCTTGTGGCCTCAAGATAGTGTTGCCCGACTTTAAACGGTCGAGACTCTCTTTTGGAGCTTTCGCTACTTGTATTTAGTTTAGAGGGGAGACATTCTTTATGTAGATATGGGTCTCGCTCACTGAGATGTGCGATTTAGTCGTACACCCGTGGAGTGTGTTGCATTCATGTGCTACTCGACTGATGCCGATATACCTATGCGACTTCCTGTGTACATTCTTTTAAGGGCTTCATAAGGTTTAAGGTTTTGACCTTCTCGAGATTGAAAGCCTATCTTGTATGCACCATCATGATATATGGACGTCCGATCATCATTCTAAAGATGCATCGGGGCCGGGCCCAACATGGGCAGGCCCCATCCCCTGCCGGCTGACAACTTACAAGGCAAGACGGAATGAGCGAGGAAATAAGGGGTACGTGGTACGTCTGGATGCCAGGACAGACCGTCGGTGTCCGACGGAGACCGGATGCTGTGATGCTCATTGTTAGCAGACCAGCGTCGGCGTACGAATCGGACAGCCGCCTGCCCACTGCTGCTGCTTATACCGTATATCATCCTCACCGTTGTTCCAGAATGGAGAAGATCAATGGCTACAATCTCATCTCATCTCCTTGCCACGCGCATGGACTCATGTCGATCGGACGGCATACATAAGAAGGCGATGTGGAGCAACTAGAAAGACGGAAGTATTGGTCTTGTGATGGCGCATCACTGATCACTCACGCGCACTACGTGCAAGGGAAGAAGAAAGCTAGGAAGAAGAAATGGCGCAACGTCTGAGCTCAAAGCTGGCGCAGAAGCTGCTGAAAGGAAGCTCCATCGGCAAGCAAGCCGGGTCCAAATCAGTGCAGAATGGGAACCTCGAGTCTGCGCTGTCAAAAAGCAATCTGAAACCACCTGATGCGGTGGTGGCAAAGGGTGTAGAAGCGGGCAAAGCAGGCAGGTGGCACAGTGTTGAGCCAGTCGATGGTTTCGAATCACAGGTCACATCAAGGGGGTTGTTTGGTCGAGACACGTTTCCTTCAATTGCATCAACGTCAGGCAGAGGTTTTGCCTCGAGTGCGTGGCCTGAACTCCCATCACCGCAATCTATGGCCCCGAAGTATATCAAAAAGGGGCTGACGTGGGTAAGGATCTGAGCTTCCCTTCTTGTTGCAGCATTGCCTATCAATGAGGTGGTAATCAAGAGTCAAGACCCCAGTTTTGGAGTCTCTTTGTGGCTGTCCTGATAAAGCAATCTGACCGTCAGCTAGCGACTGTGAAGATTCCGAGTTTGCATGAGCTCTTCTGGCGAGCATGCGATTTCGCACGGCACAGCATTGCAGATCAAATTGACATGGATGCACCCTGAGGTTGATGATCTGACGGTTGCTTGCCTCGCTCAATCAGTCGCAGTTGCGAAAGGTCTCGAGCCATGGGCATGGACTCCGTTCTTTGCCGGTGCCACTCAATCTTCACCAATGAATGGCGATCTTGTGCAATCACCAGATTCCTTGTCAACTGGAAAATGGCTCTGGTCCTGCAATATTGCTCGTGTAATGCTTTCTGCAATGCATCCAATCCAGAGTCTCAGCCAACTGGTTTATTTGCAGAGAAGAGCAATTGCTGCTGCCACCATCTCAAGCTTGCTAGGGACCATGGTTTATGCATCAACTAGGGACGAAGCCACTCTCAGGTACATGATCGCTCATCCTAGACAACAAGCTTTTCACTTCAACAGCCTAGCTGCACTGATGATGATGCCCAAAACAGAGATCGATCCCAGTATATTTGTGAAGTGTCCACCGTCAGCTACACGGTCTCTTCCCGGTCTCCAACAAACTGCTGGCTCCTCGCCTTACCAGGTCTAATGTCAATTGTTTTCTACAGTCGGCTAACCATTGGTTATTACGCCTCAATTTTGGAGCTTTCCCCACCCCTGTATGAGGATAGGGTGTTTTTAGAAAAGCACATCAAGCGTTCCCGCTGTCCGGAAAGCAAAATAAATGTTTGTTGTCCTCTTGCTTACCCAGAACTCAAATAGACACTCTGATCCATACTCTCTCATGCATTTGCACTTTATGACCACAGACAGGTCTTACCCCCCGAATTGATTTAAATGTTCGAGTTTATACACCACTTGTTTGCCGTCTACCGGCCCTTTACCAACAGTCAAGGATCTTGCTGCTGCTTTCGAGTCCAAATTTCGTGTTGTGTGGTTTTTCCCCCCCTCGTCAGCAATCCCTCGAAGGACATACCAGGTCGTCATCAGGGACTCCTCACTGCTCAACCACCTATTCAATAGACACATTTGATAATCCCATCTGCAGCTCATGGCTCTTTGAAGGGGCCGACTTCTTCTCTCCCTTCTTCCGCCTCCTCGACCCCGAAACCGCGCACCGCCTCGCTGTCCTCTCCGCCTCCTGGGGCCTCCTCCCGCGGGAGAAGCGGCCAGATCCCCCCGAGCTGGCCATCACAGTCTGGGGGCGGCGGTTCACTAACCCGATTGGGTTAGCGGCAGGGTTTGACAAGGACGCCGAGGCTGTGGAGAACCTGATACTAGTCGGGTTTGGGCACGTGGAGGTTGGGTCGGTCACGCCGCTGCCGCAGCCAGGGAACCCGAAGCCGCGCGTGTTTAGAATACCCGAGGAGCAGTGAGTGGCCGCACTTCACTTTTGAATGGTTGGGTTTTGTCCGAAATGGCTGAAGAATCAGGGCTTTACCTGTTGCCATCGATTGTCTCTTGCTGTAGTCTGTTTGACAGCCAGGCATTGAAAGCCTGACTCGCCAATGATTCGTATCTTTTCTCGCAACAGCCTTATGTTCGCACGGTGGCCTGCTACATAGATGCTCGAGCTTAGATCGTTCCATGCGAAGTCTCCTTCGAGGGTATTTTTGGTGAGAGTTTTAGGATTTTGAGGATCAGCCCAAATTTGACCTCGAGGAATTCGTTCTGTGTGTGATGGCTAACTCCGCTGTTGTTTCCGTCCTTCGTGGCCTTGATTGAGAAGCGTCCCAAGTTCTATCATGGATAAGGCCCCGGAACGTGAGCAGAAGTCAATCTTGGTACTCATCCCAGCTTCGTGCATGTTTCTTCTGCAGGGCGGTGATTAACCGGTACGGCTTCAACAGCGAGGGCATCGTGGCGGTCGCGCAGCGCCTGGGCGCGCGGCATGGTCGGCAAAAGCTACAGGGCTCGGGGGGGGACCCCAAGGAACTCGAAGGAACGCACTTTGACTCAAAAACGCAAAAAGGGGTGCTCGGTGTGAACCTGGGCAAGAACAAGGACAGCCCCGACGCGGGAGCTGACTACGTGCAAGGGGTGCACACGCTGAGCCAGTACGCGGACTATCTGGTGATCAACATCTCGTCGCCGAACACGCCGGGGCTGCGCAAGTTGCAGGGGCGCAAGCAGTTGCAGGAGCTCATCCGCAGGGTGAGGAAGATCGTCGAGTACTGAGTACTGACTGCTTGCTGAGAGAGCTTTAGGAGGTGTTCTTTAGAGCTTGGGATCCGGCAAGCGCTTGCAGGCGTTCGTGAGGATCGTCAGAGCACAGCATGTTTTTCAGAACGTGATCTTCAGTGTTTGAACTGAAAGGCAGTCCGATTGGGGGCTAGCCCGTCGGCTCGAGCGAATGTTTCTGGTGCTTCCCTTCTGGGGGCTTGTCTTGGGGCGAAGTTTTTAGCTCATGCAAGCCAATTCGGCAGACTTGTGATCTAATTGCGGATTGTGACAGTGCTTTTGATGACTAAGTTTCTTGAAGCGGATTCTCCCATTGTTCCTGAAACAAGATAAAGTAAAGGAATGTTTTTTTCGCTGTCCATAGCTTAACTGATAAGCAGCCTAAATAAGGTCATAAACTAGACAACAAGCGGACAGTCAGCTCCGCGAGGGTCAAGTAAGAGGACAACTTCGACACAGAATGCCCGCCGCAAACTTTAGAATCGTGTTCCCTGCACTTAAAAAAAATGATCCTCTCATTATGGCACCCATCTTCTGCACTCCCAACGCTATCTTTTCTCGGTTCCCTCGCTCCCGTTTGTGTCCTACGCATTTCCATTAAAACCTGTCTTGTGTAAGGTGCTCTATCTCAACCACAGCCCTCCTTTCCCCAGGTCCTGGCTGCGCGAGACGAGATGCAGTGGGGCGAGGACGGACCCCCCCCGCTCCTAGTTAAGATCGCCCCCGACCTGGCGCGCGCCGACCTGGAAGACATCGCCGCCGTCGCGCTCGCGGTGCACCTGGACGGGCTCATCATTTCCAACACCACCATCAGCCGCCCCGAGTCGATCCAAGGGCACGCCAACGGCAACGAGACGGGGGGCCTCAGCGGCCCCCCCCTGCTGGAGATGTCGACGGACGTGCAGGCGCAGATGTACAAGCTGACCAAGGGGAAGGTCCCGCTGGTCGGGTGCGGGGGGGTGAGCAGCGGGCGCGACGCGTACAAGAAGATCCGCGCGGGGGCGTCGCTCGTGCAGCTGTACACTGCGCTGGTGTACAAGGGGCCGAAGCTGCTGCCGGATATGAAGGTGGGGACGGGGACTCCGTTGCCGGTGTGCTTGGGAAGTTGGTTGGAGAGCAGATGTGGTTCTGTGTCCCGCAATTCCGCAGATCTGAAACTTTATCAAGAGTCAAACCCACGAGCTGATTGCATCGAAGCACCGAAGGTTGTTCTCTGTGCTCTGGCTGGTCATCCTGCTCGAGGCTGCGGATGTGGGTGTTGTAGTCTCGGGCGCCATTTATGCATGAACTATCAGTGCAGTTGACATTCAAGAAAGGGGTTAGCACGTTTGGTGCGGCGCTTGCCATTTCCAGATCCGTCCGTGACTGTGCTTGACAGTTGTCAGAATAGAAACGGGTGGACCGTGGTCTTTGCTGACGGTGACTGTATTGCAAAGCTTGAGACCGGTGATTCCACAATTTTTTCATCGTGGGTGTGTTGTGCCAAGGGGTGACAGGTGTTTTCGAAAACCCACATCGTGCATTCGGCTCTCGCCCCTCCAACGAAGACCAAACCTCGAGCTCATTAATGTAATCTTTGGTTGTTGCAGAAGGAGCTGGTGGAATGCTTGAAGGCTGACGGGTTCAAGAGCATCGAGGAAGCGGTTGGCGCGGATTTCCGGTAGCACTGGCAAGGATCAGAACCCGTGACAAGCTCGTGTCCTACTTTATGAGAACTCTTCCTACGAGGTCCCTTACACTTGAAGCCTGCATTTCCTTTTCAGCATGATCGTCAAAGGTCCGCCAGATGACGTATTGCCTTGCCCATTCCTAGCATGGGCATCCAGGGAGCAACGCTTCCGCTTGCAGCGAGTGACTTGCGACGAAGTTGAAGGGGCCCACTACGCTTGCCCGAAGATATGCAGCGTGCAAGTACTCCATTCTACCTTGTTGTGGATATCTGCAATGATGCGTCAGCACATGCGGAAATGCTCCGATTGCAGGTTCATACATAGCATGAATGGTTGATAGTCGCGATCGATGGGTGCATACACGGCGCATCATCGGACGAGGGTCAAGGGCAAAATATCTCTCAGTTGCATGTGATCGGCACGGCCGGTCCATTCATCACGGCGCAGCTGGCCGCACCGGTCATATATATAGCATGGCTGGCCCAAACCATTTGGCCAGCCATGCTATATGAATATCGACAAAAAGCTTAACATATGTATGATGTACCGTGCTAAAGCACGATGCGCATGCAATGCTTATAAAGGCACGATATCTGACGTTTAAAACGTGCCTATATTGCCGATGCCATTATTATATGCATACATGTCGACATGGAGTGCATCAAACATCCGATCTGGGTGCCAGCGCGGGCTCTTCTAGCTGCCACTGTTGCTCTCGTTGTGGCATGACGTTCTGATAATCATATATACTTCATCATATGATTTGACACGCCACATCCAATTAAGGATGTTAGCAGACATTGCACCCACGCTTAATCGTTACCTTTCCTTTTTTGCAAAAAAGTTGCTCAATTTCAGCTGCGTCCTTGTGTCGGGTTTTTGAGGCTTTCCAGTTCTGTTCCGACCGCGCTTTTTTCCTACCAAGGTCTTACTCGGAAACCCCGAAAGAGCTTTTGAACCACCAGGACTTTCAGTCTCAGACGCTCGACGTCTACTCCGCGCCGGCAGTCCCTTTCCGTCTTGAGCGCTAACTGGGTCTACCCCTCCTCCATTCAAAGTTCCAGCGGATTCTGAATCTACAGTCCCTAACCCGCCTGTCCGCTCGAAAACATGGACAACATCGCCGTCGCCGGTAGCCAATTGTGAGCTTTCTCTATGCATGCCCCCATTCACGTTTCCGGCAGGCGTCTCCTGTAGCGGAGCACCTGACGGCATTGCACAGGTTCCTTCTTCTTCTCGAAGTCCAACCGCGTGCTCAGGCTCGACCCCACTTTCGGGAATCTCTTTTCCGCTTGCTTCAATTTCCTCAACCGGGCCCCCCTCCCCCACCGTCTTCTCTAAAGCTTTTGCGCGCCCACTCTTCAGATGTTCCAACTCTTCTCCGTCATCTTTTTTCAACGGCGATCCCCGCCCCTTCTTCGACGGCGGCTCCGCCTCCTCTGTACGCGAGTACTTCTCTCCCCCCCGGACCCCCACTTTCCGTTTCGAAAAGAGCGCCGTCAGTTTGCTTTGCCCCCGGTCTTCTTGGAACTGCCTGATCCTTTTCGACGACAAAGCAACAGGGGGGTGCGGAGGCGGGGGCGGCTGGTCTTTGAGCGTCAAACTAACCGCGGTGTGGTCGCTCCACTTGTCGGGAGTGTCCAGGATCTCGGCGCCCACCAGCTGCCCTTTAAAGCCCTTGTCACAGACTGTGAAGTCGATCCTGGCAAGGGACAAAGCAGGGGGAAACTTCTGCGTGAGTTTCTCGAAAAAGCCTACTGTTTCCTGGACGCATCAGGATCCTCAAAAATGATTCCAGCGAAGATCATTCAAGGCCTATTTTACTTCTTCCCTTGTGTCTCGAGCTACATCGCATCAGAGGCAATTGATCCATCACGCAAATGACTCATTAATCGAAGTCAAGTAAACCCTTCTGCCAACCCCTTCCGACCCGACTGTACCTGTCCGGAGATAATGGTGGACAACTTTTACGCGTGGAAACGAGTCAGGGAGGGCTACGACGAGCCAGAGTGTGCCACGTGTCCGCACCTGGCGCCCTCGTTGAAGAGCCGCGCCGACTTCTTCTGGTTCCAGCACGTGAAGCCGTCCGAAACGTCCGGGTGGAGGTGCCGCCAGGCGTCCACATATTCGGACAGGAACGAGTCGGTCCAGGCCAGCTCCTCTGAGCGTCGGGAAGATGTAGTGAGCCTTTCAAATGATGGTCGGTGGGAGTGCGGTTACGAGTCACACAACGACCGGAAAGGCGAATGCTGAGGGCCGAGTTAAAACGAGAGCTAGCCTCTTGAACGGGCCTCTACTCCAAACCTTCTCTGCCATTAGAGAGCAAGCTGGCTCTCAAACGGACCTTGAGACCTTCGAAAGGAAGTAAACGTCAGCATCCAGTAATGTTGCTAGAAGCATCAAATGCGTTTCGCTTTTGCAGGCGGGACGAAACTGGTTTCAAAGACGGGGTATCCAAAACCTCGTAATCTACTCCAGAAGCCCTGTATCCTATGCCAGAAGAGGGGACCAGCCGTACCTGGGGCGTACACCTTGTGCAAGCCGAAGCAGGAGTGGATGTCGGCCGTCGTGTGGGAGACGTTCAGATCGCCCACCACGATGACGTGGCGCCCGCTGGCCACAAGCTCGTCGCCTGCACTTCAAACACAGTCCACAGACTTGAGAGTTTGTGATTGTGGTCTCCGGTGTGCCTGCGATGTGCAATTGGTTTGGCGGCAGACATTACAATGTCGCAAGTTGCGGATAGTTGTGGGAAAGACGTTGTATCTGGATAACCATGCTTTCAGGCAGAGCGTGTCAAGCGCGCCGAAATGCATGGTCAAGTTTAACTAACTGCATCATCGAGCCCCATGGATTGAACAAAGTGAGATGGATATGGTCTCGAATTCATGCGTGTCCTTATTACGTGATCAGGACCCAGTACGAAAGTGAGAGGAAACTCACACTTGGCCCGCAGCGCATTCAGGAACTTCATCTTAAAGTCCAGTCGTGGCCTCAGGGGCTTCTCTCCCGCGTTGGGAACGTAGATATTGAAGAGCACGAACGCCCCATGGTCTGTCATCATCACCCGCCCCTCCTGGGTGATGTCATCCTCGCCTCCGCCCCCTCCCCCGGGCAGGCAGTCTGCGGCGGCGTCTAATGGCGAGAAGCCCTCTTTTACATAGGTCACGACACCTGAGGAGAAAAGCTATCAAGCTGAGCTCCAGGTTTGCTGTTTGCAAAAGACCGTATCATGAGATTCACTAGTGCTGGCTTCTGGCCCATCATTTAACTCATGAGGCTTTGTAAGGGTCTAGGCAGATCGAACTCCATGACTGGCGGTGCCACCACTTCCAGAATCAGCACCTCCTGTGAATGAAGCAACCTTGAGAAACATGATGCCCTAAGAGACCGCCAGCACCGTCCCCATATCTGCGTTCAACACAAAGTCCAAATCAGTTCTCTACAGGTGAACCATCAAACCTCAAATAGTCAAATGAGATTGGATTGACGCTCACCGCTGTAGCCCTTTTTGTTCTGGCTAAACGCCCAGAAGGACTCGTACCCTGGTACGCACGCCAGCCACTTTTCCAGCCTGTCTTCACGCACCTTGGCTTCCTGCAACTCATTGAACAACAACCTCAATAAGCCATAGCACTGCGAAGATCTGTTAGAGTCCTTCCTTCCATTCTTCCCTTCTTTCGTTTTTGAGCTTGCCTAACTGAGCCCCAGAATGACTACGCGCTTGGCTAAGGATCTGTCTTGCTCGGTGACTGTTTCCCCCTTTATTGCTTTCCATAGCATTGGGGGCCTTTGATTGGTTGGGGCCGTACACAATGTTGAGAGCCCCCCAACTCACACCTTCAAAAATAGTTGAGACTCCTCTGCCTGGGGCGAAGCTGCAAAGACTGTGCTACATACCACCAGTTCGCTGACTTAGCAGGATGGCCACGAAAACACAGACGCAATCATGGCCCACTTCCTCCCCACGCTGTGCTCAAGCTGTCCAGGCATGGCTAGCTGCTCAACAAGCTAAAGGTCGAGGGACAGAGAGAATTCTGTACCTGGAAACACACGATATCCGCCTTGAGGACTTGCGCAAAATAGTTTTCAACAGAGCCGTGGTGGTAGCTTGCCTCCTTTAGCGTGGTGGGCAGCCCGTTCACATTCCACGACACAATATGCATCGCCCCACCGCCACGCGCCTGGCAAGAAAGGGGATACCTAGTGCTTGTTCGTCGCAGAGATCGCTGCTTGCTTCAAGGAGACAAATGAAGGGGCGCCGCAGCAGGGTGGTTCCGGGGTGGTTCCTAGAAATGACCTTTCATCCCTGTAGCAACAGGGGGGATGCAGCACCGATTGATAGCTCCGTCTCCTGAGTCCTACACCCTACCTTCCACATGCATGCAGCTCAGGAGTAAGCACTGGCAGGATGCACGCAGCACCGCCAGGAAACTTTCTCAAACGCGCACACTGCCACTGACAGCGGCCAGCCTGATGACAGTGATGTCAAATTTCAGGGTTGCTCATAAACCAGCCATTTATGTTCAAGGGTTATCTCACGGTTTGAGCAAACTTCTCGTCTGCCGGTTCTGGGACCGAACAGCATCATGCACCCGTACCATTTCGTTGTCCAGCAGCTTATAAATTAGCAGCGACTCCAGCTACCTACAGTCTGCCGGACGGTCTACCGTATCGGTTACGGGTCAAGGTAGGGGTTGGCTTCTTCAACCATGTACAACCGGTTACCGTACCCAAGTTCCAACCGAAGCCCTTGAATTCATGACAGTTCGTTGCAGCTGCAGCGAGACGAGACTTTCAGAATCATACACTTCTTGAATTCTCTCGCCCCAATTTTCTTGATATACTCTTCGGACCTGAAGGGCGCATCTAGGGCGCCCTAACTTTTGGTAGCTGATAACGGTCTCGTGCACCGCGTTTGGGGGTCGGCCATGGTGGCCAGGGGAGTGGCAGCCTGGCAACAGGCTGATGGGTGTGTGGCAATGGTTGGGAGAGCGGATTGCAGGATGATGGAGGTGGCGGGGACTATCGCTCTTAGAGACAGCCTCTCGGGCTCAGTCCATTGCAGGGGACTCAGCCGGTTGATTCCGCCTCAATGCACACTGACAGACTTTGCGCAGCCGCAGACAACCCTCATAGGCTCCGGGTCACATTCGGTGGATATCCGCTCATCTACTGGCGTGAGAGGATACATTGCAGAGAGGCGAGGTCATTCTGGCAGGGGATTCGTAAATGGTGGAGTCCATGGCATCTTTTATGCAGCGGGCATCCATGCCATCGGGGACAGTGCAGAAGAGCATGGTGAGCATGCGGCACGACATGTGGGAATCGAGGACGAGAGGCGCAACATCAAGCGGTGGACATCATCAGCAACGACTGCCGTGGAAGGCACCTTCATGCAGGGCGGTGGCGGACCACGTTTACCAGCAGGAGGGCCAGCTCGTGCTTCACAAGACCGGGACCCTCTAGTATATGACTTTGCGCAGCCGCCTACACCCCGTTACAGGCTCCGGGTCTTCAGTGCTAGTGTCAGAGTACCGGTTTACGTGGGGTTAGTTAGCGGGTCCGGTAACGCGTTCTACTACAGTTCTTGAGGGGGGTAGTCGAAGCTAGTGTGGGTTAGAGGTAGTATGAGATGTTTCGATTCTTAATGATTGCTTGCATGCAGGACTATTGTGACCATGTCACAACCCATGTAACACTTGCGTTCGCTTTGCGAACCATTGTAATCGAGGTCGTATGTGTGTGTGTACAGCACGCATCAGGATCATTGGCAATGGATGTCCTCTCTGTTTACCAACGAGCGCCAAGCTTTCCGCCAATCAGGGGGCCCGGGGCTAGTGTATGATGCTCAAGCCTGCGGTTCCAATACCCGTTGCAATGGAGCATAAGCACTGAGTTTGTTCAGTGGTTGAAAGTTGCAAAAAAGTTGGAAGCTGTTCAATGTGCGCAACAGAATGAATCTTGATGGCCTGAGGGGGACAGGTAACCAAGTCGGACTTCTGCGCACACTACGAGAGCACCATCCATCGAGTTTCTCAAGGTGACTGAGTGGTAAGCTTGAGAAAGAACCTGCATTTTGCTTTCATTGTAAGATTGCTAAATCATTTCATACCCCTGTCGTTGTGAAGAATGACAATAATCTGGCTCTTTTGAAACTCAAGTCTGCGCATACCTGTGGCAAAGTTCATTTGTACTCTTCAAACAAGGACAAAATGGTGGCGCTTGATCTTGCACCAGATTCGGGAGGCGCCACATTTGGTACTGACCAAGTAGCTTATGCTAGGACAGTGCCAGTTCCGGATGATCCAGTTTTGATGTTCACCGCAATCATGAGAAGGGCACACGTCTGAGTTGCATCTTTTAAGAGCAGAGATAGTGAATGATAACAGTGAGCACAAACACATGGTTATTTTGGCAATGCACTTCCAGGAACACAAACCTGTGAATTCAGACGCTGCAGCCATCATAGCTAAACAGGAGTGAATCCATGATTTAATGTCTTAGTCATGCCTGTCACATTCAAAAGACTCATTCGTCGAAGGTACTTTTTATTCAATTACTTTCTGCGCTTTTTTGGACAAGTCCTCATGGTCAGGACTTCTGATGCTGCAAAGAAAGATTGTCTTAGCTACATTACCTGGTGGTCACGTCAGGCAGAAAAAGGGGGCGCATTCGACGAGCTTGAAACAGGCACTTTTGCAATATTTGGGCATGGCAGGGCTCCTCTCACCACAGCTCGCTTACAATGCATCAGCTCATCTTCCAAGCATTCCCACTGTGCAGATCAGCAAAGTACTGCTCAAACTGAACAAGCTCAAGTCTGCAGGAGTAAGAGTGTCCTTGCTCACACACCCTGTGTTCTCTGCAGTCTGAGCGCCTGAGGTCAGCAGCCATGAGGAGGCGCCCCGACTCCACCATGCACCCCTTGGCCAGGCTCCCGCCCCTCCGCCTCGCGCTTCTGCTCTTCTTCGCCTTCCTCGCCTGCACCCTCACAGTATTCCTCTCCGTTCGCAACCAGACGTACACAGCGTTCCGCTGGAGGGCGGCCGCCACACGCGCCATGCACCACCACGATAGAGCATTAGTTACCAGCACGCACTTCCTTAACTCCCTTAGTGATGATCAGCTGCAGCAGTGGAAGCCAGCGCACCAACCAGCCGTGACCATGGTCGTTCTGACCTGCCACCGGGCAGTCCCGTACATCAACGTTCTGGTGGCGTCGCTGCTACAAGGGCAGAGCGCAGAGGAGCTAGCGGACGGGTTCAGGGTGCGCCTTTTGAATGTGGAGCGGGACCCGGTTCTCCGGGACTCTCACGAGGCGCGCCTGCTGCGAAGAATACCCCTCCTGCAGTATCAGGATGCGGCGGCAAATAGGATAGAGACTAACGAGACATGGGTCGCGAGGGGGGTGAAGGATTATATGACGGCGCTGAGGGCTTGTCAGGTGGGGGTCCCGACCCCCTGGTGCATCATAATAGAGGAGGATGCCCTTCTGACAAGCGACTTCGTTTGGAAGTTCAAAGAGGGCGTCGTTGGCGTTCTGGGGGACGGCGCCAAAACCACGGCCTTTGTAAAGCTGTGGACTACAGACTGGTGGGACGGTTTCGAAAACGAGGACTGGCCAAAGTTGGCGCTGGTGGTTGTCGCTTCGGCGGGACTGCTGACGGCGGTAGTAGATTGCCTTTGCTGCACAGAACGGCGACGAGGGAGCCACGCTCTGCCGCTTACACTCTGCTTTGCGTTCTTCGTGATCACCATTGCAGTCAACCTTTGGATAGTCAATGCACAGTTGTTGAGCCAGATCGGAGAGCAGCCAGGTAACCTGCAGCTTAGACCGTTAGGGCAACACCATGCTTCGGGGACTGTGGCAATCGCCTATCCCCTTCACGCAGTTCCAACAATCCTAGAGTTTGTAGAGTCGACCTTTAGAGCAGGCAGTCCTGATCCTATTGATGTGATCATTGGCAAGCTTTTTGTCGAGGAGCATCCAGAGTTGTGCGCTTTGGAAATAGCACCTTCTCTTGTCCAACACATAGGTGTGTACTCTAGCGGGGGCATCGAGAAGAACGCTGGAGATTTTCTTTGGCTTAAGCAAGACTCGAGATTTGTTGATCGATAAACGGACCAGAATAAACTCAGTGAATTGGGCCAAGTTTCTTCTGCAGTAACATGCTTTCTTAGTACTTCAAAGCATGTGATGCTCATCTCTTCCATCACGTGCAAATCGATAGCATCAACAGGATGATCATAGTATGCCTTCCACGATACCGAGGTGTTAGAGTATGTTGAAGTTGTAACTTGTTCATTTTAAAGATCGTTCGATCGTGGCTTAGCCTGAGTCGCATTCATGATTTCGTGTTCCCAGATCGATGGCAATTGGGTCATGCAAGCCCAATCCAAGGCTCCAGCTTGCAATCTCGCATGATCCGAGCTCCTGGCATATGGAACCCAATGTTGCTAGCGCACATTGTAGGCTGCGGCGCTGCAGTAATTTCCCCGCGCGCGCCGCGCGCCTTTCGAGTTCTTCTGTTCCGTTCAGATGTAAGCGGAAGCGGAACTACCGGAGTCTCTCGAGTTTGAAGTTCTTGATCAGTCTAGCTAGCAAATGCACCTCATCTTCAAGTTCTGCAATGCATGTGAAATGCAGAACCTAGTGCATCTTCGTTTGTAAAGGTGTGGTGGCGCCATGGCGTCCCCTTGGCAGTCCCCAGGTGGCATTACCAGCCCCTGGGGCACAATGGTGGCCGGCCCTGAGGGCAAGCTGCGGAGTTTCCTGGAGGCAGATGGTGTTCTCCAAGATGTGGAGGTGGCAGGGCGAGCGGTTAGCGAAGCGCTAGAGCGGGACGTGCAAGCGTCAGGACTGGACCTGGCTGATGCACTTGATCCTTCCAGACTCCCTTTGAACCCTTACTCGACACAGCCCAAAGATGTGAGGACTCTTTCATTGTTTGTTGCTCAAAAACATCTGTTTTCAATGGTCAACAATAGCAGCGCTGCAGGAGGAACTAGTGGCACTGCACCAGCCAGCCTCGTAATGTTTCAGATATCTTTTGGAATGTGATTGTCATGTGCCTGTGCTTTGTGCTTCAATTGGTTCTGTTGACTTTATGCAGACTCCTGTGTTCTGATCGACCTACATTATGCTGGTATGCGGTACAAGTTTCACCTAGTTTGTGCACCAGATTAGTTAGAGTGTAATCTACGTTAACTCAGAATTCATTGATGCGCAGTGGCCGCCACCAGTGGACATTGCCAGTGCGCATGAGCTGCCCCCGGTTTTGATTGAGCGGTACACTGCTGCGGGGGGCCAAGGCACGGCGCTATGCGGCATATTCCCGCAGCTAAGACGCGCATGGGCCACAGTGGACAACTCACTTTTTCTATGGAGTGTCGATCGATGGTGAGAGCGCGAGCGTGGGCACTGTCTTCAGCACCGGATGCAAGATGGTGCCAGGCTCCTCGTGTGGCAAAGTCTACCTGAGACTGTCCATGTTGCTTGGGCGAGCAAGATGATTCTTACACTTGTGCTGGTAGCCTTTGCCAGACACATGACATGCTGTTGGGATCTAGCCAATCGTCTTCAAATCTCTTATTTCACTACGTCCTTCATACGTATTTCCACCACCACCTGAGTGATGAGTGTCATTTGAGCCCCGAGCCCCTTATTTCCCAAGACGCACCCTCCTAAGACATGTCAGCAACCGTTCTGAGTGCAGGGATGGGACCTATATTGAGTACAGTGGCGAGGAGCAGGCCATCTGTGCGGTGGGGCTGACCAAGCCCAAGCCCGGGGTCTTCATCGAGGCTATCCAGTACCTGCTGGTCCTGGCAACTCCTGTCGAGGTGAGTTGCTGCGCAAGCTGATTGCTGGCAAGCCTCAGAAGGGGACGCTCCGCTCTCGGCCCTGTGTTTGTTGGTGCATGTCTCATACCCATGAGCTTGATGAGTCCACTTTCCTGGGCAAAAGCCCAAGTGACGACCAGCTGCAGGGCGCCGGTATATTAGATTGTGTGTATCCAAGTTTGCAATCTTGTCCGAGTCACCATTTAAGAAATGGCTCTGTTCTTGTCGCAAAAGGATTCTCTTCCGCCCTCAGATTATTCTGTTGGGGGTCTGCCTCGGCCCCGGCGGCGGCGCTCCCCGCCCCTCCGACGACCTGACCCTGCAACCCCTCCCCGAGTACACCGTCTCTTCCGACGGCGTCACTATGTGCTGCATCACGGCCAGCGAGGACGGCCGCATCTTCATGGGGGGGCGGGACGGCCAACTGCACGAGCTGCTTTACAGCACAGGGAGTGGATGGCAGAAGCGGTGCCAGAAGGTGACGCACGCGGGGGGGTTGGCCAACGTGCTGGCCAGATGGGTGGTGCCGAGCGTGTTCAGGCGAGTCTTTCCATCCAACGGTTCATTATCTGCAATATTCTACTAATTTAGCCGAATTGATGGATCCAGGAAGGCTTTGAGAACATAATTTCCAAAGCCTTCTCGAAAGAGATGAGATGCAAGAGCCGAACATCCTTTGCGAGGTTAGGATGAAGCTCAAGTCTGATCTGACTTTCTAAAAATCAGTCCCTCCCTCATTGCTTGCTGAGAAACATTTGGTTCTTCGAAACCTTGCTTTCCAAGCCCGCATAGCTGCTCCTTCCAGTGATTTCCAGCCCACTGCCAGATCTTTCCGTCTTCATCTGCCATCTGCCAATCCACCCAAACGAAAGCTCTCCCGAACCTCTGCTCAATTTGTGTATCCCCAGGTTCGGCACGCCGGACCCCCTGGTAGAGCTCGCCCTCGACGAGGAGCGCCACATTCTGTACGGACGCACGCAGGCGTCGCGCGTCCAGGTGTTCGATATCGGCCGGGACGGCCGAAGCGCCCCCAACAAAGTGGCCGAGGACGCAACCATCGGGGAGAGGGGCCTGGGAGGAGACGGGGGCGCGCGCGGCAGGTTGGGCGCAAAGAGGGCGATCGTGAGCATTGCGACGGTGACAACGGCAGAGTCGCAGAGGATTCAGCTGGTGGCGACAGCGATTGATGGAAGGAGGATTTACCTGAGTACGGTGCCGGCGGCCAGGGTGGGAGCTGAAACTTCGCAGCAGGTGTGTACGGATCTGGGGCACTGGATCCTGGGTCCTTGTATCAGCTGCATGCTGGTTTTGGCGGTTGTACAAGAGTGAAGGGCGTTGATTTGAGAAACTTGTCTGCTTTTGACCTGGAAACTTCCAATTCCGCAATAAAACAGAAGCGTCAGCAATTCCGGAACTCGCACAGCCTCGCTGGTACACCTCCCCCGACAGCAATCCGTCTCCTTGGCTTCTGAAACACCCCACCCGTCCCCTTTGCGTGCCTTCAGGACGGTCGGCCGTCCACGCTGTCAGTCGTGACCACCCGGCAGGGCCCTCCCGCTCCGCCCGGCCCCGGTCTCGGTTTCACGGGCCAGTCTACGAGTGGCGTCAAGGCCGAAGCCGCGCACTACTCCAGCGGGCTCTTCCTCCTCTCCGACGCGTCCCAGGAGGACTCGTCTCGCCTGATCATCTGCACCCGCGACAACACAATCTCGTCCCAGGGGGGGGGGTTCGCGTACCCCCGCACCCCGGGGGGATTGCGCGAAGTGTTGAGTGTCCTTCCGGTAGAGGGGCGCACGCTTGCGACGGCCGACGAGCTTCCTCCCCCGGAAGTCGTGTCCATTCTGGAAGCGGGGGGCTTGGTGAACGGGACTTCTACCCCCCGGGTCGGTGAGCTGACGCGCGCACGGCGGCTGTGGGCCGGGGGTGAGCTGGCGACGCAGCACGTGTTGCCGCGGCGGAAGGCGGTGGTGGTTAGCTCGACCGGGACGCTGCGGTTAGTGGTTAACCGGCCAGTGGACGTGCTGCGGCGGCTGCTGGAGGGGCAGAGCGCTTATACCACCCTTCGGGAGTTCTTCGTGCGGTATGGCACGGGGGAAGCGGCTGCGATGTGTTTGTTGCTCGCGGCTGGGCTTGCTGGGGATGGAGAGACGCCAGCGCCAGCAGGTGAGCGGGAAGTTGGCGGAAATTGAATCAGTGGAACTTAGCAGAGTTTGACAGGCGGTGTCCTTAGACCCTTGTGGCTGCGATGCTGGGGATTGGGCTGATGCGCCATTTGCCTCGAAAAAGCCGGCCGCTTTGTAACGGGAACATGTGATGCGACACATGCGCCACTTGCGCGTGCCGCGCCAGCCAGACCGAATGCTCGTTCTGTTCCCTTTTTCCCCTCGTAGAGCAACATTCTGAAGAGCCGATCCCACAAGCGAGCTTGCCTTTAGGTGTCGTTTCGCCACCTACACAAACCGTTATATCATCTCTGCCTAATCCTTTATTGTTGACGATGATCCAGCCGTTGCTGAGCGCGCGGCGGAGGCATTTGAGGACCCGAACCTAGTGGACGTGCCAAAGGTGAAGGAAGACGGGCTCGGAACAAGCGGCGGCGGCGGGGGCAGTTCGTTCGACATGGGCCGTGCGATTTCCGAGCCTGTGCTGCAGTTCTCAGCGGCGTACGAGGGGCTGTGCCTGGTGTCGGCGCGCTTGTTGAAGCCCGTGTGGCGACAACCCGTGGTCGTAGATCGAGGTGAGCGGGGAGCACGCTTTGTTTGGGAATTTCAATTCGTCTTCCTGGTCCAAGAGTATGGCGCTGGGGACTTTCGAGTGGTTGGAAGTTCATTCAAATGAGATTTCGAGGCGAGGGGTGATTGCGAAGGAGATTCTGGAGCTAGGGATTCGAAATGTGGTTCATGGTCTCTAACGTTGTGAACGTCGCTGGAATTGTCGTCACTGCGATCCAACTCGAGCATGACGCCTTTACTGACATGTGTAAAGCCCATACGGTTGGTTTTTGCTTAAAGACAAGAAAAGACTGCGTTCAACGGAGAAATAGTTTCCGACTCTTCAGTAACGAAAAGACTTCCAAATAACCAGTCGCATCCAGAAGTCTCTTAACTTGGGTCAGGCCTCTCTGCCCCAGAGCCGTCCGCCAGAGCTTTCGTGTCTCCCGTTCCCGGCATGCCTTCCTGCAACGCCTAGACACCTTCGTTTACCATACTTTGACGTCTCATTACTCGCAATTGCATTCCATTCCACAGGCGGAATCATCGCTTCCCGCCTCCCGCCGGCCGCCCTGCACGCCCTCGAGAGCAAAATCCGCTCCTTGGAGCAGTTCCTGCGCAGCCGGCGCAACCACCGCAGGGGGTTCTACGCGCGGGTCGCGGGCGGCCCCCACCGCACGGGATACGGGCCCAGCAGCCCCTTAGTGGGGCAAGCGCTCAACTTCGACGGCGTCGGTCCGAGCGGTTCGGGGGTGATGGCCTGGGAGCCAACTCCAGCCAGGGGGGCCGCGGGCGGGGTACCGAAGCGCCCGAGGATGGCGTACAGCCAGGGGGATCTGGCGGCGATGGAGGTGAGGCAAGCTGGGGGGTCCCATGAGCATCTAGCGAGCGTACAGTGTCGGGGTTGACCTGCAGAGTTGCTTTGCTTTGCTGCTTTCAATCACCCCTTCTTACAGCCTGGCCTTGAGGATCAATCACCTTCGGTCGCAACCAGAACGATTTAGCGAGATCATAAAGTAAGAGAAATGCTTTCCTTTCTGAGAGGGAAAGTACAAACTCAAAGGAACACAGAGACACGCAAGGCGAATGACAAACACGAAAGAGGGAACGGGCAGGCCAATTTGAATCGTAGAACTTTAGAGATCGGAATAGTTGGGAAATGCATAATCGGCGGGCCCTCGTTCCAGGTGCGCGCGATGGAGTGCATGCGGCGGCTGCTGCGGCGCAGCGCGGAGGCGCTCCTGCTGCTGCGCCTGCTGGCGGAGCACAACCTGGCGCGCCTCTTGCAGAGCCTGCGCGAGGACGACCGCAAGGCGCTTGCGCAGCTCTCGTTCCAGCAGCTCGTATGCACGCCCGAGGGGGACCGCCTCGCGACGCAGCTCATTGCCGCGCTGATGCACTACTACGTGTCGGGGGTCGCGGGAGGGGGCGGGGTCGTGGAGGAACTGAGCGCGCAGCTGCGGTAAGTCGTTATTGGGTGTCGCTGACAACCTGTTGAGTCGCTGCTGTGTGCTGCGTGCAGCGTGGTCAAGGCAGTTGGAGATAGAGCAAGGGCAAACCGCTGCTAACAAAGCGGAGACCCCACTTCTAGATGATGCAGAGGAGATTGTTCACTTGAGATTCCAGTGGAAGCGGCCGAGGGAGAAGACGAGAAGAGGTCAAGTTCAGAGGGAGGACGAGAGGAGCCCGGGAATTTTCTCTGATGGAGAAAATTGCAGACAAATATTTTATGATCTAGTTCTGTCCTTTGAAACAACTTGGTGTAGCCTGCTTGATTGACGGGTTTGTCGGTCCTTGTTGTTGGCAAAATAGCGTTTTCAGAAGCAATGCAGCTGGAGACCACCATTCCTGCTCTCGTGTCTTCCTTGCTCTTCTCCAACTACTAATCGACGCTAAGACGTGCAGCCTTGGCCTGCTTTGCGATAAATGGCATCACTCCCCGCTCACTGCAGGCAAGGGTGCCCCAGCTACTTCAACGAGGCGGACCGCGTGTTCTACCAGGCGGTGGAGAACCTGCAGCGCGCGGCTGGGACGGGCGACCCCGTGGAGCAGCGCGCAGTGGCGCAGGACGCCCTCCGCCAGCTGGCGCAGGTCCCCGACACGCTGGACCTCGCGCCCGTCTGCAGACGCTTCGAGGCGCTCAGGTGGGGGAATTGAGGAGCTCGATAAAGCTCCCCTAGCAATGGGTTTTGAGATTGCCTTGGTTCCGCGTGACCGCCGCGGCTCAACTTTTCTGCTCTGCATCTGCGCCGCCCAAAAAGGTCTTAATAAACTCGTCCGTTACATTGACTGTAAGGCCGAAACTAATACAAGAACTGAGTAGCATACCGTTGGGTATCGATTTCTGAAGGTATAGGAATCGTTTGATCTAGAACGTGACACTAATTGTTGCTTGTGTCGACTACGAAGAAAGTTCTCGAGCACTTTTTCAAAGCACTGCCGCTGCCGGTGCTCTGCTTCTCTATACGTTGCATGCTTGGCCACAACCTCTCCCGACGGGATTGAGATCTGACGTCTCGCCCTATACGCGCACCGCAGGTTCTACGAGGGCGTCGTCGAGCTGCCGCTTCGGAAAGCGCAGGCCGTCGACCCCGCGGGCGATGCGACAAATGAGCGCATCGATCCCGAGCGGCGCACCATCGCGGTTCAGGCACGAGACGCCTGCTACCAAGTCGTAACGGACGTTTTGAAAACCGTGGTCTCCGGGAAGCCGGAGTTCGCCGCTCTGGGGGGGCGCGGGCGGCCCCAGATGCTGCCCCCTGCGACGAGGAAGGAGGACGCACGGGCGCTTGTGGGGCTGGCGATGCGGCAAGGAGACCGGCTATTCCACGAGAGGATATATCAGGTGAGACTGAGGGGGGCGTTTGCTGGTAAAGGAGAGGCGAAATCGTCTGAGTTGTACCCAAAAGCGGCCGTGCCAACTTGCGGCTTTGCGGATCAGTGGATTTCGACATCTTAGGTCTAAGGAATTAGGGCTAGGGAGTTTCGGAGAAAGTGCTCAAAAACGAAAAACTGCTCAGATCTTCAGTAACCTGTTCCTTTCTCCCCAGGCGCTGATGGACCTGGGCATGGAGCAGGAGCTGCTGGAGCTGGCTGCGCCCGACCTGGAGATGTTCCTCCGTGCGGCTGGGGGATACAGGGCCGCCAGGACGGGACCACGCTCCGGGGGCGCGCAGGTACGCGTTGCTCGTCTATGACGCAAAACCGAGTCCTGCCCGAAAGCTGCGAACGTGTCAGAACCGGAGCGGAGAACAGCTTGCTCTTTTGGCCGTTCCTCGATCTGGATACGCAGCGGGATCGCTGAGAGGACGTAGCAGAACCAGCTGTGCGGTGGTCAAATTAACTTGGATCGCTTATTACCCGTAGGTTTGTTGTGAGGCTGACGCGTGGTCGACACCTCTGACACTCACTGTTGATCCTAGCCGCTGAGCTCACATCGCCGTGTCCTCGTCAATTGACGTATCCTGGTCGTGTTGTTTGGCCCCTTCCTCTTACCTGCCTTCTAAAGAGAAGGCGCGCCCTGCTGACGTCCTCGACATCTTCCCCAGGACCCCTCCGCTGGCGCCGCCCGCCAGCCCATCACGTCCGGCCAGGCGCGCTACTTGGAGCTCCTCTCCCGTTACTACGTGCACAAGCGCCACTTCGCAGCGGCCGCCCACGTGAACTTGCGGCTCGCCGAGCGCCGTCAGCCCGAGGGGGAGACGTTAGCGATAACCCTGCAAGACCGCGAGAATAATCTGAGCTCAGCGGTGCTCCAGGCGAAGAGCCAGCGGCAGGCGCCGATCGGGGGGGGCACAGCGGAAACCGCGAATCTCCTGAATTTGTTGGAGGATAAGCTGACGGTGCTCCGGTTTCAGCGGCGGATCTACGAGGAGTTGAGAATGGTGGCGGAGGGTCCGATGCCGGAAGGGGAGGATAACCCGGACCGGGTTAGGGTGACCGAGGCGGGGCGCCGCGCGGAGGAACTAGGCGCGGAGCTCAAGAACGTGACGCAGCTGTATAACGACTACGCGGTGCCGTTCCAGCTGTGGGAGACCAGCCTGGAGATCCTGCACTTCTCTAGTTACGACGGAGACTCGGGGGTGCTGGCGCGTATGTGGGAACGGTTGATCGCACAGGGACTGGAGGCTGGGGGGATTGGGGAGGCGGCGACTCGGGTGCGGAGAGTTGGGGGGCGGCTGCGGGGGGGGGGCGGAAGGGGCCCAACGGTCCCCCTGGAGGAAGTGGCGATGCTGCTGGAGACGGCGGCCCACGAGCGGTCGCAACAGGGGCAGGAGATGGTGCGTTTGTGCGCAGCACCGTGCAGAATGAATGTGTTTGTCGCTTTCTCACATAGGATTGGTGTACGAGTTTGTTCTGCACTCAAAACAGTCTACATTTAATGAATCATTTGTTATTACCGAAAAGAGAACGAGTTTGTTCTGCACTCAAAACAGTCTACGTTTAATGAATCATTTGTTATCACCAAAAAGAGATCTCTTTGTGAGGCGGCCACCGAGCATGACAAAACAGGTTGTTGACCGACAAAGGAGCGACTCCTTGACCATCTGCTTTTCAAACCAAAGCACAGCAGTTAACACGGATTTGCATCACCGGGACGATGGAAGAACGGTCCCTCACCGCTGACTCGCGGACTTTCTATCAGGTGCGGGACGACGAGGTGCCGCGCGCTCTCCTCGGTTCTTCCCCGGGCAACCCCGAGCCCGTCTACCGGGCGTACGAGCGGCTGCTGGCGCGGCACGGGCCGGCCCTGGGGCAACAACCCGAGCTCAAGCTGCGGCTGCTGACGTCAGTGCTGGTGGTGCTGCGCGAGTGGGCGTCGGCCAGCCAGGCGAATGTGGGGACGGCGGAGGTGTCGGCAAAGAAGGCGCGCGGGATCATTAGCAGTGCGTGCAACAGGTGGGGCGGTCGTCCGCACGGAGTTCGAGTTTCAAGTTTGGGAGTTTTCGAGCTGGCACAATCTCTGTGCGGGCTGCCGTAAAAAGAGTTCATTTCATTTTGTTGTGCCAGCGCTTGAATGAGAACGCTGGTGACAAAGGGATTCCGGCCCTCTATGCTGTCTGAGATGACGATGACCCAAAATTGCGGCACTTGAGGCAGCGACGACTGAGCAGGTTCGAATCCCTTCAGCAGAGACGATGCTTGCGAATCCATGGCCGTGTTCACGGAAGGTTCAGTGCTGCAAGGCCCTGTGTGCCCTTCATTGTGTTTCTCACCTCTTTAAGCCTCGTGACTGACAATTTTATCCATGCAGGTTCCGAGTCGAGCTGCAAAGGGTGAGTGGGCAGCCGGAGGAGAAAGAGGCGGTGGCTCGGGGCTTCAAGGAGCTCAGCGACTCCCTGGAAACGGAGCTGCCTGACTACCGGTTGCAGTTCTGAGGGGGGCTGTCCAGCAAGGAAGGGGTTTGGTGCAGACCTGATCTGACGTTCAGAGGTTTTGGAACCCTCGATTTTCGGGAAGTGGGACCACTTCTATCTTCGGGGACGGCGCTGGCTTTACGGCACTTTCGGCACAGAACCTTTGATTCCTACAAAACGGGTGGCTGCTTGCTGATGTGGTCTCCCGCACGTGCAAGACTCATGTGCGAGTTTCAGCATGAGGGGCTACTTGCGATTGGTCCTTATCTTACCAGTCTGGTCGACTCGACCTTCAGCGTACCCACAGTCTTGGCATGTGCTGTTTCCAATGGCACTCTCAACGCTGCACCTCTGTCACTCCGTCTGATCGGAATTGACCAAGCGCTAGATATGCTGCACAATGTGGTGCCGCCAGCATGCGGTGCATGTATGTACCAAACTGTTATCGAGCGGACATTTAATTTGACGAGCACACCCGATCAGTATATCATGCAGGGATCTGAGTCGCAACAGCAAGTTCTAACGTACCATTCAAAATTTCCGTTCGCGGCAGAAGTTCCTACTCACTGAGTGTGTTGCATATGCCGCCCTGGATCGGAGCATAACCTAGCAATCATGTGATATACGTGCGATACCGTACATTTGTACTGGCAGGCCGCGCAGGCTCGCTTTTGCTTAATGCGAGTCAGATCCTGCACCCAACGTACGGTATCTTCGACATCTGCTATATACTGCATAAGCTGCATGTGGAGCTCTAATATGCAAGATCTGAGTTGATCCAATGTAGCATCCATTGCAGCGCGGCCGCGCGGCCAATTCCGCAGTGAACAAGTTACTATACAATATATGACCCGGTATTCGATGCATGCCACATGTAGCTAGCTGATTGCTTGCGTGTCGGTCGCGGCTGTCTAGGACAGGGCCGGCCCAATGATGGATGCAGCTCGCAACGAACCTGCTTCTAACACCTGGCCGGCCAGGTGTTAGACCAGGTGTTAGGCCGTAATTAAATCGCACTTCATGCGATACTTCTCCAGCCTGCAGCTATAGAGGCCCAGTGGACATCCTCAGTAGGTACCGGAACCTGCCCCGTGTGACGGCCGCCGGCGTCTAAAACAAGTCGGCTTACTTCTTAAATGCAGTTTGATCGATCCTGATTGTTGTTCGGCGTTCATGCGCCATGCGCCTGTATGCGAAAGCGCTCATTGATATGAAGTGACCATCCAGGACAACACGTCAAAGGGAGCTGTCTCCCAGCAGCAGCCAGTGTAAAGCTGTTCATATGGTCGATACAGTGTGGCTGTGTGATCCTTACACATGGTGGTCTTGCCACATAAGCTGCCAAAATCCAAATCTAAACAGTGATGTCGAGAAACCATCATTACCATCCTGGCTCTGATGTTTAACGGAACCTTCCCTTTTGTTTTATCTACATGCTGACCTAACGGACGAGTTCCCAGAGCCGATGACAAATCACAACACATTGCCACGCTGTTGCTGAGCTCGTATCCGTGACAAAGTCCGAAACACGGGCGACTGTTATGCCAGGTTTCTATCCGCCCATGACACAATTCTGCCTCGACGGGCTGTGGCCTCTCACTGAACAAGAATGGTTTGCAACCACCGGTTGACGAAGCGTCCTCCCAGTCTAGTGCTAGCTCTTAGCCTGCAGCAGAACAGCGTATCAGTGTTTTAAAATACGTATTAGGATTCTGTAGAATGTCTTACACACTGGCGCTCTCGTTATGGACGCAAGATGCATTCAGAGCCGGAATGTCTGGCCGCTGGTAGCACCGGTCAAGAGTGCACGCATCCTTCGAACCGAAGTTGCGTCCATCGAACCGAAGTGAGAATGATGAATTGCTATCTCCAAGCCCTGTTGCACCAACCAACTGACTGGATACCTACGTCAACAAGATTCTCTTGACAGACGACAGCCCAAAGTCAAAGTCGGAGGAAAGAAACCATTGCCATAACTACGAAGCATCGGCAAGCATCTGAGAACACCAAGCTAAGTCAATGGACGGGAACAACAGGTAGAGAGAAAGCGCGCGAAGATGGGCGCGCGGTTCTCACGTTCTCATCCCCGCTCTCGACCGTCTCCTGCGGCTCCTTGAGGCATGCGTCGCACATGAACACGTCCAGCTTCTTCACAGCGCTCTTGGTCAACCCCACGCACTTTAGGTGGTACCTGCAAAGCACACCAACGGATTCTTGCAACGGATTGCTTCCCCCTGTGCATAGAACAGCGCCGTTAAAGACCGATAAAGCTACGGCGCTCTTTGAGGAACGAAGCAATCTTACGTAAATCAACGCAGGGCATAGAACGATTTTAGCGTGCTTGGCTGCAAATTCACGGTTCACTCTCCAAAAGCCGAGTGGCAAAGTAGCTGGTATGAAGAAGAACTGCCCTCTGGCAGCATTTCGGAACATCAATCCTGGACGAGACGTGCACGATAAGAAGACTGAGCACCTAACAACCAAGAAAGCGACATCAAAACCTTCGCAGCGCGCCTTTTTGACCGGAAATGCACTCGAAAAACCTGGCAGCGCCGTTTTCGGAGCGAGACGACACCCCGCATAACTGTAGGGCCGCTTTGGAAACCGACTTGCCGACTTGGAACAGCATGCATCAGCAACGAACAGCTTTCCCTGTACACGTGGTCAGTCCCCAATCGAAAGGAAGAGTCACCAATCCTACGCTCTTTAAAAGCCCTTAAAACATTTGGAGCACTTTTTAACTTTTGCATCCCAAGTCCAACAGCAAACAAGTATGGACTCAGTACGTTGAACGAGCACCCTCTCACCAGTCACGACACTTCTCGCACTGGACCATAGGGTCGTCCGGGTTGTAGGGCATTTCGCAGGTGCAGTACCTGCAAACCCGGAGCTAGCCGTATTCAGTCGCACAAAGGCAAAGTGTGCTTCAATGGCTTACAATGAGATTTGGGCTTGCGAATTCTGACCCCTCAAAAGGCCACAACCGAGACCAATCGACAGCAGCAAATTAGAGGAGAAGCAACGCTTACGCTTCTGCCGTCTTGAACATAACGACTTCGACGGCTTTGATGTACGCTAACCACCCCAAAAAGCACAACGAAAACAACTTGTGTTTCGGTGCCTTTCAAGAGACGAATTTCGAGACCTTTTTGCACCGAGGTGTGACCGCTGAACACTTCAGACGAAGAAAACGAAAGGGCCTCTCACGACACTTCTTGATGACTGTACTTGGTTGGCGTTCAAAGTATCCGGTATGTCCTAGACTGGAGACGGCGAAAGTCCCGGAGATGCGATGAAGTCGGAAATTTTGGGTGCCTTACACGGCGACTTTGTCGGGCATGAAGGACCCCGTCTTGGCCTTGTACTCGAAGCGGCAGTAGAAGTCGTCCTCGCCCAGGTCCTCCATTTGGATGTACTTCTTGAAGCCGTGCACGCGGCACTTGCCCATGATGGCCTCCGCCCACACCTCGTCGTAGTGGTCCGACAAAAACAGCTCCGCCTTCCCGTGAAACTGCGCGAGAAGGAGCGGGGTTTGGTGGTTGGGACGGACATTGCAAGCGTTCCATGTTTTTGGCGTACGTTTTGCTGGTTTGCGTGACAAGCCTACGGAACCACAGAAGCACAAGTGCGATGGCTGCGTTAAAGGGTTCGACTGACTTGGTTGAGCATCAGTCTGCCCGTATGCTTTTGCTTGGATACAGTGTTTCGTTCTTTTCAGAGCCGAACATAACCTTCTACTTGTGAGGAAAGACATAGCCAGATTGTTTTGACAGGATGCCTCTCCATTGCCAAACCAAGGAAGTTGCTCATTGGAGATTTCGCAGAACACTACCCCCCAGTGCAACCCTTGGATAAGCAGTCTGTGCATGGAAAATCGAAACACTGAGTCGCTTGTATCGCAATCAGACTCATCCCCCATTTTGCACCTTGAAAACGCAATTTCTCGAGAGCCTGAGCTCAATTTCGACACCATGAATAGGTCCACTACTGTCAGGATGGAATCTACTCACGGCTCGCCGTCCCCCTTTTGCTTCACTCGGCCTGTAGTACCACCGCGCCTTGATCTTCTCCTGCTTCTTGCCCTCGCCGACCGTAAACAACTTTTCTACCTTGCCGATGTACGGCAGCTCTCCCGCCTCGGGACGCATGATCACGCAATCACCCACTGCAGCACAAAAAGGAGACAGGCACTCATTGACGCGCCACGAAAGGAAGTATTTGACTTAAAAGACAGATCGTTTGGGGGAAAGCGCGGCGACACCTCGTTTGCCAACACAACGGATGCATGTTGTTGCCATGGAGTGGGTGTAGGCGAAACGCTGGCGGTATCAACGAAGCGTGATGAGAGCAGAAACTAGGCAGATGAGCACTGTGCATTGGATCTGACTCTGGGCTTCCTTGCCGTCCGATCTAAATGCACTCGCGAGTGCAGACGCCCACTTTAAAAGCACGAGACCTGGCTTCCAATCCAAGCTTTAATCAACTTCAAGGAACTCAGGACCAGGAGGGGGCCTATCCCTGAATCTCCTTTCGCTGTAATGAGGCCCCACTGTCCACTGCTGACTCACGCAACGCCAGGAAAAGTCTGCAGCTGCGTCAGCGCAGTCTCAACCCAACTGAGACATGAAGCAACGACCCACTCAAGAAGTGGAAGACGGGTAAACATCACAAAATTCGGCAGGCGGGGTCCCAAGTTGGTGCATTGAGTAAGTGCCAGTGAATCAGTTTACGGCTCTGCGCAATCTGGAACTCTGCGGGTACTTACCTTTCACAGTACTGTCCTCCCCCTCCTGCCCCTTGATGTGGTACTCAGGGACGTCCTTGTACTCCTTTTGTTTCTTGCCCCCCATGCCTTTTCCCCCTTGAGGCCCCTGCCAACCAATCACAGCGTCCCCTTCAGCGCTCTGATGTAGGGCACGAGCTAGGGCTTCTGCGTTTCTGGTTCTGAGAAGGACACCTGCAACTCAGACATTGAAACAAGCCTTTTGGAATTTGGGGAGAGGGTATTGTGTACAGCAGCGCGCTCAATCTTCGGACGGCATCTTGTTGCCATGCAGCTTCGGCTGGCCGTTGGAGTCAACAATTGCTCAACCGGACTCCGTGAATTGTGATCGAGTCCCCATAGTGCATAACTCGCTGGCAGTCCCTGGATGCGTTGCAACGAGCCACTGTGCCGCGATGGCGAGAACGAGGTTGTCAAGGCGGACGCATTGGTTCCTCTGTCTCTTCAACTAACTTAGGGTTTCCTGAGGACTTTAAGGTTTCCAAGGGTCAAGGATGTCGTGAGCGCAACCTGGACGATGTTGCGGACAACAAAAAGGCGGGGAAACATAGTCTGGTCGCGTGCAAAACTGCACACAATTCATGCGCTCAGGTCGAGGTGCATCCTAATGCAATTGCAAAGCAAAAATTGACAAACCTTGTCGAAGCAGAGAGAACTCCTGCCCACAGCAAGTTCGTCAAACAAGGACAACCAGTTCATCGTCGGACTTTCTCACCTCAGTCGTTGCAAAGCCTTTCTTCCGCCCAAGCAAGCGAGACCGCTGTTCACCCTCACTCCTCAAGCCACATAAGTTTCCAGCTTTGCACCAGCTTTGCCCTGTGCGTTCGTTCCTGAGGTTCCTACTGCAGCTAGCTACATAGGCGAAGGGGCAAACGGCCACACATGCGCTCACAATCCTGAGTCTGATGCTGAGGACTGCAATCTTTGCCTCAGTCTGCCTGACTTGCACTGTGCAACTTGAACTTGAACTTGAAGGCCCAGTAAATTAGGAGCTTAACCTGGAGGATGATCCCGCACAATCGAACGGCTTATGGCGCTCAGGCACACTCATCGAACGCCGTATACAACCCTCTGCATCATCCCGCCTTTTTCCTGCCGTCGATGAGCGATCTGGCCGCCCGGATTCTCAAGCCTTGAAGAGTCTTTGCTGGGAGGCCATTGCCATTGCAAATTGGTTCTTCGACTTGTTCAGTTCTTACTGATGTCATAAGAAGTCGTTCAGTTGCTTAGCCTTCAGGAAGCGCTTCCAACTTGGGTGAGCGAATGCAAAGGATTCAGGACTGCATATCAGCACGCGATTGACCTCTTGAATCCAGGTCCAGGTCAGGGCTTCAGAAACATTTTAGGCAGAGGTTCAATCGAGTGGGCCACAGAGAAGGCGTCTGACATGACGGGCGCGCACTGCACCCTCCATTTCCGGGCTCCAGCACTTGCGGTGCCGTTTGCACAACAGCCCTCACCCCTGTCGAAATGCCACCCCTGGAGCGGAGGAGCATTACCAGCATTTGGGAGTGGACGCGATTTCTATTTCTCAGCTGCGTCTTCACCACTTCTTGGTGCACCAATCCACGAGAATTGCAACCCTTCAGAACAAGGAATGCCGAGGCGGCGTTTATTCGCCCTGAAAGTAAGTGCGGTGCAAACAGTTGAAAAGGGCGGGGAGGGCAGTGCAGGAAAACCGCGACGGACGGTGTGGAAGCGCCCGGGGGAAGACAAGCAGCAAGGAGTGCGGCGCCCGGGTCCGGTCGGCCGGCCGAGCAAACTTGCAGAGAGGAGGCGCGTCAGTCCGCTGAACCCCCAGCAGCAATCGGCGGTCAACACGCTGCTGAGGAACTTTAGGGCCTGGCCGCTGGATGCGGACTGGGACCAGTTGCTGGCGTCCGCTCGGCTGCCGGCCGAGCATGTCGACGAGGATGTCCTGCAGAACCTTTTCCGTGTCTTGCCCTGGTACAAGTCGGGCAAGTCTCCCAAATCCAGCCCTGACAATTCGGCGAGTCTTGACAACTCAGCAGGGGAGGCGAAACCTAGCCCTGACAGCTCGGCGAGTCTTGACAACTCGGCGGGGGAGGCGGAAAGCGGGGAAGAAGACGGGGGAGGAAGGAAAGCGCATTCGGCGGGAGACGCTCTGCGCATGCTGAGCCTGTATCGCTGGTGGCAGGGGAAAAACCCCGAGCGCTTCTCGGGGCCCCTTGCGCTCCAGCTGGTGGTGTGCCTCTCGAAAGCGGAGCTTTTGGAAGAGGCTGCGAGCTTCGGGGACTCGCTGAAAGAGAAACTGTCGGAGCACTCCGAGTCCATTGACACGTCGACACTGACGAATCTGTACTACCGGATCGGGGCGTACGAGGACGCCATCCGCGTATACAACGAGGCGCGAGAGACGGAGAAGCCGGTCGAGGCACGGTGCTCGGTCGTGACGCTCCTCTCGATGGAGGAGCTGGGCTACCCGGGCGAGAAGCTGTTTGCCGTCTTCAAGGCTGAGAAAGACAAGGCTGCGTTTCGCCACAAGAGCCTTAACGCGATGCTGACAAAGGGAGTCACTTTGGAGGACATCAAAATGTCGCAGGAGGACGGGAAGATTCCAGAGGGCCTGATCAGCCGCCTGATCACCGCTCTGTGCGAGCTGGGGCGGCGAGACGAGGCGTGCGCGCTCGTGCGTCCGTTCCTGGAACCCGGTGCTCCCCTCTTGACTATTTCCATCCTCGTCAGTGTGATAACGTCGCTGGAGAACATGGGGCTGATCGAGGAGGCGCAGCAGCTGATGGACCGCCACGTGGCGGGCGGGGTGGATATGGGGAAGGCGCTGAGCTATAGAATGGCCCGGGTGCCGACGAATGCCGCGGCCGCGCTGGTGTACCGGTCGTTGATGCGCTTCGAAGGGTCCCACCGCAACAACTTCCACACGCACGTTCTGGCAATCAGCAAGTTTGCGAACCTGCGGGACGCGGATGGGGTCTGGGAGGTACGCGCTGTGGTGTTTCGTCTCGTTGTCGAATGTGCGAATATGGTCGTTGCCTTGTTTCTCTCCGGTATCCCGAGCACTGAAGTCAGAGTCACCAGACAGTAGGGAACCTGCATCAAAAACTTATTTACACCCGGGGTTGGCAGGTGAGCTATCGTTTTGCTCCGTGCTTGACCAAAGGTTCAATCTTACTTCTGGCACAATCTTGTCGACAGGCCTGTGAATACTGCGTATTCAAGAATTGGTCACGGAAAGTGATGACGTAATATGCCCCGCTCTGCTGTGGCCGATTTTTTGGGCGGATCTGCACGGGTGCTTCATGACCACCGTCTATAGAAGCTCTTCTAACACTGATTATGTCTACAGCGAGCTCGAATTGAGGAGAACCACAGACGCAGCCTGCTAACTTTGCAAACGAAATTCTCACCATTGTATGCCTAATCTCAGCCTAACGCCAGAATCAAGATTCCAGTTAGTAACCCCGTCGAGTTTATGAAGGAGCTTAATGGGAATGGATTACCTAGCCACCTGAGAGGGGTGACATTCTCTACGGGGTTTGTGTCCGTACGGATGCAAAGCGCATAGGTTCTCTTTCTGCATTTATACTCAAAAGTCTTGTCGTTACCCTTCGTTGGATTCCCCTTCGTCGAACTGAGTTTACACTCCCAATACCACGAACCGCTCAAACCTCCGCAGGCGTACGAGGCGGCCAAGGAGGCTCGCGCGAGCAAGGAGAACCAGAGACCCGCTGCGATCTTTTTGAGCGTCTACGTTGACGTCATTCGGACGTTGGCGACCGCGGGGCGCGAGTTTGCAGCAGAGCAGGTGCTGGCGGACTGTCTGCGCGCGCACCATCAACAAATGTCGCCCAAAGACGTGACGCAGCTGCAAGCGGCATACGTCAGGTACGTTTCTGCAGAACTCACTCTTGGGTACGCATCGAGTGTTGTGTTTGTTTTCTTGGATTGTAGGGTTAGGCGCAGGGGCTGCTTTTTCGACACCGCTTGTTGCCAGAATGTAATGAGAATTGTCTTGATGGTATGGAGACGCTTGGCTGACAGCGGATGTTTACACGATTTGAACGGTCTGGCAGGCGTGCCAATGGAAGGATTCCCTTGCTGTTGAGCATTTGCTGCTTTGGAACCTGTGCAAATATGTTGTGAAACACATACTTTACGTTAATCATTTTTATAGAGTGTCTTTTTCGCTGCTGACCGCTTTTGCAGTGAGGCGGTTCGCAAATGTTGACCCGTTTCGTCAGCTCAATCCGTCATAGAGTCACTCAAATCAGGCAGGCGGCAAATCCAGCAAAACGTCCTTCGCCCGTGTGTTCACATTCCTCTACTCTTCTTTTACCCTTTCCAGCCTGGTTAGGATGTACCTCGCGCAACATAACCCCCAGAAAGTGGTGGACCTGGTGCGGTTAATGGTGTTAACCCAGCACTGGGTTAGCCGGCCGGCCCTGAAAAAGTGGGCGGAGTCGCTGAGGGAGCAAGGGGCGGATGCGGAAGCGGAGCAACTAGAGGTGGAGGGGCTTCAGATGGACGAATATCGGCCGCAGGCCAAGGGGGTGTGGGTGAAGAAAGCGGCGGGAGCAGTTGCGCAAGGGAGCAGCTGATAAGCGCCGGAGAGCTTCGGAAGTGACCAGAGGGTGAGGACGCGTATCGTTTGCGGAATGGAAGGTGTGTTGGTGTGAATACCTGGGATGAGTAGTTCTGGCTGGGTCTATGTTTATGGCGGGGACGATCTGTAAGCACTTGTCAGAACAGCTCATTTGGTGTCTCTTCGCCTTCCGTCGACTGTATCGGAGCTTGTCTTGATTGAGCTAGTGTGCCTGAAGCGATGGATAACGCCCTCTGAGTCGCGGGGGGGCTAGAAGCAGGTCTTTTGAATTGGGAATACAGTGGGCTTCCAGTTGCTGCAAGCGGTCATAATAAACCCCGTTCATTTTGTGTTCGCAGGACAGACAGTCTAGGCGCGCGCCACAAACCCCTCCAAAAAGCACCCGTGAGAAAGCACAAGTGAGAGAAGATCAGCGGTTCTTCTTGAACTGTGCTGGGTTTGGATGGACAGGATAGAGCATGTTGCTCGTGTAGCGCCTATTTGGATGGAGGCCAATTTCCTCCAGCGTCAGGGCTACATTCATCTAAACTTATTGAAGGTTGCACTTGTTTTGACGATGGACGGAACCACTACTTCGAAATCTGCCGCGAATCCCACGATGACGTTCTTGAAGCTTGACCTTGCTTGACCTTGCTTGACCTCAAGCGAGCATGACAATTTTGTGATAAGTGGCCACTAAGATGAGATGGCAGCTCGAATGTTGTATTGCGCCTCAACCATCCACGTGACTCGCCCCATGAGGGTTGAAGTGCGCGGACCGAAATGTTGCATAAGCATGAACGCGGGATCCCTGTGTAAACCGCGAACTGCTTCGCCAGCGTCGTTGTTGATAGTTGAAGGTCGATCCAGTGAAAAAGGAGCAGCAATTATTTTGATTGCTTTTCTATATCCTTCGCTAGCCTAGTAGACCCCCTAGCCAATACGTTGGGCATCCGATCAGGCATGTACGTGGCATCGATATAATGGCGATCTCCAGCTTAGTAGCAGGCTTTTCTCTCGCGGCCAAAAAAGATGGAAGTGACTGGGAGTGATAATAAAAAAGAAGAAGTGAGTGTGAAAGAAAGGAAAGCCTTGAATCTTTGTCTCCCGCATACAAAAAAAAAGCTTTTCGAAAGTACCCCCGCTAGGCTGAAAATTTGAATTTTGCTCAGCACAGCCTAATGGAAATCAGGGCTGAGGTCGGAGATCATGCTTGGCTGCTACTGTTTACCTGAAGTTGCATTGCTTTTTTGGGAGCCAACATATGATTAATGTATACTGGGAAGGCTGATAAGAGCAAGCCTGCCTCGCCATATGTCTTAACCCAAGGAATTTGTGATGACATAGCAGGATCACCTATATAGCTGCATTGCCCTGCAACTTGCTTATAGCTGTTCACAAAGAGCGTCGATGATGCGCCGCTATGAAATTCTGCACTGATAGTGCGCAGTTCGGTTTCAACGTACCGTACCGGCCACAGCTATCGATCGTTCGTGCAAGAACTATATCCGACATCTATACTAGGATCCTAAGCCAGCTGTAAGTTGTCGATTGGTTCGGCCAGATTTTGTACTCTACAGTCTTCGCGATCTTCGGTGATTAGTTCTCGATCATAGGGCCATGACGGAATTAGGGACCTTGAGTGCACATATGCATCGAATCATGTGAGGAGTTTTTACTGGTGCTCGCGAAGCTGTGTATAGATATCCGTATCTAGACATTTAGCCAAGATGTAGGACTTTGGGCAGAAGACTAGCCTAAGTGAGAACTTATCATGAAGATTCTGCATGATAGGTGTATCTCGTCAGCTTAGGTTGTGCAGCCATTTAACGCTACGAACACATAAGTCAGGATTGCCTCTCATTCGGTAGGTAATCGAAATACTTCGTGCTCGAAAACCTTGTAAATGCCGTACCGGTAAAACGGTCGGTCGCGAAATGAAACCATCATGTGAGGATTCAAAAAAAGCGGCACCTTCATGCATGCGCCTGCAGTGACCCGGCCTCGTCCATCTATGCGCGTGTCCGATTGTCCATCACTTAACGAGTCCGTCAGAAATTGCAGCTGAAGCCTGAGAGTTGATCAATATTTTTGATTGGCCGCGGTCATTGGGTGTGTCCGTTATAAACAACCAATTTTTCAGCCCCCCGCATGGCTCGCTGTGCATGCGATTAGTCCTCAATCCTCGTGCAATGTAAGTCTGCGCAACATGCAGGCTTCCGACCTCTTGAACCACAATAGATATAAGAACCAGCCTCGAATCCAACCAGTCAGATTTTTGTGTTGAAGTTTGCATGTCTGCATTGATGGTGCCATTCTTTGCGGTATCTCGAGCGCAATCATCGCCCGGTGCAGCAGTAGGTGCCATCACCGTGAACACAAAAACCGTCAATCTGAAGTTGATTCGAAGTTTACCAATGGAAAGACGGTGATTAGTTAGTCCTGCCTAATGTGCGCTCACAACTCTCTTACAAGATCGTTGAATAGTTCACCTCCGCATGAGGTCTGACTCCGGGAATGTCCGCGAATTATGAAGTCGGTGGTGGTGCTACGATTTACCTGATGTACCTTGGTTGAAGTTCTATGTACGTTTGGTGATAATGATTAAATGATCTAACGCGTGCAGAGATACAAATTCAAACCCTTTTCACATTACCTGATTCAGACCTTACAAAACCAACCATGGGCAATTTCCCAAACCTCCTTTCTACATGCCCATTTGGCACATCCTTCTATGTCACAAGGCGCCCCCCCCCCTTCTCTATAGGTTCCTTTCCTTGGGCTCCAAGTACTTGACCCGCAAAGTCCGGAAGATGTCCCTCTCGGTGTAGCACGGCACCGACTCCGAGCCCCTGCTGACCTGCAGTTGTACAAAAACCGACGGGCTTTGTAAATACAGGTCCATTGGGCCACCTGAATTGCAAGCGATGCTGCTTCCTTGCAAAGCGTTTGGCAGCATCTGACCCAGCAAAGAATCCAAAAGCTCCTGCTCCTTCAGACAAGATGGAAACGAAGAAAGTAAGTTGTCAGGCTCCAAATCAGGCTCCAAAGCCCGGCCCGCTGACCACGCGTTTCTGTTCCATTCTTGAGCCGGGAAGAAACGAGGACGGCAAAAAAGGGTTTGTACACTTGTACGCGACGTTCGAATGCCACGTGGCGCAACCAGACTCCCCGGGCTCTCACCCGCTCCCCCCGGTCGTAGACGGCCGAGTACAGCCCGTGGTCGGTGAGACTGTGCCCCCCGTTTGACGCAATGATCTTCATCCTACACGCAAAAATAGAAAAGAATCAAAAAAGGTGGCGCGGAGCAGGTTTGAACTCACGTTGTGCACGCTATCACCTTCGCGGTAGATTGCCGGGTACATCCCGTGGTCGTTCAGGTGCAACTGCTGCGCGCTCGCGATCAGGCGCAGCCTGCAGGCAACGGCAAGCGCGCGCGCTCTCTCATGACACAATAAACCTTTGATTTAAGGGTTCTCGGTCGTCTAACCTTTCAAACGGCCTGGATCAGATCATTCTTTCTGGCTGCATCCAGGTGCTTGATCTGGGCACCAGATTCAACGGCGCAAGTGACAAGTCTCATCCGCTTCCATGGCTTTGTGGATCGAGAATGAGTGACAATCTTAAGGCGGCAATTGGGCACAATGCCCGCTCATCTCGCTTCTTGCTACATGCTCGCCGAATCCTACACATTCAAAACGAACGCTTTCTTTCTTGGATAGGAAAGAGGAGCACACAAGAACGCAGTGGGTAGTCTATCCAATCACAAAAGAAGGCAGCCTTTCCGAGATTGTGCCTTAAGCGCCGCACCTCCTGTTGAGGACGTCGTTCCCCGTCCACGCCAGCAGGCCGAACGCGTGCTGATCCCGAGGGTACACCTGCATACGTCATCCCCGCGTTACAACCTCGCACACAGAGCCCCACGTATGTTTCGTCCGCATGGAAAGATCCGAGAAACTCAAGCGACTCCAAAGCTGGACCTGGGACGCTTAACGAGTCCACGGGTCCCTTCTGCTTTGAAGGGACTGCCGTGCATGGAATGAGCCGACTCTTGGCTGGCGGATCCGCTCGAAAGTCGTTAATTCGATTATGGATGCAGGCAACAGCAAGCATGTACAACTAGGAGCGGGAACACCTTCGAGCGCACCTTGAAGTCGATCCGGTGGCGGAGCTCCCTGCCGGGGTATTTACACAAGCCGAAGTAGGTGTCCACGCCGTGGTCGCTGTCATCCGCGCTGTGACTGGGCCCCACCAGCAGGTCCTCCGTCACGAAGTCAATCTCCTTCAATCTCGCCACCAGCTTGGGAAGGAGACCTTTGTGGCTGCAACATAGTGGAGCAGAAAAAGTGAAAAGCCAAGCACTTGAGCACAGATCGGAAGAGGCGAATGCTTCTTGCGGACGTGTCGGCCGTCTGGACCCGTTTTTGCTTGCAATCGTACCAAGGTTTTCTGCAATCATATTGCAATTTCAATGTTGGTTCGAAAATTGGCAGAGGAAAAACCGATAGTCACGAATCGAGCGCGGCGGTCCAACAACAGTGGGAAGTAGGCCAGATTCCATGCGATTGGCCGTTCCTAAAGTCGACCTCCGAGAGCTCGATTGCGCTCCTAGCTGCGGGTTCGAAGGGGCGGACTTGCTGGAAATCTGATAAAAGAAATTTGCCTGGGAGGCGCAGGTGGGAAGCTAGCGTAGCTTTGGCTGGGGGCGGGAATGGACGGATGCCTATGCAGCAATACGGTTTACACGACCTCCTTAGGCTTTCCATCATGATGCAGGAGGCGTCGAGAACATGTGCTGGCAGAAAAGTGCTGTGTCACAACGTGACGTCAAACCGCGTCATCGAAGCGTTCTCACTGCGCATCAAAAATTACTCCGAAATCGAATGAGAACACGTTCCACGATGGCAAACTCTGGAAACCACTCACGGAAACACTCTCTGTCGAAAGGCCACGCTAGAGGACTGCTACTAACAGCCAATCAACATCAAACAAGTCATCGCTGAAGCTCTTTGCCGCATCCGAGTTAGGGGGGCCATGCGCGCACACCTGTGGCCGTCGGGGTGTGTTAGGACCATGTCCATATCGCCGCACGTGGCTTTTCCCCGCCGGTACGAACCGCCGCATAGCACTTCGATCCCCGGGCACAGTTCGGTCGCCACGCGCTGTACGAGCGCCTCCATCTCTGCCGCCTGTGGAGAAGAGGAAGTAGGTTGGGGGAACTGTTGAATCGGGGCTGCTCGAAGAGCCGTGCGAGGAGAGGATGGGTTCTGTCAGAAAGCTGGGGAGCTCATGCAGAGCAGGCAAGGAGGCCTAGTGCGAAAGAAAAGATGCTGACGCTGCAACAAGTGTTGAGAGCTGGAAAGAACAGAGGGCACGAGTGGTTCTGTTGGAGCTGGTTGTGTCGGGGAATAGGGGCAGTATGCATCCTACCAATTGGCAGGTTGATCCGGAAACAGGTATAAGTGGACCGCATCATGCTGCCCCGCTCCTTTTGTATGCTTCTGGCGACTACAACTCAGTCTCACCGCTCAGAACGCACCAAGAGACCTTTGCGACAATCCTGTATACCTCGTAATTGAATTCTAAAGCCACGGACCGGGGGAGAATTCCAGTCAATCTCACCTCATGGCGGGGGATCCGCTGCTGGATGTCGTAGAAGAACTTGACCCCCGTCCGCTGCGCCTGGGTCAGGCTGGGCTCCTTCTCGAGCTCCTCAAGTTTTCGGTACCCCATGTCGTATAGCTTACGGGCCGTCACGGGGCCGATGCCCCACACGCTGCCGAACTCAAAGAGCGCGCGCACCATGGGGTCGTTTTTGAGGGCCAACAAACGGGGGGTCGTTCCGGTGCCCAAAATATCCCTCACCTGGGGGTGGGACGAGAAAGAGAAACGTTGAGCAGGTGTTGATGATCAGGGGTTAATTCGCAATCCTACGAGTTGGGTGTGATATTGCAACAGCTCGTTGGGGGTTCAAGCCAGCGAACACAAAGGAAAAGCCAAAGAAAAGCACAGCCGAAGCGGGTGCCTGTTTTGGAAGTACGAAGCACCCTCTTCCCGAGACGAAGGTGTGGTTAAGAACGTTGCGAAAGGTTGGAAGGCAGCAAAGCCACTGCATCTCTCTAACAACGTGTTTGCAAGGTAGTCTTCTGGCTTCGGTTGGCGAGAAAAAGACACTCAGGATCTGACTGGCCGTATGTTCTTAGAAGAGGGTCAAACATGTCGGAACAGAATCTTCCGGCTTTGATTTGTATAAAAGGTGCCCACAACCTGGAAAACGTTATTTGCTAAACGAGAGTCAAATGGACGCCTCACCACGTCCAGAAGGCTCCTCCCGATGGAAGGCAGCCCCTTGAGCTGCTCTGCGCTGGTGACCTTGAACGACAGGTTCTCGACCACCGAAATGGCCTTGTAGTAGCTGAAGGACCGCCGATCATCCCCGAACGCTGCACAATCGGAACTGAGCCCTTTGAGCACCAAGAAGTTTCCAAGAAACATTGCTGTCACCCTTCGCTTCGAAAATTGCACTTTGGTCGACCTTGCCAGCCAACCAAAGCTTGTGAGTGAACATGAGTTGGGACCATATCCTGCACAGTAACTGAAACGAGTGTCCTTCTTCATCCTTCATTCTACAACCCACGGAACTCGGAGTCAAAAATCCTAAATGTGAAAAAACTCAGAAGTCGCATCATCCAAATCGGGCTGTTAGGCGTTTTCAACAATGAAACAACCGAGGGTGCCATCTGGCCATATACGAGACTGCAAGGTGGGTGAAGGTGACACTTCACCAAATTCAACCCGGTTGAGTCTACTCTCCTCCAGACTGGTGGCAAGGACGAGGTAAAACACGGTAAAATGTAACCCTCGACCTGCCCCTAACCAGCCTTCTCTTGCTCAAAGTCGATAGCCTCATCTTGGACACCCGCTTTCTTTTGCAATTCTCCTATCGACCTCATGTTCGTACGTCACTCACCATCCCGGTAGATGTCCTTCAGCTCCCCCAGCACCTTCAGTAACCCCCGGTTAAGCTCCGGGTTCGCCATCCCCGCAGGCGTCTGGTTCTCCCGCAGATCCAGAAAGCCTTCCTCATTAACTTCGACCAACGCCCTTTCTAACCCTCCCTGGGGCTTCCCGCTGTCAGCCCCCTCAATTCTTGCCCGTTTTGCCGCTCGGAGCAGAATTTCGTGATCTTCATCTGAACCCCCCCCGCTATGGGTGGGCTGCTCGGTTGCATTCCCCCTCGGAGGTTCGATCCGCATGACTTCCCGACCGATCGCCTCAGCAGTCGACCCCAAGGGCCGGATCCCCATGGCTTCTTTCTCCTTGGTGACGTCGTTCCTGACCTCCCCCCACTTCTCTAGTTGTTTGTCCCCCCCCCCTGGTCTCCAGTCCCCTTGTAACCCGAACCCCTGCCCCCCTTCCCCCTCTCTTCTTTCCGAACTTTCCCCGCCTTCGTCTTCGGCCCCGACCAGAGCGACTGCCCCACTCTGTTCATTGTCCTCTCGCACCTCTGCCGCTAAGTCTTCTGCCCTCTCATGCGCCTCACGCAAACGCTTCTGCGCAGAGGTGGCGGGTGTTTTCGGAGCAGGGGGTTGCGCGCTAGCCGTGGGCGACTCTAGCAGATTGCCCCCCCGGCTCTGAGCGGTGTCCGGCGATGCCGAGCGGCTGCGAGCTGGGGAACGGCCAGCGGAGCCGGACCGGCTCGAGGAGAAGACGCGGTATGCGTTGGGGGGCAGAAGCTTCCCTTGAGCGAGGCTCTCCTCCAGCCAACCGAACGATACAAGGAACTGTGGGGAATTAAATGGGAGGTGTCAGAGGATCTGGTAATTCAGGAAGATGAAACGGGAGGTAAATGCAGGTGCATTTATCCACAGCCAACGACCACGAGTTCAGTTTACACCCTGCTTGGTCAACGAAAGCTTGTGTAGCACAACTTCAAAACGTCCCTGCCAGGGGCACCCACAACTGTTCCGCTCAAGTCCCCAATCAAAGTTCCATGACCGGTATTTTCGTCAATGACACTTCGGGGCCCACAATTCATGCTTGAAAGAACGCCACAACATGTGACAAGCCGGGGACTTCTCACCAGCGGCGACTCCTCCACCTGCTCCCTGCCATACTGTTTGATCAACCGCTCCGCATCAGCCGCCAGTATGTGCGTCGCCTCCCTTGGAATGCGCTTGCCCGGGTCCAGCACCTGGCCCCCCAGGCCGATCAGCCGCTTCTTCCATATCTGGGATGCAGAGAAAAGTAGGTGGAAAAGTTCTGCAATAAAGTGGGCTGCAGGAGGAACGAACATTGGTGGGGGGAAGGGATAGTGGCGGTGATACGGCAAAGTACGGCCCGAAGTACCCCCCCCCCAGGGGGCCAGCCGCCACCTTGCACAATACGAGCTACTTTGCTCAGTGACCAGTACTGCTTGCTGTCACCATGTCTTCAAGCTAAGGTATACAGGCACGTTACCGGGCTCGGTTTACCTGGCTCCTCCTTGTGCATGCCAGTGAGGCTTTGGGTTTACCATACCTCATGGGGGCAAACTGGCCATCATAAGAGACTCACTGAAAAGACCGTAAAAACCAACATGCTGCAGCTCCAAAGGTTCCGTTCCTTTTTACCAGCGATGTTGAAAGGAGTATTGACCAAAGTGCGGCTCCACAGGGAGGTTCAGAATCTTGTATCTGGCTGTATTGGGTAAAAGAAGAGGGCAACACACTGCATGGGGCTCTCTGCTTATAACGAGCCTGGCGATCTGCGCAGAATAGAAAGACTGGTGCATGCAATGCCGCACTGCGCCAGCTGTCAAGCCCCAACGAGCTGCATCAGACCCCATGATTATGCCTGCAAACAGCTCAAAGTGCCAGAGCGCTGGCCACGAGACGGCCGCAGCATGCGTCCACGGGTGGCCCCACAATGTCGGACTGCAATCTGGTTTCAGCAGGATGAAAATGGTTCATTCAGCAAGTAAGGTCGGCTTTCGACACAGCTGGCTTTGTGCCCACCTCAATTCTTTTGCCGAGGATGCCTCCCTCGACGAAGACCGCTCGGACGCCCTCAAACATGCCATGCCCTGCAGGGGCAGTGAGGGCCTTTGCGGGGCTACCCTGTGCCTTTCGCACCATCCTTCAATGTGAAAGAGGACCGCCATACAGTTTTGCGAGGCTTTTCAGCCGCCAGGAGCTGCCTAAGTTTTGAGCTGGATGACGTGCAATGCCAGCGTACTGACTTTCCAAGAAAAGCCCGTGTCTGCGTCATGCATGGTCTTCGTCTCGCGCGGGTCGGCAGTGGCTAATACTGGTATATCGACGATAGCGAGGGCTTGTAGACCTTTATCGACGGACTGGTCAGACTGGAGAGAAGCGGCGATAACCGGCTAGCTTAGTTATGCGACCTGTTGGAACTTGGCTTGCCCGTGTTATTGGTTTCAGGCGTACCATGATGTTCTCATATTCGATGAGTCATAGTTGATTCAGAAGGTGCATTATAGGGTCGGACATCATACACACTCAATATTTATGCCATGAGAACCCTATCGCCTATGTGGCTACGCGTGTAAAGAGAACATCATGCTGGGTCAATCCCTGCGCCGCCCTGTCTTCAAGTTCGTGTTTGGGCAGCCATCGCTTGGTTAATTATAAGATCCTCAGTCTTTACCTTTCTGAGGCGTAAGCTCATTCCGTCACAATATTCTAAAGACCGCCAGAATGCTGAGGATCATTCGTCGCGCTTCCAAATGTGTATAGAGATTTCTATGTATATGTCTATGACGATGTCGATGTGACAAAGAATGAAGATTGCATACTTGATTACAATGTCAAAAGTCCAAGTTGCCTCCCGGGCAATGGCAGTAGTCAACCATGTAACCGTATACTTCGTTCCATGCGGACACCCTTGGACATACCTCTTGTCCACCTAATGTTTAAGGGCGTGCAACAGCATAAGCTTCGACAATTTGCCTTCCGCTTTGTCATGTCGCCAGCTTCCTTCACGATTTGTCTCTTGCGACTTCCACCTGTCAAGCAAAGAACTTTGTATGTCACCAAAGGCAAGACCCTTCAGCTGGCCCAACTCATTTACGAAGCCCTTCAAATCCCGCCGAGAACCTCTCTCCAGATAAAGCAAGCGTCTCGAAAAAGGCCGGCAGGAATGGGCGACGTGAATTCCCAACTCTTGACGACGTGCGGCCAGAGACGCTCAACAAGATGCCGAACGATGAGCAAAAGCGAAAACGCAAATCATTGACACAAAGCTCGGCATCTGCTCACCGATTCCGACGACGAAATCGTGATTGTCTCCGTCATTCCGCGGCCAAAACTTTTCCGTCGCCCTAGTTGTCGTCAGTAGGCCCAGTTCCCGACCTGCTAACGTGAAGGTTCAACCACAGCCACCTGGCCGCTCGTCTTCCTTTTCTCTCCGCACCTGATGAAGCGAGTCGACTCTGACGTTGTAACTCCCAAGCGGGGCTTTGCCGAGTCGCTCTTGCACGAACCTCTCAGTTGGCAACCGCTCCGTGGCCTCCAGGATGACTCGTGATGCATGCCCTCTTTGGACGAGCAAAGCCACTACTCCACGCGACTCCCTCTGGTACGACTGGCCTCCACGCTCTCAGAAACGGCGCTTCAGCCGTTGTGCGGGACTCCCGGAATGCCGTCATTACTCTTGCCACGTGTCCTCTACCTCCGGCACAGGCTGGTTCCGCACCTCCCCCCTCCCCCCCCGACATACCGCCCGCCTCCTCTCGCACCCCCCCTGCCGCGCGCCCCGCTGTTGCTGAACAACAACCCCCCCTTGTTGAGCACCCGGGTCCCAGTACGTACCGCGCCACCCCCGAAGTCGGACTCGTTGCTGGCACGTGCCTCCTCGTAGTCCAGCACGATCCGCTTGAGCGCCTGCTTCTCCTCCCGTTCCGCGTCGTCCTTTTTGCGGCTGCTGATGGCGAGCCGGCTGCTCGCGGGCACGATCAGCTCGCGCGTCTGCTGCTTGGCGCCGCGCCGGGTCACCAGCCGGAACGCCTTGCCCCCCGCCGGGGCGTCCGCCTCAGGGCCGGCGGTGGTTTCGCCCGGCTTCTGAGAGTGTGGGGAAGAGAAGCGTTGTCATCAGTGAAGCAGTAACAGTCGTCATATTTTTGACAGAGCTTTTTCTGTGCAGCCACCATGGGGCAAAACAACGCAGTACAGATTTGGCTTATGGTAAAGCCGTTTCAGTGACCTGTTGTGACGCCATTGACTGAGTTGCAATCTGAACCATGCCGCGAATCGGAGGCTGCGTCGCCCAAACGCAGCCACTTAATCTCATTACCTTTTCTCACTTCTCTTAATGTCTCTTAACTCGTTAACAAACTTCTTTTCCTTGACTTTTCTTCGACACTTCCTCTCATCGTAGTCATCGAGGAACACGGTGCAAAGACGTCGGGAGTGATACGCGGTCCCGCTTACCTGCGCTCCGATGTTGATGGGCATGGCCAGCTCCAGCGCGGCCCCTTTCCGCACCTCGAACTTGCGCGCCTCCACGCTCTCCTGGACCATCGCGCGCAGCTCCTTGTCAAACTCCGCCTCCTCTTCCGCGCTCACCGCGCGCTGCCGGACGCGCACGTACTCATCCCCCTCGCCCTCGGTGTCCTCTCCCCCGAAACCCGCCCCCGGTTCTTCTTCTGTGTCGCTCGCAGCCTTTCCCTCGTTCTGATCTTCCTTATCTCCCCCGCGCTCACTCTCGCTCCCGTCGTCGCTCTCGCTTTCCTCCCCCTCCCCCCACTCCCCTTTCGTATCGCCCTCCACGATACTGACTGAGCCGTCCGCGATCCGGCTTGCAATGGTCTTTTTGCGGCCTTTGGGGGCCTTCTCGGGCGCACCCGGGGGGATCCCCCGGGCAGCCTCTTCTTCGGCGAGCGTGGCCTCCTGGGCCTCCTGCTGAGTCACCGCTTGGAGGGCCATCTCCAACCGGGGCAGCCGGATCAGCTTGGGTCGCAGAGACGCCAGAGTGTCCTGCGCAGCCGAAATGCTTATGAGAGTACGCTCATACGCATATAGTTTTGCGGAGTGCTTATGATGACTTGTTCATGGGCTGTTGCGGAATGCGGAGCTAACGGAAATGGGAAATCCCTCAGTCCGCTGATTGCTAAGGTGGTGTGTGGGCACTTCGTGCTGAAAGTATCCGTAATTCTGACGGAAAACTTTGCAGAAAGTACCAAGTCTCTAACAACTGCGTGAGCGGACCAAAGCGCCACTTCTTCTGATTGCAATGAAGGAGCTTGGTTGATCACGAAGTGAGGGCTGCAAAGCTCATTGAACGGCAGATAGGTGCAACAGAGCAGATGGGCGGCAAAGTAGCGTCGTATAAAGGCCTAACCCAGACTCATCGCCTTCCAACGTAATTATTCCAGCAAACCTGTCCGATCTGAAAGCGAGCTGGAGCTTGCAACACAAAAAACTCTTTTCAAGAGCTTTTCAGAGGGGCACTGAACATTGTTCTTAAGAGACGACACTGATTTGCGACGGACTGAATTGACCACGTCAAGCCGCATCTGCGCCCCACCTGGAGGTCGAACTCGACGTCGAGCGGGATGGCGGCTTTGGAGAGGAGGTAGCGCTGGAAGTAGAGCAAGAACCGGTCGAGGCGGCGCTTGGCGGCGCCCCGGTCGAAGAACTGGCCGCACGTCTCCAGTAGCGTCAGGACCAGCCGGATGCGAAACACGTCCCCCGGTGGGTCCAGCGCCGCCTCCTGCACACGCGAGGGAAAAGGAGGGACCGGTGAGAACAAAGTTTGGCAGTCGGGGCGCGGGCTGATAAGGTGAGGCGTGACCGCCTTAACGCAGCTCGGGCAAATTGTTGATTGAGAGGTCAACGGCTTTCGCCGAGTCTCGAGCCTTCGACGCGACAAAAATACGGCAACCCAACTGCAGTCTCTCTCAAATTGAAGTGGATTTGAGAACTGGGGCGAAACCCCCACAAAGGAGGATTGACTCCGGTGCTGTCCCAGAAATGGCATCCAACTTTGGACGTTTCTCTTGAAATAGAGCTGACGCGCCGACCGCAGAAGCCTATCTGGAGGGGCAGTCTGGATGAGCGGATCACGCTTGATGCCCTCCACAATCGATGAATTCAGGAATCAAGACCGTACCTGGACCGTGCCGACGCCGTAGTTGAGCATAAGGTAGAGCGTGTCGAAGACGATGGGCGAGTCCACGATGCGGTAGTTGTACAGCTCCCCCAGGAACCGCATCTGCGCCACGCGCCGCTGATGGCGCGCCAGCCCGCCGCCCACGTCCTCCAGGCCCGCGCGGATCTCCTCCAAGATCTGACAAACCAAAGAAGCGGAGTGTTCGTAGGGCTCCATATCTAAAGCGAGCAGTCCGCAGTCGCCAAAATGAACGGTGATGAAAGCGACAAAACGAACAATTTAAGAGCAGGTCTTAAGGGCGTATGTTCGTTGGAGGGGACATTGTGAAAGGAAGAAAGGGGAAGGAGAGTAAGAAGGAAAAAACTCCCAATGGTGGATGTGTGGAAAGCAATTGAGTGGGCCAATGATATCCCTTTTCTCCCCGCCCCACACCAATCGATCTGCATGGCCATTGCACAGCGGAGTGCGGACGAGCAGAATCCTGATTACATTGTCAAAGTAAAAGTTCCAAAACCCTCCACCGGAGCGGCGTAAGTCGGACCCACCTGGTCGACGAGCGTGACGGGCAGGTCGTCGTGAAACTTGGTGAAGCCGGCCGCGAGCGACGCGACGAGGTGGATGTTGGCGTACTGGAGCTTGTGCACGCGGCCCAGCACCTTGGCCACGTAGCCGGAGCACTCCCCCCACGGCAGCTTGCGCAGCTGACGCAGCACGCTCTCGATCGTCGATGCGCTCAGCTGCGTGTAGATCAGCCGTCGGATGTACTGCGGAGGGCGGGGTTGGGGGAAGCGGAATCAGCCGGGTTTCGTGTGCACCGGATGTAGACGCCTGACCGAGCGGACTCATGAGGCAATAAGTCTTGGAAGGTTTGCAGTCTCTTTCGAAAACAGGAGCCGGGAGGAGCACACCGCATGACGAAGATGAGTTGACAACAAAAGCAGACGCTCGCATACGGTCCCGCCGAGCCGTCGGGACTCCACCCCGATGCACCTTCGCGCTAAAATTGGGTGTGAAAATGAGCTTATCAGAACCAGCAACACGCAACGTGGACTCCCGACCAGTCACAACCATTCGCAGGCGCCAAACACACCGTTGCCGAAAGCAGCACTTTAAGCTCCAATATGTTAAAATGGAAAAGCAGCATAGAGCAGAGCATCGCGCCCGCACCTCCTGCAGCGGCGGGCGGTGCTTGACGACGGTTGCGGGGCGGTCGGGCGGCTTGCACTGGAAGAAGGCGTTGTCGACCATGGTGCTCTGGCGCGCGTCTAGGTTCTTGGCGTTCTTGAGCCGCATCAGGACGTCCAGCAGGTTGCTCATGCGGACGCTCGTGTCGGGCGTCCGGTACAGGAAGCGCCCGCACGACTCCAGCAGATGGCACGCCGCGTCGATGTTGCTGCCGCTCAAGTCGTCCAGGTAGGCCTGTGTAGAAGGACGGAAACAGCGTCAGGCTTTGAGAAAATTGAGCAACGAGAGTCGAGGGCTCTTCGCCGATGACAAACAGCTTGAACCGCCAGAAACTTTATTCAACAGTACGTTTGCAATGCGACAAAACGTACTATCCATAATGCTGCAGATACGAATCAGCGGGCGTTAAGCAAGTGAGAGGGTGCCTTGCGCACACATAGCTTTTAGTTTTAAACTGCTAGCTACTGTTCTTTGTCGCCATTGCACCGAGAGCGAGGTTAATCGCGAGGAGCAGGGGCTTCAGGATTCTGGTGCTTGTCCGGTCCAGCGGAACAGGAAGTCTCACCCTGAGGCACGTGAAGATGAGGCTGGGGGGCGCGAGCTTAAACTTGGCCAGCTCGCCGAGAAAGTGCACGTTGCGGATCTTCGTCTCGATCTTGGACTGGTCCTGAAAGAGCAAACGTCCGAGACCAAGAGTCAGGACGCGCCAAGTCAACACGTATAGTCCTCACGGTGAAGATAGCCGGGATACGGACGCTCTCGTTATTGTGGCCTATGGACCAGAAAAAAACTGCTTAGTCGACTTGAAAAGAAAAGCCAGTACCTTGTGAAAACGTGCCCAGACTAAAAAGTCCTTTGAAACCTTCAAACTTTGCAGACCAGCCTCCATCGAGGCACCATACTATCCCGACAAAACCATCGACATTTGCGCCGTCTAGTTTGGCAAGAGGGTAAAAATGGGCTTTTTCTCCATTTCGCTTCGACTTTGAAAGAAAGCAAGCCGTCAGCTGGTTGACGAGGAACATGAAACGAACGCAAAACAGGGATAGGACAAACAAATCTTTCAAAAGCGAACTTGGACAACGGGGGGATACTTCGCACCTTTTTGGGCAGCAAGAAGTTGAACTCCTCCTCGAGCATGGCCAGCAGCATGGGCGCGACGTCCTTCATGACGGACGCCAGCGTGGCCGCCAGGCGCGTGTAGTACGGCACCAGCTCCAGCGCAGTGCGCGGCACGGCAAACAGCGCGCGCACCAGCTTCTTGCGCGTGCCCTTGCTGTTCAGGTAGCACACCTCCACCTGCGCACAGCGGCCACGTGGGGGGGAGATAAGGTGGAGTGGCGGGTGCGAGGGAAGGGCTTTGTCAGGGGGAGATGACGGAACGGGCTTCTGCCACCTGTCTGGGGCTCGGCTTGAGATGGCGCACATGCCCGGCGTTGTCCGGAGGCCACTGTCTTACCTACACAATTGGAGAGAGCACCGGACGTCGGAACACGGCAAACGAAAGCGTCTGCACGCCCGTTGGGTCGCCTGTCTGAGTGGTCACTGACATTGGTAGCATCAGGCCCTAATGAGAGTCAATAAACTCCTCCTGTGTAGGAATCCAAAGTATCAGAACCAGCTTTTTTAACAAAACCATAATAATGTCGAAATAATTTCCGTCGTCCTCATCTGTCCGAAGCCATTCCTGGAAAGGCCAGCTACGCCGGAAAAACGAGCCCAATCCGTGCATCACCGGACGGCCACTCACCGCGATCTGGTCGACGAGATCCCTGCTGCCCGCCTTGGGCAGCCGTTGCAACAGCGCCTCCAGCGCCGCGTTGTCCTGCGCATTCTTCAGCCCCTTGTCCTCCCCCTCGGGGGCCTCCTTCTCGCCGCTCGCGCCCTTCTTGTCGGGGGACCCCTTCTCGTCGCCATCCGCGGCCTCGCCAGCGTCCGACTGCGAGAGATGTTCGGAACGCTCTCCTCAGCTTTCAGATCAATTGGTGATGGTTGCTTATATTGGTGGTTCTTTCTCCTCAATATGTACTGCAGTCCCTGCGTCTGAGACGTAGCCACAAAGCTCGACAAAGTCGAACGAATGGACCAAGAAGAGGCTGACGGAATGCAAGCAAGGCATGAGGTAAGAGGCAATGTGACCATTGTCCGCTGCTTTGATCAAACGGCGTCCTCTCTTGACGCATCACAGACGGTCCTGAGCTCTGCCGGAGACCCTCACCTTGGTCGGCTCTTCTGCTTTTGGCTCGGCCTCGCCCAACAGAACCGCAGGTACGAAAGCTCTGCATGCAGAGCACAATAAAACAGCTCGAGACTTTCCTCGACCCGTTTTAGCGAGTCTGTCTGCTGAAAGACAGACAGACTCGGGCCTTCAATCTTAAGGCTCCTTCTGCCATGAAAGAATCCACAATTTACAGTCACTCAATATGCAATTCCTCATACAGGAGCATTGACGCCCCCGCACAGCACCATTCCTGGCTCTTACGAACCATCGCTCGCCTCCCCAACAGAACAAACAATCACGAACATTGTACCCCGATCAGCGGCTCAAAGACAATCAATGACGATGTTCGACAAGGCTCGGCTAAAACTTTACCGCAGGTCCGGCAGGTCTTCATAGAAGGTGCGCATGTCCTCGTCGTCCCAGATCGGCTCCGGCCCGGCGGGCTCCTTCCCGGCAGGGGCCACGCTCGCGGCCGGCCCGCTCGTCACCCGGGTGGTGTCGTCTTCCGGCAGATCAGGCGCCGGCCGCTCGAGCAGTTCCGCCAGGCTGCGAGAAACAGCTAATGACGTCAGCATATTCAAAGAATGACGTCAGCCGATGCGGCTCTCTCTCCCCCATGCTGCCATGGGGGAGTCTCAGATCTGGCCCGCGGCTGCATTTGACAGTGTTCAAAGGGTTTTTGACGTGGTCGTTCTCTCCTTTCTCGATTGAAAGGCCGAAGCAAAGACGTGCTTACGAGGAGAGGGTGCGCAGGAGCTGTTCGTAGGCTTTGCGCTGCTTCTCGTACGCAGCGGTCGTCTCCTCGCTCAACTCGCCCTTGGAAGTCATGACGGCCGCGTTCTCGGCCTCCAGCGCGCGGAGCGACTGCAGAAGTCCGATCGAGGGTTGAAACTTCGGACGGGAAATTTTGAATACATCAGACCGGAAAGGCAATTGACAGGTCAGTCAGAGAAAGAGCGAAACAATCAAGGATTTCTTTCGGATGCAGATTGCCATCAGGGGCCTTAGACAGGATGGCTTGACCGCGAACATGCTGAACTCTTTCCCCCACAAGACACTGGCACTTCCGAAGGGGAAAGAAGTGAAACAGCCGCTTCTGGAGTCTCCTCCAGACACGATCAACACCCACCTTATGTTCCGAGAGCAGCAAAGCTTCCGCTGCCGTGTAGAAGGTCCCGAGGTGACCCAGGATGCTCGCGCACTCTGCCTCTGTTAAGACGGGAGGGGAGAACTGCCAAGAAGGGGTGCCATCATCAGAAAAGAGAGCCTAAGGTTTTCGGCAACTTGATATATCGTCCGAGACCCTTGACTCGTCCAAATCAATACCGCGCCTCCGCTCCAATTACACTCGCGAAAAGGTATTGTACAATTCATACTTGATGTCCGGCCACAAGAGATCAGCTGGATTGCAGATTGCTACACTTAGGATGGCTAATGGTGCCATGAGTACTTGACAAACTGCATTCGCCTCGTAAGAGCAGAAATCCATGATGATCAGCGAAGGGGGCGGAGGCTTAGAGGAGCTTTCAAAGTAGAGGTCATCTCAATGAAAGAGAGAAACAAGTCCCGACAGCGGGCAGAGAGCGATATGTGAATTATTCAAACTCAACACTGTGCCAGCATAACGTCCACAAATGGCATGCTCACTGAATCTGGCGTATCCACAAACTGCATGCTCACCGGTCCTGGCGTGTCCTTCGTTGCATTCGATGACAGCCGCAGCGGCTCCTTTGCTTGCTTCAGAAACGCCACGAGAAGGGTCCCCGCCGCCTGGGCCGCGTCCCTGTCCTTTGCCTGGTCGGGCTTGGCCAGCTCCTTTATGACCCCAACTAGAGCGGCGGAGTCTGTGACCACCCCAGCGATCAGAAGTTCTGTCAGGAGGCGCAGGGCCGTCCGCCGCTTGCTGAGGCGTGCGCCTTTCTCTTCGGCCTCGGGGGCGCCCTTTGGGGGTGGGGCGAAGATCTTGAGCAGCGCCTCGAGCAGCTGGGGGGTGAAGTGCTTGTAGCGGATGTGGAGCAGGGAACAGACCTGAGGGCCGATAGGGCCCTCTTCAGTCCAGATGATAACGAGACTTTAACGAGGATTCTACGATTCCAAGGGCTCAGAGAGTGTCTGATCGTCTGTCAACCATGACTTCACTTGTTTAAACCGCTTCTGGACGCATCTACTCGAGGAGGCATTGGATACTGCCAGACGGTGGGGACAAGACACGCATAGAAGAGATCGTGGCGGTTGTTGAGAACATTGTCGCTTCGTCCTGGAACATCAAAGAAAAGACAAATAGTAGCTTGCGCACCTGTACCGCCGCATCGATGTCTGCCGTCTTGAGCTTGGCCTCCACGATTGCTGCCACTGCTTCGCTGAGATACTTGCTGAGGTTTACCGACTTCAGCTCTTCCAGCAGGCTGGGCCGTGTCTCTTCGCTGACGGCTCGCAGCTTCTTGATGGCGGCAGTGTTGCGCTTCACGCTCGAGTCGAGGCTGCGGAAGAAGCTGTCATCTGCAGAGGATGGAAGATGTCAAAGCTAATTTTCAGAACTCGGGTTACCAAGTGCCAATGAATGAAAGAGTCAAGGGTTGAAAAGAGGTTTCCTCTTTAAAGTTTCGAGACAATATGTCGCCCCTCATGACAAGGAAGCTGTGAGCTGGACGCTCGCATGCTGAATGATGGCTAGCTCCAAGAGAGTGCAACAGCTGTGACTATACATCCACAAGTAGTTGGACCTGGCCAAACAGATCACCAGGCCAGGGATGCCTACGGAAAGCAGGGAACAGGCCCTCAGAATCAGCGAACACTGATCCGGCAAGTATCATTCACCATCTTTGTTTCCCTGTCATGTCGCACGTCCTTGGAGCGCTTTCACACCGCCAAGGAGCCGATTAACACTGCGGAGCGGTACGAGTTTGAACGGGGCCGTTTCAGTGAACAGGATAGAAGGAACGATGTTATGAAAATCATACTTCCTTCAAAGCCAACTTGGACTTGTTTGTGCCATTGGTGTGCGTCGAACAATCAGTTGCTGAGCTCACCGGGTCGCTCCGGCTTCAGATTGGTCTCTCTGAAAACCTGCTTTCTCCGGCGGCTCTCCTCTGCTTCCTCTGATCGCTTTGCAGCATCCTGAAGCAAGAGAAAGACAACATCATTCCAATTCTGTTCAAGTTCTTGATGTGTCAGGTGCTCTAGATCACAGCGACTGCAAGAACTGGGTACCCTTTTGGACTCGATACCCATCCTCCTCTCGGGCCTCACCCTCTCTTCCATGTCTGTCCCTCGTGTCCCCTCAATGGGTGCTGCTCCATCTTTTGCATTCGCCATGGCAGGAAGTGAGGCACCCAAGGAAAACTAAGACTTCCTGGCCGCTCAATTTCCTGTAAGAGTTGCAAGAGAAAAGTTAGATGTTTGCAGAACGTCTCAAAAGGCTCAAAAAGGGTGGTACTCATTTCTGATCTAATGTCTAGATGGTGCATGTTTCTGCTTGTCAAACGTCTCCGCTTTGCAATTAGAGCCGTCGTGAGATCTGATGGTAAGTACTAGGTCGCACTGCCACTAAAAAACCTTTGACAGAAGTGATCGAGAAGCTGTCCCCAGAGTAGGACTGATGACTATTTTCAAGATGCGCTTTCTGCAAGTATCTTACTGCCGATTGGATGCTGTCCTGTTTAAACGCCGTAATCTATACAAGAAAAGAGCTTGGGAAGAACCAAGGGAAAGTGGTTGACCTCTGGGATTGCAGACCTGGCGATAAAGTACCAGAATCAGAGCGACAAACTTATGAAATGAATCCTGTAGCCACTTCGAAGTGGGGCACTTACTCATTCTCATCTGACACCACCACCTTGCATCAGCAAAGACCATGGTTGTGGGCCCAAATTCCCTCTGGACACTGCTTCAGAAGCTTGTTTTCTGGCTGTTTGAGCTGGTTGCTGTTTGCAATGCCGCTTACAACGGAGTGGCACTGGTCGAGTTGAAAAGAGTCAGATGCATGATTGGCGTGCATGAAAGTGCATTGTGACCTGCATAGAACTCAAAGGGAACGAGCAATGGTGCACTCCCGCCCTTTCCTGCTTGCTTCCAGACTGAAAGGCGTCCTTCGAACGCCTCAGGCTCAAGCAATGAGGCAAAGGGTGGCAGAGGGCCAGGGCAGAGGTGTGAAGTTTCAGGAAAGGTACCTCTCATGATTTGCCTGCTGACAAGTCGGTTAACCGTGCTTGTTATAATGGGAGGTTAGCGCGTCCGCAACAACCTCTTAATCCCCTCGCAAGCTGCAAGTAGTTTCAGATAACACTAGATGTTACGCAGGGTTTTGTTCTGGTTAGGTACACCTTGCATTGATCCATCTGGCCTTCTCTCACGTGCAACATCTTGCAACAGAGCTCAGCTCGACCTCTCCAAGGTGTGCATGTCAGCTACACTTCACTGTGTTCACAGGGAGAGGACGGAAGGAGCGCAGGGTTGCACGAGTCCGCCGTTGCCTTAACAAGCATGGAAGGGTTGTACGGCTTGTATTCTCACTGCCTGCAAGCGCCAGGCTGAAGCAGCGTGGTTGCTCGAATTCTGAATCCATGCTAGATGGCTTTCTTTCGAAATCTTACGGAAGAGCAGAAGACCAGTTTCTTCAATGCAACAGCTGGGGCCGGGGCAGGTGCGCCTATTTAGTTCGGACTGGTTGATTCGCTTGAACGCATTCTATTCTGGGGCTGCTTGTGCAGACAATTTGATCGTTTTTCCTGCACAGCACATGAAACTCTCATAAGAGCGATCTTCTGCAGGAGCACCTATATAGTAGGTGAAAGTCGTCTTTGTGAATGTCAAGCCCATTGCTCGCCAAATGTTGCATGCCTTACACCTGACTTTTGGGATTGCAACCATGTTATGTGTCTTTTAATTTGTCCCTCTTATCATGCTGTTACTAGTTGTCTGGTTTTGCGCCACCTTTAGCCATGGTAGACTGTTTATACTTTCTGATAAATTCCCAGCACCATACTTCAGAATGCATCCATGGAAAATCGCATTGGGTTGAGAATGTCACTCAGTGGACTGCTTGCATATTCATTAGGCTCAGAAAGGAAGCTTTTTGTCATCTTCTGGAAAGCTTCTAATTGTTGAAGTTGGCTGGGATGGGGATTCTATGAGCATGAGATGCGAAAGTCCCATCAAGAATGTTTGGAATGTACTAAACCAAAGAGTGAAGGCATTTGCACGTTGCACTATGTACGATTCAGACTGGCGTGCTAAGTTGTGAGGTTTTCAGTGAAGGAATTGGTTGATGATTTATTTAAGGGAATCGAGGAGAGCAGCACTGGCTCTGAGGATGGCCGTCATGACATTTTACCCATCGGCAGTGTTTGACCCCCATTTTTCTACTGCTGATTGCAGGAGCAATCGCCGCGACCTTTGTGTGCCCCCTCGACGTTGTCAAGACGAGGCTTCAAGTGCAGCGTCTGCCACGAGCTTCCGATCCCAAAAGCACACTCTACAAGAGGGGCCTCCTTCATGGTGATTTATCAAAGTCCCTGGAATCTGCACTCAGACTCTCTGTGTAATCAAGCGTTTAAAATCAGCTAGGCACTATGAAGTAACCAAAAAGTCAGCTGTTCACCTCAGCTTTCTTCTGTAAATTTGCACATCAAACTGAGTACTTGAAAGCCTCATCTTCTAGCCGTATGTCTTCTAAAATCATGCCTTCGCGTCCTCAGATACCACTTTCACAACTCTACGTGAGCCCTTTCTCCAATCTAGTACCATTATGCTAATCACGTTGAAGAGATGTGTTACTTCATGGAAGACCTCTGAGCTGTGTAACCCGTGCAGGTAGCATCAGGTCTATCCTTCGGGATGAGGGTGTCAGAGGGCTTTACAGGGGTCTCGCTCCCACGATGGTCGCGCTACTTCCGAATTGGGCCGTAAGCCTCCCTTATCCATGTTTGATCTTCCCTTTCTCATTCCAACCATGCATCCAATGTCATTCTTTTGGCTCCTGTGCCTTTTTCCACAGTTGGTCCAAGAGAGCCTCTCACAAGAGGAGAGCACCTGTCTCTCATGGGAAGAATACCTTATAGACCCCGAATTTGGCGCAACTATCTCCGCAGGTCTACTTTTCAACATACGAGCAACTGAAGAGGTTCCTCACCTCAGAGTCATCAACATCAACGGTGTCTGGACTGAAGGAGGATGCAAACGGAGATATTCTGCGCAAACCGAACAGCATGTTGTCAAACACAATAGCAGCAGCTGGGGCAGGCACCACTACTATCGTGGTCACCAATCCTCTCTGGGTCGTCAAAACTAGGTGAGGCAGGAAATCATCCTGAAGTGTTGTTTAGTAGTGGCCTCTGAGTGTGATGAGGCACATCTGAAGGATCATGCTCACCAGGTGTCACATGCTTTGAGCATCTGACGTTTCAATCTGGATTCAACATGCAAAAGGAGGTGTTGGAGATGTAAAGTAGCAGCTTATGAATGTTTCATTGAGTGCGTCTGCATCGCAGGATGCTGAGCAGAAAGCCTGTGTTACGGTATACCCTTCGCCAGTCCACCTGTCAGGTCAAGAGGACAGAAAGGACTGACATTGTGAGGCAGGAATTATTTGTCAGGCACGATTATGCAGAAGACAACGACCTTTCTGACGTGTTGTTTCAGTTCCAATCAAGCGTCCCCTTGCTTGCAGGATGCAAACGCAGTCGCTTAGACCGGCCGGTTCTTCCATCCCATATACTGGCACCTGGTCAGCTTTATATCGTATAGCTACTGAGGAAGGGCTGAGAGGATTATACAGTGGTCTCGTCCCTGCGCTCGCTGGAATCAGCCACGTGGCAATACAGTTCCCCATGTATGAGTATATTAAGGAGGCATTGGCTGAGCGAGGTGAGAGGTTGTCTCACCCTTGGAAACGGTGGCTCCAGGCGCCATCAGGCAAGCCTAGTCTCCTGTTCTTCCACTCCTTCACCTATTGCATCAATGTTTTCCTACTTCCATCATCTTGACAGTCACCTTCATCGTCTTTTTTCTGCGTCTGTACCTGCTCACACTTCGATCGCAAGCCTTGCTCCTCAAATTTGTCTTTTACTTCGCACCTGGTTTGATAAGTCACAATGTCAAGTGATTAAGTCGCCAGTAGCAGGTTCGATTTATTGTGGTCGTCTGAGGGGAAAACGTTGGGTCTAAGTCCGTCCGTTTCAAGTCTGTAGCGAGTCAGGTCGACGACTGCGCCGGGAGCCCAGGTGTCGTGCAATTGTTTCTTTGCAATCTCAGACAAGTCATCTTGATGACGTTCCTGTTTGCAGAGGGCTCCAGCGTGGACCAGCTGAGAGCGGGCCCTTTGGCGGTGGCCAGTGCCGTGTCCAAGCTTGTGGCTTCCACGATCACGTACCCGCACGAAGTGGTCCGGTCGAGGCTGCAGGAGCAGAGGCGGACTGCGGGGGAGGCATTGCAGTACAAAGGTGTTGGGGATTGCATACGCCAGGTAAGCTGTTGGACACGGCCCGCTTTTAGCAAGCTCGTTCTTCTGAATGTTCTGGTTTGTGAGGGTTTGCGAGCCTGAATAATCCGGTCACGGGCCCGTCTGTAGATCAGACCTTTGAATCTCTCCGCTGTGGCCCCTCTTCCAGGTTGACAGAGAGTTAAAAGGCGTCGATGACAAATAGAAGCATCTGCATTCGGCTGACAGACCGCTGCGCTCCTTGAAGGGTACGCTCAACGGTGCCTCTGGTTGCAGGTTTGGGCGGAGGAGGGCATCCACGGGTTTTACAGGGGTTGCGGGACGAACCTGCTCAGGACGACGCCTGCGGCAGTGATTACGTTTACTAGCTTCGAACTCATTCTCCGGCAGTTGCAAAAGACGTTCCCACCACCAGAGCCCGTTAGCAAGCGAAAAGAAGCCAATGAGCAGGTCAGCATAGCCCCTCTTAGCGCGTCAGGTGAGAGTAGCGTCCCGATCCAAGACGAAGGTCGGCGGTACGGGCGGGAGTCGTTGCCCTCCGGGAGAAGGTGACCAAGGTCCCAAGTGGTCTGGAAAGCTGCTGGACCACTCCCCGCGACCTTGTATGATGGTGTCTGTGTAGCGTAGATTGTTGCCCTTAAGTAGGACTCGGAAGTCGATTAAAGAGTAAGGACGGTAGGGGGTCAGTAAAGATAAGCACGCGCGTGTTGCCAGCAGCTGTAAATGCTAAGGGCGGGACCTTGTTTAGCATGGACGGTATCAGGTCAATCGTATCAAAGGTCGTGCATAGGTAGTTGCCGCCACAGAGCATGGTGCAACAGTCTATACCCAGGGTGTCTTCCTCATGTCATTGGTCTTTCCAAAGGCTCTCAGTTAGTTTGACAAGGTTGCCCACTCGCAGCCGCGTTTGGTTACGAAACTAGCGAGGGGACTCTCTCCTGGTGTGCTTGCCCACCGGCTGTCGATCCAAGCACACGATCAAGCTCAAGCTCGTACATGCGACATGTGGTGATACGGAACACATAATGACATCCATCAGTGCATGTACCGCCTTAACCATTTCATCGTAAAATGACATGCAAAGCATCATTCATATGCAAGCCTGTTCCACATGCTTTATCCAGATCTCCGTTCAGTGAACATGATGCGGAAGGTTAGGTTTGTATTTTTCTGATTTGTAAGATGGCCGGACAGCTCCGTTAATAGTAACGGTCTCAGGATTCAACTAAATTTTCTGCATGGTGCCGGCCTCTGATTGCACGGCCACTTGAGTTCTTGACTGACTTGTATAGGTCCACTTTTGACAGCATCAAGTCCGATAAGTTTCATTTGTTTCAGGCGAGCACATGCAATCTGGTCCTGGATAGGTGTAGATAGACTGTCCCTTTTTTCTCAATTTTACTTGCCCAACTCGGGACGCGTGCCCTTTGTGCACTCGCTCAGAGAACTCTTTCCACCCAATGCTTGAGTTGGACCACAGCTGAGCGAGCAACACATTGTCCGGATTGATTGTTTTCTTTGGTCCGAGGAACATCCGATGGCCGCCCTGCGCATAAAAGGATGCAACTTCGTTCATGCGCCTTTGCCCAACGCATAGCATACTGAGGGCGTTGGAATGCAGCGCAAATGCTACAAAGCATAGCTGGTAATGCAGCAAGACTCGGCTTCAGAACAATTACAAGGGTTTTGGGAAGGCCCCATGACGAAGGTTTTGTTCACACAACACGAAGTTGGTTGAAAGGCGTGTGCGAATGAAAAGGCGTTAACAATATGAAATGGGTTGAGAGACTGCCAATAGTAAAGCACGGTGAGCGTGTTTGATGGGGCACATCGTCAAGGCGCAAAGCAAGCTCCAAGCCGTGCAAACAATGCACAACCATGATTCTACACAACCGAAGGCACCGGAAAAATACAGAAACTCGGGAAAGGGGAATCAAATTGGGTGGTGAAGCCGTACCAGCACGTTGTGCATGTTGCCTGCCGCTGCAGACACCATGACGTCAGCTTGAAGCAGCACGTGGTAGTCGAGCGCTGCGAGGCGCGATGCATGCCCCTCGAACCATGCCAGCTCGGCTGCGGACGCCAGAGCGTACTTGTCACGGACGTGCGGAAAGAGCGTCCGCAACGGGGCCAGCCGCGCCTCGCCGCCATACACCTGGCAAGGGCCCGAGCAGGCGGGTCATGCGATGGCGCCACGTGGCAGACGGTGGGGTTGCAATAAAGGCTGCTGGGTGGAGGCGCAGCGTTGGAAGACTGGTGTCGCACAAGTAGGAAACAGCGCCGCAAATGAGCAATCGAGGGGAGGGTTCGGGGACAGATGACTTACAGTGCTTTAAATCAAGAACCTCTCGGCGTCAATCAAATAATTGCCAGAAATGGAATAAAATTGAAGAGGAAAAGGCCTCCGTATGGGCTTCCAAATCATCCAACCACCACATTGGCGCAGCCGAAGCACTGGCTGCTTCAAGCTCATCCTGAATCTCAAAGCTGTCAAAATCTGGCCGTGTCCGTTCTGGAGATTCTGTCAAGCCGACGCCACTTTTGCGGCTCTCTCGTGGGGACATTCTGTCCAGATGGCATGTGGACACGAAGAAGCACATGAATGCACAACAACCACCAAAAAGGCTTTGGAGCGACACGAAGCCCTTCATCCTTACGTCGTACGACGCCAGGTATATCCTGGTGTCGGGCGAGAAGCCAACCCCGGCCAAAAAGAGCCCTGTCTCTTCTGGCGTCATCGGGCACTTCCCGGTTCGCCGCAGCTCCTCTTCCGAGTGCTGAACCTTCTCGACTCGCCCCTGCACAGCGCCCAAGAACAACATTTAATGATCTGCGCCGCGAAAGCAGTGGAAGCAGAGTTGACGGATCTCAAAGCCACTTCTCTTTCGAGTGCTGAAGCTTTTCGACGCGCCACAGCGTGGTGTCCAAGGACAGGAGTCAAATGGTGCAATTGTTGGGGGTTAGAATTTGACACAACTCAACTTCAACACATGGAGACGGAACCAAGACACGTCTTTAACAGCCGACGGGGAGTTAAACTTGTTCAAGGGCATGCCTGAACGAGCAACGCAGTCAAAGCGTGCTTCGGAGGGCTTGAGCGGGTCAAGGGCGATGAACTCTTCTCTCCTACAGGTGAATGGTAAAGCACTCTACAAAAGCCTCAAAGAACATGCACAACTCATCGTCAAATGAAGCTGAATACGACACCAGCCGATCTTGAGCGACAGATAACTGCTTCCCGCATCAAAACGAAATTCTTGTGTCTTCTCGGATCCCTAGTACGGGACGCCAGAAATGCTCTCAATAGCGATCGGTACGCCTTCCTTTTGTCTTTTCCACTGCATCTTTGTCGCCAGAATGAGGCGCATCCAAGCAATCCCTGAGTTGGGCTCTTTCCCTCGTCTAGACCGCCGGAGCTCTTGCCCTTGAAGTCGCAAACACTAAGCACAGTATCCAAACCCGTGCCCCTTGTCGCAATTCGCAGCAAGCTTCGCTAAGCCCCCGCACTCAACCCACCTGCCACGCATACTCTCGATACCGCCTGAGCTCTCTCCGCTCCCGCCACCCCCCCCCGAAGTAGCACGCCGAATGCGCTGCCATGTCCTTATCGAACCGCAGGTGGAGCGCCAGGAACCGGGCTTTCCCGGGGGGATCCCCCGCGGGCGCTTCCGGGCCTGAACGGTCGCTCTGCATTCGTTGCACAATCTCATCTCCTAGCTGCACAACAACAGCTAGGAAACACGCGTTAGACGGACTGACTCGCCTTTGTTTCTGCTCCTCACATCTCCAAGATAGTCGAGATCCGGCTCTTGGGCCAGTCCTTGGCCAGATGAAAAACCTCAGCGCATCAACTACGGACTTGTCAAGAAAACGGCCGGGCCATTTCCCTGATCGTCCTTGTGCACTTGTGGGCGGTTCCGATAAGCGGCGATCACGTGCGAAGCAGTGAAGCCACGTGTTCATACCGGCAGACATGCTGACCTGGCGAATGGGCTTAATGAAGCGGAGCGCCTCGAAATTGGCGCGGCAGCGCAGCTTTTGCAGGTTAGCGTCTAGGCCGTCGAATGCGAGGCGGTGGGAGAAGGGCGCGATAGCCACGATGCCGTACCTAAGAGGTTGACACGTGGCGGATCAGATGCACGATCTGCGGGACAAGAAGGCGTCGCTGCGGCATACAAGCTCATTTGTTTGATAGGCTGTGTGTAATTTTTGCATAGTTTTGAGGTTTCAGTGCAACCAAAATCAGCGCTAGATGGTTCCCTTGGGGCTCACGCCGTCTTAGGCACTGCCATCTCACTTGGTGGATTTCAGAAGGTAAGCTTAGGCTAGTCGGGGAGGCAACCGAACTCAAACTTGAAGCGTAACAAGGAGACGGCCACATAAACGACACGCTTTCACAAGCTTTGGCGATGATTTCAATGAGGGTTCCGCATTGATTCAGCCCTGAAATTTCGCCAGGCTTGTCCTCGAACCCTTCTCTTTCCGTTTCGCCAATCGACCGGAAAAGATTCTTTGGAGAAGCTTTTGACCAGGCTTGCGGGACGATCCCAGCTCGTCGGTGCACAAGATCAAAGTCGACTTTGCAAAGCAGCACTTATCTCCAATACGGAACCAACCATGGAACGGCTAGTGAACGAGGTGGCGAAGAACAGGCAACGACAACAAGACAACGGACAAACGTCGGAATCCAAAGACTCGAAGAACGAAGGCTCACTCTTTGAGCAGCGGCAGCACGTTGTCTTTGTACCACTCGGGCGGCGCGTGCAGCGGGGCGTCCTTGACCCGGTTAGGCCGGATGCCGGTGGCGAAGTACTCGCGGGTGTTCCAGTGGAGGCCCCAGGGGGGGGACGTGATGACGTGGACGTCGTCAGAAAGAGTGGTGATGAAGTGGGTGACGTCAAAGATCTCGCCAAAGGAGCTGCAGCAGAGGGAAGGGTGAGCTCAAACGCACTCTTCGGGCAGCTGTGCACGACCGAGGGGGAGCGCAGAGCCTTCCTTTTCATGGTTGCGTATTTCAATCAGCGCCACTTCGAAGGATGGGGGGACAAAGCTTCTCGCCGCTTTTTCGCTTCGCCGGGCTTGCAGTGCTTCGTGGGTATTTCAGACGGCAGAGCCGGCCTTCCCTTCGAAGCACAGACGTAAGCACGCAGTAATCTTTCCACGAGGGCAGAAGTAACTCCCTTTGTCCGAACAAAAACGCTTTTCACATAGGACTTTAACCAAAGAACAAGTCGCACCTATCGTCGTTCCAGACGGGGTTGATGTCCAGCTCCGGTAACACAAGGACTGCGTTCAGCAACCGCGCCACAACCACAGCGTTGCTTATCTGTCAGGAGCGCACAAGATCAGACAGTGAGTACTGGATGAACGGATGCAGGACTGGAAGGACGCCTTCTTGCAAGAGGCTACAACTGAAGAGTTACCTGGAAGAAGTTTGTGCCGCATGAGTGTTGAGCTTCTGTACAACAATATTCTCCTCAGCGAAGTCCCCGTTGAAAAAGGCTGCATGAACAACAACCAAACAGCCAAGCTGAAACTGGAAGAACCAGCATAAGATAAACGGCCAGTACACCCTCAAAACGTATGCCATCAGGAAGGGGTCAGCAGTGACTGTGAGACTTACGCCCCTATTTACATTGACATTCAGATACAACACCTTAAAGGGAAATGACTTACCCCAATGCGTTGCTGATTCAGGCCCCCCTCAAGAAAGACTTGCAGAAAGCCAGACTTGCCAATGACCATCTCCCCAATGAGCATTCTCTCCAATCCTGCAAAGCCATATCGAACGCTCCGAGTGAGAAAGAGCATGGACCTGAAGATGCTCTGGCTGGACGTGCAGGGGCAATCAATGCGGGTCAGCTTAACGGGTCTCTTGACGAAGTAGATGAGCGCAGAAATAGGTGCACGGAGCGTCGAGCCTCGCATACTGAGCTGGGATAGTTAGACCTACAGCAACACAGTGGCTATACTGCAACAGGCGAAGCAATGAAAATCAGACACTGTGCATAGATAGTGCCAATTCAGAGCATTTGGCCAAGTAAGGACGGGACAGGCTCAGACAGCTCACGGTGGTAGGGCTCAATGGGACGTGTGCAAGCTGCCCAGCCCTCAGGATTGGGTGGGTCCTGCCATAGCGTCTGCTCAGTAGCCACTACCTGCGGCAAGTATTCTTCAATATCAGGGGAAGGTTCTGAAAGGAAAGAGGCGATGAACAAGTAACAAGGAGAAGAGACATGTGGTTCACATCCTGGAGTGCACACGGGGCACTGTGTAGGTGTGCTGAGAACATGAGATGATATCGTCTGGGAAAAGCCAATCCTGATGTCCAAAGCTGTTGGTGATAGCTGCCTTTCTCCTGAGGGTGTTGAAAAGGACGAGAGGGCAAGCCCCGACACTCACCGACCCCCCTGCCGCCACTCTGTCTTCCCATAGCTCACTATGCACGATCAGGGGCGCCTTCCTCCACTGCAAGAACATGGGCAGACTTTAGCATCTTCTGTAAGAGTGATGTCAGCTTGAGGATGCAGGGAGTACAATGCTGGCAAAGAGACCTGATGATCAGTTGTGTGAACATCAGCAGAACTGGACCTTCATTGTGAAACGAGGTCATGCTAGCAAGACAGAGGACCCTTAAAAAGGGAAGGACTCTTGTGTAGGCAAAAACACTACATGATTGTGAGCCTACCACAAGCAGGGATGACTGGGGAAAGCGATGCAGAAACTGTTGGGCCTTTCGGGTTACCAAAGCTTGAGCGAGCTCTGAAATGCCACTTATTCTTGACGTGGCCAGCCGGCGAATCAGCGGCACAGTTTGTTCAAGGCATACCTGAAAAAGGTGGCTGCCTAGGAAAAGGCCTCCAAGAGCGCAAAGCAGGACAACGAGCACGGCAACTTCTCTGAAAGTGTAGCTCCTCCATACTCGCACCTTGAGCAATCGCCTCAGCTGGCGAAATACTCGCTTCCTCTTGACTTTCAAAACACCAAAGGGTGACGGCTGAGGAGCCATTCTGTTGATAGCTCATGCTAGCGGATGCCAGTGGCATTCAAGGCGCCCATTCTTGCCAGCTTCGTTGCATTTGAGATCTAGAGACCTCCACACTGCATTTAGGGTTTGGGGGTACCAGAACCCTAATATCCGTACTCAGGCAGCTCAGATGCACCAACTCCTTTGAAAAGTTGAAGTCCTATTCGCTTGTGCTGCATCCGATTCCTGTGATTCTGAGAGCTGAAGTTTGCTCATTCCGCTTCTTGCTTCGTCAGATCTGTGAGAAGGTGCGGTTGCAGGCAAGCCTTCGTCGCAATGGGAGGAGGGGGGCTTGCATTTGATATGTTGTGCACATTTCTGCAACCAATGCCGCTGTAACAGCGGTGGCGTTTTGCGCGTCCTCCTTGGCGATCAAGTGGTCCCCTATTGGCCACCAGCAAGCGAGCAGTTAGAGAAAAATGAAGTGCTCACAATCTTGTCTCGTTGTCTTTGTGGTCTTTGTTCTTGTGTCAGATGCAGCATGTCTGCAGGTTACTAGAGATGTGCCACCACTCAAAGACACAGAGTGGTCAGCAGTCCAAGGTGAAGCCCATGCAGCCACAAGCACGCCGCATTTTCTTGGGCCAGGAGTTTGTCGTGTGGCGGCAGAGTGGACGAGCAGGAGCATCTATGAGATCGTGGTCGATCGGTTCGCACCCGACCAGAGCATCACTCTTTGGTGTGGTGATCTGTCAAAGTGAGACAACAACCTTCGTTCTGGACTTGGAGATCTAACCCATGACCCAATCAAGTTACATTTGACACACCCTTGCAAAGTGATGATCAGGGGCTGTAACCAGCTTTCAAATCATGTCGTGACTGGTTGCCGCAATTTGAGCTGAGGCGACGGGCCCTGATGTTATGGTCGTGGAAGTCTTGGCAACGAGTGATCCAGATTAATGTTCCTGGGTTTGTCAATCTTTTTGGTTTAACGTGACAACAAAGTGGCTCCATCTATAACAAAGAAGGCCCAAGGATCCCCATTCTGCTGATTTCTATGTGCGACTAAGCCGCCTTGTTTTTGCATTGAGATCTGACAAACCGAGTACCGTACATTTCCAACACAGCTGGCCAGCTGTTCACTCGCGCAGTTTGACCAAGTCCAGGGGTCTCATACACTCTTGGAAGTTCAAGGCAAACTGAGCGCACGTCCTGCAGGTATTGTGGGGGCACCTTTGCAGGCATCACCGACAGGCTCGACTACATCCAGGGCATGGGCTTTGATGCTATTTCTATCTCCCCAGTCATTGAAAATGTCGATGGAGGGTATCACGGTAAGCCATTTGTCCCGCCTTTTCGCTAGCTGCGACCAGGTTTCGAGTTTCTCAAGTCTTCACTTATGCAACGTTTTTCAAAGTCTTCATGGAAATCGGAAATTTTTGAACTTGTAAGCAAATCTTTGAGACTCGAAACTCCCAAGGATCTTTATAGGAATTGCAAAACTCGAGGTTCTGAAGCAGTTGTATGACTGCAGGTTATTGGCCTAAGGACTTGTTCAACCTGAACGGTCACTTTGGAAGTGCAACCAGCCTCAAGTGAGTCCAGCTTCTACAGCAACGGGCTGCAATTTTTTGCAACTTATGACTCTAGCTGAACAGTTTGCTTATCAATTACTGGAAGTTCCGAATAGCCTGCTTCATTTTCATGCGATACCTCATCATCCCTTACCTTAATAATATGCTGGTCGGATTTTCTGATGACTTATCTTCCATCCTTTGTGCGTACTTTCTTCGCCACCAACCGTAGACCTAATGTAGTAGCACAATGTTGCAGGCGTTTGATCCAAGAGTGCCATTCGCGGGGCATCTGGGTCATGGTCGATGTTGTCATGAACCACATGGGCGGCGTGACCGACACGCTCGTCCAGAACTTCTCCCCCTTCAACGAGTCAAGCCACTACCACGACTGCTACTACAACTGCTGTGGCAACTGCGGTTGCTGCTCGACCCAAGTCAAGGACTGCAAGGAGGTGGGCCGACTTAGAAAAGTATCTAGAAAGACCCCACACAATGCCATAGTAGTCTGCCCGATGCAGAGTTGTTTGCATAGGACATCTCAATAGCTAAAAGCAGCTTTTCAAACTTAATGACGATGACTCACAAGCTGGCAACGCAGTCAAAGGCACTGGGCCAGTCTTCGCGCTTGGTAGATTGGCGCGTACGAAATACTCTTACCTCGTGACAACTTCTGCTCAAACGACTGCAACGGTCGAAGCCTTTCGGTTTGTCGGATTTGATTTGTAAATTTTTCTCATGAATCTGGTTCTCATTACGCAGGAGGATACCTTCACCACCGAAAGTTGCCGAGTCTCCCCGCACTTGATCGATTTGGACCAGAGCCACCCGTATGTGGAGCAACGCCTCCTGGAGTGGCTTCACTGGATCGTGTCCGAGTTTGGCTTCGACGGGCTGCGCTTTGACGCCGTCAAGCACGTCAGCAAATCCTTCTGGAAGAAGTTGAAGGTGGGCAGTCTTTATCCCGCCCACTTCGCACAAGACAGGAGCCGTTGAGTTGTTCGGACCTTATTCATGTTCGACGAGCCGGCTAAGCGGTAAACTCGAGGACCCGGCCGTTTGCATCTGTTTTGGCCAGTGGCGCGCTCAACGATCGAGTCAACTTTTGATTCGAAATGACACTGTGACACTGACTCCTCTCAAGCTTCCAGACAAAGCGTCGTACATGCGGAACTGCTTAGCAAAGCGTTGATTTCGGTGCTCAGTCTTGCCATAGGGAGTGGTCCAGAGCGCGCTTGTTTTGCCAAGGCTCGTGCACCTAAGCAGCCATAACTGCACTTCGAGTCCCCCCCCGTTATTGGCCGGAACGTCCCGAGTCAAGCCGAATCAAACTGACTGTACCTGCCGCCTTGCTGATCGGGCTCGATGTCGTGTTCGTATTTGCAGGCCTCCAGCCCCTGCTTTTTCCTGGGCGACGTCCCCACTGACTCGGCCTGCTTCCTCGCGAGTTACCAGAGCGCGCGCACAATGGACGGACTTCTCGACCACCCAACGGCCGCCACGTTGCGGTCGGTCTTCGGCAAGGCCGCCCCGATGACGCTGCTCGCAGCACAGCTGCAAACGACGCGCGACGCGTTTGTGAACGGATCCACCGCCCTGTTGGGCACGTTCCTCGACACTCACGCGTTGCCCCGCTTCCTTGCATTTCAGCCCAACCAGTCACTTCTCAAAGGCGCGTTGGCATGGACGTTTTTGTCCCAAGGGATTCCAGTTATGTATTATGGGACGGAGCAGGGGCTCTCCGGAGGTGCTGATCCGGAAAACCGGGAGCCTCTATGGTACTCCGGTTTTAATAGTCGAGCTGGTTTGTACTCGTATGTGAAACAATTGCAAGAGGTGAGGAAAGAGTACCGGGTATGGGAGCATGAGCCCGTGCACGTTCATGCAGAGGAGGGGCTTTACATGTTCATGAGGGGCCCCTTGCTTGTCGTTCTGACCAACTCAATAAATGGGGGTGAGTTCGAGGGTGTTCTTGAACGGTCCAAGTCAAATGAAAGCAAGTTTTGTGACATTCTTGCCGAGCAGCCAAGCGTGGATTGCTTCGACGTGCCCGAACCCGGGCACAAACTGAAGCTTTCCGTACAGGGATACAGTACAAAAGTCTATGCTCCTTTCACTGTTAGATAGGAAGGTACCTAGTTATATAGTGAAGCACGCTTAAGGTACATGCAAAAGGAGAGAGCTAACGTTAGTGCAAGCAGTGCATTCGTTGGATTCGTCCTGTAAAGAACATCTTTGCCCCTTGATTTAGAAAAAGGACAATCTTTTATAGATTGTCATCCTTCTACCGGTCTTATGTTCGTAGTGACCACAATAAGGAGCATCTTGTAATGCACATGTGTTGCATCAACTTGAAGGCACCAAAGTATAGTTCGTGTTTTTTGCTCTGTGGATAATCCAATCCGACGCCTATATGGCTAGGTATAGTCAAAGTAGGCTCTCTTACAATTGGAGGAAGCGACTTCCTGGAGCAATCGGGTGCGTTGAATCCTATTTACGTCCCCAATTACCGAGCACAAATCATGTATGCACACTGATGAATCACATACGGTGTAATTCAACGACGGTTTGTTGCCAGCAATCAACCACTGAACTTAGTTGGCGGTAAAATGTATACCACTGAGTACCTCTTAAATACCACACTCGTGAAAAACACGCCAAGTCCGACTAGCTAGCAATCGGCTTCAATTAGACCTATAGGCCCTCGCTCCCGCAGGCCGCTGTCAATATCATCGACTTGTGTTGAAGATGCAGCATGGCTTGCATACGTCTAGCTGATTCCAACCCTCCCCGAAACTTTCCGATATCCAAGTTACATTTTAAGAAGTAATTAACGAGTCCGTTGAACTTGTACTTGTACGACGGTGCTATAGAAATACGTTGAGTGAATCTATATATCTTCAAAATATACTTCAACTAAGTACAGGGCCCCGGCCATGCAGCATGCTTTGATCACGGGTCATGCAGTGCACTGCCCTCGTGGTGCCGAACATGCTCGCGATCATTGGAAGGTTCATTACAACAGTCACAACATTGAACGTCATAGGAGGAATGCACATAACAAGTGCTGGCACCACGGCCCGTGGCATTTGGATCATTAATTTGGATCTGGTGCATGGGGGCCGGGCGCGCCAAATGAGTCATTTCCGAACCCTGGTCTTCGATACCTACACAATGGTTTCTCTTGACCCCATCCCTAGTGCCGCTAATACTACTAAATAGGAGTAGTCTCGATTTCATGTTGAATTACGGCTATGTTGAGTTAGGTCATGCCCGGGGGACGGGTGGGGTTGGTTTGGGGGTTTAGGGTGGGTACGGGTGCGGAGCATGTTAACATTGGGTTTAGGTTTTTAGTTTGTTTGCGCCCGGGATACTGATCTAACTCAACATACACCCAACTCAACATAAAATCGAGACTTATACAAATAGGTAGATGTGAAAAGAACTCGAGTACCAGTGTACAGTCTATGGTAACAGTAAAGACGGCACGAGTACCGTACAGTATTGAACAGGCGCCTGGCGGACCGCAGAACTTCGCGATGGACGAAATCGCAGCGGATCTGAACAGAAGGACTCCAGTCTGCAAAGTTTAGCTAGGGGGTCGCAAACTTTGGCAGGACAGGTTCCGATACTAGGGTTTGGACAAACCGGGCCTAACTGACAATAAACGGAAGATCTCGAGCGTTCATTTTTTTGACGTCAAAATCTGGACGGCAACGCCGCGATTCTTGGTCGTCCCCCAGCTATTCTGGGGTTCTGCGGCCCGCCTGTGAAATACCGGTACTGGCCGGACGCTATCCAGCTTCCGGTTACTCAAGAATGCTCGTTGACGCTTGCGGTCCAACTTATCAACGGTTCTGAGTGTTTCAATGGGTACCTTGAGCGTCAGATGGCTACAGTAAGAATCACGTGACGGACCGCTGGCATGCACGCTCTAGGTCTCCTCTTTCAATAAGTTGTACTGATCTGTACTGCATTGATAGTACGTCCACCTGCGTTTTCTCATGTGAACAGCTTTGGGTACGTATTTGCAGAATCTACGAAGTTACAGTAGTGACGAGTCTTCCAGGGCGCAAATGACGGCTGCTAAAGTTGTGTTAACATTAGAAGGGCGACGTTAGCCTTCGAGGTAAGGGGCTTACCTATTTCTGGAGAAGACGTCATTCTTGGGAGAGGGGCCTGTCGAAAACTGTTGCATTGGAGGTGCTGTTCATGCTTGAGCTGAATGCGGCGTCCTCCGAGCTAAGCTCTTTCTGCGGGGGAGCTTTTTCAAGCACCATAAGAGAAGTTCAGAATCGCCATGGCTGAGAACGGCAAGTTCCTCTGCTACGCTCCGAACCACAAGATCACGAAATGGATCCCCGTGCGCAACAACACGGACAAGGTAGTGCAAGAGAAGCTAGACTCTGTGGTTTTTGGGGAGCCGGACCCAGATGCTGCTCCAGCGGCCCCAACGGCCGTTGAATCACCCGGGGTCAAAAGACGATCAAGCTTTGACATGAGAAGTGCAAGCGAGGAGGAACGGAAGACAAAGAATCAGCAGCACTCGGTTGGGGTTGCTTCTTGGACCTTGCCGGGGGGGGGCATAGCAGTAGACAGAAAGTCAGGGCCGCTGCCCCACGCACCAGGGCTCGTGCTAGTCAGACCAGTCATCTTCTCAACTAAAGATGTAAGCTTCTATGGCAGATCTCTCGTCTCTTTTCTGGCTGCACCATCAATGCTCACAACAATCCAGATTGCATTCATGATCCTTCATGGACTTTATGTCCCGGTAGCCCCTTGCAATGGCCTGTGAAAGGAAGACAAAAGGGGCCAGATTAAGGGAGCAGACTGCCCTGGCCTGTGAATGATATGTTTGGGCATACAGGCATAACACTGACATTCTTTGCTGTAAGAATTAATTGGTAGTCTGATCACAATCAGTTGTTCACGTCCTAGACTCAAGAGACCAAGGAACAAAGGAGAATGAGGACCTTGATTGGGATTGAGCCACTGTCTCAGCTGGAAATGCATGCTGAAAGCAACTTTCGCATATCTGAGGATGTCCAATCGACCAACTCAAACGGAGTGTTTTCTGCTTCTGAGCAATTCCTGCTTGAACCCTCACTGAAGTGTTGTCAACAGTGCCATGTCCAGGCACGTCTTAAGGAGGCTGCCTCTGCTGACAAGCAGCACAATCTTCTCCGCTGTCTCTGCAAGGGTTTCTTATCAGTTGCATTGTAAGATGTCTTTGGATGGGCTGATATGCACACAAGTTCCATCAACTTGTCAATGAATGTTAAACTGTGAAAATTGGTGCCATACATAGACGAGCTTGAGCCACGGAATAGTCTGCCCACATGGACAATTAGCAACCTTCACATCTGTGTGATGGCCCACAAAAGTAACGATGAGGCAAATGACTTTCAGCGAAGCTGCGAGGTTCTTCTTACTGCACCTGCTCAGATCCATACAAGCCTTCCGACGCAAGCAAGCATAGTCACAAGCCTGACTCAAAAGTCGCTCTTCCATGCTGCAGACTATGATCGCCTTCAACGGCTACCTTTCCAACGCAACTGAGCTCATCGGCACATTCACCACCTCAAGAACTGTGTACGAGACCAAACTTGGCGGCCTCATCCGGCGCGAGGCGGTGGTCCCCCCGGCCTGGTAAGCAACATGGTCAAGAAAGGGCAAGTCTAGTTGTTCCATCTCACAAGTGCTAAACGAATATGCCCAGGTTATCTGTATGTATGGGCCCTTCTGACTGCCATACCCCGCCCCTGTGTCCACTTCCAATCATATGAGAAGGACAGCCTCCTCTTGAGGGCTTCCAGGAGCAGAGCTCATCGAGTGCAGTAGCAGCAATGAATCAGCAACTTTCGATCCGTTTTCTGCACCGGCAAAGAGCTGAAGAGACACCCAATAACAAAAGGCCACTTCAGTGTTAGCAGAAACGCTAAACCAGAGAATGATTCGCCCGTGGTCTGGACCTCTGCAGGTGCATAAGAATCGAAAATATCCTCTTCTAGCCAGTGGCCTTTCCACTCGTTCAAATCGGTCTTTTTGGTAACCGGAACAAAGTCTTCTAACTGAGCTGCAGACCTTACTGGTGAAGACTCGACAGATGGTGAAATACTGTTCCACAGATCCGTCGCTAGTCATTGCTTATCTTCAAGGGCAAGCAGCAGATTTCACAGTCAGAGCATCCCTCGTCATGTCTAGCTCCCTTTCTCCTCTGTTCAGAAGAAAAGCTCCGTTCGTTCTTTAAATTTCAGCACTGTTGCCCTTGCATTTCGTCTCATCCCCACCTGCCAATCCAGAGAGCCGAACCAGGCCGCTTCGTGTCCTTCTTCGAGCGTCCATGATTACCCCTACTCCGAGAAGATTCCTCGCTTCGACCTCCCTATTTCCTCTTAGCTCTTTGCGCGTGCCAGATTCTTTCGCTTCCCCAAAGCTTCAATCACGATTTACACCAATCTTCACTCATCCAACTTCCAAACCCTTAAGGGCAGAACGCACATGGTCGTCGATTCCAGTCGTCTCCCTGAGTATGCGGTAAGATTCGAAAATGCTCGTATACAATCAAAATACCCCCCCAAAGAATAGAATTCCTTTCTCCCCCCAGGAAACTCTGCGGCAACAAGGACACGCTGGAGGCGGAGGTGGTGCTCCGCATGTACGAGCACCTGGGCGCCGAGAAGGCCCTCCCGCTGCTGCGCGGCCGCTTCGCCTTCGCGCTCTACGACTCCAGCAAGAACCGCGTCTTCGCCGCGCGGGATCCCTCCGGCCACTGCTCGCTCTTCGAGGCGGAAGACGAAGACGGCGGCCTGCTGATTTCGTCCTCCGAGGGGGTCACCGTCCCCGGGTGTTTTGACTGGGATGAGATCCCCCCGGGGCACTTCGTGCTGGGCCGCCGGCGGGGGCTGCAGGTAAGGCTACAAGTTAGGTAAAGTAAGCTTCAGGGAAAGTAGGCTAACCAGCCTGAGACCTGTGGGGTTAGTTTGGGGGTTTAGGGTGGGTACGGGTGCGGAGCGGGTAATATTGAGAGTTACTAGATATTCAGTGTTAGGGTAGGAGCCTAATAAACTTAAAGCTTACTTACCTAAATTGAAAGAAACATCTGCTGCAGCGCTATGCGGAGCCGGACGATCCCGAGTATCTGAAGAAGATGGAGGAGGCCAAGGCGGCGCGCGAGTTCGAGCAAGAGGCGCAGAACGAGCTGAGCGCGGGCGAGCGGTACAACAAGCTCATGGCGGGGCTGCGCTACCATGACAAGTGAGCCGCAGATGCGGTCTGGGGCACGTGACCTCGGAAGAGCTTCTTTTCGTGAAAGAGAGTTTCGTGATCGGAAAAGTGCAAAGCAGTTTGACCTCGAATCCAGGCGATGAGAACGTGCTCGCTGGAGCTCAACGCGCCCGTGCAACAAGGCCGGTCTCGTTAGCTTGGCTGGCGACGTGAATGCTGTTCAAGTGCTTGGTTCTCTGAAAGCTCTCGCCCCTCGTATTCTCGGACGCCCGTACTGGCACTTCTAAGCATGCGTGTTTGCACGAGTCTGCGAAAATCATAGGTCCTCTGAGATGATTCCCTCAGGACCGTGTATCGAAGCTTGATTGAAGGCCCGCACGCTCTAAGTATCACCGGTTTTTGCAGGCCGGGCGGTGGCGTCACGCGGAGCGACTCGTTCACCCACGTGGGGTCGCCCCCTAAGCCCGGTCGGCCTCCTCATCCGTCGCACCCAAAGGCCAGAGCTGCGGCTGTCGTGGGCCACTAAACGACCAAGAAACATGACCTTGTTTAGAGAGAGGAATTTGCACACCTTCAGTTAAGAGCGAAAGCTCACACTTGTGATGCCTTGCAAGGAGGTACAGTAGGTTCGGAGCATACAATGACGTCGTATCTGGAGTTGTTTGGATTGCAGCGCGATAAAGGCCGGTGCGAGACGGCTGTGTTTGATATTGTAGATGTAGGTGCTCTTGAATGGCTCGTACCATATGCACTTTTCGGTGGTCGAGGAGAGTTGAGGACTTCAGACTATCTTCCGATTGGACAAGACGCTTGATCAACCTCCTCTGACCTGGAGGTCAGTGGAAGCGCTGCGGCGGTTAGTACGTTTGGGGCTCCAAACTCCGACCATGCTATACGGGAGCCCAAAGATCATTTGCAAGAGTCGCAGATATGATGGCGATCTGAAAGAGTGGATAAGTAAGAAGAATTACATTCTTTAATTTAGGCTGCTGGCCGCGGTGCCTATAAAATGTGTGTGCTCAAAGAACGTGCAGTTCTGCATGACGATCTCCGTTCATTCCAGTTGCCATTTAGGCATGCCCGGCCCCGGCACTTGAGCAGCGCCAGTCGACCGTGTAGACGCGGGGGCGGGCCGTGTAAGCTGGCTGCATGATTGTAAGTTTACTCCATCATTCTAGCCGGCAGTGCTGGCATGCGTCCCCGCATGTGCCAGCACTGGCCGGCCGTCCCGGCCCTACCGTTCGACCTCTTTTTGAGGACGTAGCAGTCTCTTTTCAGTATAAAAATAGGGCTGTGATGCAGCGCAGGTCCCGGCGACGCACCGTACGCGAGTTCTAGAGCTAGCGACACATTAGGTTCGGCGCGGAGCTTGCATAACGGACTTTATTTTCCGACGTACGTACAACTGCAAACACTATCATCATCGTTCGAGCTCCTAACATGATGATCGCTAGTCCGACGCGAGATTGATACAACCTGTTTGGCCTGAAAGGGCCCGCGGATTGCACATGAACCATGCATGCGGGTTTTTATTGAAAGCATCGGTGCATGATCATCACCCGCCGCGCGGTCTAATGAGTCAAACAACCATGCCAATCTGCCATTGCAATAATCAATTACAGCGCGCTAGAGCTTATATACGCGGATACAAAGAGCTAGAAAGTCTTGGGGTCCATGCGCATGCATGCCCAATTCGCCGCTTATGCACATATGCAGCGCCGCCTGCATGACTTAATCAATAAGCTGCCATAAAACATGCCTGGGATCTCCGGTTGTTTGCATGATTTTACTGCCATGAGAACTTCGAAGACTGCATGGTTGAGTGAATCTCCTCTGGCGGGAATAAATCGAGCTTCTCATTCCCGTGCACCTGGCCCGCGCGCGCTGTCTCTTATTCTATACTGAATGTTTCCTCTCTGTTCAAGAAGTTGCGAAGCTTGGGCAGTCTCTTTTGACCGCCACAAACGCAAAGTTGCATCGTAATGTACACGTGGCCTGGCCAGCTCTAGGGCCGAATATCGTTTGCGGTCGCTTCACTTGTCTCGCCCTTCTTCCTCTTCACAGCTGCTCTGCTTTTCCCTTGCTTTCTCTCTGTTTTTGTAGCTAAGTCTCTGAAAGCTGATGGACACAAAGCGCTGATTCGACAGTCTCCACATCGTGGTCTTAGAGGCGTGCAAACCTGCAGCGTCGCGGGAGAATAACTTGACTGCGGATCCACACTGAGTTTCCGTCTCAAGCTGAGCCCAAGCATTGTCAACGATAATTCACAAAACTGTTGCGTCAAACACAGGGCATCGGATTCCTGTCAAATATCTGGCGGAGGGACGGACACCGAATTCCGGCGGGGGTGGTAACCAGTCCAAGTCGCGGGCATTGCAATCAGAGCTCAATACCATCACTGGCTTCTTAGCTTCATGAAAGACGCGCTCGGGCTCGAGCGTTCACACCAACAGATCGATGTCTGCATCGCGTCAAGAAGCACCATACCTGAAGAAAGAAACTGGGGCGGCGCTAACTGACGGGGAGAGCAGCCCCGTCGATCTCTGCTTCAGCCGAGCTTCATTGGTCAACTTCTGAAGTCCTCGAAATCCTAAATACTCTTGCCAAACCAAACGACTTGCCTGCTGTCCGAAGCCCACAAGTAGAAGGCTCGTCTCCGCCCACTGCGCTTTCGGCAGCCACGATTCGATCGCCAGGCGCGTCTGCTCGGGCGTCCGGTCGGGGGACGCCCATCCGAGCCGCTCGCAGACGCGACGCACGTGCGTGTCCACGATGAGACCCTCCTCGGGCCTGCGTGCAAGCAGATCACAGTTGTCTTGCACTGGCTACGTCTGTGGAAGATTCCGGAACCCTTCTGTGACGATCACGACTTGTCCTATGTGGTTCCCAAATATCAGCCGCTTGGATGCGGTCCACAAGTGCCAGCTGATTATCATTACTGATGAGAAAAGCTGTTTCAAAAAGCAGTGTGCAAAGTAGCTCGGCAAAACAATCCGGATACACCGTGACGTTGTGCAGACGATTGTAGATGGGACAATGAAAACACAAAACGAGGCCCTTACGGGACGCTTGAAGAAGCAAAATATTCAGCTTTCACCGATGCTAGCGTCATGCACGTGACGCTTTGAGTTGCTGACAGAGTTGCTGAATTCAAAGACGAGATAGGGTGACCAGCCTCTCAAGGAGGGCTCACATGTCAAAGGCGACGACCAGAGTCAAATGCGCGACCTTGGGACCCACCCCCGGAAGCTCCATCTGCACAACGCGCCCGTTATCATTGAACCAATACAGAGGCCCTTTCTTCAAACATTCGCCCTGCCGGTGTGAGCTTGCCTATAAAACTGCAAACCTGCGGCACGACCACAAAGTGACGAGACTCCGCCACGTCTTGAGCAGTGGGGATAGGCACCGTCCTGATCTGCTCGTAAGTTCAGTCATAAACATCGCAGAACGGCGCACAAAAACACTTGCAGAATGCGGAACTGAACGGCCTACCAGTTCGTTCACTGTGCTGGGCACGCGGCCGTTGTGCGGGGCAGCCGCCAGCTTCTGAGCCATGGCTTTCAAGTGTGCGCCTTTCTGCCTAGGGAGAGAAGAACGGGGAATCGAGGCAGGAACCGACATAGAGAGGAGAACCAGAGTCGTTTCCGGCCTAGTTCCGAGAAAGCGACCTGTTTGCGAAGCAATGCAAGATGGTTCTGACGATGTCAAGCAAGGGCACCAGATTGATCTCCCCACACGGCAGGGAGAGGGTGATTTCATTCGCAGACCCACCAACGAAGTGATATGAGCACCCCAGGCTTCTCTTCCGCTTTCCCAGATTTCTAGGTTTCTAGATCGCTTCTTTTCTTCTTTTAGGCCTGCCAGGCAGCACCCCCTTATCTTCAAGCATAACCCTTTCTGAGAAAGGCTCCGACAAACGACTGCTGCATGACGAAAAAAAGTAATATATCCACAGAAGCGCACCTGAAGAAGCCCACTGGGTGCAGGGTGCCCTGTAAACTCTCGACGCTCATCTCAGGGCTTGCTACATTGGCAATCGTCAGGCCGCCTGGCAGCGCCCGCAGTCGCAGCATCGCGGCAGCCGTGACTGGGTCTTTGGTCTGAGAGCTTATCATTGCAGCCACCAATGCTTGGAACCGTTGGGTTTCGAGGTCTGCTTCTGGGTCAACACACTGCCAAAGGAGAGGGAGGGAGTGAGCGATCTGTTGATGACCTTCTTTTGTCCGGAGCAAAGCTGGCTGCCTCACATAGGTCAACTTGCCAAGATTGTTACTGTGCAATTTTAAAGTTCAAAGCTTAGCAACTAGCAGCTGGGTCAATCAGGACTGAATGGTACACAAGAAAGATTGTCCTTTGGGAGGCCGCACAGGGGTGCAACTTGTAAGAAGGGGTTCATGGACAGACGAGCAGTCTGTGGAGGGCACATGGGGAAAGTGGCTGATGTCCTGAATTGAAAAGCCCCTGCCCAGAACGGCACATGCCAGGATCTTCTTTGTGTTCCAAAGGAGTAGGGCGGGCGGGGGCAAGCAGTGCCTATTGAGGGAATGACAGTTCAACGACAATGAGCGAAGAGTTGTGAATGTATCTTGAGATTACCTGCCTGGTGCCAAAGAGATCAACAGGGGCATCCCTTGCGGTCCGCATCTCCCTGCAAATACACACATTATCTGGTGAATGTCCCATCCAGCATCTATTGAAAAGACGGTGCTTCCAAATCCGTGTGCTGGCCTCACACGCTGTTCAAGTTCGTACATGGTTTCGCACCACCTAGGAGCAGATCCAACAAAATGCTACCCCAACTATAACGCTAAGGTGAATCGCTTTCTCAAGTTCGACGTCACTGCAAGGACTTTCACACAACATTGAAACTTTGCTAAAAGCCATCACAGCACATCAGTGCACACCACTTGCCCTCACCTGATGCCGTCGAGCACCTCTTTCCACCTTTCTGGGGCTTGTGCTGTTGCAGTGCCCCACTTAAATGCTCCCCGTCCAGCTTTCCTACCACGTTGGTTCGACTTTGCCCCAAACTTTCTCTCTGGAGAATCGTCAACGCCTGTAGCGCCTAGCACTTCCCCAGTGCATTCTGCAGAAGTATTGGCTCCCTGAAGCGGAGGCATTGCACCAAAACCTCCATCTGAGATTATTGAAACTCCACTGTTTCCAGCATTCGAAGCAAGGACGGCTAGCTCCTCTATGTCTGCTTCATCGCCATCAAGAAGGCCCACCCGACTTTTCTTCCGAGCAGCTGGGGGAGGGTTCTTTTTGACCCGACGCGACCCTGCAGTGGCAGAAGTGATGAAGCGGAATCGCTCAAGGGCCTCCATGGCAGCTGTCGCCACGACTGTGCGCAATCCTGGAGGATGATATCTAACCAAATTCTGATTCATGTGTTGGGCTCCTTGAACACGGGGGATGTGAGCAAGCTAGCGCTGTTTCAGCTAGGCAGCAGAAGAGCGCGCTGGAAACTAGGAAAGGGTAGCAACTATCCAGCAAAGGACTCGGACTGGACGAGGTCGACAATGGTCCCACAGTTCAACCGACAAAGGTTCGTATTGGCTTTCACCCTGTACACGTGGCTGCACCGCTCACAGCCTCACACTGCTCCTGACTCCGGCGAGTCCACGGCTCTCGAGTCTCGCGTGCCCCATCTCTGCTTGCACAAGCAATGCTGCCTCTCTTCAGCTTGAAGTTCAGGCACACACACACACAGTGACACAGTTCAACTTCAGGGGCAAGACGAAGAACGCAAGATTGATATCCTCCGAGTTCAACGGCAATGTGGGGCACACTGGCCCGTGAGGTCAACTGTCCCGTTATGGTGGCAGAGCCCGGCGGCGCCACGCTGCTGGCAAGCACCCAGTCTGCATGCAGCCTTTGTATAAAGTGCGCCAGCGGGGACAGATCTTAGGCGCCCAGGGACTGACGTAGCGCGCAAACCATGGCTGAGGCTCACCTTGTAAAAAGCTGCTCGCTCGGGCAGGCCGCCAGCTGTCACGTAGCCCCTCACATCAAAAACTCGACAGTGCGGAATGCCCGTTTTTCTCCAAAGATCTCTAGATCTAATGCAGCCCAAGCTGCCGGCTCGCGGCATCATCGCACCCACATACCCCTGCAGACCTCCTCTTTCACGTCTAGCAGCAATCACATTCTGAACCCTAAAAGCAGATGTAAAGAAACTAGTCCACGACGCAGCGGTCGGAGGGGCGCTCGATGTGCCCTCGAGTTGCTAGATTCGCTTCACGAGATCGGGACGCATGTCGGGCAGCTTCCGCAGGTGATCGAGGGGCTTGCTTCGGCTGGGACGCTGCCAGGGGTGCCGGCGGAGTTGCTGCAGACGGGGGCGAACGCGATCCGGGAGTTTCAGGTGGGGAGAGCGCCATGGGGTTTTGTTTGAATGCATTCTTCCAGCTTTGGGACAACTTCTCTTTATGACCTCCTTGCGTACATGCTCGGAGATTCTCTTAGGCAGGTGCATTTGACTGCTGTGCGAGAAGTAGTGCTTGCGCACCCTGGCGGATCATGAGTTGCAATGCTGGCAGCATTCGTCCACGCGGGTCTCTCGCACTCGCCACCTTTTCCTGGCTGCTCGTCCCCCGCCTTTTCATAGGCTCCCATCCTGGTCCCGAGAACGTCGATTAATCAGCCCCATACAGCAGTGCAAAGCAAGACAAACAATTACATGTGCGCCGAACGCAGGCCTAGGCACAACTCCAGCTGTATTCTGTCTACCCGCCTGGTGAAAGCAGAACTTATTCACTCCCTCCCCCCCTGGTATCGCAGGCCCTCCCCCAGGAACAACAATACAAGCTGGCGGGCGGCGCCGGCGGGGGCTGGCTCTACCTCACCGCGCGGCCGGGCGTCTTTGCGGGGGCGGTCGACGCCTACCTTTTTGCGCCCCTGCAATTTGCTCTCGATGTCGCGCTAGGCCGGCGCCGCTACAAGCGCACCGACTTCGTCCTCGGAAACCGGATCGGGGAGGGCAGCTTTGGGACCGTGTACGAGGGGGCGCTCGTCGGCGACAAGATTGACACCGACGACGACCTGGGCTCGCGGGGCGTGCGGCTGAACGAACTGGAGAAGGGGAGGTTCAAGAAAGTGGTGTTAAAGAAGGTGAAGATCGGGGTGGAAGGGGCGGAGGAGTGTGGGGAGATGGAGGAGTGGTTCAACCGGCGGATGCAGCGTTATGCACCCGGAATGTGCGCTGAGTACCTGGGAAGTTTTATCGCGGACAAGACCAAGGGACAGTTCAGCAAGGGGGGCCGGTGGCTTGTCTGGAACTACCAGGTGAGGCGGACGCTCATTGTGAATCTACTCAATTAAGGGGTTGGTTTCATTTCCGCTCCCTCTGGTTATAGTTTTAGACGGTGCACAACCTTGCCAAGCTCCTGTGAAGTCGTTGGTGTCACCACTTGTGCTGGTCATACTTCATTTCTGCTGAGATTGTCTCGCCAGGGATGCTAAAAACCGCTCATATCATGGAAACATCAAATTCCTTTGATGGCTCGAACTTTTTTCGAATATAGGCAATACCCGCGCTGACGGAGATTGCAAATTCTCAAAGTTGCAGCGGACTTTTTAGTTCTCCGGTGTGCCCTTTGAACCGCTCATCTGTTTGCTAGGGGCAGGCTCCAACCTTGTCCAACCACTGACGTTGCCTGACGTGCGCAGCTCCCTAGCAAGAGTGATCGACAATCCATTATATCTGCATGCTCAAAAATTTCAAGTATTCAGATTGCTGAGTGGTTCACAAAGGGAGCTTTCGTTTCCAGTAACGACAGACCTGCCAAGACATCTGCACCATTTGAGGCCCGCAGGATTGGCGGTTGGACAATTCCGGACCGTGCAATTGGCTTTGGGAAGCGATTGAACGGTCCAAGATCACATAAAGCAGAATTCGAGTTCGCGAGAGGGTTGCAAGTACTACACGACAGGTGTAACTCCTCACTTGTTGTTGGTCGCAGTCGGACGCGTCTTTATTAGACTACATGAAGGACCGCGACTTCCCGTACAACTTGGAGCGGCCGCTGTTCGGCAAGAAGCTGACGAAGTACGACTCGGTGCGGCGCCAGAGCCTCGTCATCAAAAAGGTGGCGCGCCAGATGTTCCTCGGACTGAGAAAGTGAGACCGTCTGGCAGCTGCAACACTTTCCTTTTCATGGTCAATAGAGACGTGGCTGGAAGAGACTGCTTGGCTACAAGCGAGCACCCACGAAATTCGAACAGCGGTCTCTCAGCATTCCGGATACCGGGTTACGAAGCGTTTGGTTGGGTCAAAGCGACAACTGGCTGGGGTGTAATCCCCTGACGGTCAACAGCCCTTCTCGTCTTCTGTGGTTTTTCAAGTATTCTGGGTAGTCTCTGCCACTAGACCCTGTTCGTCATCCTTCCTCGTTCATGGAACCAATCTCCGACGTCAATGGTCAACTTTGCTCCCGCTGGCAATTTCTGAAAACACACTGGTGTGAATGCTGCATAGAAGGCCTCGCATAAGCCATTGCTTCCGTCAGCAAACCGATCGTCTCACCTCTTTGCCACGCTGAAGCCCAGCCGCTTCATACTACATAGTGAGACTTTAGAGCAACAAGCCCGAATGGAAGTTTACGATTCCCAAGCCGGTCTCGAAACTCGGACGAGCTTTGCCTAGCGATTTGAATTCCAATTGAACCTTGTTACGAGCGCACAATGTTGTAACCCTGTCCTCCCCTTGCGTTATCTGGCGGAGCTTCGCTTCGTCACTTGTAGCAGAGGCCTTTGTGGCAGACCGAATAGCACATGCTCTTGTGAGTCCTGTTCACCGAGTTACCTCACCCCTCCGACCGAGTCCCCGAAAGGGGCCGGAGTTGGAGCATGCCTTACGGAGAATTGAGGAGTTTCAGAAGCACACAAGCGCTTGCGTCAGAGAACGAGCGAGTTTTCGAACGGCGCTGATGGCCGACCTGTGCTTTTGCAGGTTGCACAAGACCGGGATCGTCCATAGGTGAGCGACTTGCTGCCTTTGATTGAGAACGGCGAACGGTTTGGCTTTGGAAAGGCGTTCGAGGTGTGGACACATCTGGTTCGGGAGTCATTGTTCGTCGCTTTCAGATGTCGACTGTCAACTTGCGACATGTCAGGAAGCAGTGATTGCTGAACTCCCGAAGAGCTGACCGCCTGAGGTTTCAGGTAGCGCTCGGCTTGCTGCTAGCCTTTCTCCTCGCATCCGAAATGAAGCAAAAAAACAACCCATCTTCAAGAGTTTGAACCACGCACTGGAGCCCCTCCCGCTGACGTCACTGCCGATTGCTCGCCAGGGACATTAAGCCCGCCAATTACATCATCACGGACCGCGGCCGGGTAAAGCTCATCGACTTTGGCGCCGCCACAGACCTCCGGGTGGGCAAGAACTACACCCCTAACAGGGGGATCCTGGACCCGGACTACTGCCCCCCCGAACAGTACGTGCTCCCAGAGACAACCCCCGCGGCGCCGTCCGCCCCGCTGGCGGCGCTCGCCTCGCCGTTCCTGTGGCGGGTAAGCGTCATCATGACGTGGCGCGCCGCTTCTCAGCGAATGAGTGCTCCTTTAAGCCCCCGAATCTTGCCTTGGAAAACACACGGTGACCCATTTTCGAGAGAGTCGCACATAGCGCGGATGACTGGAGGAAGAAGAGCTGTAAGTCGGTGATTCGGTGTCAGGAATCGCCGGAGCCTTGAGACGTGGTGCACATGAAGTTACGCGCAGTAGGACCGTCTCGTTGTTCAGGCACTTTTCCTGTTAGCAACGGTCGTCCTCGCTATACTTTCACGCCTCATCTTGGCCCCTGCTGTAGTGACAATCAGCCCTGCAGTCAGGTGCGGTTTGTTGCGATCCCGAAGCAGGCCTCGTGCACGACGTTTCGGTGGATGTTGTTTTGAAAGGGTTGGAAACAATCTGCAAGCGAGGACTTTCGAGAATCCAGACTGCTGACGTCAGCACCGCGTCTCCCGCCGCGCAGCTCTCCCACCCGGACCTGTTCGACACGTACTCCGCCGGCATCGTGATGCTGCAGATGGCAATCCCCACGCTGCGCACCGACCTCGGCCTCGGGTCGTTCAAAAAGGAGCTCGAGAGCGTCGGGCACGATCTGCGAAAGTGGCGGGAAACGACGCGTCTGCGCGCGGACTTTTCCGTGTTGGACCAGGACGGCGGCCAAGGGTGGGATCTAGTGTGCAAGCTGGTGTGCCCCCGAGGGCCGCTCTTCAAGGGCCGGCTGTCGGCGCCGGAAGCGCTGCGGCACCCGTACTTCATCCTCGGCAGCGATCAGCTGGCCACCATTTCCGCGCGGCTGTCGAGGTCGAAGGATTAATTCGAAATTTGAGAATAGTACGCCTATTTTTTGCTTCCTGCTCCATTGACTGATTGGGACATGCACTGAGTTCAGACACTGTTACGTGTTGAGATGCGCCGGATGTGTTAAAAACGATGCCCTCTGCTTACCAACCATCCAATTAATTGCAGTCGCACTGTCATTGGTGATGGATGGCGGATCAGTCTTGAGGTTTGAAGTTCCATGGGCCTTATGTCTCATCGTTATCAATATAATGTCACTTATGATGACCAGCTCTGCTACGAGTGTTCGGGTCATGCAGGCCCGCACTGCAGGCTGGTATCATCGCAGCCGATTCAGTGATGCAGCGCCAGGCATGTGCACATAAGCATGTGACATGATGTAATTTGCATGCACTGCCGAGAATTAACCATATGCATTTCAGGGTAAGCTCGAATCGACAGAGCGCGCGCCGGTTTGTCATCAAAATTATTCGACATACTTTTGAGCAACGTAAGTTGCACACAAGCTCCGCGCCATGTTGGTTTGTGCGGCCCTGCATGCACTGCCGGGGTACGTGCCTGGCCAGCATGGATTAAGAATATATAAGTGCGGCTCACACAAAAAAAGTGCACATGATGGGGCGATCGTCTTGCACGAACTTTCAGTTGCGGACTTGAGCTGTAGTGCGGAAGCTAGCCTCGTAGCTTGACATGTATATGCTAGCATAGCAGTAAATGTTCGCAACTTATTTGAGTAGTCCAATGCGCAACCAACCATGACGAGTCCGCGACTTGTATGTTAATCATCGAGGATCATGAAAACAGGCACATCAGGATTATGGTGATCGGAACCCGCGTAACCCAAAGCCAGTGACTTGGCCTGTACATGGCTCATAAAAATCATTTTGTCAGCTAGCCAACTCTAGCAGGGGGCCGCTCCTAAACGAGACCATACAGAGTGCCGGAAATGTCACAGTGTAGGGTGCTATAGAAAAAGCCCCTGGCGCTTCTAGACAAAGTACGCCGACACTCAAGCGTCAGAGCAAAGAACATGCTCCTCTAGTACCTTCCTCGCAAACTGAGCCTTTACAGTTCATATACCTAGACTGTTCTACCGTATGCTTATGACGCTGGCCAACTGGATAAACTACTCCGTCCAGTGAGCACCAATCGCACACACTTATGAAGCTTAGATACGGTAGGCAAGAAGTCGCTACTTCCTTACAACTGCTCTACACGTCTTTCAGTGCCGCCAAAGAACTGATCATCGAGCATCATCTGATGAAGCGTTCAAACACTGAGTGCTAGCTCTAACGTACAGGTCTCACCAACATCTCTTCAAGCAGAGACTCACAACGCATGCTTCTCCAGCATTTCACCGCTTTCGATTGCAGTATGCGGCGGAGTACTTGGTTCTTCAGCCGCTCCTGTCACTGCATTTACAAAGCCAGGTTTTGCAATCTCAGCCCCAAGAATGCAATCTTCCTGCAATCTTTCTCTGCATTTCGCTACTTGTGAATGCATCGTCCATCTCTTATTTTGACGCAACTCTAGTTCTGGTATTTCACGTCTTCTGTAACACTCTTTGTCAAAGATCGAGGCTTTTGCAACAAACAAAACTTTCGCTGGTGTATAGATGGCCATGGGCACGCCTACCACCACTGACACCATACGGCTGCAAATGAGATGCGCTTTCCTACAGGTTTCCCAAATCCAAACCCCTCGGTCTGCTTGGAGCTCACTCAAGAAGGAACGTACAAAAAAAGCCCAACGATTGGGAGCAACTGTGAGCGCCGACTCCGGAGTTCCTCAACCTTGTCGCTTCGGTTGCTACTCGACACTTCTTGAGGTTGCACCAACCCGGAATCGTCACCTCAGTCCCTCATTTCAAGGGAACGCAAGGACCAGCCCTGCAACGGCACTCTTTGACCGTCTCACCTGTCGTTGTTTGCGTCTTGTCCTGCGACCGCTGCAAGTCGTCGGCTGCCGCCGTTGCTACCACCGCCTGTGCCTCGGTAATGACCGTTGGGCTGTCGTCCGCAGCGTACAAGATCTTCTGAACCGCCACAACAACCTGCACGACCCCGACAATCTTCTTCAACTCCTCTTTCTCGGCCGGCGATCGTTTCCGGTCAGCGAACTTCGAAAGAGTATGCAGTATCTAAGGCCAGCTTTGTAAGCTTACTTGTACGCTTCCTGAGCTGACACCTAGTCAGTCCGTTGGGCCTTAGTGAGGCCAAAGAAAACACGGAACTGCCGCACAGAGCATCAAGTGTCCCGATTGTTCGGGAAGGCGACACGTTGGACGGTTGATTCAACCGATTGCAATACCTTTCACGCACTGTGCACAAGCTGGCTCTCGATACGGAGCATCTTCAGTGTCTTGCAGCAATACATTGGCGAAACGAGGCAGGCTTTAGGACTGCTCAGAGTGACGAGAGGTGTCAAGGGATGGACCACGCACTGGCAGAGTTGCTAGCTCCGGCGTCTGGCACAGAATCTCAATGTCTCGCAGCTTGGCAAAGTAGAAGTCCCGCTCCTTCTCCAAGCTGTCTACCGAAAGCTTCAACTCTGTAACCTGCAGGAAGGAGATTCCACAAACTGTCAGTCCGCTGAATGGGCTGAGGATAGCGACAGGAATTTTGTGCTGCATAGATTGTCTAGTGCTTGACATCGATCACTTGCGCCAACATCTCAAAGCGGTGTTGCCGTACTTAGTACAATGAGGTCTTTCCTTAACAGCAGATTGGCAGGATCTCGATCATCTACGAACAATACGGCTAGTAATCCTCTAGCGAAGTCTCTACAAAGACGGGCTCACCTGTTCATTGAGCCGTTGGACTTCCTTTTCCAGCTGTGGGGATGAAGATGCAGACCCGTTTGACATCGATGCCCCTTTCAACCCTACCCTGACTGGCATTCGAAGGGAGGAAGAAGTCAGAAGTTTTGTGAAAGGAGAGCCATCAAAGACACCATCAAAGACATCCTTTACGAGATGGTAAGCTTTGTGATCCTGAGATGCACTTTGAAGAAAGCCTGTTGACGGGATTTTCACCTCCAAACTGCACCGATCCAAGATCATAAAAGACGAGCAGGATAAGTGTGTAGAAAGCTCAAGCTTTCAGACACCCTACCTGTTGTCTCTGACCCACGCCGAACTGCCGACCGAGGCCTTGCAGCAGCCCCAGAAGAAGATGATTCTCCGGCGGGCCTAGGAGCAGCAGCTGCGGCACCTCCAGAGGCTGCTACTTTTCGAGACGCGCTGGCACCGCCCTTACTCGATCCTCTCCTCTCCACAGCGTCGTAACTGTGCAAACTTTTGCGCGTCAGCAGGAACAACAACCGACGATCATCATGTACGTTGTACTTCGGGAGATTAGTGGTAACTGATCAACCTTTGAACGCCCTCAATTGGCATAAAGACAGAGTGCTAGAATCCCAGGATAAGCTTTACCATGTGGTAAAGTAACAGGGCAGTTACTAAGGAATGGGCGCACTAATCACAATAGTAATTCATTTGGACTCTCTCACAGCAAGCCATCGATGGTCTCTGAGCTTCTGAAATTGCGTCGATGCACTGAAATCACGAGCTTTAAATGAAAGGACGTGCTTGCACCAACCTTGAGCTCACCACCCCGCCATTGATTGAGTCACAGTAGCGCTTCAGCCACTGCAGGAACTCCAGATTGTCCAAAGGCCGTGCCTTGACCAACTTTGCCACCTCAATGTACTGCAAGAATCGGTATCCGAGAAAACATAAGGCTTTCAACTAGCATTGTCAATGGTTTGACCATATTAACAACCGCATAAGCTATCAAGCAGCTTAAAAGCAGTGCTATTGGTATAGCAGTGCCTGTTGAGAATCAAGACTTGTGGCTGCCTTGGTACGGTTGAGAATCCAGAAAGATTGGTCTGGAGCACTTCTCATGCATTCTTCGAACCTTACCTTCTGGATTTTCAGCTTATTGAAGACATCTTGAAGCACCTTGTAGTTGTTGATCATCTCATACTCGCTCCTCGCTTCAAAACTCACCTGCAGAGAGAAACTTGGAGGTTGTCCTAGGCAATGAGAATTAGGGTTTCTTGGCTTACCACGCAGGTCACTTATCCAAGCTGAACATGTTGATTCTACGGGGTTTTGAAAGGTGGCTTACATATCTAAAGGCCTTCAGTCCAGGCCTCCTAACATCAAAGCGAGGGCACCAAAGCAAGTGGGAGCATCTTACGTTAAGAGGGAGCTGACTCAGTGTCATTTTAGGTGGTACAAGATGGGCTTATGAAAGAAGGTTTGGCTGGAAAACTTGCCTTGTGCATTGGCACCTGCCCTGGATGGGTGGCGTCCATCAACTGACAAGCTACGGCACCATTGGCAGCCTGTACAACAGTTATAAAGATGAGCAAACCGTCACATAACTTAGCACTTGATGAGATTGCTTGCATGCTCAGCAACTGGAATCAATTCACTCAACAGTGATCTAGGAATCGCATTCCAACTAATTCTGTCTCACCTCCTCGACTTTCTGAAGGTTCAGTGCAAGGGTGTTATTGATCCAGGACAGAATCTCCCCTCGTCCAACGAAGTACGCTCCATCCATCATACCGATGTTTGCCGCCATCTTTGCGAATGCAATATCGAACCTGCTTCTGTCTGTCAAATGGCTCACAAAGTTGACGGTGAATGTGTGCCAAAAGCTTAGCAGGGCCTAAAAAACCTGAGCATTGAGAAATTCTTTGTCGCAGAGGGCTTCAGTCTCAGCTCAGGGCTGCAATCTGCTAGGAACTCTGGCTGCTGGGCCAACAAATCTAGAGAGCGAGCAAAGGCGCCGAGCTAGCAGCCTCATGCAGCACAGTGGAAGTGTAGATTGAAAGAAGTTCTTGAAACGAGCAGGTTTGCCGGCTGACTTTTTGAAAGGTTTGAAATGCATCGATCGTAAAAAGGCGGCGGCCGCCGCGGCCGGGCGACCGCAAGCGGCCGCGTGGCAGACTCCAAAGGCCGCCGGCAGTCCGATCTGCAGACTCCAACCAATGATTGCCGCAGGCTAGTAGCGGCTGGCACTTCTTCTGTACGCGCGCAGACTCCTGCAGGACCACGTGCTGAGGAACAGGGCCTTCCCGGTGATTACTACGTATGGGTGGGACCATGGTAGGCAGTAGAGTCTACCGGTCCCTTACCGCGCGGCGGGTTACTGCCTGGTAAATGGGGTCGGGGCCACGCACATGCCCCGGTCATTTAATGGGGGAGAGCGGTTCAAACTCCCGGGCCGGAGGACGTTCGCCACGTGCATACAACAGAATCGCATGCTGGCCAACAATTCTTCGAAGTGGATAATTTGAGCGATGCAAGCGCCATCGTTAGCCGTCCGATGAATTTGGAGGAGTAAGATGGATGGCCAAGAAGAAGTGTCAGGACTTGGCAGGACTCGGGATTTGCAAACGCAACAGCAATCGCGAAGAAAGAGCACTTCCTGCTTCCTGCCTCCTGAACGACCTTTTCCGCCGCCATTGACAGCCTTTGAGAAGCATTTCTGTGCTCTAGGAAGCCCCGGCTTTTCGCGCAAGAGCTGCTGAGGACTGGCATTGTCTCCAGAGTGCAACGCCATCTGCAACCATGCAGGCTGTTGCTCAAAATGCGGCTTCGGGTCTTCGGATTCCAGTAGGATGTGGGGCGCTGGAGAGCATGTGTGCTCAGCAGAGGGTTCATCAAAGCCTCCCCGCTGTGAGACCGCAGAACAAACTTTCGTTCTCGGCTTCAGCAAGCGACATGTTTGCCTGCTACTTGGGGAGCAGCCTGCCTGGGGCCGCTGCATTTAGGCAAAGTAGGAGGCCTGCCCGGGGGGTGGTAGTCATGGGGGTGCCGGAGCAGGTAGCCAAGGGGTACGCTCAGGCTTTGATGGAGCTGGCTCAGAGCAAATCCTGTCTGGAGCCGATCCATGCCGACATGGAAAAGTTAGAGGCCCTGATAGAGAACCAAGATGTTGTCAACTTCCTGTATGACCCCGTCGCTGACATTGGCAAGAAGCAGAAGTTGCTCGCCACGCTCGGCAATGACGGCGGGTTCAATAAGTACACCATCAACTTCCTCAACCTCCTCATTGAAAAGAAGCGCATCAACACAATTGCATATGTCATCAAGGCCTTTGACGACTTGTACAATGATAAGACCCAGACACAGGTAGCGACCGTTGTGTCGGCTGTCAAGCTCGAAAACGCACAGCAAGCCCTCATTGCCAAGAAGCTGCAAACGCTAACAGGGGCCAAGAACATCAAGTTGAAGAACGAGGTGGATCCCGAGTTGATCGCAGGGTTCGTGCTCAAGTACGGTAAGGGGCAGTCAGAGGAGATTGACTTCAGCGTCAGGGGTCAATTAGAAAAGTTGAGGATGGAATTTGAGAGTGGGCTAGGAGCGGCAGCCGAGGAGGCAGAGGAGAAGGTTGCGGCATAATCGGGCAGACGGCATACATGTAAGAACAGCCATTGTTGTGGCGGATTCACATCTGAGCTACTGCTGGAGTAGATACTGCTGAGTAGACCAAGCACATTCTTATGGCTGATGGCCGTGATGTAGAACAAGGTGGCACGAACCTCACAGTCCTGATGTTCCTCCACCTTGATTCAGAGGTACTCAGGTGCAGCAATTATGGTTAGGACAGACAATGCACTAATCTTGATAGACGATCTGGACTGGATGCTTCTGGAAAACCCTCAATCTGGAGGAATAATTGAATAACGGCTTTTTTGCTCCTCACTTCCAGACTTGCCTTGTCCCTCTGTCGGCATTGATGCTATGAAGCAGCTGCTGCTCGGCAAAGTTGGGTGTTTACAGACTCTGCTCTTCGGAGTTTTTTGAAGGAAGTGGGTAGAAGGGAATCTGGGGAAGCCTTGCACTCCTTCGAATGCAAGGCTCTGTAGTGCCGTGTCATCAAGTCCTTGGATCAGCATAGAGCGTTGTTTGCTGCAAATGACCTGCATTTTTCCATAGGTGGCATGCAGCCGCCAGTTGATCTTGCTTGATACCTAATGGCACTGAAATTTATGGGCTGCTTTTCTATCCAAAAACTTTGTGGCAAGTTTAAGTGTCAGTCTGACGTGCAAGGGAGTGGCAAGGGCTGCTTGTGTGAGGACATTGTTGCGTGCAGCAACTCTCGAGTGTTGGTTGATCAGGGCAGCTCTTTACATTGAGGTAACGCACGTGCTCTTGTACCATATATGCTCCAGAATCAGCCATTACCCTGTTGTGAGCATCTCTTCTGGCCCCTGGGTGACAGCATTGCAGTCTCCGAAGTAAAGCACAGGTCTCATTAGGGTTGCCTTCAGTGTCAGTCACATGGGCTGGCTGAGTTCATCCTTGAGTATTGTGCGGCAGTTCTGCAATGTTGAGCATTTTGTTTTAGTGTGCTTCTGGTTTGGAAGGTATATTATGCTGATCGGGATTCGGAAGACATCTGATGCATACACCCTTGTTAGGAGCACTGTTATGTGCTTCTCTGGAAGGAATACCATCCTGAAAGTGTACTGCATTTCAAGCATTTTTTTTTTGAATCCATCTCACTGAGCTCAGGCCCTGCAGTTCTGTGTCCACTGCAGCTGATGTCTTGGCAGTGCCACAGTAACGCGTTGTTTCAAATCATTAATATGAAACTATGAGAAGAGTTCATGATTCTCCGCAAATGCTGCATGATTGCCATACACATCAAATCAACAAACCTGTACCGCCTTCAAATGCATTCACCGTTTGCCTTGGTGCAAAATATGGAGCTGCACACTGAAACTGAGCCGGATGGCCTCCAGGCATTCGCACCCAGATAGTATGCACAATCATGGTGCAGACTAAAAGGCTGGCCGGGCTGTCAAGTGTATCTTATTGGTTGTGCAAAAGCTTTCATGCATGTTTTCGAGACCACCTTCATGGAATTGTACGGCCGTCTGACTGAAGCCTGCATGATAGCTATTCAAACCCATACTTCTTCACCACAAAAAGCTTCTGCCCCGCGGGTGGCGCCACAAGCTCTCAGGCCACATGGTCAATGCCAGGTGCAATGCATCATAATTGTCACCAAGCTCCACCGAATGATGCCGCATTTCTTAATGCATATTAAGGATTGAGAAAAGCCAGGATCTCAAACTTTGTTTCGTAATAATCGACACGATTGCTCTCCTTCAGTCCTAGTTTGACCTCAACTGTACATTTAGTGTGCACGACTGATTCACTCATGCTATAAGAAAAGTTCCATCTGCACAACATTTGTGAGCAGACAGTATCGGTATGCTGCTCATGATCTATCTACAAGAAATCCTTCTGAATCATGTCCTTCAAAAGTTTGATCCTATCGATGACCTTGGGCCTCATCAAAGCCGCCGCCTCCTTGAGCATCGTCGAGGCTTTTGCTCCAGTGAAGTAGGCTTTCAATACGCTGCTGACCACTTCATACAGCGCCTCTGGCGTCCTGCACAGTGAGGAGAGAAGCCTACGTCATGCAACGCGCACATGAACATGAGTACAGCTCAGGCCAAGCCCCGAATACACTCTCTCTCAACCTCCTATCACGACAAGCTCGTCCCTTCCGTCCCTTCACTTGCTGACGGAGAAAACAACCAAGGCTAGTCTGAAAACGTGCACTTTGTTGTCCCAATTGTTTCAAAGGTAAATAGTCGACAAGGAAGAAGGGTTCGCATCTGCTTTATAACAAAATGGTTTAAAAGGTGAATTCAACCGCCTTGGCAAAGCGGTCGCCCTCAATTGGACTGCAAACCATTTGCTTTTAAGCGCACTCAAAAGCGAAAAGGCAGTTACGATTCTGGGAAAGGCGCAATCTACAATAACAGTGTGGGTTAAAGTCCGTCCTCAGACGTGACATGGCCGTCTCTAAGTCGTTGACGAGTTCGCGGTCAACCAGACAGCAAGCCCTCTGGTTTAGAACGCGAAGAAACCTCTAGACGTCTTAGAAAATACAATCTAAAAGATTCCGGTCTAAAGCAACCGCGACCTCACGCGTAGAGCGTGGCCATTCCCGCGTCTTCAAAGGGGCCGCTCGCCCGCTGTCGCTGGTCAAGGTAGGCATCACAATCAATCATGTTTACAAAACTGCAACAAAACCCTCCAATCAACTGACACCAAATCCAGCCGCAACCAGAGCACCAAAACAATCTTTAGCCATGACAGAAGTCCCCGGTGCAGGCTTACGTGTAGAGCATGGCGTTCTCCGCGTCTTCGAAGGGGTCGCTCTCGTCGCCCGGCTCGAAGGCCTGCTCGAGCGCGCGGTAGCGCTCCTGCGGGTCGTCGATGGTAATCAGGTAGCGCAGGATGCGCACCTCCTTGGGCAGGTACATCTGCTGGCTCTGCTGCGCCTTGAAGTACATGTGCGCCATGATGTCCTTCACCTGCGGGGAGGAGGCACACCACACTAGTTGGTCAGTACGGCCAGAAGCAACCGTCACTGTCACCGTCAATGATTTGAAGTAATTTAGGACGTCATGTCTACTGGCATGCGCTATGATATTCTTCACCTGCAAGGCGAAACAACACCACACTAGTGGTTCACCGGGGGCCAGGAAGACACGACAGCCACTTGCTCTCAAGAGATTGGGTCGTCATGACCAAGAAGAGGGTAAGAGGGTGCGCGCGCGTTTTCAAGGAAGACGCGTTAGGACGGAGACAGTTCTTTGAATACAAACAAGTAGACCATCACGCCCTCAAAACGAGGAGGTAACCTAGGTTCAGAGAGATCCAGTGGCGCTCAGCATGTTCTAAATTACGGCACTGCCTCTTCTGAGCAGTGTGATGAGGAGAGGTCGGTGTGAGAGGGGAACATGTCTGTGTTGACCCACTCCTGAAAGCGAAACCGCAATCTCTGGTAACAAACGGCGGAAAATAGTGTTGACGCCGGGCCTCGACCTAGCCACGTCCCCACATTGGCAGGAAACTGCCCGCAGGGGTTGAGGTCGCCAAAGTGCTGGGTGCTATTTCCAAGCAAAGCTGCTCTCACAAGCCACGATAGCCCAGTGTCGCCACGACAAGACCTGCACTTTATTACATTGCGACTCTAGCTCATGCGCTCACCATCTAAGAAAGGACGAAATCTTTGATATCCTGGCCTCCAGTTTGCTCCTGTCGGTGTTTGAAACCAAGTAAGACCACCTTCCGTCAAAAAGCGACCGCTGATTGACCTCCTACCCTCGCTACACCTCCCAGCTTCACACGACGAAAACGAGAGTCGTCAACACTAACCTCGTCCCTAACCAGGTTCGTGTCCTTGGCCGCGCAGTACGCCTTGGACATGGTTAGCAGGAGCGCGGGGTCTAACCCGCCGGTTTGCGCGAGCTGGTCGATTTTGCTGTCCAGCGTGGAAAGGTCGGGGGAGTCGAGCAGGCCCAGGAACTTTTCTTCCGCTTTGAGCATCAGCGCTTCGTCCTTCTGAATGTTGTCGTGTACCTGGATCGCTGTGACCAGCTTCGCCGACAGGTTCACGAGCTCTGCGCAGGTTAGCGGGAAAGTGGGTTAGAAGGGTTGGAAAACGCTAGCTTGACGAACTGGATAACAAAATCCGCCGAGGTTAGTCGAGAGTGGGTTAGCGGCAGTCGCAGCTTACGAAAGATAATGACGAGCTGTGCAAAGGGTAGCGGGAAAGTAAATCAAGAGGGGTTTAGTGACTACGCAGGGACACCTCGAAAGGATTAACTAGCAGACTTGCTGAAGTTCTTACTTTGCTGAGCGGCTCCGCAAATGACAGCGCAAAAAGGTTCTCAAGCTCACGAATGAGCGTCACCAACTTCGCCGACAACTTGGTGGGCTCTAGGATGTCAGGACTGGCGGCAATTGAGGAGGAAGACAGGGCGAAGAGAAGGTATGAAGGAATAAAGACACGTAAGGGTTTTTGCAAACATCGAATGGGACAGAACACCAGAAAGAGGTGGCAGAGTGACTGGATTTGAACGGGCTTAACAAACCCAAGAAAGATGTACTTCCTAGTGTAGCATCAAATAACGAACGCTCCTTGAGAAAAGACACCACAGTTAAAGAGAATGAGCACCTCAAACGGCCCTTCAAATCAGCCGGACAGGTCTGTGCATCTGAACATGGTCGGCAGACAGAAGCGCAGCATTGTCCATGAGACTAACGTCACCAAGACATCGGAGGTAGCCAAGGAGAGACTCTCAAGACAAACCGAGACACGTCCATTTATCGTTAAAATCGTCAAAAACGACATCCGAGTATGACAGCAAGGAACGATCAAGCACAGGAGTGACCTGTTCCTGGGCTGAGAACAGCAACTGACAACGCAAGCATTACAGATTCTGTCAGCAGTTCCCTCATTCCGCATCATGGTTGGTCAGCACGGGTGACTCAGCTAGAGCTAATATTTTGTAATCATGGGGAACTGCGACGGTCCAAAATCAAAGGCATTCTGCGAAAATGCACGCTTTTCAAAGGAAACATGGTCGTAATCTGTTCATCCCTCACAGCACAGTCCACTTCTCCAGGGCAAACGAATGGGGACAAAAGCTCGAAAGAGGAAACAAAAGAAAACATGATTTCCGTAAACAACCGGGTAAGAACAGACAACAGTCAATGCAAGCAATACAATTTTGCCAGCAGTTCCCTCATTCCGCATCATGGTTGGTCAGCACAGGTGACTCAGCTAGAGCTAATATTTTATAATCATGGGGAACTGCGACGGTCCAGAATCAACAGCATTTTCCAAAGTAGCACGCTCTTCAATGCGGACGTAATCGTCAACTCTTCATCCCTCACAGCACAGTCCACTTCTCCAGGGTTCTGAATAGGGACCAAAAGCTCAAAAGGAAAACTTGCTTCTCATTGGACAACCGGGTAAACTCAAGAAGGGCGCGGGCCAGGTCTTGACTCATCAAAGCGAATCTCGTGCACATACGCCAAGCCCACTGAAAACTCCTCGAAATCGCATTGCCGCACCTTACCCTGCTGCCCTCATTAGAGCAAGGCACGCCCTGCAGTACCAGTCTTGGGCTCCGACAATCACAGTCAAGTGGACAACAAACAGCCTAGAAGTGTAAACGCACCGTCCCGCCTGCCCAGCTCGTTGAACTGGCTGTCGGCCCGGATCCTGATGTGCTGGAAGAAGTCCTGCGTGAACTCCTCCCTCCGCCGCACGACCATGCTGTTCCAGTCTGTCTCGGCCTCCACCTCTGCCAACAGCTTATCGTGCGCAGCCATCTCGTCCTCCACCTAAAAGCACAACGGGAGTTCGTTTTGTTGTTTTTGCATGTTGCTGAAACTGCGCAGCTGACTTCATGCTTGAGCATGTTCAACATCCATGGAGGTATGAGCGTGTCCAGCTTGAGAGGCGAATCCAGCAGCAGTAAACAAGGCACCAGAAAGGTGGTAGTAGATGGTCGTGCAAGATCGTAAACCAGGAGAGCAGATCATGCACCAGTTGAAGGAAGAGACCTGCGAAGATCTCACCAGGGTGTCCATGAATCAGGGCGAGAGAGAACCGCTCCCGAAACAGCCTAAAGTAGAAAGCCTCCACTGAAAGCCAAAGCTCCTTCACGCCCGTCACCCTCACCTTGTTGAGCCTCCTCTGCAGGCTGTACAGTTGCAGCGCGTACTCAGGGTTCCCGTCGTCCTCTGCTTCCTTGGCGCGCCGCTTGACGTGCGTGTAGAACTTGGGTCGGATGCTGGCCCACTCGCTGCTCAGCGCCAGCAGCCGCTTCCAGTCCGCCACCTCCGGCTTCTCCACCGTGAACACCGCAATCAGCTTGTCGCACACGTCGCGCAGCGTGCGCGACCCGTACATCGGCTCCCCTCCCTCGTCCCCGTCCAAAGGCTCGTCCGGAACTTCTTGTTCCGGTCTGACACTGTCCGAAGGCATCTGGTTGCTTCCTGATGGGCTTGACTGCTTAACCGAAGATGACTGGTTGCTTCCAGATGATTCCGGCGGCTCGTCCGAGAGCGTTTGGGCGTGCTGATCTTGCCCGCTGGGCCCCGCATGGGCGCCATTTGCGATGCGCTCCGCATTTTGCTGCTGTGTTGCTTCGTCTTGGGGCTGCTGGTGGTTGGAAGAAGAGGGGGTGGTGTGATTCTCAGGGGAGGTGGCAGATCCGGGGGTTGGCGGGGCAGACTGTGGAAGGGAGTTGACCTGAGGCGCTGATTCGCTGTGCTCAGCACTTTGCTGTGGAACTGCAGCAGCCAAAAAGCGTTGTCACGAAATTGATTTGTCCTTCTAAGCACTGGCGGTGTTATTGCCTGGCCGGCAACTTCTGACAGCGGAAAAGCCTAGCAAAGAGTCCGGGCGCCAGATCCCAAGGACTTACAGAAAAGCTCCAGTTCCCTCAGACTCCATTCTGAGGCGGAGTCTTCACTGAAAAGGGAGAATATAACTCTAAGTGGAGTTGCCAAACTCTCCAAGAAAGAATCGAGCTCAATCTTGGCTTTTCTTGTAACGGAATGCTATCCAGCCGCTCAACCACCCATCCATCGCTGCATTGAAGGAAAGCGAGTCGCAGAACACTTTCTTTAGATGCCGCCTCCTCCAACATCACCACCCGCAACAGTGGAGTGCCTTCAAAACAGGAACCATTACCGCGCACTTAAGTAGGACAATCAAGAACTTGACAACATCAGCATCCCAAGAGACCACCACTGCCTCACCATTCAAAACGCCCAAATGCTCGCTCTCCGCACCAGCCCGCAAGCTTGCAGCACGTCCTTTCCTGAATGGTTGCAGGTCCGGCAATAAAGGCAGCGCCAGCCCGCCTTGCCACTCTCTGCCGCTGTATAAAAGAGGCATTGGCACTGGAGGAAGTCTGAACCCTGCTGCATGACCAATCCGCTGCCGCTGCAACAGACCGCATGAGAAGGCCCCAACCTGGGCGCCACTGCACACCACCGCTGTCACCATGTCTTCCGCAGATCGTCAATCTTCGGGGGTCTCGTCACAGTGCCTCTCAAAGGCTTCTGTCAAACGCGCTTCTGTAACCTCACGAGTCACCGCCCTAGGCTGAGCGCTCTCCTCATAAGTCTGAGCACTGGAGAAGGTGGCAACTTACGGTACGAACAAGGTTGACATCAGTGCTGCCACGTAGGTTGGTCGCGTTACATTTGTTGACTCTGAATCGTAGATCATTCGATCCGACGGTCACGAGGCCTTCAAGGCTCAAGGCGGTGTTTCCGAGTCCTTGGCAGCTTGGTCTGCTGCTGGTCGCTGCTGGTATGCACATGTTTGCAGGTTTCAATTATCTTTCGAGCGGCTTTGTATTCCCGAGATACACAACCTCGAGCTGACCGGGGTTGGATCAATCTCCATCAAGCTTATTTAGAGGATGTTCAAAACCCATGACGTGCGTTGCCACTGTGTACGTTAAGGGAATCATATCCTGGACCCGGACTTCAGCTATGAAGGTTCCATTTTGACAGAAGTAAATGTTGTTTAGAACAAGTAACCGCTTGAAAGATAAGTAGTCATGTTACGCCTGCAAACGCACCCATTGCTGACTCGCTTCATAATATCATGAGGCAAACGGTAAACTATCCTTCGTATCTTCCAAATATTATGATGTTGCTCATCAGTCAGTAGTATGTATGCCGTTCTGAGGTTCGCGACCCCAAACCAGGGACGGATGGCAAACAGTCCTACACTAAGCCCATCCGTCGAGCTCCTTTGGAGTTGGCGACCGGGTTCGCTCCGCGCACTCCCGCGGGCGAAAGAGCGGAAGATCTTCGGCAAAAGACCAAGTCGGATTGGGCTGACAATTGGCTCAATAAAACCTAAACCGAAGCGGCGCCTAGTGCTTACACGTACTTCCTGCATACCCTGTAATCTGTTGAGAAGCTGGTTTGGAACGCCGTTAAAAGTAGATTGATTTACGAGGCTCTCGTCCGGTTGCTGGTCTTGAGGAAGCGGCAGGGCATAAGCACGATGCATTAAGGTGCGTATATATGACCTTTGGTTTTCAAAGCCGAGACAAATACATTCGATTCGAGTCGTGACAAGACCGAGTTTTGGTCTTGTTACTCTACATCTTGTGCTATCTCTTCGTAATCTCTGCATAAGCGAACGCTTAATCTGTTGACCATCTCACCCTGATTGGGCGGTCCGACGTCGAATCTTATCAGTCCCTCTCATGGTCTTTGAAGGACAGATCCACTTGCACCGGCGTAGGAGCTGATCACCCCCTTCTGGCCGGTTCAGCATCCATCACCTAAGGTGTCTCGTTAGCGTCGCGGTGGAAGACCTTCTTATTTCCGAAGCGCGCCTGGCTTCTTTAGTTTGTTGCTTTGACGGCTGGCTGGTCGCTGCTCCCGACTGCAAGCCCCGAGCCTGCCGCTGCACTCCGAAACAAACCACGTGAATTCCCGAACGGCCGCTTGAACGCCCTTCGCCGGTGCCCTTCTTCCTTTGAACGTCCTGTTGGCCCAAAGCAGAACCACCGGTGAGGCACGGAAACTTTGGTCGATGCACCGCCCCCGTTGCTCGCCGCCGGAAAGGGGCTCCCGTCCGAAGACCCCCCCGCACCGTCCGCATCCGCAGTCCCTGCGCTCGAGCTCGCCACCGGATTGGTCAGCGAAGTTGTCGTGGTCGAAGGCTGCAGCGGGGCCGAACTCACGCTTTGGCTCGGGGCCCCGCTCTGGTTAGTACTCGGATAAGCACTTGGGTTAGCATTGGAACTCGCACTCTTGTTAGAGGTCAGCTGGTTAGCGGTTGGGTTTGCGGTGCCGGCACGCTGCGGGTTGAGCGAGGGGGACCCCGGAGACAACACCGTGAACTCGATCAGATACGCGGGGTACGCTTGGTGATCCTGGAACACGACGAAGATGTCTGGGTTGAATTCACTATCCACCACGGAGTCAAACCGGGCATACCCCGGCGCTCTTTCGGTCTTCACCACGGGGGGGGATCCCCCTCGGGGCGTCGACGTCCACGTGCCCACCAGGACCTGCGCCAGGAACATGCGCTGCACCCCGTCCTCGTCCGGATCGCAGTACTGGACGGAAACGGACGGAGTCCGCGCGAAGTAGCAGCCCGGGCCGAACGCGCAGCGGCGCGAGAAGGAGCGGTCGAAGCCGACGGCGGCGATGCGCTCGGCGGCGTCGGCGGAGGTGCCGTGGAAGAGCCAGCGCTCGCCGCCGACCTTGGCGCGCGTGAGCGCGTAGTAGTCGTACTCGTCCGGGTTCTGGACGCGCAGGATGCGGCGGACGGCCGCCGGAAAGCCGGACGGGATGACGTCACCTGCAGGGAGCGGATGGAGAGGGAATCTTAATAGACTTCTAGGGTCGTGACTGGAAGCTCGACATCTTAACATTAGAGCGAGCATGGATCTGGAATGGCTGATTATAAAAGCGGGACAGAGTGAGTAAGGAGCCCAGAGATCGAAGTAGTCCTTGCCGTGTGTTTCCCACATGCGAAACATCAGTGGGCAAGACACTGAACATTTGACTCTACCACGGGCCTTTTGCATCTTCGGAAGCAATCGGCCGCACACAAAAACTCAGAGCACGTGGTCTGTTACTAAAGACAGAGCTCAATTGCAGTAATCCGCTCCCAGACGCGTACGTCATCCTTCGTTCGACAAGCATGAAAAACGAGACAGAACGCAAACGCGCACATAGCCAGCAGACTGAAGTACCGGTTTCAGTTGTTCGAAAGGCGGAATTATTCGTCAAAGCAGCACCTACCTTGACCAATGAATTGGCTGAAGACCAGGTTGTACTCCTCGCTACCTTCAGGCAGCGGCTTCGTGACTACCCGTTGAGTCCCGTTCAATCCAAGCTCCCAGAATTTTGGGTACCTGAATTGAGTTCGAATCTGGTTTAGGAAATTTGTTCTGAACCAGCAAAATGACTTCTCAAGAAGCTCTCATATTCGAACCTTCCTACTTTCGCAGCTTGCAATACAGCTGCCGGTCTTTAACAATTCCTGCCAGAGGAAGGTAGGGCGAGATCTAAGGTTCTGGCCAAGACAAGGTATGAGGCTGACAATTTCAACCCGGAGACATTGAAAGACATTGCACACGGAACGAGAACAGGTAGACCCGACGATCATGTTCGGCTGGGTTTTTTTAGGCGTTGAGGACGGCGCAGAAATAAGCTTTCAACACCAACTTTTGGTTTGCAATTGCTGTACAGAATTTTGCTCCGATTGAGGATTCAAAGGAACTTCGAAGCATGTGAAGCAAGGAATGCCATCTTCTCCTCAGTTTCTTACCCCTTTTGCTGCATCTGTTCGAAGCTCCGCTGCTCCTCTGCCGTCTCCGCCTCAGCCGCCTTTCCGCTCAGGAACGCCAGCTCGTATTCCGCCCGGCTGAGCGCCCGGCACTTCTCCGCTGAGCTGTGAGCCAGCGGACAGACTGCTCTCACCCGAACGTCCTTCCTGCACGCGGCCTTCACGCAGAGAAACGTCCGGTACCGTACCGGATGGTACTCCTGCTCCGTCACAGTGTGGGCGTATTTACACTGTTCTCCTTGGGGGCAGCCTTCGAACTGCGCCGGGCATGCGACGGGCAGGTAAAAGTGTGAATACGGGTCGCGCCTCTGCTGAGCTGCGGTGTGGTAATCTGGACAAGCGCGGCCGCGGGGGCATTTCCCCTTGCGCTGCATGAAGGGGCAGGGCCGCGTGTAAAGTGCAGTGTAGTTGCTGTTGTGCTTCTGAGCCTTGTGACTCGCAGCCATGCCCTCTCGTTTGGAGCTTGACTACGAGAGAGCGGAGGGTTTCACAGGAGATCCTAAATTTCTGACTTGAGCTACTTATGACCAACTATTCGACTCTGTTGCATCCTCCATGAGGTCATGGGGCAGCTTAGCTTCGACCTGACAAATGGGACAAATGCACTTCCTTCTGCAATGACCATTGGTTCGAGGAAGATTTACAATCTGTCAAAGATGTTGCACGTTTTCATGGTCTTTAATTAGCAGGGAAAAGGCAGCTCATTCCGCCGCGAGTCCTATGCAAAGCGGCATGCAGTTTGCGCCCCCAAACCGAATCAAGCTAAGACAATTTATCTAGAAACAACCACTACAGTTAGGCAGCCTGGCGAGATTGTGAGGATCATCGACGGCAGAAAGAAAGACGAGCATTCAATATGTACCTGGCTGAGGGTGGAACGTCAGAGAGCTCTCAAGAGATGCTGATTGCATGAGGTGATGCTGCGAAGTCTTCTGCTGGGCTTCGACGCTGCATGGGCGCTGCATGGCGTGTAGTGACCTCACCATGATCGATCCGCGTACATACTAGCCTTGGCACCATCGAAGAGCCGTGACAATCGGGTGCCATCGAAGTCGGCGCACTTGATCAAGACTCTGAGACGAACGGAAAGGTGAAAAGCGCTGCGCCTAGCATTTGCGATGGCGGGCGGTCGCGGGGTCGCCGGCGCGGCCGCCCGGGTCATCCGCTGCGCGCCTCGCGGACTACAATAGGTTAGCTTACCTGAACACGAGGTTAGAAAAGTTAGCTTCAACAGCTTGCCGCTGCTTGCAGCTCACAACTTTTCTGGCAGCAATTCCAGCATTGCGTTCTGGAGAGCTGGAGAGGAGACCAAACCTTTGATCTGGTACGCCCACATGCTAGCTTGTGGCCCTCATGAAGGTGTCAGATAGACGAGCTATTGATGGCCTTCTTGTTTGGGACTCTGCTTTCACCACGCTGAAAGCTGTACAAGGAACGTATATTGACTTAGAAGAAAGTAGCGGGCGTCAATCACTTTCACCCACAAAGCCGTGACCTTCGTCGCTTGCAAGGAGGGTTGCATTTGCAGCGCCCGCAAAGACAGCGCGAGTCATTTAGCAGTGGTGCTGGCCTGCAGCTTTTGTATGTAGCTTCTCCCCTGCGTATTGCTTTCTCTCAAGTGGAGCTAGAGGAGCTGATTGCAGCAAAAGGCCAAGAGCAAAGCAGAAAGAAGCACACCAGGGGTACATACTGGCCGCAGATCAAAGCCCCAGTCAAGTCCCGATGCCTCTCCTACGATCAACCACTAGTTTGGGGACAGACAATCAAGTGTGTTGGCTGGTTTGCAAAACTAGCAGGTGCACTTCATGTAAGTCCCAAGGGCCACATTGTGCTCTTGGGAAAGTGAAACACCAAAACGAAGGACAACGTGAACGAGACCACATCTTATTTGGTGGCGACAGAGTACGATGATTAGCTTTTCAATTGAGCTCCCTTTCATTCATTTATTGCAGCCTAGACCAGAACAAATCTGCGTCCTTGAGGACTTGAAGAGGAGTTGACCCTGCGCAGCCTTCTGAACTTTCAACATAAGATCTTCCAATCACAAGAAACTAGCTCAAGTTGCAGCCACATGCCCAATAGACCTTTTCAAATCAACAAGGTGTAGATGCTGACCAGCTCAATGAAAGAGCTGGCTTGGAATTTCGACTAACAATAGTTGCCAGGAAATTCACCTTGTTCCTCTTTAGAAGCTTGCACACCCTAGCTAGTCATTCCTGATCAAGACCTTACACCAATGATCACAGGTAAACTGATTCTGGGAGAATGCAAAGAAACATACTCTGTGTCCAAGGTGCGTCCTCAAGGGTGTCCTGCTTCTCAAACAACCACTTCTGCAAGGCCCCTTGGCAAGCTTCGACTATCAAGAGCAGACTTTCTTCGGATTATCTAGTGAGCTTTATTGTGAATACTTGTACACTTTTGTTTTATACAGAAGTCTTCAGAGATGGTGAAAAGGCCTACAGAGGGATCCCCCTCTGGGCCTCCAGTTGGGGGCTCCAGTCTGACAGTCAGTTGGAAGGCCCCTGAGTCAGAGCTTTGGCACGACTACGAGGATGACGTTGGCAGGAAAATCCTGGCAGCGGCCGCCTCTGGACAATCCGAGGTTGAGATTTGCCATGAAGAGATCAGTCCTGATAAGAAGCAGAGGAAGTCGTCAAGGCTGCGGCAGCTGCGGAAGATTCATAAGGGACAAAATGGTTGCAGGTAAGACATTGTTTATCTGATTTGGTGGAGACTATGGGCGAGTTCTTTCAAACATCAGGGCTGAGTCAAATGGGAGGGATGATTCCTACAAGCCTCAGAACCTCTTCTGAGGCTTGTAGACTGTTGCAACTTGTCATCCCTGTATCATTGTTGTCCCGGCGGCAAAGCATTGTCTCTGGCCTTTCAAAGCATTCCAAAGGGCGGCAGAAACAGAATCGGTTCGTCCGGGAGCTTCCGAAATCACTGCCAGTCGTAACTTACTCCATGATGCTTCGTTTTCTGCTTTCAGCGAGGAGAACGGTACTGTGCACTTCGACAGTATGCAAGTGCGGGTTGCTGCTTCGAACACAAACCGGCTCATTCGCTGGCGTGTGTCGTCCACAAGCTGCTGCTTCTACCAACTGCCAACCAACGGGGCCGCTCTCGCAGCGCTGGTTGCGAAACAGAGGGAGTCGGAGAGAAGGCACGTGAGTTTGTGTGACACAGGTGGCTGATATTATCGGAAGAAGTCCAAACTGTGTGAGCCTTCACTTGGAAGGTCTCGTGATCCGTGCTTTACTTATGATTTTGTGTTCGTTTGATGACCTGCTCGAAGTGCTTTGGTCGACCTTCGCTTTCGTGATTACACAGTCGAGTGATGCTGGAAACAGATTCGAAAGAAAATGTGATGTGAGCTGCTATGCTTACGTGTTTCGATTGAGACTTACTCTCTGGTAACGTGTGTACGGATGCTATGTCAATGGGTCGTTCCAACGGCACATAATTTGAAGGTACAAACGTTGTTATTACCAGACAAGTAAACCTCAGTCAAGTCCCCTCTGAGAACGATATGTGACTCTTCTCGGGCGAAAGACAAGATATTCTCCGGCTGACTTCTGCAGTTTGAATCCTTCTCTCGACCTCCTGACACAAGCTTTTAATACCGTATCTCTCCTTTGATACGTCCTTGAAACTCTGAGCATCGAAAAAGAGTTAGGCAAACACAACCGAAGCAAAAAAGCCACCACTCCGTGTTACAGGTCTTGTCGGAGCTCCTCCAGTACCTGACGTCAGCCTCGCGGATCAGCGCCTTCCTCTCCACCGCCATGGTCCAGCGAGTGACCGCGCACGGTTTGCCCATGAACAGCGCGCGCGACCTGCGGGTGGTGCGGACCGTTCCGAACGTGCACGCCACGCCGCACCGGACGCTCTATGAGCGCTTCCTAGATGCGATGGTGCAGAACGTGGGAAGCCTTGGAGGTGAGCGGCCGAAGTAACCCGCTCTCAGGCTACCCTGTGTTGGTACCCTGTGTACATTCTGGGGAGGCAGATAGTTCGAGACGCGAGGGGATTTTGCGTTCTGATTGCGCTTCCGTTTGGCTAGCGCGTCCAGTAGGACGGAGCACTTGTTTCCAGAGAGTTTGGAGTATGTGGTGAAAGAGCCAGAGGGTCGAGCCGTTGGAAACTGACATGGATTCGTTATCTTGATGGTCGTCTTCAGAGCACCACTTGAGGAGATGCGCGAGATTCTCGAGTAAGCATCTGTAAGATCTCCACTCGATTGCGGACTTTCTAAGTTGCACAGAGGAGTCTATATGACATTCGAAAGGGTTCTGATAGGCCTCCATGCGAATACTACGGTTAGGAAAGATATCAGATGACTTCGCAAGGTACCTATCTGGGATTTCGGCGGCCAGAAAAGGAGATCTGCTCAACACAACTCTTTGTTGTCCGCAGATGCGCTCCAAGCGCTTCTGGGTTCGGAAGCCCAGTCGATCGCGCCCTTCAATTTTGCCTTCCACGGGACCGCCCGACGCAACCTTCCGTCCATTCTGGCGCACGGGATGTCGACGGAGAAGCGGCTTAGCCAGCGCAGCGGCGACTGGTTTGCGGCATCTCCGTACGTTGGTCTAGATTACTGTCGTTCTCGAGGTGGACCGCTGACGCGTTACCAGCTCCTACTATTTTTGCTGCTCCCCGTGCCGTCTGCGGTGCAGACACGGCTGTTGGACATTCTCGTGATCTCGGACAGGCACTTCGAGCTTCCTTTAGCCATTGTCGAAGTTGAGTACAAGTGACATTCGATGGGCCCGCATGTGTAGCGGCCGTGAGGACAGGGACCGGAGCTGTCATCAAGCGGAGCAATTGCCTGATAATAATAAAATCCGACAAACATAGGACTGTTGAGCTTTTCATGGCGGCCGCCGGAAGGATGAGAGAAAGGAACCCCGGGACTTTACATGATCGTGCATCCGACAGAATTGCCTGCCTGGGGCGCCCGGCCTGCTGGCAGCTGAACAGTCAGCCGATGATATACAAACAATCAGTGGTACTGCTGAAATTTAACGGCTAATCATTCTCTAGAAATAAGCGATACCAATCCAACTACAATGACGGTATGCAAAAGTTTGCACTCCTGTCAATCCGTCAGGTTGAGATACGTTTTGATTGTATAAGTCACTATAGCTAGTTTGCTGACGTGCGAGACAAACGAGGAGTTTACTGTACGATCGACTGTGTTGGAGGCGGGACCGGCTGATGCGCGTCCGCTTTGATATGGCCTCGTTACTGAGAGTTAGATTAGGCCCGCGAAGCTCTGTCGACCGCGCAACGCCATGTGCACCCATGCGACATGTGATGTCTGCAGATGTTCCTTTGGATTGATGCCTGATGTGCATGCAGTAGGAGTGCATCAATTGAGATCTTGCGCTTAGAAGCTAGCGCATTCAAGCACTGAAACATAACATGGCGGCACATGCATGTGCACCCGCGCCTTCACATCAGTCGTTGAATTAAGGCCTTTTTGTGCCGGCCTGTAATCATGAAGTATCTGACAAGCCGGGTGTGTGTTTCATTGACTCTCATGTGCATGTTCGTTTGGACAACAGGCACTAATGCTACTTGTTATTCAACAGCAGTAAGGCTTTGATTACAAATGTTTGAGCAGATGGCCTCAGTGCACATCTGGCTTTCAATGCGTCGGACCCTGGCAGTGTAGATACTACGGACGGCGCGGCCGGCTGGGCATGCACTTTACGGCCGGCTGGGCACGCACTTTACATGCAAGACGGCTGCTACAATTTTGGCAACGTTGTCATGAAGCTTCCTTTACGAAACCGATGGAGGAGGTGCCGAAATCAAGCTGCTCGGCTGGAAGGAAACAAGCCAGTGGCCACAAAGCTTCCTCCCGTTCTTCAAGAACATGCAGATTGTCATTGACTCTGTGGATCGCCCATGGATTCTATTGTGTGTAAGACGAAGTCTTGCAGGCTTACGTGGACGATCATTTCGAAGCTGTTTCTGGATGAACTTTCTACGTGTAGACTCACAGTCGACGCTTGAACGCCATGTAAAGACCATCGAGGGCCACCTACTCAAGCACATCTGAAAATGATATCTGGGAGAACCATGCCACGGCTCCAAGTACGAGGGGAGCACCCACGAGCGGAAACAGCGTTACGAAAAACAGGACTTCGCCCAGCGTGACTATACTGGCCGTCATTGGCACGACGGTAAGCAGGTAGCGACGTCGAGAGAAATACCACTCTCCGACATGGAAGGACGTCCCACTGGCCTGTGAGGGTTGGTGAGATTTTGTCAACATGTTGACAAAAGTCGTTGTGAATCAAACCGCCTGCTTTGGCAGCCTGGCAAGCTCACCCAAGAGCACCGTTTGCATCGGCTGTTATTGAGATTGATGGATGGGAAGTCACAAGCAGATTGTTTGCAGTTTTCCAAGCGAGTTGGACAGCAGAGGCCCTCCTTATACGAGATACGGGATTACAGAGTGCTATACCTGGACAAGCGTAGCCCATTTGATGCCGAACACGGAAACGCTTCTGTGTTTCTCGTAAGATCCCGGTACGCCAAGGATGTCTGTCAAGGAAAGCAGAGGTGTCGATCGATCCTGAACTTTTTTTCTCCTCCTCCTTTCTTCTGTACGAAGTAGTGGGACAAAGAGCTGCGTTTATTTCATCTTTGTACCTCACTTGCTAGCGCCGGTTTATGGACTGATCCTTGGCTTATATCCAGACGTACTTCGTTGAAGGACAGTCTCTTTGAATCACTCGTGCTGTCTTGAACTGGTATGGATCCATACCCCTGTCACAAATTGATGGCGAGAAGCTGAGTAGCTCGTCGCCTTCAACAATGGCATACTACTGCCTCGGCGAGGTGAAGCGCTTGACACTAGACCCTTCCAGCGCTCAATTCAACTGCTTCACAACTTTCAAAAGTTGCATGGCTTTGTTCACATCCATGTTGCCACCTTCTTGAGCCATTCAGTCCCGTCTAAGGTGAACAAGAGCAACTCTTAGATGCTCCTCTTAAGTGCACAACTCACCCGAGTAGAAAGCCGGTGCAGGAGTCTCCTGTTAGTTAAGGCGTTGACGAGTTTTCAGACGTCTGCAACCAGCATTGAAGAGTTTTGTTCACAAAGATGCAGGTCTGGTGGATTGATTTGGACGGAAAGTGGATAATTGTTCTGCTCCTTACCTGCAAGATCTTCGTTCTGTATCCAGCTTCCTGGTTTATCTTCCCACACCAAAGCTCGATCCCCGAAGGAAATCTGTTCGCTCCAGGGCAGAGGAACGTCCCAGCTTGCACCAGAGCTGAGAATTAAGATAAGGCCGAGAAGGGAGGAAAGAAGGAGAATAATGGTTGGCCACATCCACATCTTCAATCTCCAGAATTCAGGCGCCGGTTCAGTCAGTGGGCTGGGAGGTCCATCTTTGAGCTCTGCTTCATGCGCAGAGTCTTCCTCAACGTCCTCCAAGTCCCAGTCGGAGGAGGCTTCGTAGCAGCCACTTTCAAGCTGATCTGATGTTTTAGACAGCGCGCCAGCCATCTTACCTTCCTTTCCACTCCCTGAGCGAACCACTGTTTGCGATGAATGAAGGAAGGCATTGGTGCACCTTGCCGTGAGTTCACCGACCGGATTCCGTTTCCGTCGATCCGCTCAGACCGATGGGGCGGCCGCGGACTACGTCGCCTCTGGCTTTCGGTCCTGCTATTTTGATGGAGAATCTGATGGATTTTTGCAGCTTTGAAAGCCATTGCTGAGCACTTTGTCATAGCTTCAGGAGCTTCGCTTCGCAATCGAGTCAATCGCAGGTAAGATCATGCGCATACGCCCGCTTCTTTTTGACGCTTCAGCTTTCCAAGCCGGATCATCCTTTCATCATGATGATCAGATCATCGTGAAGGTGTTCGAACGCACCTTGATGCTTGCATCGCTTCCAAGATTCTAGGTATAGGATCGTGAATTTCCGCTTTGATTTGGAAAGAGAAAGAAGAAGCAACGGACAGCACGTCCACACAGATTGCTCCCACTCGAGGGTGACGGCAAGTGGCTCTTAGTGGAATTACCTTTCAGAAGACATCGAGTAGACTTTTGATCGTCACTGTCGATATGATCATGCTCTTTGAGAAGAATTGCAGCTCCAAGGTACTAAAATCTCTTTGAATCGTGCAGAACTACGTCAATTGGGGCTTTTAACTTTAAAGGTGAGATGCCGTTCAGCCGTCTTGATTAATCTACGCTCCTCAGTCGCTTTGAAAGATCGACAGTTACTACAATGGCTTTCAGAATCCGATTAAAATGTTCAGATAAGAGCTGCATTAGATACGTTAGTTCTTGATCCAACTGAAGCAGGCACGACATCCTTTAAAGTGCAGTCTGCTTGAGGTCTCACAATCGTCTCCTGTGGCTTCGACTGCAGTAACATAAAGTCTCTTCGAATGAAATGATAATTCGTATTCCCTTCGTCCCTTCAAGTCTTCTTATTTCAACTCAAAGAACAATCAACTTCTTATAATCTAGGTTCGAATAACACCGCGAATAGACTCGAATTAGTTTCTTGTAGGCTTATTCTGAGCGAGTAGTGGCAGACGTGACGGAACGTTCAGGTCAAGGAGGGTAACGCTGAATGCTTTAAGAGCTCCTTCCGCACACATAGAACCCGTATTTTTTCTGCCTTTCGTTGTTGTTCACCGTGCAAAATGCTGGAAAGCTGGCAGTACTTGCACTGTGAACGATCAAACGTGAAGCTCGGCATTGAAGTGCCACCTTTGTACCTTACAGGTGAGCAAAGAACTTTCACGAATTCATTCTATCGATACGTTCTGCGGCTCCGAGCACCAACGGAGGGAATGGCTTCCTCCAATGTAAGCATCATCAGGATTACTTTCTTGCAACCTGTTCGTACGTGGTCCCTTTCAAGCCACCGCCATGTCACTCGAGTCAATTAGAGAGTGCTGTGCTTTGACCTTGGAAATGACAGAGGATGCTTGATTGAGTGGCATGATTGAGTTTTAGGGTCCAAGTAGAACCCTTTCGCAAGAGGATTCGGATCCCCTCTTTCAGGACTACCGATCTTTCGTTATTTTACGATGAGGAATCTGCAACTAAAGTCACATATGAAGGTGTTTTAAGCAGCCCTCAGTATTGCCTTTGCAAAGATCGTTTTGAAAACCTGGATGTCGTGTCCTGTTCAGTTCCAATATCTAACGGCTGCCCTTTTCTTGAGTTACAGAGCACCATTGGAATCAAAGCTGGTGAAGGCAAACCCGGGGGAGGCGGCATTTCCAAAAGCCTGCTGATTATTATAGGCTGCTGTATTGGGGCCGGCATATGCGTCGCAGGATACGTAGGGCTGGTCATTTCATGCACTAAACGCTTTAGAAAGAGGAAGCTCGACAAGACTGTCCACCCTACACTATAGAAGAAACTTTTAGAATCGATTACATAACGACACTTTGCATCGACCGATTTGACGCTGGATAAATGATTTGTAAAGCTGTCTCGATTTTTTTCTGCCATTGTAGGTCTCTGCTTTGATCCACGTACGTTAAAGTGACTATCTGTGATGCCGTTTTCCAAGCGCATCATAGCCGTTATGATTAAGGGAAGCCCTGGCTGAGCAACGCTGTTTTGTAGCACGGTCTCTGAAAACAGATACCTTACGTTATCGTTCCACTTGACCGTAATACCACAAGACGAAGCAACGGTTTATTGACCCCTTGAGACCCTACGTGGTTTTCACGAACAGGCTAAGACACATGCGGCAACTCAGGATGTAATAGCGGCCATAAATGCAGCGAAGTATACCTTTTACTCTTGCGGTCTTGGTTGACTCGAAGCAGCTCCATGCAGCGCTGCCATGAGAGTAGCACGCGTCACCGTGCACGAAAAAATGTGACTTCTGCCTACTTGTCGCCATCCAATCTCTTCTATATCGTTATTGATTCCCCTACGAAAAAGAAACAGTCCAAGTTATGTTACAGTTCGAGGTGACCACCTCCATGCAGATGTGTTTATACACAGTAATGATAGTAATAATGTTGCACACGCAGATTGAAGGTTTCACTCAAGAAGTGTTCGGGTATTTCATGTCACCATTGTCGTCTTTCGCTCCGAATCGAAACCAGTTAGAGAGCTATGTTATAATATGTTTCTTAAGTCAAGATTATTGAAAACCTTCGCCCGTTGGCTTACCTCAATCGTTTGGGCCCGTTTTCCACCATACGATTTTTATCTTTTACCATCCGTATATGCATTCACTTAGGCGCATCCGCTCGACTTACGAGTCTGATCCACTTCCTGCACTCCAATCCATCACTTCCTCGGAAAGCGTTGGACAGTCTCAACTTCGATGAGCGCACCTCACCGCTTGGCCATGAGCTTGCACCTGCGCTTATGCTTTGGAAGTCGTTCTGTATTTATCGAAGAAAGACGGAACCGGACATGGTAAGCTTGTACAGCGGACACAGAGCGGACATCAGATTTACACTTTGCTTGGACGCTTGGTTCTTTGCCGCCGCTGCACCCCACTGAATTTTACGAGTCCAATGCATGCACGCGAGCGTGCACTCACGGGCGGACCAGCAGAATGTGACGAGCCATGCCAATGATATCAGTCAGATATGAATCGAAGATAGTTTTTCGTTTCAAACACAGTCCGTTTATCTGAATGCCGTCTTTAACTGAAATTTGGCTCACTACCCTGTGCAGCAGGAACGCGTATCCAGTAGAGGTTGCTTCGAAACCTGGACAGAAGAAAGGAACTGGGAAGAGGATAGAGACTCTGACTCCAAGGGTCTGAGACGTGAAACAAATCCAGCCAGAACTTACCGTGCATGGGCAACTGCGCGTACCGCGTGAATGAACAGCGCTTTCGCTCGCGCGCAAGCGCACAGCTCCCCCCTTAGTGTGGGACCCTGCGCCTGGCATGATTTTAGTACTTCGAATGAAAAATATCGTGCCAAATCCTGTGCCACCTTTCTTGAGATGCTCGAGGTTTCTATCCGCGAAGGATATATTGATGCTTGACAGACATTTCGGAAGGCAGGACTGTGCAGATCATTGATCCGATCATGAACCCTGAGCATAAATGTGTTAGCTAGCGCTCTTAATGAGAAGTCTCTCCTACACTGTCAGAAAAGTACTTTGCCCCAAACTTAGGTTTCAGGAGTATGATGATATGGCTTCCTCAACCCTCAATCCCGTCTGAAATGCCCTCTTCTTTACAAGGCGCTGCTTCTAACATAACATAGGCGCGCCGGAGGCGCGCTGGGCCCGTTTTGTTGACAACGACCTTGATCTCAGGACAATTCCCGGACAAATTTGCAAAGCTTGGCTTGAATTACGTCTCGGGAAACTGCTCAATATGACTTTATCACCATCTTCAAACCGTTTAGAAATACAGAAAGACAGAAAGAAAGAAAGACAGAAAGGTACGTCACGCGGTACACCCAAAGAACTTTCTGAGCCGGGGACAGATTCAGCGCGTCAGATACATGATGATTTAAGGGGGTGATCAGGGGAACTGATCTTTCCTGATCATTTTACACCGTCCCTCCAAAACTCGAACTGGCGGTGAACAGACACAATGAAATGGAAGAAATCGACGGTCAGCAGGCGCAACCGTCGACTTTTCAGGAGAATCCGCCAGCTTTGGTAATATCAGCTTCGGATCTGTCCGATGGAGGTGGTATTCAGTGCCAGCTCTAAGATTCATACTTGCGATACCTTACCTGCAGTAAACCTCGGCGGCAACATTTGCCGAAAAAGTTTGCCGCCTCCGCAAACCGATTTGACACACGAAACCTCCCCAAACCGGGTTAACATCTGTGTCAAAGACCTGAACTTGGTGCGTACCGCTGGCGACTGAGGTTTACGGTTGGTTTGAGTCAACTTAACCAGCCGCGCGTCAAACCGAGCGCGGATGTGCCCTTTTCGAAGTCGGCTCATCTCGAAGCCGAGAAAGCATCTGTTTGTATGATTGCAGTGGCGCTGCTTGAAACGCGCTTCCAAGCCATCATGGATCAGATACCGCATGCCAGGCAAAGCTTGCCATTCGGTAAACGGTTTTATCTGAACACCGTTCTCAAAGGTCCCGCTCTATGGTTCTATGTGGCCCACAGTATCGTCTGCGGCCTTGGTATCCTCGTCTTCACCATCTTGGCGCTGACAAGTCCAAGTGCCCTGCATTTTTCTGGTAAGCTGCGTTGCGCAAACTGCTGGGACATGCTAGCAATCTGATTTTGCAGAATAGATATCCGGAAGTTTGCAGTCTCTTGCTATCAAGAAGATTCGTCAACCTTTCAAACGCCAAGGCAGAAGTACTCAACAGCCTGTACTTCGGTATCTCGGCTCTGCGAAGGTTTAGTTTGTTCAAAAGTCCTGTCATTCATTCAAGAGGCAGCGGCTCTTCTCTGCCGTAAAGACAGGTTTTGGTTCCACGGACACTTTGCGTACTTCTTTCTCTCTTTCCAAATAAGACTTGAACAAAAGTTGAACAAAGAGACGTGTTTCTCTTGGGACGCTAATTGGCATCGCGCTTAGTAAACACCATTCTGTATTTGGCGCTTTTGCAGAAATCCAGGCCCCTTCCACGAATGCCATAATTATAGTCCATGACCTGCGCATTCATGGTCGCTGCTTCTCAACGCGCAACTACCTGCCAGTGGTACGAAATCTGCTCAAAAGAGCCTTCCTGCAGAAGTTTTCTTTAAAGAGGCTCATGTCAACCCGGTTCCTTGCATGCAGAGCACCTTTGTTGAAGCTCGCGGCCTTACACGATGCAGCTTACAATGTCTCTTGCGATAGTCCAACATTGATTGCCAATTAAGGTGTCTGGACGGAGCCTTCGCTCGAGGACTGGGGTCTGATTTCTGACTCGTCGTTTTGTCAGGTCAACTCCAGCTCCGGCCAGAATGACGCATCTAGACACCTGACTAAGCAGTTCTACCTCCAGGGCGTCATGGTCTTTGTTTACTATTCTCTCTTGGGTCTGATGATCAAGATAATTGTGGCCGATGTTATACCAACTTTTTGGAACGGGACGGAATACGTGGTACAATGGTTTACAAAAGGCCTGCATCATCCTATCAGCAAAGAGTCTAGGTTTTGAGTCCGAAGGTACTTCCACATCCATCCATAAGCAAAGGTCTTGAAATTCGGTAGGATACGGGGCGGGTTGAAAGACAAGAAGAGGGATTTGATTAGAAATCATTGGTTAGTGACAACGTGGTCAGGCGGATTCGTTTGAGGCAGGGTTCCGGCGCAAAGACGTGGCCTTTCTCGAGTTGTGAATTCTATCGATACATGGTTCAGAAGTGATAGAATCCACGATACAGCGTGAGGATTGGGCTGTACTACGGACAAAGGCAGTCTCAACGTTGACGTGGTCCCCTCGATCTGGAAGTAAGGCGGTCGTGGGCATTGTTGTCGGGGGACTATACATGCCAGCAGGCGGTTTTGAATTTATTACATCGAGCCGGGCCTCTGTGCGACCTTCTGGCTCTTACATGAAGCCTCTGTACGACCTTATGGCTCTGACTTTATGATCATGAGGTGACCGAGGCGACTCCGCTGCACTCTCAGGCTAATTTCGATCTGAGTCTAAGAGTCAGCGACGTCTTCTGCTTCACTTCGGTACTCTACCAAAGCATGTTTGAGTCAGAGCTTTTGCATACAAGTTCCTCTCTACTCTCACACTGTCGGTCCAGGCGCGCTCTCATAAACCAGAGTCTTCTGAATAGAGGCTTCTGCCCGTCCTTTTACCGTTGGAAGTGGCCAGAAGCCACCTCAAGCCTTACACCGTAATCGGCATGAGTGCGGACAGTGAGTCATCTGGGCATTGCAAAGATGCAGGCCGTCTGATCTGCAGCTGCTTCTTGGAGTCGAATCCGCGCTTTCCCCTTTTCTTCTTGTACAGGCAGCACATTCGTCGGACCATCTCGGTTATCGTATTTCGGTCACTAGTGCTGCTTTCCGAGAGAATGGAGCTGTTGCGCCCACGTGGCTGCAGCTTGATCTCCAGCTCACGCATGTAAAAGGTGGCTTGCTGCTCCAATTCAAGTTCGGCTCTGGACTTTGCGTCCATACTTTAGCGGCGCGGGCCCCATAATCTATATATTTGCGTCCGACCCCAATTGCACCCGCACCACAATATCGTTAACCTTCGGGCGCGTGCTTACGTATTAAGGGTGATCCAGAATGAGCCCGCAAATGGATGCCAGTGGCTCACATGAGCTTAGAACGCCAACACCAATTAACAAGAATCATGCATCATGTATACGTACATCTTTCAAGCATGTCCGATTCTTTCTTAATGCCGCCATGACGAAAACGTATTCACCCGTCCTGCATGCGTGGTCTCGTCATCGAGTACATGGTCACGAAATCTGACATACTTAGCCCATGGTGCGCGGTTGGCAGGCGTACTGGTGGGCTGCGATCTCCAGCGCCGCAACACTTTTACTGCCTGTTGATGCGCGGCTCAGCCGACCGTCAATGTCTACATATGCAGCCTTTTATCAAAGTTCACGATAGCTTGACCCAACGAATTTATCTCAAAATCGTGTCGGATATTGTGCACTGAAGCCACTCAAATTGGCAGGTATGCAGATTGACAAATTGTCGGATCCGGTTCACGATGCCAGTTTCGCGTGTCTGATTGCGTTTTGTTTCATTCCTCCAGCATTTATAGATTTGATGCGAGCCAAGACGCGAAGCCTCCTTTGGATTATACCAAATATATTGTAAACCTGATTAACCATGCACCACGAACCACGTTGTTTACGAGGAGTTCTGGGTCTGACTAAAGTTAGGACCACACAAAATTCTCAAGGGGCTCAAAGCCTATTTACTCCAGTCAGACACACGAGAGTCCGCTTGTGTGCGGTGGCATGATGACGTCAACATCTGATCGTTTCCGCCACATTCTGACCTGACGGACTGTGGCTTGCAGACCCCAAGTCTACAACTTCCGAGTGATCTCTTTATCGATTCTGTCCCAATATGTCATCCGATGCACCCATTCGAGGGCTTGCTGCAGCTCTCCGGCTTGCAAAGCTGCGGCGAACGCAGCCCCGCTCTGGCGCATTTTCTCCGCATTCTGCGATATAAAATCGTATTGGCTTCAATCAGTCGGTGCTGATGTCAAATGACTGAAAAGCCCTCGGACGCTTTCCTCGTAGTACCTTCTCGCGTCCTTTCGTGTGAGTAAACACCTAATTCTATCATACCGTTCTCAAATACATCTACGTCGCAAGCCCTTCTCTGAGAAATGATGCTGATAAATCATCCGGACGACATTCCAGGCAGTCCGTTTCACTTGAGCTTCTGGCGCGACGGGCAAACCAATTCGCACCTATCACACTGGTTATGATTCTCAAATGTTCGAGATTGGAGACGTGGACGTGGAGACGGCGTCAGACCGAAAGGGCAACAACGAAGTGTGAAACAAAGTGTTCGGCCGTCAAGTGCAACTCACCTCCTGGTGCAGCTTCTGCAGACCTCCTATGTCTTCCGCCTCCTCAATCGCCTCACGAATCTCCATTACCTGTTGAAGTAAAACGACAACTTCAAAGAACAGCACGAGACTCACGCACATGTCGTACCTTAAGACATGGACCGACTTCCAAATCTGCTCGATTTGCGAAGTAACTTCTAAGAAAGCAGGCTTTCGAGCGTCATCGCACAAGCGAGCAGATTCAGCCATCATTTCTTGCTTCCGTGTGGCGGCCACACTGCCTCTGCGAGTACTACTTCACAGCCACACTTTGCAGAGTCCGCGTCCTTCTTCATTCCAAAGTGCCGCTTACAATTCTTCCGAAGCGATTGCGTCTTGCAGGCCCGAAGTCCGTGGTCTCACCTCGCTCAGAAGCTCGAAGTCTGACATTGTCCCTTCTTCCCCGTCGCCCGCTTCGATGCCCCTTAGTCGGAGCTGCAAGTGTCGAATACAAACCGTGTCAACAAGTCCAGAAGCGCTGCAGAGCACAACAAAAACCTGAGGGCGGCAGTTGCAATTTGCTGTAGGATTTGACCTGTTGCGTGTGCAGCGTGCCTTTCGCAACATAGAAGAGCCCGTGCTGGAACAGGTGCAACGCCTAGAATCTGCAGCGCTGACCAGGAGGATGATTTAAGGCATCACTAAGATCTGCAGCAGTAAACATAACACAGAGGAGGCGGCGCGGGAACTGACCAGATAAATCGCTCTGGAAAGCGGATTGACCAGAGTAGCGTAGGCCTTGTTTACCAGCGAAGACTGGTCCGCTGAGAAGTCTTGCTCGACCTGCAAGAAGCAAAGGCACGTGGTTCGATGGGGCACCAGATTTTGTTGCCCTTCACAAATTGACGAAGTGAATAGTGGTAACCTCAGCGCAGATTATCTAATACAAATGTGGAGCCAGAAGTTCAGAAGATGACATAAGACAGCGCTCAGACCAGCTTAGAACCAGAGGCCACCACCAGACGCCTCAAAACTGATACACCTGTCAAGGTGACCATTCCCTGCGGACATCGACTTTTCTGCGCTAACTTCTTGTGACAGAAATCGTCAGCTTCCAGAATTGCCGATAAGGAACGTCTATGAACCTGCATGCCTCCCAGCACTTCCACAAAACGTCAAAAGATCCCTATCACAGGCCCTTCTACATATCTTGATTCCCGGATGACAGACAAGGGATGCACAGACAGCTCAGAACTAGCTTACCACCGAATCCAGTCTTAGGTCAGACCTTTCTCTGCAAAACCAGTCTCTTTCAGAATGCAGCAAGCCGCTTTCTGTAGGGCCACAAACAGTGAAACCAGTTGCAGGATCAATAGATTTACGATTATGATGCGTCAAACATCCAATTATCACACCCACCTTTTGCTTCGTCGCATACATGTCTGGATGGAGCTTTCTTTGCAGGGCCTTGTACTTCCCCTCAATCACCGGAAGATTCACCATGAAAGTTGGCTCTCTGCATGAAAAGAAGATGTCCATAATCTTGCTTCGTCTTCATAAGACGACCAGGGTCAAAGGTGCGGGCACGCTTCAGCATTCAAATCAACGCAAGTTAATTATGTGTGCGCTGTTGATGGATGCTATGATCGTGACCGCTAGAACACAGTCCAGTAGTTTTGTGTGACTCAAAGGAGCGCTGCAAAGTCACTTTGATTGTCTTGAGGTGTACCGTTGAAACAGCCGCGGGGCTCTACCTTAAACTTGTCATGACACGTCACTCCCTCTGAGTTGCAGAATCATATGGATTGGCCACCAAGGTCACACATTAGTAAAAGTGCCAAGCACCCCGACAGCAACTTGGAGATGAACAAGGTTTTTGGTGTGTGAGACAAGAACGGGCACAGCGCCCGAGGACTTTCTTCAAAATGATACGTGCTGATAATCAGCAGATTGAAACCAGATTGGATTGGCCCAAGGAGGTCTTCAATGGAGCAAGAGGGGGATGAGTGTAGATACAAAGGTAGTGAGTGGGACAAACTAGGTGCGTTCTGGCACCAGCTTACACGCCCAGCAGCTGGAAGTAATCAGCGGTGTCGCTTGCTGCCTGAATGGCCCCACATTGGTTGCAGAAGAACAAGGTGTCATCCCCGTGTGCGGACCCACAAGACCAGCATTCTGCACTGTGCTGAGACTCCTGTGCCTTGGATGACGAGAAACTTCGTCGACAGAGTGCAGCTGATCTTGCAATTGCATCGTATTGTCCCAGCTTTGCTATTGAGCTTGTCGCTGTTATGAGTGCGTGATGGGCATTTTGAACATTTCTAAGTTGCTGTGTAGCAGGACCAGATTGAAAAGGCTTTACAGAAGAGGATACTAAAGGTATGCTCCTCAAAAGGTGGCACTTTTCTAATTGTCTACCTGATTGACAGTAAGCCTCACCACCTGATGTATCGACATTTGCCGCGCTCCCTATATCTTTACCACTAGCACTGCAATCTAAATTCTTGTTAAAGTCACAAGGTGAAACCAAAAATCCGCAGTCTCCGGTTTCCTGTTGGAAGGATGCAGGCCATGTGCGCCAACGTTTTGCCAGCCCTGACAACGTTCTCCACCACCTATCGTTCTGCTCTCCAAAAAGGACACCAGACCTGGACGCAGCAGAATCAAGTCCTAGGGCATGTGCCCGCCACAACATTTGCCAAGGTGTTGGCGGCATTGCTGATTCAGAGGCTACCCATAAACCATCGCGCAGTGCAAGCGGGCGTTGGCACAGCGGCAAGCTTCTTACGGTAGAACCTCTCTCCTTCGATCACGGATTGCGCTTCCTGCTCTCTTCGACAGTCGCCTCGTCGGAGCTCCAGCTGTACATTGCGGCCGCACTGTTCCATCATGCAGGATCACAGTCGTGACGTCACGTTAGGAGTTGAAGGCCGTCGATAGAGAGTTGATGGAGTTGAAGGCCGTTCGATCAACATCGTGCTGCCAAGTGGCATGGTGACGTGGCGTTCAAAAGCGACGTCTGCAATAGATTCTCGTGGCGCTGATTCATCAGCTCTGAATCTTAGAGTCTGAATCTTAGACTAGTGAGGTGACCCCAGCTTCAGAAGATGACCTTTTGTAGAAGTGCTGCTTTGCGTCTTCTTTGTTGAACAAGAAAGCAGAAGTCCGCTTTGAAATTGTGATCGTGGCGCTTGCACACCCCGCGCATCCTGTGTCTGCTTCATCTGGCTCTGATCCATCAAAGTACCGCAATGGCTACTCAAGATGCAGGCACTGCTACGTCGCACCACAAACCCACAAACATTGCAAAGGATACTCCGCATCCTGAGCTAAAGGAGCACGGCAAGTCGCCTGGGAGCTTTCTGCATCAGCGGGGCCATGCAACAGGGTTCAACAGGTATTTCAGTGCCAGGGTAAGCGTCAAAGGGCTCCCCATCTTCGATGAAACGTTTTGCAGTTTCTATGCATGCACTGCAGGTGCTGTCCCTTTCAGGAACCTCCTATCCATTTTTCCTCTGCTGAGCTCCGTCAAGTTCGAATGCAAAGTGGAAGACACTCTGGCACATTAGCTGCTTCTGATCTACTCCATCTGGAATGCTGATTGTTGAAAGTCTTAATGGGTTGGCCACGCTGTGTAGGATAGAGGAGCATAAGAGCTTCAGGAACATCGCAAAGCTTGAGAAGGAAATGAACATCATGTTTCTGATTTCCCATTTTTGATCTGCAGTTGCTGCCTATGTATCCCATGATAGCTGCTGTGGGGCTGGGAATAGGCTTGGCAGGGTACACGATGTATCATGCTCTCATTGTGAGCCCTGAAGTACAGTAAGTCACATCCTCTTTGGTGACGCTTTGATTTGGTGCTTGGCGGGTCATTCAGAGTTGTGGTCCTATCGCAGACCCCATTTTCCATTGTAGCCATTCCTGTGAGCCATAGATTGAGTGGACAGTTGAAAGCTTGTGAGTTTGAGTTTTAGGGGAGTCGCCAAGCATTATTCGAATTTTCAGACACAGCGCTGTTGGATTTGAGTAGGTGAGCACCATTGTTCACACCCTGGCAAAAGCAGTTGACTTCATGTCATTCTCATTCTCATTCACAGTGTTTTCAAGGACCGCCGGAGTGGTGTGCCTGAGCTGGAGGACGCTGAGGCGATGCACAAAAGGGGTGTGGCATACAAGCATGCTTATCCCTTGAGGAGCGGTGCCAAGGTATGAAAGTACTTGCCGATGTTGTAGTCAACCAGGAATAAGGGCCCAGGAAGCTGCGAATGCCGTGCAGTTCAGTCAGCTCATTCTCTATTTTTGCGATGTGGAACGCTCAGTCTGTGTCATTGCTGTTGCAGCAGACTTTTAACCATTCCATAGATGTCATACATTTCCTTTTGAGTTCACTCATCTCATTCATTTTCCTTGATAGTTGAAGACTACAGCACGCTAATGGATGTGACGAATTTGCAACCAAAAAGCCAGTGTTAACACATTGATTGTATGTACACGCAGGCTGACAACGCTGTGGTCCAGAACCTCCACGCTTTCAGCCTTCAGCCGCCCGTTCTGCCGGGAGATGATGCTCACCCCAGCCGTCTAGGCAACACTGACTTTGGTCCTGGGTCTAGCGCAACCAAGTCTTATGGTCCTGGAGCAGGGTCCAACCAGGCGACAAAGCACTGATTTCTCACGTCAATCAGTCTGGGCATTGCTGTGCTGCCTCAGCTTGACGGTTTCGATTGTAAGCGTAGCAAGGAGGATGTATTCTAGGTGAGAGCTCATGTGCTATTAGGCGAAGTGTTGCTGGTCAAATACAGAAAGATGGAGTAGAACAATGTCCAAGTACGGCTTCGAGAATGTTGGAAGCATACGTCCAGATGCTGCCATTTTGTAACTTAGAACACTAACTGAGATCACGTCTGATGTAAATTGCGGGTCGAAGGGTTGTACAAGGTTGTACGGTCGAACTTGGTGATCTAATGTCTCTTAAGCCGAACCAGATTGCAACGATTCGACAAGGGTTCTTGCACATCTCCTCCAAGGCAGTCCAAAAAGTTTTCCAAGTACAGCCTTATTGGGGGTGTTACAGGACTTGCCTGTTGATGTGGCCCCAAGCCATTTTCCAAGATGGTCATGCCAGCAAAGCACCTCATTGAGCGTGCATTTCACCCGACACTATAACATCGTCCACAGCTTGCACTTGCCACAGTTGGGTCGCATTGTATGAACTGGGTGTTTGGTCATGCCTGCAAAAGGATCACTGCACGGGGAAGTGCGGTGTTAAAATGTGCGTTTTGACTTGGCCGCGCGGGTCACTATACTTCAGATTACAAGCAAGGGCTGGCTGCGCCACCCCTTAAGGCAGCCTGTGGTCCTTGTATATTGCAACATACGGGATTGAAACATGCAGCATGGCATGGGCAGCTGCAAGCCACCAAGGATTTTGATCACAAGAGGATTCAATGATTGAGGATTCAAAACCTTGAAACAGCTATGCAGCGTATGGTACTAGCTACATGTGCATGCCGGCAGGCAGCCGCGGTGCTCCCAAAGTTCCGCAGAGCTGTTGTGCATGTATGTCAAGCTGAACACAACGTGCATCATGATGTACGCACGTGTAGCTAAAGTGACGGGCTGTGGGCCCCTGCGAAGTACTATTAGAGGGAGCGATATCGCTCCCTCTAGCTTTCAATAACGTCCGCATGATCATCTCAGCTGACCGTGGTGCACCACGGTCAGCTTCATGAAGCGCGTCAGTTAAAGATGAAGGAGAAAGATGGAACATGTTGTAGCTACGTACACTGATGTGCTCTCGTTGCTCCGCGGGAATTAGCGCATCCGCAATGACAAAAGCTTATGGAAATTAGGTCGATGCAATCAGTCGCCTCTAGCTCAATGAATAGAGGAGACACTAAAGTTCCTCAATCATTGAGATCTGGCTTCTGCAGGGCTCTTAAATCAAGCCGTTTAGCTAACATTTATGCATCATCCCTGCTAGGTCCACGTACTGAAGACGCCGGGTACGGGCCAAAGACGAAGACAACATGTGTCTGCATTGACAAAAGAATTGCGCATGCATTTGCTCGATGCGAGAGTCATTCTCTAGACGTAATGCCAAGAATATGAATGAGGAGAAGCAATTCGCCGCGTACAATCATGCATAATGGGAGGCCTCTACACCAAGTCAGTGAAGGGCAGGGTTGGTCTGTGTTTTGTAGAGTTCCAGTAAAAGCGGTATGTTTGCAGTCAGTCAAAACCGTTTCAATCTTATATCCTTTGGACCAGCCACACAGGTGATATCGTCAATCACTTAAGCCTCATCCTCTAAACCCACTGCCGTCGAGCAGATTGCCGGGACGCAGCCCCAGACGGTGTGATTGCTGCCCCGGGTTGCTTCAGCCTGCTCGGAGGAGCAGGTATAGCTGAGGTGGGAACTGGGACTTGCAAGGCTTCTTCAATGGACGACGATCGGCGATGGATTGCGACTCGGCCCGGTGCAATTGGAATCGACGTGCCGGCCATAGTGAGGCGCCGGGGTGTGGGCAGTTTGGACGCGCTTTCACTGCTGCAATGAAAACAGTGGAAGGGTGGTCAGAGTTGTTTCATGATAGAATATGAGGGTGTGAAGGAAATGGCTACCCTGGAGCGTAAACGGTGCATAAGCTGAATAGAAGAATCTGCAGTTCCTTTCTCCGTGCATCGACCGATTGATCAGTCCACACGACCTAGAACAGAGGGATACACGAAGTCAAGATGGTGAAACCGAGATTAGTTCTTTTCCAACTCATCATCAGAAGCAGCTGATCGAAGCCGGCAGAAAGGTACTCTCAAAAGCACACGGAGGTTTTCATTCTCACCTCAATGAGCCCATCCTCAGCCTCGACGCCCCGCTTTGCTTCTCGAACAAAGACCCCTTTCCGATCGGGGACGCGCCCCCGGGCAGCAGCGCCGGCGTGCTCCCCTCCTCATCGTTCTCCTTTTCAATCCTGGTGACGTTTCCCCGGCTCTCCCCCTTCTTCAGCCGCGAGTCCGGCCGCGCCGTTGGCAGCGGAAGATTGAAGTCCTCCGAGGACGCTCGCAGGGGGTCCTTTGCTCGGGGAGTGCGAGCGGGGGACACCGGGGGGGACTCCGAGACGGGGGCGCTGCCGACGGAGACTGTGCGTCGATGGGCAGGCTTCTCTGGGAACCCATTGCCTGGTTGAAGCAACTGGGAATCGTTTGGCTCTGGCACCGAGGCGGATTGTTCCCTGGGCTGTTGCGGCTCGCCGATTGGGTGACCCACACCTAGTTCCTCGTCACCCGAGCCTTCACTTTGCAGCACCTCCCCTGAGCTGTCGCTCTCAGACCAAGCGCCCGCCAAGGGTTCCCTCGGTTGTGCGGGATGGCCGTTCGCGGCCGGCTCGCCGCCCTCAGCTTGCCAAGACGGTGCCAAAATCTCCAAACCCTCGCTCTGAGCGAACGCTCCGGGATCCCGCTCCGCTGCCGCTGCCGCGGCCGCCGCTCTTGTCAGGATGCCGGCCGACAGCGGGGTTTCCAGGCTGTGAGACGCTGGCTTTCCGGTGTTCCGCCGGGTGAGGATCTTCCGGACCCCCGGAATTGAGGGCGGCAGGCCGCGGCTGCGAGTGAAGCGCCCGGTGGACAGTCGACCCTGCGAATCCAGAAACCGGAAGCTGTGAGCATAAGCTATGAATCTGATACGATGCTACCATCTCTTCCGGTCAGTTGACACGGCAGAGCTGTCGGTAGCAGGGAGCGTTTCACCAATCGTACCGAACGTGAGTAGTCGATACAATCGTCCATTGAGGCGCTATTCAAAAGGTCTGACCATGGCGTCGTGGTTCAAGACGGAATGCGAGTAGCAAATCGAATGACATCAGAATACAAACCTTGCCGATCATCGAAACCAAGACAGCAACACCCTGGCCTCCTTGAGAAGCTGACCAACACTGGACATGCACCGCTAGCAACGAGAGATCATCCTACCCACCTCGCTGGGTGCGTCCCGCTCCTCCACAATGGCGCTCATCCCCTCCCCCAGGCGCTTTACCCGGGCATTCTTCTCGGGTTCCTTCTCGGGCGACAAAGCGCGCTTGGCCAGCCCGCCCTCGCTCAAGCGGCGGTCGGGCGCGACGCGCGCGGGGGCGGCCGCGGCCGCGAGGGTGTTGGCTCGGTTGACTGCCTCCGCTTTGAGCTGCTGCAGCCGCTCAATCTCTGCCGCCTTGCGCTGCAGCTCGTCCTTTAGATTCGCGATCTGCGGGTGCGACACGTGGCAGAAGGTCATTGGCGGTCACCAGGAGGAGCTTGCGCGGTACGAGGGCGTGAGAAAGCCCTCCCTCTTGAGAACGATTCTCGAATGTCGAAGAGCCTACACAAAAACCTGGTTCGCAAAAGTCAAGCCGGCTGACCCAAGCGGACTGTGAAGAGACATTGTCTCCGCCAATTTAACGGTACTTTTGCAGAGGACCTTCCGTAGACGGGCTGAGTAAAAGCCAGTTGCTCAGCCCGATCTAGATACTCCTCTAAATCGGTATCTCTCCTCTGGCAGCCTCCATATTTTGAACGGTCCACCCCACCTGCCATGTCACCGATCGGGCTGTCAACAAACATTCGACTGCTCGTCCATGATTAAACCATAATCTCTTCTCCGCAGGCTGTTGTTTTGAAACAGTCAGGCGGGTTCCCACCCTCACCTTTTCCCGCGACTCCCGCAGCTCCGCGCTCTCCGCGTTCCTGCTGGACGCCCCCAGTTCGACGCTGGCCACGCGCTTGGCGAACGTGAGCGTGCTCACCGTCTCGTTGTACGACTCCTCGTCCGGGGACACGTGCACGAACATCAGCGTCTTGGCCTGCTTGCCTGCAAACAAAAAGGCCAAAAAGCTTCGTACTTTCGAAAAGGCTGAGCCTTTCAATGAGGACGCCGGAGTTCTAGCCGCCGCGCGGCGATGGCATTCTGGCCGTCAGCGACAGAGTTGCGAGCTTGTAATAGAGTGTTACGCCTAGGACAATGAATCTGCAGCTGCGAACGTGCTTGGACACCTCCGGCTTCCCGATCGGAAATGTTCGGCTTCAGTTCTGACCAGACGGTGAACAACGATCTTTTTACTGTACACTTCTATCCACCGGCCGTTTCCTTCTTATCGGAACTACTAAAAGGAGAAGTGAGCTGACAAGTGGCGAGGCCTCGCCAAGAGCCGTTATTGTCTTCTTCACCCCTCACCCAGCGCGTCCTGCAGCAGCTGCGTCAACTTGCTGTTGCGGTAGGGCACGTGCGCGCTCTTGCTCGCGAGCGCCGCGATGACGTCACCCAGCGCGGACAGGCTCTTGTTGATGTGCTGCGCTTCGCGGAGTCGGTCCCCGGTCGCTTCGGACCGGTCCACCCGCTCGCTCCCGGCCAGGTCTACCAGGTGCAGGCAGCCGCGCAGGATGGCGCCCGAGAGCACCTCCTGGCCGTACACGTGGACGGTCAAGACGCTGCGAAGATAAAAGTGGGGCTGGTAAGCTTGCTGATCGGGGGCTTTGGTCGTTGAGTACCTAGAGGGCCTCGATGAGAAAACGGGGTGGACCTAGATCGCAATGCACCACTGAAAACCCGTCTCACTCGCGGACCTGGTTCGTTGCGGCTTGGTAGTTTTGATGGAACCGGGGTCTCGTTTACGAGCAAAATCCACGATCGTCAGATGTGCTTGAGAGACGCGACCCAAGTGCGAGTGCAGGGATTCCGAAGTATCGACGCCAAAGTTCAAGAGCATGGCACCCTTCCAGACTGCTCAAGGAGAAAAATACTGCGGGATTCCATGTTTGCATCTAAACGTGTCCCATAGACCGCATCTCCATGCTCTGTATTGATGTAACGGCTTTTTAGGCTGCCATTTGGGACTGCCAAAAGCTAAGCAGAGCGAGAGCTCGCCTGTGCGACCGGCTGCTGCGCTCGTTGAGCGAGGTGCACGCGACCGCGCGGTTGCGCATGCCCAGGTCCATGAGGCGCAGGACGTCCGCGGTGGAACAGACCGGCACCTTGGTGGCGTCCGGCACGTTCAGGCCGTCCACCTGGCTGCTGTTGCGGATCTCCAGCGTGCGGAGGAAGTTCAGGTCAAGGATAAACAGAAAACCGCGACTTGAACTGTCACAAACGTTGCCTTGAACTCCTCGCTTCCGCCTTAGATACCATCCTTTTGAGCTGTGAACACCTTGCTTCCTGGACCGAAAGACAGCGACGGTGCACGTTGTTCAACCTTTGCTCTGCCTCTGCATGCGCGAAACTCCACGACAGGACAAGCAAGCAAGCTAGAAAAGGCGACCAACAGTCCACGTGTTGTTTCTCCACTGCGCGTTCCAGCTTTGCGACCAAACTCGAGCAAAATAGAGAGGAAACAGAAACCGGCGCGTGCGTGAAGGATATGATCGTGGCCCGTTGCCGGTGCTGTCGAGCAGGTCCCGCACTTGTTCGTTGTAGATCTCGACCATCTGCACGCCCACCTCGTACCGCATCGTCTGCGCGCGCTCGCTCCCGAGACCAAACAGGTCGTTCAGCGCGCGCACATTCACGCCCCAATCCGTCTGCGAGGGGTTGTTGGGGCCGGCCTGCGGAATAAGGCACTGCGCTTGTGGGGGACTGCTCAGTGTGGGGTCAAGATTTGAGAGCCATTGTGGTGAAGGGGTTGGAGGCCCCATTGCGTACGGAAGAGCGTGATTGCAGTGTACCTTGGTAATCATTGTTCAGCGAACGCATACTCTTCTGATTGTTGAAAGATCAGCCAGAAATGTGTTTCAAACTTTCATGTGCAGACTTCTCAAGCGACGCGAACGGTTGACGTTGTACTTGTTGGATATTTCCGGGTGTTTTCTTGAGATTGTGATCGCTACAAACCGTTTTGATTGGGCTGCCAAGCTTCCGAGTTCGCTGCATGACAGGGTCATCTCCCGTCCCAAGATCTAGTGGCCGATCCCAAAGGTTGGACGTATTGAGGAAATTCCGGGACTTCAACATAGTACCAGAACTTTGACTGCCTAGTGACGTCACGTTAGACGAGTTTATTTTGGTTATAACAAACCAATATCCTCTACCAAACAAACCCCGGCTCACCATGGTAAACGTCTTCCCCGACCCAGTCTGCCCGTATGCGAAGATACACACGTTGTACCCGTCGAGCACCGACCGGATCAGCGGGCGCGTGTCAGCAAAGATCGCCTCCTGGCTCGTCCCAGGCCCAAAGACTTTGTCGAAGGAGAAGCCGCGGCGGCTGTTGGGCTTGACGGAGCTTCCGACCATGATGTCACCATTGGGACCGGTGAACTCAACGCAGCTGGGGCGTGTGCGCTCGTGGGAGTGCAAGGGCCGCACGCGACAGTACACGCGGATGTTGCCTGGCGGGAGAAAGAGCCGCTACGAGTTACTTCCTTTTAAGCGGTAAGCAATTTCAAGACTACTTCGTTCTATTGGGAATGTATCTTGTGATGACTTGGTCAAGACCCCTGGGGGTCAACTGCAAGCCGAAAGGACAACATGCACGATCGGATGATTTGTCAGTGGGATTGGGGTTCTCAGGCAACCTGCAAGATGGTCATTATGTCACTTCATTCTTTGCCCCAGGGCACGAGGCTTTGAAGCAGAATGGCAGGCAAAAACAAGTCGTGGAGCAGATTAAATCTGGATGGAAATGCCAGCGCCCGGCGTGCATCTTGGGACCAAGCAACGGGTTACGGGTTACCTAAGTTCACTGCGTTTCTAAGAAAGGCACGCCATCTTCGTAAAAGCGTTTCTTCAAGAAGAGATGCGCCAGACTCGATCACGAAAATTTCGATAATGTCTCGTCTAAGCAAGCTTCGCCCGTACCTTTGAGGTCCTGCACTTCGTTGTACAGCTTCCTGTTCTCGTCCAGCACCTTTTGGTAGCCCTGCGTCACGCGCGCCAGCTCGACCATCTGGCCCTCTGTACACCACGTAATGCCATACGAGTTAAGTGGTGACCGACAAAAAATTGCTATTTCGTATACTACGAAGAGCGAGCCAACGATACTAAAGATTGACGATGGCTTGTAGATAAGGGGCTGACAGGGACTCGAGCAAAGTTGATGCGGTCAGGTGGCAAGAAGGAAGCAGGATCGATTGGTAGCGTGACATCTTACCTAAGCTTCTGAGATGGTCGCGCCAGTTTTCCTCACTCCGATGCACCTCTGTCTTTGTGTCAACCAGAGCTCGTTTTAAAGCCTGCAAAGAAAGGCAAGAAAGTTGGCAAGCAGGTACATTGTACCAAGTACCAGAATAGACAGAAAGCAGAAGCAGAATCCGAACGGTTTGCAAAGTCGTTCCAACCATTCCTGCCAAAAGCCAAATCTACTCTATGTGCGGTTTGTTCCTTCATGAATGGGCTTCAGTCGCTGTGCCACCATTCGGATAGCTCTGCTGAGACCCCCATGCCTTACCCACAGACAGTCTAATATTCAAATTGCTGATCATTTGTTGGTATTATAGATCGTCACACCTGAAGCTCTCCAGCCGCCCTCAGCAGCTGCATGTGCGCTCTGGCCTCTCGCTCTTGGCAGGCGGCCGACTTGCGGGGCCCTTCTTCCTCTAGCTCTGCTATTCTCTGGTTTGCCAAGTCCAGCTCCCGACGCGTCCGTATGAGCTCCTCCTTGAACCGCCGCTTCTCGCGCGCCACGCGCATCTGCTCCTCCTGCGCCTGCTGCAGCTGCTCTGACACCACCTGGCAGGAGCGGTAGTGTTTAGTCTGCCCTGTTCGGTCTGGTGTCAACAAAGCGGACTCAAAACAACATAGATTGGCTTGGTGCTAGTCGGTAAAATATACAGGTGGCAAAGTTTTGAACCTCCCTCAGCAACTCAGTTCCATTGGCTCACGATGGCCTACTATGTTTCTTCACGGGTGCTCTTAGGTTTTAGTCTCAAGCATTGTTCCAGATCACTTTTTGACTGGAACCGCGGCTGTGAAGAGTCCGTTCAAAATTGGTACTGCTTCAAAACAACCCCGGAAAGAAGGCAGCATTCGGTGGAAGCCTTTGGAAGGATTCTCACCAGTACCTCCTCTCCCTGCCCCTCTATCAGCGCCTCCAGCATCCTGCCCCGTGACTGGTGCATCTCGTCGCTCTTCAGTGCATCCATTAGCGCTTCCTTCAGCTGCAACCCCAAAACCAATCCATCACATCAGCAACTGTTGCACAACAAGAGATTGAAGGATGGGGATTGGAGTCAAGGGTACACGATTTGCACACCGCAGGTCGAACAGGCAGTCAGCTGGCAAACTGCTGTCAGGCCCTCGCGCTGCTTTTGGTGATGAACGAGAGGCTGAGGTTTTGGCAGCCATGCCCCTTACCTTGAGCATCTGCTCCTCCTTGACGTACTTCAGATTGTCGAACTCCTGCTTGCACGTCTCCACAAAGATCTCCAGCCGCTGCAGCCAAGGCACACTTTGCATCACAAGTTTGAAGAGACGGGAGTTGAGCACTCCAGCCACAACTGCGAATGGGGAGACTGGGAAGAAGGAAACGGGTTGCTCGCAGGAACTCATTCCAGCACGAACACAACTTGATAGGGCAGTGCAAAATGCAGTAGCTAATGTGGAAGATGGAACCAGCCGCAGCAAACAAGTGCAAAGAACGACTCACTCTTGCAATTCCGTCAATGTCGATGCTGGTGGGGTTAGCGCTTCCGAGGACGTTTCCCACGACATCGCTGAAAGGAGAAGCGGGTGTCGCAGGCTGCACAATATCCAAAAGGTTGAGTTCATGCCTTTTTGCCGAAGGAGCGTCAAACATAGAGCGCGGGGATTGGCAAAGGAGAGTCCCTAAACTGATTGCAACGGTTGATCACTTTTGCAAACTTCATGTTTGGTTAGAGCCCAAACGCACCGTGACTTACGACTGAGATGTCCTGGGTACTCACAATTGCCTGTAGATGAGGTGCAAAGGGAGTCTTTGGCGACGGTAATGCGGCCGGACTGGTCAGCATCCGCCGGGCCAGCCCGCTGATCTCACTGCTGGCGGTCCTGGCATGCCCTGCAAGGACAGCGTGGATTCTACTCTCAAGAGTTTGGGGATCACAAGCATGCGTTCTTGAAGACACACGCAGGGTGAAATCAAATAAGGACTCCTGCAGCATGTATCTCCTGCTGCTGAGCAGCTATGTGCAGAAATGAAGTTGCGAGGAGTTGGCCTTCTTTGAAAAGTGGCTTGCCGTATTCACTGACCTGAGTTGGTTTCTAAATTGCTGGAGGCAGTTACATTGCCGTCCAGGACCAATGCAGGACGGGTCTGTGTGACAAGAGGGGATAGAGCGGGCAGGGCGGGGTTCTGCCGGCGCCAGCTAGTAGGCGACAGGGTTTGCCCGCGCTGCTGCTCTGAGTACCAGAGCTCCAGGTCCAGGATAGAGTCAACGATGCGAGCTGTGCGGCTGGGTCCATAGCCCTGAAGAGGGGAGAAAACCACTGTGACGATCCTGACCTGAACAATTGTCACTTTGAGTTCCTGTTCCACCAAAGCGCATACCTTCAGGCTGATGTGCAGGTTTTCAGGACGATGAAATGACTGCTGGTAGCATCAAACCTTGTAGCATACAGAGTGCCTCTTAAGCAATTAGCTGTGACAACCTGATATTTTTGATCTGAGGCCTTGCCTTGCTGCACAGTTATTGCTTGAAGAAATGAAAAGCTAGTTCTAAAGGCATTCAGTTGGAAAGTTCCTCTGATGACTCCAAACATGATCACATGTTCAAATTACAGCCACTGGCTTGTGCACGCACCTTTTTCTCAAAGTCAGATGCCTCGAAGAGCTTCAGCTCGGGGTTCATGGCCTTTACCCTCCGCAGAAAGTTGCTGATATTTTCCATGCTTTGGAATGCAGCATGCGCCTCTTGGTTGGAATCTGAATCAAATTGGACCACTTTGACTGTCTCCTGATGCGATTCAGCGAGGATTTTGTTCAGCATCTGTAGGAGAAGCACTCCATCGCTCAAGGACTCCTGAAACTGACCCTCAGACACGTCAGATGGAAGGCCCGCTCCCGACAGGTGGTTAATGAATGCAACAGCTTGCTCGCGCCGCTGTGCAAAATCTGCAGCTTTGCGAGATGCCATTCGTGCGTCGCTGCTCATGCTCGCTTTGAGCGAGTTGCGCAGCGGAGACGGACACCAGGTCCTCGTGGACTTTGTGAAGACCATGCTGACGGGGCAAACACGCGAAACTACTCTTCCAACATGTCACTTCCACAAGGAACACACTTTTTACAACTTGAGGTTGAGAAAACCTGTGTCTTCATAAGCGCAGGAAGGCGCCGGCACTTCGTCCCTGCAAATCATAAATACTGTTCGACAGGCCCACGAAGAGCATAAGCTGGCCTACAGTGTCATTAGGACAGGAGACTCCGCCTCTTTCCGGAGCATATTGTATTTTGACCGCCATTGCAGCTCTTCGCTCTCCGCTTCCCGCAGCATGGCCGCCCCAATTGGCAATTGCAGCTTGCATCAAAATCAAGCGTGTGCATTTTGAAGTTAGCCGCAGCTGACGTCAGTGTTTCTCAACTACAGACCGCAGGATACACGCTCAAGGGTCATCCGGCGGCGTACAAGCGTCCCAAGAATCCGTTCACCCGATTTTCAAATTTTATGGAGAGGATGCCTCTGAGTCTGTCTGTTGACCCATGTTGAACTCGAAGCTTGGATCATCAACCGATCGCGCAGAAAACAGCGCGCGCAAATGGAATGTCTTGCGGCCTCCAATCAAAATCTAAATGAGACCGCAGTAAGTTAGAGACCGCAGAACAGCTGAACAGCAGAAGGCTGGGAAGCAGAGCTCTGTCAAAGTACATGGATCAAAATAGAGCCATTCTGATTTGTCGTAGCTAGCCGGAGTAGCGGCAGAATTTACAGGAGAGGCTCTACTTATCAGACTCAGTGTCAGTGCTTCAGCAAATTTCTACGAACTGGCCAATTGGCAAACTTGGTATGGTAGATTCATGTCTTCTCGGGCATCGGGTAAAAAGCCTGCAGATTTGGAGCAGGCTGCAGGACCTGGTCAGTCAGGGCGAGGCATCTAAAGAGGATCTGAAGCCTCATCAGTATAGGCCGCTCATTAAGTCAGGAATAGTAAAATAGTCTGATGCTAGTGTCCCGAAACGTGGTTGTCACAACAGGGCATCCTTGATGACTCCGACCATTGTTTGTAAGGCCTCCGAACCTGCATCAAGATTCCAAAACGTACCTCGAGTCAGTTCGTATTGCTGTAGCGATTGGGGCCTATGTTGATTCTTGCTTCAGCTGCGCTTCGATACCGGGAGCTCTGGGGAGATCCAGAAAAAGGGGGGCACAATGGGGGCTGGTGCCTCGGCTGCCAGAGGCAACGGAGCTGGCAGGCAGGGTCCCTGGGCAATTACGGTAAGACCAGAATATCAAGCTCTGAGACGCCTTTCTCAATACAAGCAGCATTGAGCACCAGTTTACCAAGGAAAAGATTGGGGTAATGCTTGAAAGGATACTTTGGCTGGACGGGACACTCCTTCACGAATAGTCATAGAAGCCTTTGACAAGGCTTAGGTGGGTCGAGTCGACTTCAATGTCCTGCTGCCCACTTAAAGTGGACGAATGCAGCAGAGACGCTCTGTGAGAGGCTAGAACAAGCTGCAGAAGTGGCATCAAGAGGAGCGTTCGCGGTGAAGCTGACTGATGCCTGCGGAGCTCTTCTCTGCGGTGCAATCAAACGTCACCTTTAATCGAGACCTCCTTCTTTCATCGCAGTTCAAAATGGTTGTGCAGCTCCTCTTCGAAAGCACTCGCTTCAGCAGAACCTTAAAGTCGATTCCCTTTGCAGGACAACAGCATAGCTGGCGACACGTTCGTCTTTGCTGTCAAGCAGCACGTTCAGTGCACTTTCGAGGGGCTGGGGTCCCTACATGGGTGCCGCCATGAGGATTACCGTCGGCAAGGGGGCAAGGGCGCCATCAATGGCCTCCACTCGGACTGGGTCACAGAGGACGTGCTGGCAATGGCCCGCCCGTCGGACCGCCTATTGCAGGAGTACGACATTGTGGGGCAGTTCGAGAAAGCGGGGATTGCAGGCATTATCAATCTGCAGGTGGGAGCGCAGCAGACTGAATGGTTCAGGGGCTGTGCAGCGCTTTCTTTAGGGTGGATAATGGCAAGGGAGCTGGCCGTTTTGAGAATGGAAGGACTGGAATAAGTGCGAGCTCGCTTCTCGGCCTCTTTGCAGTCAGGTCGGTGCAGAGGAATCAGAGGTTAATTTCATGTTTTATGGGATAGCAAACCCACTGAAGCCGTCATGCTTGCTCTGGAGCTGGTCTCAAGAGCTTTCTTTCGTGAAAAGACAGCGGAGACACGTGGTGAAAGGTTTGCCAGCGAGGTATTGAAATGAACGATTCCGTATGTCAGTTAGGATATGTTGCGACCAAAACTCTTAAAGGCAGGACCATCGAGCTTTCCTTTCAGCAAGTTGAACTATAACAGGGACGGCTCACGAGAACCAAAGCCTCGCACTCTGCAGAAAGAACAAACCTGCCGTCTCATTATCACGTGCCCGAAGTCGTTTTCTGATTGGCAGCAAAAATGGGTTCTAACATAAGGAGCGCTTTCTGAATCGCAGGAGGTGGGTGAGCATGCCGGGTGTGGCGACGGCATCCTCCCCGGAAGCGGCTTTTCATACACACCGGAAAAGTTCATGGCCCACGGAATATTTCATTACAACTTCTCCTGGCGGGACATGGGCTGCCCTGCGCTGGACTACACGCTCAACATCGTCCAAGTAGTTGCCTTCACGATCGATGCGGGACGCAAGATTGCGGTCCATTGCCATGCGGGCCTGGGTCGCACAGGGCTCGTGATTGCGTGCTACCTGGTGTTTACGGACAAGTTCTTGCCGGCGGAGGTGAGACTGGCGATCGGTCTACTGCTGACTCAGCGTGTTCGTGACGGTCCAGATACGTGTACTCTGTCAGTCACTGGAATGCCCCTGACATTCAAAGCTCAAGAACCTCGCTCCAGCATTCATGTTGGTGATCTTTTCGCTCACTTAAGAAAGTGAGCTGGCCTTTCGAAGTGGGTCTTCTTCACCAAACAATCGGTCTCGGAGAAAAGGAGTGATAGGAGTTCGATGTAATCAAAACGACTCAATGGCTACAAAGTGTCATCCGACGAGGTTTAAGAGTACGAAGGTTGAATAGAGCAGAAAGGTCTTAGCGCTGCATCAAAGCTGAACGCCAAACAATTTTGTTTATAAAGGTGAGGGCGGTGGCACTTTCTTTGGACGCGAAGCAGTACTTTGTATCAAGAAGACTGACCTTTGGCAAACTTCCCCGCCACATTCGCTGCCAGCCACAATTGGCTAGAACACAGGGACCTGGCTTCGTCGAAGAAGCAAAGTACGATAGGAGTGAATCTTTAGCCGTCAATTTCGCTCTCATACCTCTGCAGGCCGTAGCTGAGGTGCGGAGGCGCCGCCCCGGCTCCCTCCAGACACGTGCCCAAGTTGAGCACGTGACCAAGTTCGCAAACTACCTCGCACTCCTGAGGACCGTCTTTCCTCCTTCCAACCATAAGAAACACCCCGCGGCCTCGCTGCTAACCCTGATCGCTAATCAGCGCCGGTTACTGCACGGCGAGATCGGCGTTAGGCTTCGTTACGTGCCCCGGTTAGTAGACGAAGTTAGCCGGGAATTACGAGACCGAGCAAAGAGCGAAGACGGCTCACGAGCGGCGTCGAGTGTTCTGCAAGATACGGAAGAAACAGGGTTAAGGGGTCGGTTAGGAGGCGAAGACCAGCGCCAAATAGAGGTGGTTAAGCAGCAGATTAATGGTGGGCAGTGGGCGGGTTTGGCGAGGTTGGGGCCTGCGGCGCTTGCACAATTGCTCCTGAACTGGCTGCGGACTCTGGAGGTAAGGACAGACGTTCACAAAAAACCCTACGATGGATGAAATACGATCCGTGACTCCCGTTGCTGCCTCGAGGATATGAAAAGGAAGGCGGTGGATGCGCGTCTTTCTGACCCGGGTAGTGCGTGCTATCATTCAAGGAAGTCGAAAAGAAAGCCTGCTCCGGACGCGGCAGAAGGCCGTCCAGGAAAAGAGATATGCTAGGCGCTTTCACTTTTCTCGCCAGTATCGTTACCTCGAGATTGTAAGAAGCGCAACGAGATCCAAACGAAGATGTCTTAAAATGTTGCGTCCAACCCTTCCACACATCAGCGACTGAGAAAGATCGAAGCCTCGAAAGGTCTGCCGTTATCCTCGAATAAGACTACATCCTCCCAATCCTTCCTACCTCTCCGCAGGAGTGCATGATACCAACCGAAGTCCTGCACAACACTCTCGCAGCCAACTCCGTATCCGAAGCAGCATCCCGGTTGCAAGCTGCCGGCAAGGTGGCGTTCCGGACGCTCCGGACGCTCGCGCAGCTCATGCTGGACGTCTCTAGAGGCGACCGGACGCTGGAGACGCGGCTCGCGCAGCGGCTCGCCTGGGAGGTTCTGCGGCCGGTTCCTCCGGTGATTTCGGGTGAGGAAGGAGATCGGTCACTCGTATGGAGTTAAGGACAGGTTGACAACTGTTAAGATGCAGCCTGTCCCATGTGCCGAATGTCAGAGGCTTTTGAGATGGTTTACAGCGTAGTAGAGTTTCATGCGATCGGTTCGTTTAAAGACGGAACGTGGGGCGATAAAGGGGCATACCTTTATCTGGTTAATATGGCGAAGAGGTGCGCTCGGCGGTGTTTGCTTGCTTTATCGTCTCGAGCAGTTGAGATCAATAAACGGCCTGCTTCAACGGCTTTGCCGTAAGCCTTGACGCGGACGTCCTGTGAGTTCGGGCCGCCTGCCGCCAGTACTTCAACTCGGAAGCACCGTTAGATGTGGTTTCTAGATAGCCGCAGATCTCATGTTGCTCCAAGTCACGTGCTTGGCAGACCCATCGGCTTGGCGCAAACTTCGAGGTGAAAAGTGTTTCATGTAACACAACGAGGGTTCTCCTGTTTGGGGCCGTTTTCGACGTAAATGTTTGGAGCAAACTGCGCTACCGATTTGAATCATCTGTGTCATTATTGGCCCCAGCCAATTCAAATCCCCTCCGTTTCCGCAGGCGACGGTCCATCTGCGGATCCCCTGGAGTGGTCGCCCCAGTTGGGTCGCATCCTAGTCGCCACTCTTGAAGTTGAGCAACCCTTCTCGCCGGCGGCCAGCACCCCTTTCGGAACAGCCTACATGTCGCCGTTTCTCCAAGACACGTCTTCCAGGGGGTCAGAAAGCCGTGTAGAACAGTCTACCGTCAAGGCCAGATCGGCCCCCGAGAGGACAGCAGACATCCAGCCGGGTTGTGTTAACACAGGTACTCCTCCAGAAGCAGGTTTAGCGTCTAAAGGTTATCCGTTAGATGGGGCCAGTGGCGGATCAGCGGGAAACGATCGTGGGTATAACGGAGCTCCGGGGGGACTGCACGTGAGCGGAGGGCGCGGATTGGACGGAAAGCAAGCAGGGCACGTGGAAAGCCATCCGCGCGCCCAAAAAGGGGAGGTCGTTTTGAACGGTGGTGCTGCGTTGCCCATGATTCGGACACAGCAGCGGACCTGATCGACATGCTCCAAAGTATTTGTAAAATTCTAACATTATAACATTCTACATGGTAAGATTTTAACAGCGCAGCACTCTCTAACGCTGACCGGCAATCGGAATTGCAAGGGGGATGATCTGCGATCAGCAAATGTACAGAAGGCATCTGGTTTTTGAACACGAGCTTAGGCAGTTGCCGCTCTGATCAAAACGGCGCGGTGAAACTTAGTATTATCGATCGTGTTGGAGCCAATCTGAGAAAGAATCCTGCCAAACGGTTCTATGATGATTTTTCTGTCATTTTGCCGCTCCTTTTTGCCTCATTGGTAGCCAGTCCAATGCACAATTTGTCAGAGGGCTCCGATGAGTACCATTCCGTCCTGATTCCGTTCCTGTGCATACACCGCAATTGAATCGGCACTTGAACATGCATGCTTGGATTGAGAAGTCGAACCGGAGTCACCTTGTTTGTGATTCTGTCCCTACATAATTGCCAATCAATGTTATTCCGCATTCGAATCGACCGGCCTAGAGAACACATAAAATTCTTCCCTTCTGATTTGGCAGTGATGAAATATATAAAGACTTCTCATGCGCGCAATCCTCCGTCGAGTGCCGACGACAGCTTCAATGATGCGTTGAGACGTCGATGAATAAAGCGCATATCTTAAATTTAGGTATTCGGTTTCGAAGAGGAGCGCTTCAGACTCAATTGCTGCGCATCGTTGACTAGAACCGTGAGGAATCTATCCTGTGCACTCTTTAAGCTGTAGAACTATATTCTTTCTTCCGAGGGTCGCTGATTGTAGAACTGCGGAGCTTTCACAGAGCTGTCCTTAAGCTATTCCGTACACTTGGAGCTGGCTAATGAAGACGAGGCTGTTGGTTTTCATGAAGACGGATTGCAACGAGAGAAGCAACGGGGGCCGGTACTTTTCGACCAACTCAGACCCAGGATGAGGTCAAGCTGAATTGAAATGCTAAACATGGAGGACCTTCCGGGTCAGAACAAGCATCGATCACCACTGCGCGTGGCATTCGGGAACATAAAACTTCAGGTAAAGTAATTTGCAGGTAAAGTAAGCCAAGCAGCCTCAGTGGGACGGGTGGAGTTAGTCTGGGGGTTAGGGTGGGTTCGGGTGCGGAGCGGGTGATTTTGAGGTTCAGGATATTAGTGTCAGGCTGGGGGCTTACTTTACCGGGGGCTTACTTTACCTGAATTGAAAAGACATTTCAGGAACGGCGACTTCGTGCTGATCCCATGCATGCCTCTGGGCATTCATGATAACGTCGATATCAAAAACTCTGATACGAATCAAAGCGTGTGAAGATTCGGGGCGGAGCGGACAAAGCTGAAAGGCGAGGGAGCCTGCACGTGCGTTTAAGCTTTGCAAAGATTAGTTTTCAGCATTTACCTCCTACTTCGAGCAGCACGCATACGCATACGCTAACGATGTCAAGAAGAAGTCGAGAGCTGTGTCTGTGCATTTGGTGTTCCGACGAGCAGTGGGCTGCGTCTGAAGCCCCTTCTCGGCACGTTCTGCATCCCTGCTTAGCTTACCAATTCTACGCGAACACCTTCAGGCTGGTCCGACGTGCTTTTCCCCGCAGGGTCAGTTCTGTGTCTGCCTTGGAAGAACACCACGAGACTCCTGAAATCTTTCTGAAGCAGAACAAGTATCCTCAGACTCTTCAATAGCCAACGGTGGATGATTTTACTTCACTCACGTCGTGGAAGAGTGCGTCCGAATGCGTTCCCCTTTCTCCTCTACATGTTTAGTCCTGGCCCACTCCGGCCGACTCTTTACCATCAAACCACCCTTTTGATTTGTTGATCCCCTTGTCAGGCTGTCACAGTGCAGAACGCGCGCTTGACGTCAATTTGCTCGTCACCTGCAGGAGTTATGAGGCAGTCCTACTGTACCTAGGCATCCTCACAACGACTCGGCGCGGCTCGGTGGCGCCAGCGGGGTTAAACGCATCAGACGTCGCAATAAAAGTGTAGATAAACCACAGAAAGATGCGTAACTTGAGTTGCGGACTATATCATAACTTCTCTGGACTAAGCAAGCAAGCTCAAGTCGAATATCGAATACAGGAGTCAGAAGCCTGTACCTGGGCCTTGCAAGATCGTTTTTGAACGCTCGTCCATGCAAAGGCTGTTCCTTTTGAGGACGTATCATGATAAAGCTGATGCATCATCATGATGAGGTAAAGGGAGTTCTGACGTACGTAACAAGCGGGCTGCAAGGGAGAATTGGAGTGATCGTCCCCAAGTGGTGATTTGTGATTGTGGGGGCTTGTCTCATGTGAAGTCGCTTTCAGATGGCGATTGCTCTGCATGTAAAAGACTCCTGCGAATTGCACGATTTCTTGTCGAGAAGGAATAGCCTTGGAGCCTTGAGACTGCTGCGAAATGGTCGCCCTGCGATGCTGTAGTACCGTGACATCACGAGATTGCCAACATCAGACATTTCTTTGTTTTGTAGCGACCTTGTCTCTGGGTCGTATGAACGTGCCACGGAGCTGCACCCTTCATTGCAGGCATTCCTGATTTTGGGCAAACGTAAGTCACGATTGGCAGAGCCCGATAAGGAGCCATTCCGCCAGAAGAACAGCGTATAACCTGGTGATTGGACTTTTGAACTTGCTTCATCACTACATGATCATTCAAATCGCACAGTCGTGACGTGGTCGTGACGATCTCATGACCGAGATCATCAACAACTCAGCCTCATGTATAAATACGTTGACATTAGGACGTCCCATAAACGTGCCCGACTTGAGGTCACCTCAACTCGACTTGAAAAGGTTCCGGCTGCTCTCAATCGAAACACAGAGCTTTCAGTCGCTGGCAATGTCTGATGTCACGGGGGCGCCAAGTCACGATCGGAGCCGACCGTAGCGGCTTGAGGAGGTTTGGGCCATGCCCGGAAGGCGGCGGCTACGCAAATACTGGATAAGGTAATCGACAACGTCACGGTACGTTCGCAAAAGTTTACGGCGATCCTGACTTGCAGGGAGTGCTTTTGTAGCCTGGCACGTGGCATGGAACCAGGTGTGGCTGAGGATTGTCGAGCGAGCAGGTCGTCGAGGCGCCAACTAGGTAGTAACTTCCCTGAACTCCACCCGCTTTTAGCCAGCCTGGCAATGATTGTGGTGATGCAATAAGGTACGGCTCTGTCACCTCAGTCGATCGTGAACGTACTGAAGTCCGACTGCTTTATACCTGTGCTGGTGACCCTGAAGCCCGATTCCAAATGTGCCGGAGCTAGCCTGGGGCCGTCTCCCGGGGTCTCTATCTAGACCTTCCTGCGTATGTATACTGCCCGGTTACCTCCCGTATTCCCTCTGGGAGTCCGCCCGCCTAGCTTCGAATTCACAGAATTGTAGACTGCGTAGTACGTACCGTACCCCAGTATTAGGTATAAGTGTGGCTACGTACTGTGGGGCCTGGGCCTGTGTATTAGGTACCGGTACCTATAAAGAGTTCCAGCTGTCTGGGGGTGAATCATTATCGTACGAAAGCCGGCGGCGGGAGTTTGCAGGTGCATGGACAAATTAAATTCAGCTCTGGAGCTGAAATTCGGTACGTACAGGACCCAAGGTCGTGCAGGTACCGTCCGGACATTCATCATGCACGTACCTAGTCCTAGATCGGTACGTGCGGCCGGTACTCATGAAGCGCGCTTGACGGTTGTGCCAGCTAGAAAGAGCGTAAGTACCTACCTAGACTAGCTGAGGCTAGACCTGTACTTTGAGTATTGAGCTCCAGCAACCAGCCTCCAGCCTACGGTAACTTGACACCGTACCAGTTTTGGACCGTCCCGACGGCACTTTGTTCGACGTAGTGAGCTATCGAATCTGTCGGCTCTTCTCCGGTCCGCGGGCTCAACCCTTTATTCGGTCGGCTTGTTCCACCCAATTGCACGCACCTCAACCAGTGTCGGATCAGCTTTTTGTCCGACGACCCTCGGTTGAGGCGGCCGGGTGGCAACACCGTCGTCCCGTCGGCTGACGTTTGCCTGGTGCGTTGCTCGTGTCGAAGGCTGAGTCCGTGCACGCGCACGGTGCACCGACTCAAATGTACGCGGTACAATCGAGAACCAAGCATGTCAGCTAGCGGCTGACCTGCATTGTAGGTAGCATGAGTCATGACAACTGATCCAAAATGGGTGGTCGGTTCCTGCCAGACTGTCAGACACGAATTAGAAGTTGACAATGACTGAGTCATGATGGGTACGTACTTGTCGTTTGCCGAGTCTAGCCAGCTGCATTGCTGCATTGCCCCTGCATTGCACACCTCGCAGAAGGTCCATTGCATTCCCACTGTCTCGACTGGCGCTCCCTGTATAAAGTGTTGCTTTCGTTTGCGACAGAAACCAAAAGCGCTCTTCAAACCGCAGCGATCAGATAAGAGTGAGCCGAAACTCTCCTGCCTTCTGCGCTTTGCAAGCCTTTGAAGCTGCACAGGAGTGAGCGCTAGCTTCTTCTCTGGGTGGAACAGCAGGAGCATGGCGGCGAGGAAGGACACAGGGGTGGTTGCGGGCCTGGCCGTGTTGAACGCGCTCATCATCTTGACCAATGTGGGCATTATCTCGTGCATTGTCGACAACATCCTGAGCGACAACATCCACAAAAGTGAGTCATCGGCACATTGGGCCGGACATGAGTTCAGAAGGATTGCATTATTTCTCTGGTGGTGTTCTTTGCTTTCTGTAATGAATCGTCTTGGTGAGCAAAGGAGTAAGTCCAGCTACTAACGTTCTTCTGCACCAAAAATTGACTTCAGGGAACCAAGGGAAATGATAGCACTAGGCTCTCTTGTCAACATTAAAGAAGTGGAGTGGTTTGCAACCACGAACTGACGTTCTATTGGACTGCTCGGAAGAGCGTAATATCATGGGCTCTTCTGTTCTTGAAAGGCCATGAAAAGCCCAGTTGAAAGGAGGGAACTACATAATGCTGCCAGCTGCCAGAACACGTTTGCTTAGCTAAGAGAGGGTTCACAGATTGCAGTAGTCTCCCACTGCTTTCCTCTTTTGATTGTACTCATAGCTGTGCTGTTAGGCAATGTCCAGCAGTTGGCAGGTCATGCTATCCACCCACATCTCACCAAAACGAGTGTTCTACCGATGCAGACTCCACACCCAATGCGGCAACCACATTCTTGCTCATCTTCAGCGTCAGTGGGGTGTTAATTGGCGCCACCAGCGCATTCCTGGGGCTTATTCACAGCGTCCAGAGGGACCACGCTCTGCGGGCGGTCGCTTTCGGTCTCTCCTTTGCCGCCACCATCTTCTACGTTTTGTCACTAGGGTGAGTTTCTTGCCAACTAGGTTCGGGGTCAAATTGCTTTTGGCTGAACAATTGGAAGCTTTAATCGGAGTATGTGAGCTTCCACTCACTACAAAGCTGTTTGGAACTTTCTGGCAATGCAGTCTTTCAACTGCGGCTTGCTCATTCTTAGTTGGGGCAGCTAATATTGAAGAGCTGGCTTTGCGACATCAGACTGTTCATTTCGAGATACATTTCGAAAAACCTAAGAACAGCCTTCCGGTTCTTGATCGCGCAGTTCGATCAAAGTTCTGAGATACATTGTTCGAAAAGAGTAAGAACAGCCTATCCTTCCCAATCACGCAGTTCGATCAGAGAAACTCACCCTGCACAATTTGGATAAGCCGAAGCATACCGTAAATGGAATTCACCTTTTTGAGAAGCCACAAGCAGTATTATTGACCATCATTTAAGCATGGCGACTTCAAACAGAATTCCATACATTTGGGCACGGGTCAAAATACTCATACAAGTTTGACCCGTGTGCAGCTTCGGGGCGAAGCAGACAAACCTAAAAGGCGAAGGGAGCCTTGAGGTACGTACTCTTTTGGGGATGGTGAACAGTACTTTGCCTTGCCGTCTTTTGCTGTCGTCTTTGATGAACATCGATAGGTCAAAGCCAATGCTCGTACGCTGTGATGTGGAAAGTGGTTGGAAGAGTCGCCCGTGCTCTTGACAGTATCAACGAGCAGTGCACCGTATTCTTAATGGCACCCTTTTGATATGAACCCGTTACTCGTACAACAGCGTATGAGTCGTTCTACACGGCCAGATGGCCCCTGTCCTGTCTTGGGAGACACTACTCCGCTCTTGTATCCTGCGTAAATCACTGCAAGCACTCTTTTTGAAAGACATCGTAAGCGACCGTACCTCTGACCGTTTTCTACTTTATCCGCTTCGCAAAGCAGGCCGTCCAAAGGCAGTCCTCCTTCCGTCCCTGTGCGTGACAATTTCCGCTCATATCGGTAGCCTTTCGGCATCTGATCCGCTCTTGCTGAATCTTGCCTTTTTCGTCACGGTGCAGAAAGCCGTCTTTGCGCTTGACGTCATCCTGGTCGTCACCGGGAGTCTTTACACCATCCTGCTGTTCCTGGGACTCACCCACGACGACTCGGCCGGCCTCGGTGGCGCTCCCGCTGGGATGAAGGCGACACAATTCGACGCCGTGAAAGTGTAAAGTATAGGCGACAGAAGGAGTTGGGGAGCTCACCTTTGTGACAGTACCGTGTTGGAAGTTGACTGTAGAAGATTGTGTAGGAAGTTGTCTTTGGACGGAAGGGCCATCAGCTCAGAGCGTTGAAAGAGCTTGAACGTTGGATTATCCATTTTTCTCGAGGAACAGGACTAATCAAAGCCACGAATCTGTGCTTTAGCAGAGGTACATAACGAGCGAATCAGAAAGGATTCTGCAATTTTCGTCCGCACAAGAGTAGCTTTTCATGAATTGTGGAAGTTTAATCAGCCCCGTTTTCAACAAGTGAAACGTTGCTTTCACGAAGCGGTCACTGTCAAGCTCTCCTGACACATGGAAAAAGATGGAGAAGCGAACCTCCTCATGACTGCCCGCAAACGCTGGCACCTTGACATCACGATGCCACATCAAACATCTCTTTGTAGCGACCCTGGCTTTGGCCAATGCGAGCCTTACGCGTGGCACGACTGCACCTCTTTGACAAACGATTGTTGATTGTGATCGGGCAGCAGTGAGGATGCCTCACCAGAAAGTTTCACGCTTTTGCTCTGGTGGAATGACGCCTGCATCCAATTGTCCATAGCGAAAGTTTTTGCGTGTCCCGCACTTGGGCCTATGAATTATACCCGATCAGGTTAGAGCGCTCGTGAGTAGTCAAGTAACTCCTGACGTTCGGACGCCCTTTGGGTCGGCCCATGGCGAAATGTACCATGCCAATTAATATCGGAAACGTCACGTGCGCTTCAGGAGTCATGCAGGCCTCTGGAAAATAAAGCGACCTGGAGACCGCGACGCGGGGCGTCAGCAGCGTTGGGTCCTCGAGTTCATCACATGCGCTACAAATCCCTCGATCGAAAGCGAATGAGGCGTGAAAAAAGGGCCTTTGACAACGACACGTGCATGTGCATCGAACCGAAAGACGAATCAAGTGTGCCGAGGCGAAGCAAACAGAGTGCTGCCGGCCTCTTCTCGGTGGGACACTTTCGCTCGTTGACCAGACGTTTTCCAAGAGCTTTATCAACAATTTGCTGACGTTTTTAAAAGGACCTCTACACTCTTACCCCTCTCTGCAACCATTCCTCTTTACAGTCAATAATTTTGAGTCAAGAACGACGCTACTGAAGGCAAGCAATTCTCGCGGAGGAATTGCTGAAAAGGCGAAGTGGATATGTATACGGAGCATGTGACACTCGTTGGGACTTTGGTCGTAGAGTTCGTCTTCCAGAAAAGTGAGCATCGAACCAACTCTTGGGATCTGCTCTGTATTGCCAGCGGTGCGGCTTTCAAAGCTGGCATCCACCCGTAACTTTCTGCAATGCTTTTGAATCCTTCACGAGCGCAATTAACGCCAGGTACAGTTTTGGGTTCGAAACAGCCCGGAATCTGAACGGCTGCTGTTGAGGGCTTTCTCGAAGTGGTTACTTCAGGATGTACTATCAAAGCTGTGAGTAGCTCAAGAGGTTTTTCTATCCAGGCGTCTTAAAGCTGATGACCTTTCGTAACGACCCTGGGCGGACTCAAACTCCGGGCAAGTTGACAGGCTTTGCAAGAGCTTTTCGGAGCTGACGCGCGCCCGGCTATTCGTTTGGACTTTCCTTGAAGTGGCAGGTATTACTGCCTGAAGCTATGATGCGGGTTAAGGTCTTGCAAGATCTGGGGAATGAAGTGGAATTGCAAGGAAGATCCCAGACAGAGCCTTGGAAGAGAATGTAGCAGATTTCATTTTCACCACCTGGATTGCAAACCTGACTCTGATTCCTATTCCAGAATGAAAGCAGATTGGAGGCCCGAGTGGTCTTGAAAGCGTGCGATTCAGTCCCGCCAGGAATCCAGGTCCAGAACACCGGTTTTTAAAAACCTTGAAGCAGTAGCTCATATGCGGTTGCAAACGGGGCCCTCTTTCACACTGGTACTGTCCAAGCGAGCAAGCCTCTTCACAACCAAACCCTGCAAGACTACTCACAGTTTTCTAACGAGCTTTCTTTTAGTTGTTTCAGATGCCCCCCTTGACGCCATGCGGGTGTGTTGGCTCATCTCCAGCGTTAGTGGGGCGTTCACTGGCGCGACCGCGGTGTTCCTGGCGCTTATTCACACCGTCCGCAGGGACCGCGCGCGGTGGGCGGTCGTCGTGGGCCTTTCCTTCGCGTCCAACGTCTTCTACATCCTCTCGCTGAGGTCAGCCGTAATATTTCTTCGTTCTGGGGAAGTTATAAATACGGCGGTTTCAGTATCACCATCTCCAGGGCAGGCCACAAACTCTGAGGAGACTTCCGCAGTCGATTTCAACGAACCTCTGAATGGTTTTGGTGGGCCCCTGATGGGTCTGATGGGCATCTCTGCTAGCGTCCTGATTTTGAGGATCTTGATTCCAGTAGAATTCCCCTTAAATTCCTCCGCTCTACATGTCTGAGACGTGCTTTGCACCCAGTGTATTGACACCTGCTGTCAGGAACTCAACCCTTTCTCGGGCCCGTATTAAGGACACTATTCTAGCCCAAACGTTGTCCGATGTGGCCGTCACTGTCTTTACCTCGTCGAACGATTGGAGTGAGAGGATAAAGGTAAAGCTCGCTCCATAAGCGGTTGAAATGTTGAGGTCATACGCACCAGATAATGGTTTCAAACACTTTTGGCCAATAGTGGCAAAGTTTTGAGTCGCCGCATCTTGGAGAAGAGAACGTCGATTCGATGCTATCCGAATCAGGTAACGGGAACAGGTCTCGTCACGTGATCCATCTTGATGCCCTAGGACCTCCACTCTTTGCAGCTTCGGCGCACAAAGGACCGAAATCATGGTGGCCAAGAGCATGGAGGTACGTCCTTTCTGCACAAACTCTCGAAGTAAGCTACGACGTGCCCTTCGTTCTTGTCTTTCACATCTCAGCTACTGGCGGGCTGATACGTTTCCTAAACGGCTTCTGGGTACGGGAGCCCTGCTACGGTCAACTTTCCAGGAACTTTGTTACGTTCTCGGTAAGGCCCCCTCCGGCCCCATAAGTGCCTCGGAACACCTCAAGTGCCACCTCGAGTTTGCGAGCTCCTCCGAATCACCTCGCAGTCAAATAGGTCTCGACTTTTCTTCTGTGCACATCTTGCGAGGAGATGTCTTCTGAAAGCTACCTGATTGTAGCCACCCAATTGGGTCATTCCTTGGCTGCCGCTGCTCGCAGAACGCCCTGTTTGCGCTCAACATCGTCCTTTTCGTCGTCGGGAGTATTTACACCACCTTGCTGTACCTCCGTCTTCCCGACGATGATCGGAGCGGAAGAGGCGTCGTGGCGACCCAAATCATACGCCCCAGGAAACGCTTCCGTTCCGTTGGAGTGTGAAATCGAATCTAGGGTACTGCTTGTCGTGATTCGTGATGGGCCTGACCATGAGAAATCTATCCTGCCGGCCATTGAGGTGTAAGTTTTGAATGTCATTACCCAAACTAAGCTTACAACCCTTAGTGTGCGGCGGCGCATGTGGGCCTCCAACTAAGCATTGGACTGGGCGGTCTGCCCTTCCATGTCAGTCAGTGGGGCGGCGGGCCAGGGCCGACGATTGCATGACCAGCTCACATGCAACCATACTGTGAGCATTTACCAGACTATAGTAAAACCTGAAGTTAAATCTCTGAATTAATTGGGTGACGGTTCTCTTGAGTTCCGATTAGAGTTCATCAGTTTAAGTTAGTACACCTTATTTTGCCGCCTCGCTTGATGCACTTACGTAAGTAAATCGTTCCCATTGTAAGTTGGGTGCAGAGAGCTGCGGAAATTGTTGGCGGCCAAGACTGAGAGCTTTGATCAATATCATGCAAGATGCGACAGTGCGCAATCGTACACCGCCGCCAGCTAGATTGCAGACGAGTGCAGCTAAAGTCGTCGTGCGGGGTGTAAAGTACTGAATTCAAGTTCGCGATTTGTTGTAGTTGTAAATACAACTCCGTACCCGCCCGGCCATCGCCAGGGCATCATGAAAGCAGGCCCGCAATCAGTCTGAATCAGTTGCACATGGCGGCAGGCACCACATATGACATGCACGATGCACTACATAGGCACTGCATAATGCACCCATGACGCAAGTGCTGGCCGCGGAGGAAACAGGAATGCATGTCAATCTGCTTCCAAGCGCAATGCGCAACTATGGAGCAATACACTGACTCTGCATTTACAACGTGGATTGGCAGCGAGACCCAGTTCAATCATCTGCCACGTCAGCCTCACTGTCGCTGACGTCGCTCGTGTCCGCCATTTTGGATATTCTCCGTGCATCTAGACCAGACATGTACTTTTGGGCTACTTGCACAGCCGAGTCCGAACCTGCACAACACATCCGCCAAACGGTCAATATGACAATCACCAGTGGTAGTTGGATTAGTACGGTCTAGTTCAACCAGAATACACCGCAATCTGCATAATGTTCAAGTTCCTCATAAACAGCCACAATAGCTGTGAGGATGTACCGGAAGCAAGTCATGACTCAAAACGACAGAAATCTCCACTTTTTAGGTCTACAATCCAAGCTGCAAAGAAATAGCGTCCAGAACAGCTGCCTTTTTCGGAGGCCTGTGGATATGATAGCTGGCCCGGCCTTCAGACTTGCAATCGAAAAATGTAAAATTCCCCCCATCAATGTGCCCCAAGGTTTCGGCACGTAGACCAGCCACTGAAATCAGCTCGACAGTACATAACCCAGCAGCAGATGAGCAAGCTATCTCACCTTTCGTCAGTTGCAGCACATGGAGCGCGCATCGCTCCGCCGCCATCCTGACCGGGGTGTTGCCGTCCTGGATGCACTTGGCCATCGGCGGAACGACCAGGGCAGTGAAGGGAGCCAGGGAAGTCACGTTCGCCTGCGGGCCACGCAAGTCCTTTCTTTAAGGGCACACTTTGGAACCCAAGCTTACGAATTCTACGAAGTCTTGACCCAGCTGAGGATGACCAAAAAAGGGAACACAAGCTACTTCCAACACCGATGCACGCGTTTGGAACCGCAATGCGCATTCTCGCAGAGGACCTGCAAATGCGTACGGGAGCGAAGGGTATCTGCGTCCGTCGGAGTTGCCCATACGTGTTTAGCTGTACAACATACGAAGCGACGACGAAGGGAACAAGCTTGCCCAAACTAGCGTTTGATACACAATTGCAACTTCGCAAACAGCGCGAGTCTAGTTATCCTTCAGCGCAAATCGGACGGCAGTCGAGGCCTGACCTTGGCGATGGTCTTGAGACTGGCCAGCGCTTGTTTCCGCACGTCGCTGGCCTCGTCCGTCAGCAGCGTGGCGACCACTGGCAGCAACTCCTGCAGAGAGGTCGCCCCCCCGGCCTGCACTTGGTGCGCCAGCAGCCGCCCCGCGCACTTGCCTGCCGCCACCTTGACGGGGACCTGGCGGAAAGACAGAACGGAGTTGATACTTGAGAGCAATATTTTATTACTTGATCAACGAGGACTGAAAAGTAGAACCCTCTTACCCTTGGAAGGCAGAAATGTGTCTAGCAAACGGTCGAAGGTCGGGATCCAGCTTTCTTCGTATTGGCTGACTCGAGGTACGAGCGGGGGTGTCGTTTGCGGGGTCATCTCGGATGTAAAGCCCAGCGCCGAGATGCTTTTGTCTTGAAAGATATCAAGTCACGATAGAGCAGGCCAGTCTCACAACAACGATCCGATTGAACCCAACCCCTCGAAATCTCCCCTAACTGCTCAATGTCCGACCGCGGCCCCACCTTATCGTCGGCGGCCCTCCGCTTGACGGTCGCCAGAACCGCCTGTAACCGCGCAGGCGCAGCGGCGACCCGCGCCGCTGAGTGGCGCAGCAAGGATGCGAGAGCGAGGGTGGTTCCGTGTCGCAGCGTCCAGGGTTGCGATGACGCGGCCGCTGACGTGGCAGAGAGGCTTTGGAGCAGGTCTTCGTATTCGGAGTCCGGGCAGTGCTGCGAGGGGCGAACGGGGACGCGCTGTTACTTGGCAAGGGGTGATAAGGAGTCCCAGCTTTGCTGTAGATTAGGGAGGAGGAATGCAAGCAAGTCTCTGAAAGTGACAGCTGGTTTTCAAGCGGCAAGGGGCACACAGACCATCACAACGGAAAGACTTAGGAAGCAGGAACAAACAAGAAGGTTTTTGCTCTCAAAGCTCGTAACCAATGCAACAGGCAGAGGGACTCAAAGTCTTCCGACTTTCTGAACCAAGGCAACCTGCTCTGCAAAAGTTCACTCTATACAAACGTCGGCCCCGAATCCGAAGCACGCTGTTCCGCTCACGTCGGAGAGCGCCCCTAGCGTCCTCGCGGCCAGCCCCCGGAACTCGTCCTCCTCCGCTCCCAGCAGCTCTCGCAGGGGGGGCACCACTTTCGCGTACGCCCCCGCAGACACAGACTTGCCCGCGTGCTTGAGCACCCCCCGGAGCGCGGAGAGCGTCGCCTCCTTTACCCCCCCCTCGCTGGCCTGGACGCTCGAGATGAGGTCGATAACCAGAGGGTCCACCTTGGGATTCATGCCCATGAGTCGGCCCAAGGCGCGTGCGGCACGCGAGCGGACGGTCCTGCAAAACGAAGGAAGTGTATCGGCAAGAGTCCAGAAGAACGAATTTGCCGCCAGGCTTCCGGAAAGTGATCTTGTGCAGGTTGACGTGCAGAGGGTAAGCAAACAAGGTAAGGATAGAATGGAAGACGTTCGATGCCGAAAAGTGTGCTGGCTGGGAGCTTCCTTCGTCGGCAGAGAATCCTTTATGGACTACGTCTGCCGAATAACCGCCAAGTGTGTAACGCCGATCCTGCAAAGATCATTTCCGTTAAGTCATCTCCGAGACGCAGACCTCCATAAGCAAGCCCGTCACCAATCACACCCATCATGACGTCATCCTGACCCCGCACCTCCCGCCCCCTTACCTGGCTCCGTCGTTGAGGCACTTGACGAACGTGGTCTGCAGCTGCGGCAGGAACGGCTTGAGGCTGACCCCCCCCTTTGTGATCACAATGTCTAGCGTGCCCAGAATCGCGCTCTTGACCTGCCACGGGAAGCGGTCCCCGATGATCCGGATGAGCGGGCCCGTGATGGGCACCACAAACGGCTTCAGCGCCGCGTCGCTCGTGACGTCAATCAGCTCGCCCAGCCCGTCGGCGGCCTGCTCGCGCAGCTCTGCGGAGCCGCTCATGAGGCCCTGAAGAAAAGGGGTTTAAATATCTTCGGGTTCCGAGTGCTTCAAGATTTGCTTTTGGGAATGCTTGAGAGGAGTATGGTTTCTGAAAGGGTCGGACAACGGACATGTGATTCAATTCTGGTAGCAAGTCTGGGACAAGAATGAAGAAACGAGGTCCTTTCCGGATGCGGGCTGCAGTGAACTTGCGTTCATTGTCCGAAAACTAACGCATAGGGAGCAAATGTCTTGAAAGCAAGCAAATAACAGGGCGAGGTCCTTCTGGATCAAGCGAGCTACGAGTATGACGAGCTAGGAACAACTCTCGGGCTTGCTTTCCTGACTTTCAAGACTAAGAGCAACTCAGCAGACATCAAGGAGGAGGAGCAACCAGGAAAACGAAGCAGCGAGAACTGGACAAAACGCCTGACCTCATGATCGCTTCGTGCCTCTTCATTAAAGCGCTATCGAACCTTCCATTCACGATCGAACTCCCTTGAATTTCAACAACTTGAAACCGCTGTCAGCCGCTCACCTGAAGGAAGACTTGCAGCACGGGCGTGAGCGCCTTGGGCAGGCAGAACCCGGGCACCAAAATCGGCCCGCCCTTCCCCTTCAGTTTCCGCCGCTCCACCGTCCGCGCGCTGTCGACCGCATCCCTCACTATCTTGATGTACGTCGGCATCGACTCCTTCGGAACCGTCCCGGTAACAGCCCCCAGCGCTTCCCAGGCCGCTTTCACGGTCGCCTCGTCGGGGTCCGTCAGCATGACGATGAGGGTCGTCAGCAGCGCGTCCGTGTGGTCCTCCAAGTCGAGCTTGGTATTCTTCGCGAAGAACGCCAGGAGCCCGCACGCGCCCCGCCGCACCGCCGCCGAGGGATCCCCCAGCAGCCGCAGGACTTCGGACATCAGCGCATCGAGCCCGTCGGCGTCCACTGAAAGCGCGACAGTCTGCGCGGCTTTCGACGTGGCCGATGCCAGCTCAGCGTCCTCGATCGCGCCCATCCCTTCGACCAGCGACGGGAGGATGGTTCCGAGGTGGTTAGCCAAACCCGGCCCCGCAACCTCCGCCAGCGCCCCTAGCGCGTGTGCGTTGAATGCGGTCATTGGCGGCTTGACCAGCTTCGGCAACACGTGCGGCAGAACGACAGCTGTCCGCACGCTCAGGATCTGTTTCAGCCCGCCGAGCGCGCTGGCCGACCCGCTCTCTTCTTCCAAGTCTTTCAGCAGCGCGGGGACAATCTCGTCGACGACCAACATGCCCGCGTTCTTATACAGAGCGCTGAAAGCCTGCCCGGCTGCCTCTTGCACCTCGGGGGACGAATCGCACAGCGCAATTCGGACGGCCGGGACGAGTTCGGACATGTGGGCGGTCAGCTGATGGCGTCCGGCGGAAGCGACGACTTCGCTCAGGCCCATACACACGCCCTGCCGCGTGACCCAGTTGTCGTCTTCCAAACCCTTCCGCAGAATTGGAATAATCGACGGCAGAACCCGCTCGCCCAATTTCCGCACCAGCTCCCCGAGCGACCGCCCGGCCACCTGGCGCCGCTCGGACGACGCGGACGCAAGGGAGAGGATGAGCGTCCGCATGAGGAGCGGCATGATCTCTTTCAGCGTGCGCGGCGTGTTGACCACGACCGTCTTCCACACGTGCAGCGCCGCTTGCCGCACGCTCAGGCTGACGTCAGACCGCACCATGTACACCGCCGCCAGAACCTCATTCCGCTTTTCCCGCCCGAGCACCTCGATGATCGCGCGCCCGTGCGCCTCCGTGCTCGCGCCCTCGTCGTCGCTGCCCCCGGACAGCTGCACCTTGCCGGACGTCCCCGCGACCTTGAACAGCAAATCGCCCAGTAGCTCCACCGAGCTCTGCCGGATCCGCCAGCTGTCGTTGAAAATGCCCTCCTCGATCGCGGGCAGCAGCAGCGGCAGCGACGTCTTCGCAAACGAGTCCACGAGCACACGCCCTGCCGACATCGCCGCGTCGCGCACCGTCTCGTTTTCATCGGCCAACCCGTCCAGGATCGCGGGCAACACTTTCCCGAGGTGGTTCTCGAACTTGGCCCCGATTGCGCCGGGGAGGAACTTGAATAGCGTGATGTACCCGTCTCGGACGTACGGACGCGCGTGCGAGCAGTTGGTGATGATGTCCGGGAGGAGTCGCTCGAAGTAGTCGGTGCCGAGTGCGGCCAAAACCTCGCTTAAACCCTGGGCGCCGCCGGAGCGCTCGACGGAGCTGTTCTCGGACTTGAGCGTTTCGAGGAGCCAGGGGACCAGGTCGCGGAACCTGTCCTCGCCCATGCCGCGGATGAGCGAGCCGAGCGCGCGCGCGGCCACAGTGCGCACCTCGGGAATGGGGTCCAACAGCACCTGGAGGACACGAGACAAGATGTTAAGGAGATACAACGAGAAGCTGAAGCGAAGAGGAGTACGGTTTAGCTCGATCGCGACCTTTTCAAGATAAGGTGCAACTTGTAGCACATGCTAGTTCCTTCAAGGGTGCGAGCAACCAGTTCGCTCCTTGCATGAGACTGCGGTGTACTGCGGTGTGAGAGCGGAACGGGGGGTAAAATTGTATCTCCCCCAGCTTAGTTTGCGGAGAGAATACCGAAACGGAGCTTGGCGGTTTTGCTCGCCAAGCGCTCGTCGAAACTTTCGGAGAGGCGAGAGGCTGCGATAAAAGCAACAAGATCTCATCACAGCACTCAACTTCAATCAGTTTCTGTCTACATCCAGGCAGGCCCAGAGGCTCACCTTTTTGAGCTCTGGCAGGAGAAGCTCGAGGTAGGGGATCATGTCCTTCTGCTCGTTGACGAGGCTGCACATGTTGCCCACGATCTGCGCCGCCTTCTTCTTGGTGTCCGTGCTCCGCTCGCGCAGTCCCCGGTGCACGATGGGCACCAGCAGCGCCAGCGACGGCGCGTCCACGCTGTTCACGAACGTCGTCTGCGAAGGAACCGGCAAAATGCGTCAGCGGTGCCGGGGGATGACGTCACCCAGTGAACCAGCAAATACAGGAAGCTGTGTGCGCTTTGCTGAATACTAGGATGTCAACAGCAGGGACAACTTCCTCAGAGCTGCAGACGATCAATTTTGCATCTTATTGAAGGCTCAAGGTGCTTCCATAGAAAGACCCCGGTACTTACCCATGTCGTGACCACAGCTGCTGCACTACCACGTACCTGACAAGCACAACGATACTTCGAGCCTAGATCAGAATCAAAACAACGTCCGGTAAAGGGCTAACCCCCTCTTACCTGCAGCAGGATCTCCAGCGCCGTCTTGGTATGCTCGTTCGGGTCCGCGACCGCAACCAGGATCGTGGGCACCAGCGCGGCGATCTCGGGGTTCTTGATGACGCTGCCCACTTCCTGCAGCGCGCGCTGCGCGGCCGCCTGGACTTTCGGGTGCGTGTCGGTCAGCACTTCGCTCAGCTTGGGGACGACCGTGGGCAGGCACGACGACAGCTGCTTCGGCGCGCAGTAGGCCATGGCGCCCAGCAGCTGCACGCTGCCCTGCTTCGTGCGCCACGCCTTGTCGTCCAGGCCCTGGGAACAGCGAGGAACGCCGATGAGAAGAGTGCCAATCGGTTCTTCTCTCTGACCCGACGCTTGCGGTAGCTTTAGCAGCGGACAAGTAGCCACGTTAGGGAGCAGGACACGGATAGCATGCGTGATCCAAGTGTAGTCTATTCTCTACATGATGGAGCGAACGCTTCAGGTGTACAACTTGCTGGCCTGGAAGTATGCTGCACCAAACGCACAAACATTTTCAGAGAACGGCACTTCGGAGGTCCTGAGACTAAAACGCCTTAGCACGAAACACATTCGAGCAAGGCCCTTACCTTCATGAGCGCGGGCAGCACCAGCTTGACCCCCTGCCCGCTGAGTTGCCCCATGATCGCACGCGCCGCATTGTCCGTCGCCTCGCGCACCGCCACGATCGGATCCGAGAAGCACACCAGCAGCAGCGGCAGAATGTGGATCACGTACGGTTCGAACAGCCGCCCCAGCTTCTCGCACAGCGCCTCGAAGCCGAAGAGCGCGCCCTCGCGCGTGCGTGGGCTCTTGTCCTCGACGCCGGCCTTGAGGGTGTCCATGATAGCATATTGGCGGAGGGAGGAAATGCCGAGGCCTTTGACGAGCCCCGCGAGGCCGAAGGCGGCGCCGCGGCGCTCCGCGTACTTGTCGCTCTTGAGGAGGCGGTCGAGCAACCGGGTGACAAGCGCGGGGGCGTTGGCCTGAGGAGAAAGGAGGGGACGGGTGAGGCAACCAGAAAGCGGTCGTTGGCCTCAGGTTACAACGAAGTTGGCGTCGATTCAGGAGAGAAGCTCTTCACAATGGTGGAAAGTCCGTTGCGGCCAGAGTACTGAAAAGCCGTCCTAAGTTCTGCCCCATCATGTTTGGTTTGGATGAGTCACAAAGAGAAGCCCGCAACACAATCCAGAAAGCCACTCTACAGCGTCGATGTCTCAGCCTGAAGCATCACAACTCGGGCTAGGAAACGAAAAAGCCCCAAAAGCCCACCTGCTGGCTCTTCATGAGCGGCGCCAGGCAGTTGGAGACCGCCCGCTGTACGGCCTCAGACGGCGTGTTGAGCACCTCTAGCATCCGCTCCACGATGTCCGAGATCTTAGGACTGTCCGGCGACAGATGCTTCGCGAGCGCGCCCATGAAGATGACCACTCCCTCGCGCACCAGGTCGTAGCGTTCTTCGTCGGCGGACTTTCGGTCGAGGTAGTTTTCGAAGATGGGAAGGAGAAGAGCCACGTTATCCGCGCCGTGTTCGTTGATGATGGCGCACCCGGCGTCGACCATGCGGTCGCGGACGTCCGGGTTGGGGTCCGCCTGGGGAAGAGCAGCGTCCAAAAATGGTTCAGATAGTAAAGAAAGGTTACGGTCCGCTGTCTTGCGTATTGATCGAGTGATTGCACGGGAGTCAAGCAGGTGGTGCCCAAACGATGTGGGTCTCTGGAGGCTCAACACGGAGTGAGCGCAAACTGTGGAGTAGCGGTACTCGTCTGCCTTTGGCGACCCTTTCATATGCATACCCCGTTATTGATTGAGGCACACCGGAATTTGGATCATCATGGACCAACCGAGCCGCTACAAAATCGTTTCAACTTTCCGTCTAAACCAACTTACCAGCGCCCGAGAAATCAAGAAAGTCGCCACCACCGGCAGGTCCCGGTTCGTGAGCACGTCCGCCCCCTCCTTCAGCGTCAGCGCCACTCCCTCCCTCCCGTACCATCGCGTATCCCCCCCTGGTGCAACTCTCCCCACCGGACTCTCCCTTATGAACAGCGCAAACAGGCTCGAGAGCGTTTCCGGAACCGTCGCCTGGTACTCGTCCATCGCCCCCGCGACCGCGCTCGCCGCAGCTTGCCGCACGCTTCCGTGGGGGCTGGTTAAGTGGGCGGTTAGCTTGGGCGCGTACCCCCCCCCAAGGTCGTGATTGTACAAGTCCCATACGTCTTCTGCGGCTTTGGCGTTGGCTTCCACTGGGTCGTGCATGGCGAGCCAGAGCGTGCAGGCGATGTCGTCGGAGGGGGGAACGGAACTAGAGGCGAGGGACGGGATAGAGGCGAGGGAGTCCAGGCACGCGTGGCGCACGTGGGCGTGCTGACTGGTGATCCCAGTCAGTGCCTGGAGAAGGAAAATAGGGATAAATGAGAAGCGATAAAGGATCGAGGTGCGACGTAATCAACCGCCGGTGCCACCGTGAGGCTTGGTCATTCCATTCAACAGGATGGGTATGGACTTTCAATGAAAGCTTTTAACACCTTGCATGTCAGTCGTTTGTAAGAACCCATGCTCGAAGCTGGGGACACATCGGTCGAGATTGTCGAAAGTGGTCCGCTTCGTCTGTTGTTACTGTTCAAGGAAGCATCGCAAGGCAGCCTCCCAAATCAGATATCGCAAGAGTCAGAAACATGTCGTAGCCGTGTTCACGTCAATTAACGCCCGCCACCACAATGGTGAGAAGCTTCAGCTACGAAAGAAAAAGGAAGTGCTGCACCGTACCCCGAACACTTCGTCTTCTTCGAGGCCTTGGCAGAGCTGCCGCAGGAGGGGCACCACCTTATCATGGTAGACTGGCACGCAGCCCAGGACCTGGTACAGGGCCTGCGCAAGAAACAAGATAAATCAGGCTCGCGCTCTTTGCACGCACAGCGCGCCTCGTTCAAAACCAAGTGCCCACCATCCTCCAGATGCTGCGGTGAAGTACAAACATACGGGTCTACCGCTGCCTGCCGTCAAAGACCTATGTCCGGTGAAATCAACGTGATCCTTGAAAGTTTTAAGCCGTGCTCGAAAAATTCTATTATATCTTGGGAACGTGCACTCACGGCGATCATACGGTGGCGGGGCAGGTCCATGACGGGGGCAACGTGGAGCGCGAACACGGCCAGCAGGTCGTCGTGCAGCTTGGTCTTCTTGTCCGCGAGCAACACCTGCTCCAGCACCTGCACATGCGCAGCACAAAACCGGTAAAGAGCGGTCCTGACTGAAGAGGTTGCTTGCCTTCTTAGCATTCCTCTCCCCTGCACGCAGTGAGCGAACTCACCCCATACTCTTTGGCTGATCTTGCTGAAGCCGTATATGTGAAGGCCCAACGCGCTACTTATAAGTCTTGATATGATTTACTGTCCGTCAGGATGCGCATTCATAATAAACCCACAGAAAGTAGTAGTTGTCACAAAGGCAGGAAGAGGCCCTCAAATGGACGGCTCCTTCGTAGATGGACCAATTCGCGAGAATTCAAGGCAAGCGAATTCAATAAGACAAAGCTCTAGCGTTCCCTCACCGGCCAGACAAATCCGAACGTCGGCGTCGGCAGGGGCCCTTCTTGCGTCGCGGCCACCAGCCCCGCCGTGACTCGTTCCACCGTCGACTGCTCCTGCTTGCCCTTCTTCGCAGGTCCGCTTGCCAGCTGTCCGACCACGTGGGCTGGATCGGTGGTCACCAGGCGGAGCGCCGTGGCAATGTCGTAAGAGAGGTAGCGCAGCGGGGGGTAGACGCACTGCGCCAGCTGGGAGGTGGTGTCGTATGCGTCGCCATCGACGAGGGGGTTGCGGAGCAAGGGGCGCACCTCTTCCACCTGAGAGATTCAGACGCATTGATTTGAGAGCATATTCTGGTGAATAACAGAGGGGGACTGGGCTATGAACAAGGTGCGGGATGTGGAACCGCCTCTGCGAAAGATACACAAACAAGTTGCAGCAAGCGTCAAGCCGTTCCACCAAACATGGTTGATGAACACGCTGTATTCTAATATAACAAGGCGAAACGCGATGCTGCAAGAAAGCAGACTCTGACGGCTGCGAAGAGGTGGGTCTTCTCAGGCATCATCACCCCGCCTAGCTTTCCTCCTGCGCTTACCGCCGGCAGAGACTCCAGTTTGATCCTTCCCACAAGAAGCAGTACGACACTGATGGACCTACGTAAGAGAAACAGCCTTATACTCTTAGCGTCTCACCAGTTGAGGCAGATGGTCGTGGGCGAAGTCTCGGTTGGCGATGGCGGCCGTCCCCAGCGCCTCCAGTTCGAGGGAGAGCGTCTCCTGAATCTGCTGCAGCCGCGCCCGGATCTCCGCCTCTTCCTTGAGCTGCTGTTCCCGGAACTCCTCCTTCGCCGTCTTCTTCTCTGGACAAGGCACCAGACGAGGAAAACATGAACGGACGGCGGTGGTCCTGCGGTGCTTAGCATTCAAAGCGATTGGAACAAATGATGCAAGAATGCCGCCATGCGCGAAGCACAACAGGCATGCAAGCGAGCGTTGCTCGAGGAGAACCGGTACTTGATGTGCAGCTGACAACCGCGCTTCTTTTCATATTTAGACGAGGCTAGGGTTCTCAAGGAGCCACCGTTTTTCCCGGCTTGGCATCCCAGCACTTCAGAGAAGTGACCCTCAAAATCAAAGGCTTTGTCCCGGTACAAAAGAACGGAGTAAGATCGGAAGCAGTCCAGCTACGGAGGAGAAGTCTCAATACTGGTCCACTTCGGCAACCTTCAAAGGGCTCATGAGATAGCTGCGCAGCTCACCTGCTTTTTGCCCCGGCCTTTCCTTCTTGCCTGTTGCCAAGCTTGGCCGGACTGCCGGCTTGCTTTCCGGCTTCTTCGAACTTGTATCCTGCAAAGTGAGAATTACATTCAACGGCTCAGTAATCTGGTCACCATCACAACGCGTACTCGAACAAGACTCACCACCTTTGGAGGCATCTTTATACCACAGCAGAATCCGATCGTTGCGCAGTCTCTGTCCGTCTCTTCCTCACTTCCTGACCAGATTGGTGTAAGACAGGCGGTCTCAACTGGTGCTCAGTTGTCAAGCGTAACCCAGATGCTCTCATGCTCGCAAGCCTTGACAACGCACCTCATCATCGTCGTCGTCATACATCTTGAAGCGCCCGCGCGCGCCTCGCCGGTTCTTGTCCTGCACCACCTCCGCTTTGTACAAGCCCTCCTCCGTCGACAGGATGCCGTCAGGCGTGTTGAAGATCTGCATACGCGAAGTGTAGCTCAATTCAAAAACCTCACCATTATACCGCACACTTTTACTGCACAAGAACCACTGAGCTGGTATTTGACTACCAGGAACGAAAATTTGCCGTCAAAGAAACAACATTCTTCAGCGCAGGCGACGTTTGTCCTTACAGGCAATGCAAGCGCTGCGACATCAAACTCGGTCTAAGGGCCCTCACTTTGACGTCCCTCTCGGTCAAAGCATCGTGCAGGTTGCGATCTCCCAGCTTTTCGAGTGCCTGCAAGGAACGTCGTACTCGAATCGATTGAGAAGCTGCGGCCTGACAAACACGAAGTGCAATAAGATGCAACCGTGATAAGATATCATTCTCCCATAACACCGATCAAATTTCTTTCCGTCTTTTCATCGGAGACTCAATCATTGCTTGCTATCCCAAAAGAATAATGAAAGCGAACGAAGATTATGAAAAATAACCGACTTTAAAAGCCCATGTGGGCCAGTGGTAGTCAGAAAGTCGGAGAAGCCCTGGAACTTACGGAGAAAAGGTGGGGAAAGAAGTCGCCGGGGAAGATCTGCATGGCTGTGGCGAGCCCTGCGACAGCGGCCCGGCTGTTGGAGTAGCGCCGGCTGGTCAGCCCGTGCGGTCCGAGCAGGACCTGGAGGGAAGCGAGAAGACGAGCAAATCGGCTTCACGTGAGCGAAGTAGTAATGGAAGGAAGCGCCGACCTTGAATCGAAGATCTTTTACGTCTTCTCGTCATCATTTTGCCGTTGACCCGTAGAGGGTCAAGCTGAAGCAAAGCAATCAAGCAAAACATTCACCATATCCGTGCATCAAGAAGAGTTCTCAATAACCTCCCCAACAGCATAACTCGCTCGGACCTTTATATCGGCCGTGATGCCATGCAAGGTTAGCATTCCAAGTGCCGAGAAACATGTTTGCTGCTGCAGCCTGCGGGTGCGGAACGGTCCGCCCCCAGTTACGCTGCAGCGGCTTCGCTCTAGGTGTACTGACTGACCGGTTGCACGATGATTACCCTGGACTCTGGAGGAACTCCAGGAGCGTCCAGAGCGGAGTGCCCTCGGCTAATTAGACACCGTGCTTCGGTGAAAATCCATAAATCAAGGGCCAAAATCAAACAGCAAGAGGGCTAAGGTAAAGTCAAGCGCCAGCTATGCCTGCTTACCTGGGTCAGCGTTTCGGCGTTGGAAGCCATTAGGGCGTTGACGTCCCCGCCTTGCTTCTTGAGGCCTCGACTCAGCGCCTGCGACAGGCCAGTTAGAGTGCATTAGCCACAAAACAAAGGGAGACTAACGAGCAACATCAATGAACTGGAAGACTTTCCAGCCAAGTGACGAGTCCATTTCAACCTCGCAGCTGATTGGAAGCTTTCTACGCCCGGAAAGCACAGTAGAAGGCACTTTAACATTTTTTCCACAAGGGTCACCGCATAGTTTGGCAGGAGTCTCAGGTTTATGGCAGCCTTACCCGCCAAACGGAGCCCTTCCGCCTGCCTCGCGCCACGACCGGATGATGCGCCGCCACAAACAGCTCGCAGCTCTTCTCGGGGCTGGAAACTAGAGCTGGGCTGGAAATGGCGATCAAGGCCTTGGCCAGCAGGCCTGGGGGAGGAGCTGCGCTGTCAACCGTCTTGTCGGAGCTCTTGTCGGTGCTTTTGTCGGTACTCTCTGCGGGCTCGCTGCACAAAAGAGCCGTTTTCCAATTGCAAATGCATCAACATTGACAGAGCCGCTTCATCAACTTGTGAGTGTACTTGAACTCTCAATGTTTTATGTTTGTGCAGTGCGTGCTTAAAAGGATGTGAGAAAGGGTTAACAAATCGCTGAAAGGAACCAGTCTCAACAAGAATTGTGTGAAGGCAACGCACGAAAGGAGACTTCTGAGCTCGAAGTGCAGGTACACCACCAACAATCATCCAAGCACGTGAAGATGTCGGAACACTTTAGAAACGTACCAATACTGACAACCTCTACTTATGAGCCAGGACAATGCATATGCATGGGTCGGTGGAATGGCCACCTTACCTGGAGGCTTTCAGCCGGTGCTCAAACACGGGCAGCCACGCGACAAAGCCGTCCAGGAGAGGCTCCGCAATGCTCGTCGAGCTGGCATGAGTGCGCGCAATGGTAGCCGTGACTGTGCGGCGGACGTCCCAAGCAGGATGCACCAGCAGCAGGACGAGAGTCTGCAGAGGAATGGCTTTTTGAATGACACGTGTCGTACTCAAAACCGACGTAGTCGGCGCTGTGTCGAGAGTGTCATGCTGACTCTACGCTTGACATCTTCAGCGCTTTTCCTTTTCAGCGTCTTCAACGATATCAGGGGGTCTCAAAAATGGGCAAGGGCTAGGAAAGGGAATGACACTCCGATCGCTTAAGGAACCGGGGTCTACACCGCACACAAAGATTGAGCAGTCCTTCGGTTCAAGACAGCAGCCGCTTACCTTGTACAGCTCCTGTGCACCGTCCGCAGACTGCGCTACCCTGTAAAGCAGAACGGCGCAGATCAGCTCTTGTATTTGGGGTTGGCGAGAAGGTCATCTGCTCAAACAGCGGCACAGAGAAGCAATTTTCTCTGTGCGCCCGGGAGTTCTGACATGGAGCAAAGGCGAAACGTAGTACAATGACGCACCTGCTTTGGTGGTGGAGCACGATGCTTCCGAGGAGGTCCGCCAGGGCAAGGGTGTCTTCTGTGGACAGCTTGGAAACCTGGCAGCACCGCAACGACGAAACGTTCGATCACATGAGAGTCGATCTTCCGTTTCGGACTTCGTCGGAACTAACACTCAAGGAGTTGGGCCTCAGACAGCACCAGTAAGGGGTTGCAAAATTCCCGAAAGTCCTCTGCCCCTTCCGGTCTGCAATTGTTGCTCGAAAAGCCTCTCGCGCACAAGCTACTGAAAGACGAGCAACACAATTTTCTGAAAAGTCAAGCCCAGAAATCCAAGCCATACCACAGAAGCTGGGTCAGCTGCATGAGGGGAATTGGAAAGTGCGGTCGCGCTTACCAGTGTGGAAGAAATGAAGGGCGAGTCTTTCTGTAGGACGGAGGTCCAGGCTTTCTCCTTGACGATCTTGTCCTCTGTAATCGAAGAGGCAACCCAGCTCAATCCGACCGTACCTCCTCTTAGGCACGATTCGACATGCGTCTGGAACGTCGAAGAGGAAATAAGCCTGTGGAACTGGCTGACATAGGCGAGGTTGGTATCCGCAGCAGAGGCAATGCGGCGGATTTCCGCTCCAGCAGCAAGAACGTTTTCTTCTCATCCAACCTCAGAGCAGAAGCATGAGGGAAACCGCACCCCGCCTGACCGAAGGAATTCAAAATAAGTGCAACAAGGACCCTGGCGAGACAGACAGTTGGTAGGTCAACGTACCGAGCGCTGCGTCCAGCGAACTAAACCGGCAGAGCAGCAGCATGGAGTAGATGCCTTCGAGCCGCTGCGCAGCCTTGGCCACCGCGCCTTTCACCAACGCAAGCAGGGGGTCCGCCAGCAAGAGCAACTGCAAAAACGATACATTTGGTTTATTCTGGAGGAAGCTCATAAGGGAGTCGCTGAGAATGGGAATCATTAGGTGGCGCCGGATGGGGTAGTATGAAGTGCCGCTGCGAACCGCGCGCTCGCAATGTGGTCGTGCGAAGGGGACTGGCCAGAGGCTTCACAAGAGATGAAGAGGCACCCGGCTAGAACAGAAGCGGACGGTTTAAGAGCCAGAAAAGGTAGCGGACCCTCTAGATAGACAAAGCAAATCTTATTGCCCTTCCTCCACCTTTACGAGCAGGTCCGCACCTTCTCATTCACGTCGCTGCTGGTGGTCGCCTTGCGCAGTGCCCGGAGGTGCGCTCGTCGGAGCGTCTCCTTCTCCTTGAGCCCCGCGCTGAAAAACGCCCCAGCATCCGCAGGCATGCTGGCGCCCGACCGGGCCAGCCAACCGCCCAGGGTGCTCAGGACGATCAATCGGACATCTTCGTTACCTGTCACACCGAGAAACGTGGTCAATCATCACATGATTGTTTGTCCGGCCAGGTCGAGAGGAGGGCTTATTGATCACCTTTCTGCAATCTTGACGGTACGAAAAGTGCAGCCTCGCAAACATTTCGAACCAGACGAGACAAACAATATCGCAGGCCTGATTGTCGAAGGGAGCAGGCCAAAAGAAGCGGGGCTTGTCTAAGCGGGAAAGTGAGCAGCCACAAAGCCTGACTCTGCCCGCGAAACAGAGAGCACTTGACTTGAGAAAATCGGAGAGACATGCTCAGACTCCAGATTCTCGGAAGGATTCAAAACAATAATCCAGTGGCAGTAGAGCGAAAGACGTGACGTTGAACTCGGATCCTCACCTTCCGACTTGTAAAACGTCATAAGGTAGTTAGAAACCTTTGCCGCCAGCGGCGCCACCGACTTTGTCGATCCCGGGGCCGCCACCAGAGCATTAACCGCTGTCACGACGCCTGCCCGCTGGTACCAGTTGGGCAACTTCCCCTCCGAACCTGCGAAAGCAAGCAGGACAGGACAATGTTTGGGACTGCTTGAGTGGCTTGAAAAGCCGTCAAAGTATCTGAGTCCGCTCTGGCAATACCTAATGTAGGAGCGAGAACGGACAATGAGATACGAGTGACTTGTTGACATGCCCGCAACAAACGAAGGGGGCTTCGATCGTACCTGGAAAAGGCACAGCATGCGCTTTCGTCACAAATGACGAACGTTCTTTTAGTGCGTCCGTCGAGTTCGTGAACAGCTCGGCCGAGACGCCCCTAACAACCCGTTTTCCGGATTGCACAGTCTATGCACCACCACTGGATACCGCGGGGCTCACCTCCCAAAAGCGCTTTGGCTGCCTCGAACATCTTTTCCACCACGTCTAAGTCACTGCTCTGCGCCGCCAAACCCCGCACCACGTCGGCCGCACTCGTCCGGAAGCTCTCGTCCGCATGCCGCACGTGCTGGAGCAGCGGAGGCAAAAGCTCGAGCGCGTGCTTGCTCAAATCTAAGCTGACCGATTCCACCAGATCGCGAATGGCCTCGATGACGACTTCGGGGCTGCGCCGCAGCATGCGCACGGCGGTCGGGAGAATGGACGACGTGAAGTCGTCGTGAGAGAGGCGCTTGAGGAGCGGCCGGAAGGCCTGGCTGAAGAAGGGGGCTGGCTTGTCCTTGCTGCTCAAAACCGTCTTGACGTACAAGTCGAGGAAGAGGGCCTAGAAAAGGGGGGGAATGTGAGGGTTGAAAGTTTTACAGTTGAGTTAGGAGCCAACTACATCTGACGAAAGAAGCCCCGCAAATGTTCCTTTATTTGATACTGTGACAGGAGGAATAAACTTAGACAGCGGTGGATCTTAACCTACGTTGAAATCCATTTTAGTTTACGTTGAAATCAACCACCAAGTTCTGTGTATTGTCGGATCTCACTGGACATAACAATTTTCAACATGCATCTGTCGATGACTAATTCAATTAAGGTGGTGGTAGGTACCTTCTTTTCTTCCAGAAGCGCCTCCTTGCTCTGCGCATAGTCCAGGAGGGCTAGGACAAGCCCCAAGACGCCCGTAGGCGCCTTGTCTCCACCCACAACCTCTAGAAAGACAGGGACAGATGCGGGAACCTGCAAAAGTGAAGGGGGCACACTTTTGCTGACGGGAAGCCACTGGCAAGGGCAGGTGTAGCCTTGATCAGTTGGACATCACGCCTGAGCCCTGATTGGATTGAACGTCACAAAACTCTAAGCGAGAGCTTGCCCCTCAAGCTTGCAGCAAAAGAGACGCCCAGAAGTGCCCGGTTGCGATGCACTTGATCGGAAGAAGAAATGAGCATAACTCCATTCGAAGAGGCAACTGAGCCTCTAATGAATTGCAACCAAACTTCCACCACCCACGTAACAAGGTTCCATCCTTCAGAATTACCACTTACTTCCACCGGCAGCATCTTGAAGTGGCGCTCCGCTACTCTCCACAACCGCTCCCCTCCACGGAGCAGATCCGTCAGCAACACCGCCAGCGCGCCGGCCAGCCTCAGAAATGCCCCTTTTGCTTTTGCTATGTCAGGACTTGTGCGGATCAAGAGCGAGATCCATTGCAGCAGCCTGAAGCGCCCCCTGTTCCCAATGCTGTTATGGTTCTTCTCAACAGTCTGCACAAGCGTTCCGGCAAATGCCTTGACGAATGCTGGCTCCCTGTTGATGGCGTCAAAGAGGACGCGGTCGACTGCAGCCTGAGACTTGCGGTCGTCGTACAGCGGCAGGGTGCGGAAGATGAGCGCCACGAACTCGCCGGCCTTTTCGTCAAGCGGAAAGTCTGCAGCGCAGCAGCATCCAATGAGAGGTGCGCAATGAAGGCAATATTTGATCTCAAAAACCAATGATGGGGGTGCATTCTCCCAAGACCCTTTTAGCAGGCGCACAGAAGAAAAGCCCGTTGTAGAAAAGTCCTTAGAGGTGGTAATGATGCATATGAAAGAATGACACATGGAAGACACTCTGATGGGTTTTCCACCACTGATACACTGTTCATTCAGCTTTTGATCGGGTCTTGCACATCTGCATCAAGGATACATGGCAATCAGAGCAACTGGAATAAGCGAGGATAACCTGGACTTTTTGAATGCAGACCTTGTCCTCCGGATGGTAGATGCCGAACATGATTGCAAGACTAAGTCGTAGACCCACCTTCATTCGCGACAGCAGATGCAAGGCTAGCATCAAAGACACTGATGCGCTCTTTCACCGAAGAGCTTGCAAGATGAGTAGCCGCCCGTTCCAGTGCTGCAAACGGATCCGGCACCGTTGATTCAGCTGCTGGCTCAACTGCAGACTCTGCCATCCTGCCAGCTGAGATTACTGTGAAGTTGATGTGAGCGCCCTTGACACCCTAGCCGTGCTTGTCATCACCAGCTTCAAAGGGCTTGGAAACGTTTCTGCCCAGAGCTGGCTGAGCTGAGGAGGCCTAGACGCAGACCTCACGCAGCCTAGAACCAATCAACCATGAAATGGTAACGGCTGGTAATGGTTAGGCCAAACCCTAATTCAACCAAGCCTGATCTGTGACTTTGCGTGGTCCTGGACAGCTGTCATGTATGGCCCTGGGACACAGCAGCCTGAGCTAGGCACAGGCGTCCCCAGCAGGGCGCCCGTTGGCATTGGCATTGCCATTACTATTAGTATTAGCTTCTCAGGTTGGCTTCTACTCAATTGTACATATCAGCACAGACGTAATACTGATTGATGTTTCTGATTGGGGAGTGGTGTATGCAATCTGCTTGCCAGGCGGTCCTCAATGTCGCCTGGTGTGTCTCGGGCTGCCGTCCTGACGTTTGCCGTGGTAGTCCTCGGGACAGGCGGTGGCATTTTGTACATCCATGAGAGTCAGCAGACGGAGAGACGGGTGAGCACAGTCGTAATGCGGCGCCAATGTTGCCAACATTTTACAGCTTGTGCTTCTGTCTGTGCATGGGCTTGGATTAAGCAGCTTCTCTAAGGTGCATTTGAAGTTTCAGAGTGTGCCTATTTCACAGCTGTCTCATCAAGTGTTCGCCTGCTCTGTTGAGTGATACTGCAGCAACCAATGCTGAGGGCAATGCTGGATGCATTGTAGCGTGGGTTGCCTTATTGGAGTTCGACCTTTTTGACGTGATGATGGGTGCAATTGCAGAACCTGCATGCTGGAGTCCTTCGAGACCAGCAGCTTCTGGCGATGAAGGCAGAAGAGCAGAGGAAACAACTGGAGATGCAGCAAGGAAGTGATCCCAGGACCCTCGCGAAAGGATCCCCGCCAGAACCTCTTACCAAGTGAAGGTCACCACCCACTCCAACATGGACAGGCCGTCTCGTGCTCGTGCCAAGGGGCCTGACAAACGGGCCTCAGTCGGCGCAGCACTCAACCGTCCTAGTTCACTTCTTCCTGTTTCCTCCGCGCCTAGTCTGGAGCAAGAGGGAGCCTTGGGGCGCGAGCGGCACATCGGGCCGCCTCGCACGCTGAACGTCTGGGACTTTGCGTCGGAGCGAGCGGCTGAGATCAGCAGCCTAAACGAGGTTCTCAAGAGTCAGGGGGGAAAGGGCCTGTTCACACTGGCTAGGCATCTACGGCGGAGGACTACCAGTCACAGCAGGCGGCAGTTCCTGTTCCGGCCCAAGAAACAGAAGGTGGAGTCGGAAAAGGAACTAGAGCAGGGAGATGGGGGGGAAAGAAAGCCTCAGTCCAGGAAGGTGCGGCGGAGGGCAATGCTGCAAGCAATCAAGCGAGGGGAGGCCAATGTGGTAAGGCAGCCAAACTTCTTAAGTTAAAACGACTTCGAACCGCCCCAACTTGTTGTACGGTAAAGAAAGTATGTTGCTTTCAGGTTGCGGTGCTTTAACGATCCTGTGCTTCTCTTTTGCTTTGGATGATATTTATAAATCCTGGAAAGGAGGGCAGCGGAGGCAGCGCTTGTCAGGAGCTTGTCTTGCAAACACTCTTCCGATCTGCAATCGTAAGGATCCGAGGCATTCAAATGGAGATGCCATCCTCAGTCGCCCAAAATTGCAACCACAAACCTATAGATGCGGAAAAAATGGGGTACCGTCTGAGCATACCAGCCTCATCAGCTGGAGAACCGGGACTGCTATACGCGATCGGCAGCAACACCTTGAAAAGGTCAAACGTGCTACACCCGCGAATTGAACCACGACCATTTGGTCCAAGTGTGACTTGTCACTGCCGGCCAAAGCAGCCGCTCTAACCACTTGAGCTGTTCCAAGGGATAGGTTTACAGATGCGACTGTGCTACTCAACAACCTTCATATGACTGCCAAAAGGCTCATATTTCTCAATAATATTTCTCCCGTTTTCAGGGCCCTGACGGAGACATCCGCCTGGAGACTCACGTGTGGCACGCCAAGCGCTTTGTCATGGAGCATCTCTGGGGCCACGTTTTGGCCGCCGGCCTCCCAGGACGAGGGCGTGGCTCGCGCTCTGTCCTCCGGGCAGCACGCTTTGCCGCTCTAGTTCACGACGCCACTTACGTGCAGCCGATTCAACTAGAAGGCCCCCGAACGGCTGTCTTTGAGGTCCTGGAGTCGGTGTCCTCTTTTCGGCGAGCAGATGCGGAAAACGGGTCAGCTAAACCGGGGAATGAACCAAGGAGAGCGGGAGAAGAGGGGGGGGTGTTGGGGAGTGTAGCGTTCGAGGTAATGTTACACAAGCAGGGGGATTTTCCACTGGGCGCAATTGCGCCTGCGACTTTGATGTGGCGGCCCCAGAGGGGCCAGTGTTCCGGACCCGTAGCAAACGAGGCGGACATGGAGGAAGACGGGGCGGGAGATGGGGGGCTCCGTGATGGTGACGTCAGCATGGCTGCAGCGCCACATGAGGAAGCGCTGGGCGACTACATCCCTCTGGAGGGATCGACTCCGACGGCCGAGGCGGGGCAGGCGGTTCCGTCTCGGACTCAGGACATGTCTTCGGAACAGAGGATCGCAGGCCTAGACTCTGGGCTGGTTGTTGGTAGGGATCGAAGCGGGAAGAGAGAGAACGATCCGATGGAGGAAGATGAGCGGGAAGGCTTTGGGGGCGCCGCTCGTGCTGACGAGGGTGGGAACGGGGAAGCCGCGGCGCAGTGTCTGGTGTGGGTGCACGCGGCGGCCTTTGACGAAGCGCTGGGTGTCCTTCAAGGGGCGTGTGCAGGGATGGTGAGCCTTTCAGTATTGGTTCTTGTCCATCCTGCTGAGTTCCACACGTGCTGATTGTGCATGCGGGTGGCTTTTACTGAGGCATTGGAGCGACTCCGGTATGGCAATTGCTCCGTTCATGAAACAGTCTCTGGACTCACGGATGGCGGTCTGTAATGTTCGGAGGCTGAATGAAACTCCAATTCTTCTTCCAGGGTGAGGGGAGCGCCCCCGGGTTTCCAAGGGTGAGGTGCCGGTCCAGGAAAGGCGAGTTCGTGCGATTGGACGTCATGGGTGCCGAGACCCGTACCGTCCTCTCGAAGGTCCTTCGGCCAATCCGGTGAGTAACGTCGAAAGTCGAAGAGCTTGGGTCTTCACTCCGCATCGTGAGCGGATGACGTTCAGGCTTTCTGAGCATCCTTTGTATCTGGAGCCGATGTGACCTCACTAGACCCAAGCTCGCAAGGATTGGTCACAGATGTTGCGACTGCCGGGTCCTGTTTGTCGGAATGAGCGCATGCAGCCCGGAGCTTCCACTCGAATCTTCGCCGACGAATCTTCTCACGAATGATGCAGGAGCGGAACATCGTCCCCGGGCGCTGATGTGTTTGAATCAGACGGTGCCACGTGGCAGCGGCTGGTCAGTCCAGCCACTCTTGCTCGTTTTCCTCCTCGAGCAGTCCTCTCGCTGACGGTCGAGGACCCCAGGCACCAACACGAGGACGTCAGCACGTTCGCGCAACCGGAGCTTGTTCCCTCCCTTACGGAAATTGGGCCAGATGCAGATTTGCCCCCAGGCTTCGCTAGCCCGCTCTTTTCTCCTACGCAGCCCACACCGAATATGCGCAAGTCTCCTTCCGATCATCTGTTACAGTCCCCAAGACCCACACCACCCCTTTTCCAATCAACGGACGTTAGACCCCCCTCCATTGATCCTAGGGAGAAAGAATTGGCCCCCTATGCAGCGGCAATGGGGGCCGACTACCCCCTGCTCTGGGACCCCCCCAGAACACCGGACGGTAAGCCTTTGTGGCCCAAACCGGTGAGCAACACCCTTCTAGGTGACCAGCGGAGACAGGCAAGATTAGCTAGCTTTGGGCTGCCCCCGGAGTCCCCGGGGCCAGCCAGGGGGCGGGGTAGAGGTCGAGGGGGGGTGTCCGGAGACCGGGGAAAGGGCGGGGAAGCCGAAAGCAATGGGCGGACTTCTTCGTGCTGTCCAGTGTGGCTCGTCCAACGGCCAGCCGATGCGGAGTTTGCAGCAGGGTGAGCAGGCTATGATTCTGACGTGGGTCTTCAGCTAAAGCCATACATCTCGTGTTCGATACTTTCATCAAAGTATAACCAATGATTGCTTTCAGCGTAAATTTTTCAAAGAAAGAAGAAAGATTCTACATTGTCTAGAAACTGATCCTGTGTGTTTTGAGCTGTTTTGTCATGTCCGCTCTTCGGTGAACAGCGCGACCTTGACCGGTTGCTCTCCCTTTCCGAGGCCGTTCTTTACGAGAAGCTTACGTCGGGCATTCGTCTTTGGGGCGAAACGGCAGATCCGTCCCATCAGTGGTGATTGACGTGCCGCGTTGCGTGTATACTTTGAACAAAGGAACGCTACGTAAGTTCGGACTGTTGCAATTAAAGCCTAACCTTTGCCGCGCACACTCTGACTTTTGATTGTCCAGCCCTAATCCTTCATCCGTCGAGTCACGAGCGGGACCCCGTCCTCTTTTGACCTCTCTATGGTCCGTCATGCATTGAGCGAGGACACTTTTCCGCGTTTTTCCGCAGGTGGACCCTCATCGTGCCGTCCGGCTGGGCCCTGCCTTTCTGGGTGCCGCTTATCTACGCTGGCGCACACGCGGTGGGACAGCGAGAGCGAAATTGGGTCGTGACTGAGGTGAGGCTGTTGCAAAGCGCCGATTAATTCTAACAAACCACATCCTTTTGGGCCCACGAACTGATTATTACATGTATCAAAACTTTCCACTGCATTGTTAGCTAGCAGCAGCATCGATGTCTGCAGAACGTGTCGGTAGCAGTACCTACTTATACTTTGCGGTCAGACACACCACAGGGTTATTCCAACGCCGTTTGCATTCTCATGAACTCTTGAGTTTTGGATCACTCCTGAATCTGTTGCTGAGCCCACCTCGCCGTGTCTCCTCCTTAAAGTCCGTGTTTATCCTGCCAGGCTGGGACTCCCGTCTTTCCGGACGACTACCCGGACTGTCCTGCGTACGCCCGCACATGGCGATTGAGGCACCAAAAGCTCCTCGACGAGTACGCCAAAAAGCCTCCCGCCAAGCGGCCCGCCGAGCCGCCTCCGCTGCCGAACTGGGACTCAGTCTGCAGCACCGGGGCAAGGGAACCGCCGTCTGATCAGTCGATGGGTGGACAAGCGCCCGAAGCGAGTGCGCGAACCTCATACTTCGTGGCACGGGACCGAGCGACACTTGCGACAGCTACAGGGGTGGCACGTGAGAATGTCGCGTCCGATAGGGACCGGGGACGGAGAACCAAAGGCGTGAGGCAGGGTTTGAAAGCCGGAAAGCTGACGTGGAAAGCCGTGGGAAGTGTGCCTGAGATTGGGGCTCTGCCCAGGGAGCCTGCTGGGGGGGCTTGCTGCCTGGTCGAAGCGCTGCTTAAGATGCCCCGGAAGGGAGTCCCCGAGGAGGGAGCCGAGATCCTGGTTCCGACACAGGACGACTTCGACGCGTGGTGCAAATCGCGGACGTGGCAGGGGGTAGAACTCCCGCGAGAACGGGGGAGGGGACGAGGAAACGAGCTTGCTCAAGCGGGGCCTAACCAAAGTAGGCCGGTAATGGGTTATGTAATTTCGCCGAGTCCCCCCTCAGGCAGCGCACAGAGCCGGGCGTTTGTAGTGTGTCAGGCGTCCACCTTTCAACGCTTAAGGGCGAGGCAATACTCTGAGAGAGCGGCTGGTGGGGACGCACATGTGTTTGTGCTGGTACATAATTGCGGCTCGAACATGGGGAGGCCGGGGCTGCTGAGCTTAAAGCTGGACCAGGAATGAATGTACGACAGACTGACGACCTGCAACCGTCCATATGATTGTCGGCCTCGACTGTCTCTGTAGATTAAGCTCTAGCTCAGGCTGTGCCAGGCGAAGTTGCCTAGCCACCGAGGCGGCGCGCCAGCTGTTTGACCTCAACTTATTAATCGTAGTCCATCCTCGCAATCGTACATCCGAAGCGCTATATCTGGTTGCGCGCGCATTCCTGGAGGTACTGCACTGAGTGATCGTTGCGCAAGCATTGCCTGGAAGATCTAATAATTATACCAATCAAGCAGCTATAGCTCGTTATATGCAAAAGGCACAATGGAACTTAGGTTGCGCACCATGAGCATGTTGGCTACTGGCGCGTACATATATGCGCCCACTCATGCATGGCTGATTATCGCGATCGGACAATTTGTTGCAATGATATATACAGATGCACCATGACTGCGCGCCTCGCAACCATATGGCTGCAACATATTGATATGCTGTTAGACTGCAAATCAGTCAAAGAATTGTTGCTAATCACGCAAGATTCGTTGCTAAGCATGCCATGCGCAAAGTTCTGCGCACATATGTGAGAATTACGGGGTCTGCGCGACAGTAGGTTTAATGTGCGGATCTGAAAAGTATTGATGATTATGTCACGTACTGGCCCATCGTAACATATCCTTAGACAGACCATACGCGACACGTACTTCTGGACGGTATAGCGACCTAGAATTCTGTTTTGAAGGCCGGCAGCCTGGTACGCTTGCGATGTAAAGCTGGTACTAAAAGCCCACACAGTGGCACAACAGTCAACATCTGGCCGGCTTCTGAGCTGTATATCCCCACTGGCAAGAGATACCCATGGCAAAAGCGGATACAGTCAACAGAAGTTCCCGCGTTTCGGACCGTATCGTCCATATGTATGTACAGTACAATACTGCTTCAGCAGTGAGCCCTTTCTTAGGGGCTGAACAATCAGCTGCCACCTGTCAACTCAGGAACCGGTCCTGGCCGAGCCTTTTGCTTGATGGCTATTCGTGTTGAGATGCCCTTGGTCATCTTGCCTAATAGCATGTTTTTGACTGGACTCTTCCCTGTAAGGAGCAATCGCAAAATTACATCAGCACTCGCTTCAATGCACCGTACGGGGCAGTCTTGCAATGATGCATCTCTTCGAATCAGCTCGCTACTATAAAACCAAGCCACAAACGATCGCATGATGCAAAAGCCAGGTGACCCTGTGAAAATCCTCTTTGCCGTTACCCCTAGCCCGAATACAGAAAGAACTTATGACCGGATTTGACATCAGAAGAGGCCTGCCTTGGCTTGCGACAAAAGCTGCTGGTGCATCACTCCCTATCCGGGACTTCTTGCGTGTGTGGGTAAACTTGCGTGTGTGGGTAAAAATGCTTGTCCGTTTCTGCTCAGCTCGTCTCACCTGCCACTTCCAGCAGGGCCGCCTTCTGTTCTCGGGACAGCTCCCCATCGAAGTGTACAACAACATCAAGGCCGTCGGGGAGCTGCCCTTCTGCAAAACAACCCGTGAGAGAGCGGTCAGCCTGATAAAGGCATATTATCACATAAGGCGAGCCACATGGTGCGAGGTCCAAGAGATAATGATAACGCCCTACGATGATTGGAAAGTTGCTGCAAGCTCGACATTGATACACTGGTGATTTTAAAGAATTTCGAAGGCATCAGTTTCTTGGTGAGATGTGTAGTTTTTGTGGAACTTTCCGAGTGATTAACGTGCGCGTGATCATTGTAACGACGCGTTCGGCCAGCAAGTCATTCTGCGCTTCCTGTCTCAAACGTCCAAACACGGCTTTCCTTCCAAACAACTAGTAAAATCGCAAGAAGGGCTTCGCAGTTCTGTACTTCAAGACCCCAGCTACAAAGCAGTTGCTATTCAAGAAATGTTCGGACAGAGGCACAATAGTTCTTAAGAAACCCGTTTGAATAGGGGGTCGACACTCACTTCCTCGCCCATGTTCTTTCACCACCACACGTATCCGTCGCAGCGGCCAATTCTTCCTGTCAGCATACTGCAGGCAGTCATAAAGAAGAGATCAAGTAAACATCCAAATCTTTCACATACCGTCCACTCCAAGAATCCCGAAAGAGAGTCGGTCATAAAGGATTGCCAGCAGGTCCAGCAGCTGATTGCCGGTCTTTCTCGCGAAAGAGTAGGAGCCAGGCAGATTGGGACTTGTGTTTGGACCCTGTTTCAGTAAGGGAAGCCCCGTGTCTGGCTCATCCCCTGCCAACCCAAGGCATCCGAGACAAGACAAGGTGCAATTCTTAGGACCCATGGAGGGGCCTCACGAATCCTCACACAGCCTCGCATCTTTTCACATTTTGGGCATCGCCCATATGACAGTCGTTGTTGCATAAGAGTAGCATTTGAATTCTACGTAAAAGAAATAGAAGCTTCCTTCAAAGTGTTTACAAAGTTCGAGAACGCTCACCATTCGCATTGTAAGGGATGTCTCCATTGCAAGACCTGACAGCACCATCTCCTTGGGTCTGCACAAGCAAGAACTCCGTGATTACAGCAGTATATTACTTTACTCCTGATTTCCAGAGCTTGTCACCACAACAGCACCATCTCGATGGGTCTGCTCAGGCGAAAATACCTCAATCGGAGCGGTATCTTCCATCTCTGCTCCTAATGTTCGACTCCTTTTACACCACCTATTCCATGAAGCTGAAGGACTAATGATGAAATCCCTGAAGCTGCCTAACGTCGACTGCAATTCCCACTTGACCAGCAAAGAGGAGAGAACGCTTTTCAATCTTTGGAAAGCCCCAATTGCTTTCTTCAAGACTGTAAAGCCCGCATACTTACGAAGGGCCAAAATCTGTACCACCATATTCCAATCCGAGATCCCCCTGGATGATGTGGCTTTTGCTTCGGATCAGATGGCGGTATCGAACATTATCCTGAAAAGACATAGCAGAACAAGTTGAGGCAAGCCGGGTGGACAATGGAGTGGTGAAGCATCCTTGGACAGAACTTCAGCGTGGCTCTGATGAGGCCCGGAGATGCACTTTCAAATGATGCTTTCAAGAAAAAGAACGTCCTGTATGATGAATGACAACCAGCCGACTCAACAACGATTGAGCACCTAGGTTGAGAGATCATGCCAATGCACAAGGGCAATTTTCACCAAAGTCTGTGAGATGCTTTAACTTTGACGGCGCAACTCGCAGAGTGCCAACTTTAGGGAGGCTCATTCACCAACATCATCGTATTTCATAAGTCCGACAGCGTTTCATACACACGGCCAACAATATGTGACCCATCCGAAGATGCTATTACTCTTATTGATTCTGAAACCTGTATTCTTGTAAGGCACATTTCTTACCGTCGTCTCCTCTGCAACCACTTGCGCCAGATGCTGCTCTGGAACCGTTTTTGGAGTAGACGAAGCTCGGCATCGAACACCGGGCGGTCCAACTGGATTCACTGGGCTCACTGGGCTCCTTCTAAGGTCTTCAATTTTCCCTTGACTAAGAAAGATGTCATTATTTGGTCGGAATGTGCTTCCTCTTGAAGTGAGACTATTATCCCTACTGCATATTAGAGTGTTGCAGATGCTTCTGGACAACGAAGGTGGAGGCAATGGACGCTTCTGAAATGCTGGGAACCGCCTGTTCTGACCACTCAAGCATTCCTGCTCCTTTGAACCGTGCCGCAGAGTTTGCGGCCTGAAAGACTCCGACGACGCCCGATGCAGAGATTGGGAAGAGCTCATCATCTTCCAGGTCAAGTGGAGCACAAGCAACCGCAAACCTTAAGCAGCCCCCTCCTCTGAACAGCGCTCAGCAACGGAGGACTTTCAATCCAAATACTGTGCTCTTTTGTCGTCGTAATCAGCTCCTGCCACTGCCAAAGCCACTTTGCCAGCCCCCTTCAGAAAGCAATGCGGACGCACATGCTTGGTCGCATTCCTATAGCACTGTAGCAGGTCGTTCACTTGCCCCCACCACAGTCCACTGCTTCCTTCTGAGACGCTCACTTCTGACGTCGACGACGAGACCTCAGAAGTCCGACTCAGGACTCGTGAGAGGCGGACTAGACTGCTCAGGCTCGAGTCTGACAAGGCCCAGGCCCACAGGGTCAGCGAAGTCCTGCGTGCTCTCTTCTCAAAATCGCCACCAACCATGCGCAAGTTCTTGCACAACGCTCCTGAAGGTAGTGGAGGGATCAGCGAGGCGTGGTTCTGATGTTTTTGAAGAGTCAGCGCCTAGGATCCTCTTCTGCAGTGGCAGTGCGCCGTGTGGAGCAACATCATGTTCTACGACAATCGTGTGGTAAGTTTCTAGGATACTTGAGCTGCGAGTTGTGAAAATTTACGTCGTGTTGAGCCTTTCATTGTTCTTGCTCCCTGGCGTGTTGAAAGTTGAATCCAAACTCTGATTATGTTGCGAGCTCCAACAAGGCAGAACGCCTGCGTGTCCGCTCTCAGCATTGAGCATCACTTCTCTATCCAAGGAGAAAATCGTGCCTCAGCAAGAGTTGGTATGAGAGTTCATAAGGTTTCTGGTCAATCGCTTCCAAGAGGTTCTAAACAGTGCCACCCGCTCAAGGTGCCAGGAAAGCTTGCTGACTTTTTCACTTGCCTCCTGCTCGCTAGAACCTCAAGGAGAGCCGAGACTACTCGTTTCTGACTACATCCAAGGCGTCAAAAGCTGACAGGGAAGATGGGGCCTCAGAGGACAGGAATGGTGGTGCTGGTCGCAGCAGTCAGAGTAGGGGTGCAACCACAGGAGGGTGAGCGCTTGACGCCCGCTTGTGTTTATCCCAGACCTGATGCGCAAGACCATGCGCTTTATTCGCTTGGTTCGCGAATCCTTACAATAAAGGGCTCAAACAGCGGCCATGACTTGCGTGACATCAAATGCATCAGGATGTGAATGATCGTTATGAAACACCAAATTGCTTGCAGGTCTGACACAGACACATGCTATTCTTTGCAGCTGGGGTGGGTTTTTTGGTTCGAAGCCAGAGAAGAGCGCTGCAGAAAGGCTGGCGGAGTTGCAGAAGATGCGGGAACAAGCTGAACAGGAGAAAGCTCGGAGAGAGTTGGAAAGGATAAGGGTATGTGGAAGGAGAAGCACCTGGAATCTCCTGGTTGCGTACGCGCCGTAGGTCCAGTTGCATATGTTTGCACGACTTATTTACAGAACTTGGTCTGATATGTTGCCTTTGGCTAAGGTGTTATGCTTCAACCGAGCTCAGGTTTCTACTACGCCGCAGATCGTTTTTGAGTCAGAATTACTGCGGGCTGGCTCCTCCTCAGCAGAAGTCAAATCCACTCTAGTCATGTTTGCGCAGAGGGTCAAGGGCCTTTTGGTCCCTCCTGACTACTCTCTACCAACTGAGTACACATAAACCGTTGTATGTGTGGCAGGCCGACCGGATTGCAGCATCCAAGAAGGCCTCTGTTAGCGCCGCCTCCTCGGGGACTTCCCAGCGGTCGGGTGGTTCTAGCGCAGGCTCCAAGAAAAGCGATGCGATGCAGAAGATCCAGGAGCTGGAGGTAAGCGAAAACTTACAACAAACAGCAGGTTCAGCTGGTCACAATCCATAGTGGTGCACAGCTACAGACTAGATGTTTACGCCAGGCCTTTCCACACGCATTCGTCGGGATATTTGGCTGTGCATGTGGAGATGCCGTCAGAAAAGCTGAAATCACTTGAAAACGAAACGAGCTTGATGCATCGATCTAGAGCTGTCAGGATCACGTTTGTTGATTACAAGCTTTTACATGGATTGTTCAATTCTTGAAAGAATCTGGTCGACATCTCAGAGCGTGACTATCCTCCGGTTCTTATGGCAGAAACACACTCGAGCCCAAGCGCTCAAGCAGGCCCGTGACTTCTCCGACCTCCTTGGGAACGGGGAGCCTGCAAAGCCGCGTGCTTCTGATCCGGGAGGGGCGTTTGCTAGTGCAAAAAGGTCGTTGGAAACGTTGAAGCAAAAGGTCGACGACTATTCCGAGTCCATTCGGCGAAGAAATCCTGAGACCGTTTCAAAAGCCCCAAAGGTCGCTGTCCAGCCCCCCAAAGCTCCGGTCACTCCAAAACATAGCGTATACAAAGACGGGAGGCAGAAAGGGGACCAGAGAGCACCAAGAGAGGCTGACCGTAAGCCCGGTTACAAGGAGCCCCCGTCGAAGGGGGGCCTGGCCATATCCAGCCTCGCTACGATCACACCGGAAGGTGCGCTGGTTGCGAATTCGGGCATTTCGTTGGAGGATGCCAAGCGGCTGAAGCAAGGGGCGAAGCTGCTTGGTATGAAGCTGTACTTCGAGAAAGAGGACAAGCAGCGGTTGAAGGAGGAGAAAGCGGCACAGGAACGGAGGGCGGCGGGGAAAGGCGGGGCTGCTTCCGGGCGGCCAGCAAACGGGAGCGGTTTGGGTGCAAAGAGCGAGGGCAGTGCAAACGGGGGGATGCCGAGGAGCTTGGACGAGGAGCGGCGAAGGGGGGGGGGTTTGTCCGGACTCAGCACCGCAGCGCCACGGAAGTCAGAAGGGGGACTAGCGCAGAGTGGACGGCCTGGGGTTGGGGGACATGCGCGCGAGAAAGCTGGGGGCAACGCGCACAGGAACGGGAGCAGCGGGCACGATCGGGCCCCTGGGGGGGGCGGGAGGAGGGAGGCGTTTCCGCCGTTTAGAGGGCCGGTGAAGAGGAAGCGTCCGGAGGAGGAAATGGAGGATGCGGACAGTTTCTTGGACGAGGGCGAGGAGGAGGACGAGGAGGGGCCGTCTCAGGAGGCGGTCTCGTCCATGATCCGGAAGATGTTCAGGTAGGGCGGCCGGCTGCAGCAAAGCTCGCTGCGGATATTTTGAAGAACTGTATGCATTTGTCGACTTTGGCACATTCTGGGGAAAGAAGGCGGCCAGAGAAACTTTCCCAACGCTCGAGGATGTGTATTCAGTGAAATTTGGCACGACTTTATCTGCGGTACTCCCTGAAATCAGGTTGAAAGAGGAGCATGCTGTTGAGACCGTGGCTCGCGGTTGACTTTGGGCCTTGTGTTGGAACAGACTGTCTCGTAAGGACGACTGTCCATGAGAGATCGAAGCACTGTCGACTGATTTGCAAGTTGAATTGTCACCTATGCTAGTGTTCTGCTGGTCCAAATTCCATCCCAACATCTTGGTTTCTGGTGGTGGCTGTCTTCCAATCACTGGTGTCAACTCCGCTGCACAGGTATAATCCTCACAAGTACGTCGCGGATGATCGCGACGATCCCATGATGGAGGTGGGCTTCAAGCGGATGCAGGCGGAGGAAGCGCGCAGGTAAGCCGCCTTTCAAAGGATGTACTAGATGTGAAAATGGACTGTATGGTCCCGTTGGTTATCTGCCTGAGTACACCTTCCAAAGTCTCAAGCATAGGTTCCAACATTGTTCATGGGTTTGACAGGGGACTTTGTCGAATGCCCACGATGGATGAGTTGCTGAGTGGGTCATGTCGCATAAGGCCATGTAGGGCCTGAAAGGCCTACACCGTCCCTTTTCCTCTTACCAGATGACCAGACTAGTTTGGGCCCAATGAGCAAACGAGGTGCTCATTCGTTGTCCTCTCTTGCAGTGCACGCATCGCTCGCGAGGAGGACGAGCGGGAGGCAGAGAGGCTTGAACTTGAAGAAAGACGAAGAGAGGAGAAGAGGAGAAAGAAAACAGCTTCAAAAGGGAAGTTTGTTGACGATTGACGAGGCCAGTGTTCCACCCTGACCGTTTAACAACGTTATGTAGATATGCAAGTGAGAAGTAACGGTATGTGACCCTCTTGCGTGCTTCTCGGGATGAAGAAGCTGAGTGATCGAAGTTCTCCCTACGCTGTTCTGCCTTATCCGAAACGCGAGCTCCAAGGAATGTCTTTGAAACATGGACGCGTTGCACGTCTTTTGATACTGCATGGCATTGATTGGACCCATGTCTTCCAAGGATCATTCCGCTTTATGCAACCCACCATAACATTTAGGCAAGCTTGGAGCCCCGCTTTGCTTGCAATCCTCATGCAGCCTGCATTTCTTGTTCGTTGCTCATGAAGGCAGCCCAAACTAAGGCCCACTACAGTTGCCCAAATCCTATGAAGCTCAATATAAGTATCAATTCCATTGATAAGGTAAGGCGTGGGCTTGCGTCGGACATTCGAAGCAACGTGAATGCCCAGGTGTAACGCCCAGGTAACCAAGTCACGTGCCGAAGTATGCATGCCGGGCGGCCGCCAGCGGCGTGGCTCATCTATCATCATCATATTTCCAGCCGCGCCGCCAAGCGCGGCCGGCCTAGTTGGCCCATGCGGCCGCGGGCCTCTCGCCGGAGCCTAGATTGCAAAAACTGGACCGTCATCGGACGGTTTGAGGCACTGGTTGTTCGTTCATCGCACGTCATCGACGATCCAAAGTTCTTGTGCAACTCTCACGAATCTGGCGGGAGTCCCAGCTGGAGAACCAGAATCCCACCTCAGCAAAGATCTCTGCATGCCACATGGCACGCTTGCAGGCTTCAGAGGAAGAGAGGGGGATAGTAAGAGAGGGGGATAGGTAGTAGCAATCCTGCTTTGGCGTTTGCTGCTTGAACTTGAAGTTGCAGTCTGCTTGAACTTGAAGTTGAAGTTGGAAGCGCTCAAGCGCTGAGTTGTCAAACTTCGCTTGAAGTTGCAGGAGCCTGCATTTGTGCTCAAGAAAGTCTGCCCAGCTGAGTTGATGCGCAGGTTGTACAGGGCGTTTTGTGCAGAGCAAGTCAAGTTTGGTGAACATCGTGGATTGTCTAGACTACATTAGTTTTCTCCATCCCTGGGTTTCTCACGGTGAACATATCTCTCCGCCTTCTCAGAGCGCTGCGATGCAAAGCACTCTTCAGAGTTCCAGTGCTTATTTGCACAGCCTTCCGTCAAGGGGCCTGACTATCCGCCCTGCAATCAGTGAGGCGCAATGTGGACCTGCAATCATGCCCGGATGCACGAGCTCTTCCCTTCGCAATCCCCAAGCCCACTTCTCGACACCTAGATACTCCGATAGAACTTTGGCCAATGTTTTGGAGCCAGAGTTTATGAGTTGCAGGCATACTTGGGTGGGCAGGAAAGCGAGCAGTTTGCCTGTAAAGCGCGTTGGCCGGAGGGCCTTGCCGGGAGCTCGGGCGTCAGCGGCCGGGGCTGCGTTGCCTGCTGCGGATGAGAAGTGGGCCCTCTACGAGGCCCTGGGAATCGCAAGGGACGTGGGCCTGGGGGAGGTGAAGTCAGCCTACCGGCAGCTGGCCCGGAGGTACCATCCTGACGTCTGCCCGGCAGAGGAGAAGACGGCATGCGTTATCAAGTTTATCGAGGTGGGCTTGAGCTCCTCAATCTGCATTGCAGGGCCCGCATGAGTTGTACACTTCTTTCCTTTTATAAAGGCGAAGAGTGGAGAGTGCATTATATCCTCAAGTGATTTCGATAATTGAATGATTGGTCACTCTTCAATTGGTCCTAGTGGTGTCATTCATACGTGGTTTTCGTTAAGCAGGTTGATTGTGTACTCCTTGCTTTGCAATGAGGCCGTCAATCACCACTGCGATTCGCAGTTGATGGAAAGAACTTTGTGGTTGATTGTTCTTGCGTTGTGGCCAAAACTGCCTGGCCTCAACAAGCATGCATGGGGCGATAAATCAGTCTGATCAGCAATTTGGGTTTCTTAGGGCTTTTTGTTAGATTACTTGCCAGCCTCTGGTTTTGCAAGAAGTCTGCCTCTGACAGGATCATTCTGCAGTTGATTGAAGTTTTTGATCGAACTGGTTGCTTGATGGTCTATTTTGAAGGAAGTAAGCAAGCAAGTCTGTACGAGGCACTCTGGCAAAACTACTGGTGTTTTTGGCTGAGGCCTCATTCACAAAGTGGTCCATCATTGCCAGCTCCTTGGCTTTGTACGTTAAAGGCGTCTGCCTTCTAAATCTGCTAGCAATCCTAGGGTTCAAAGTCAAGTCTTCTCGCATCTTCTTTTCTTCATGTGCGACCATTTGGATTATCCACCCATAACCGATTGGTCCTAGCTGTTGTCTATAGCCCGAACTCACCTCCTTGCAGATCCAAAATGCGTACGAGGTATTGTTGGACCCTGCTCAGCGAGCGATGTACGACTACGAGCAGACGCACTACACCAAGGCCCGGAGAAATGCAAGCGGAATCGGCCGGCCCTGGGAGAAGAAGCGGCGGCCCTGGGAAAACTTTGGTGTGCACGACTGGCAGTCTGGAGCCGAGAAGGTGAGCGCTGGGCTTTTGTTTCTTGTGGTTATTGAACAGTGGGTCCCTCAGGCAATCATTGGTTGAGGAAAATATCCTCCTTCACTTGAAGATGCGATCCAGTGCCAGATTGGGTGATTTTTGGAAATTTTGCAGCGGAATGTGGGGCAACTGGTTATTGTGGATCACGACAAAGGACGGGAAGAAAAAGTAGACGGCAGTAGAAACGAAGGCCACCTCCAATGCTTTCCCAACCAGATCATGGGACTTTTGGTCGGAGTCTTGGTCCACCACAGTACCTCATCTGAACGGCGGACTCAATTGTCGTTTCAGGAGGAGACACTACGGGATTGGCGCTCGGGGTGGAATGATCAACTTTCAGGTTTGAAGCAAAGAGCGGCCGCAAAGGCAGCCAAGGCGCAATGGGAGAGGCAGGAGCAGCATGTTTCGATGAGCGATCCCCCGAGGGAGCGCTCTTTCCATGACACCGAGCAACCTGCGTACTCGGAGTTCGCCTCCTGACCAGAAACGCTTTCCTTCTTGTCCTATGCCACGTTAGGTGGCTGCTTGTGCAAACGCTAGTTGTATCTTTGTAGGGCCCGCAAAGTGTTGATTGTACAGTAAGTGTCGAGAAGCGTCTTCGCACTTACCAGTTTTAGAGCGTGTGACCGTTTGTAAAAAGTTGGTTTCAGTGTCAAAAACTAAAAAGACTTGTACAGACCTGACTAGCTTAGTATGCACAGAACTTCGACAGGACCTCAGCACAGAGGTCGAAAGAGTTGTAATTTCACGGTACTAACGCATGCAAAGCTGCCATCAAGCTCGTTGTTTAGTACGTCATCTCAATGAGGCGCCAGGTTTATGCGTCAGAACCATTTCAATGTCGTGGCAATCCCACCTGCGCAAAGAATCTAGACTCGCACTTAGGCTGATGGATGCTATGGTGAGCTCATGAACCCACTCCATGCGTCCCATGCAACCGTACCCACCACGTTGATGTTGATGTCGCAGAAACAAGTCGACATGCCAGCCCCGCATGGAACAACATGTCGATTCGTCAGCATATGCTATGCATGCTGGTATATCGTACGGATGATATATGTAGTTGACCCGCGCTATATGAATAATCGGTTTACGCGCTCGAAATTCGTAGCTCTATGTATAGAAGTCATGCAAGCTCAGAGCTGCGTGCGGGTTGTTGCAAGTACGCGATGCAACTTACTGCAAAAGTATCCTCGTACGCTTATAATCTAGAATCTAGAAATGGGCGGTTCTTAATTGGACTTGCCGGCAACGCGGCAGCCTGCTATAAGCTTATAGTTCTCTGACATTTTGCCCAAAGCTATGCTCTTATGCTCTCATGCAACCGGCTGCATGCATCGATCGTTGCATGGCCAAACCGGCAGAACTGGATCCACCACTGCGCATGGGTAACATTGAAAGGCCGGCACTCTAATGTGTGAGTCAGCCGGGGCTCAGCTCGATCATGAGGTTGCATGGCCATGGCATGCGTCCAAAACATGTTCATGCTGCATATATGGCTTACAAAAATTCATGTTATACGTTCAATTCTGTCACTTCACATGCACTGAGCATGCTTTGATGCTGCGCCCATGTGCAATACTTCATGAAAGCTTGATTCGCAGCCAGAACTGGCCTATGCAGGTAAGCGAATTCACTGGTGAGGCCAACACGTGCTGGGCACTAGGCTCATGTGTCAATTGCCGTGTGGCCCCTTCCAACGAACTTAAGTAAGTTGGTTTCGTCAGAATGTAGTCAATAAAGAATGAGGAACATCTATCAATTTGACGTTCTGAGTCTTTTTTAAGAAGCTAGTTACATCACCCATCCAGATCAATTAATCCTCAACGCGTGCTTAAGTGATACAATTTGGGCTTGCCAGGTCCGCTTTGATTCTTATGTTAAAACACCCTTTCCTAAAACTTGAAGACTTGTTCTTTCTTAAAACCGAGATCCTGGAGCAGTCCCTCAACCTGTGACAGAGAGCCGAATTGCTATTAAAGCAAGCAAGGTCTCGGATCGACTACACTCATGCCAGGTTCAAGCAACTCGGATAACAATCTGACCAGTGTCTGCAAGACTGAGAGCTCATCTCTCAGAACCAATCGTGCACAATCAGAAGGAAGAAGAACGAACTGAAAACGATCCTAAGGACGTATGATGGTTGCATTGGCTCTAGAATCGTCGCCCCCAGTGACCTAACAAAAATGTCCTGCAAAAGGGGAACAAGATTGCGAAGCCTGTTGCAAACTCTCACCTCCCCTTGATCTTTTGGGCTCTTCTTGTCGCCCGAAATGTGCTTCATAAATCCGGGGGGCCCGCACACCTGTAGAGGGGGGTCGGAATAAGAATAGGAACGATCAGCCCCAATCAGAGGTACAAATGTGCAAATGAAACTTCCGGCGACTTACTGTAAGAGCTGCACCGGGAAGACGGTAAAGCGAAAGATACAGAAAGCTGCAGGAGCACCTAATATTTGCGCTTTCTCACCATGATTAGACTGTCGTCCGACGGTCCCGGCAAGTACTTCTGAACCTGCTCTTTCGAGACGAAGCCGACGCCGCCCTCCCACGAGGCCTTGTGCTTCGGCTTTCCCACCACGTAAAAGACCTGTGGCGGAAAGCAGGCGCTGGCTGTTTGCCAAAAAGTTTCCGAATTGCACAAAGTTCATAACAATCTCGGGAGACACAACGTCTGCATTTTTCGGACCAGTGTTTCCCCTGGTGGCCCACTCCCTGCTAAAATGGCCATCAATGCTCCAAACGGGCCGCCAAAAGGGGGGTGGGGGTGGCCCAACGGGCCACCATATGGAGGGCCAAGGTGGCCCGGTGGACCATTAATCAATGCACAGAAGTGGCCTATCTGAGAAGTCAAAGGTCTTATAAGCTGGAAAAGCTTGGCGGTTTTGTGTTGATTGACCGTTAAAAGCCCGTTTCAGGCACTCTATTGAAACGAAAAGCCTTCAACCGCACTGTTTCGCCCCCGCAGCCCACCAAACTCTAGCCCGGCGTCCAGAACAAGCGGAGTACAGCGCTACGACGAAGGTAACAATATATGCGCTCTATCAATTTTGCATACTCTAGTCGTTGATCGTCTAAGCCAGCACTCAAAAATCTTGGGTATTAGGTGCAGTTGGGCCACCAATGGCCGTGGTCGGGTTGCCCGTTGGGCCACCGATTTTAGGACTCGGGTAATCCTCCGGCCGTCAATTTGAAAAGTTAGGGGAAGTCCGGATCGGTATTGTCTGATGAGCTTGCATTCAACCCTTTTTTGAGTGCTGTCGAGCTCAAGGCAGCAACGTAACAGGGGCCGCAGACGCTCGGACACCCACCTTAAAGTTGGGGTGCTCCTTCGCATATTGGTCCAGTTGGTCTTTTAGCAGGATGTCCTCCTCTGTGTTGTTGGCGTATATCAAGGAGATCTGCAAGATAGCGCAACCTCGTCTGACCTGGTCGTCTTTCGAAGCTCAAAGCTGCAAAACGAAGACTTCTTCCGACAGGAGGGAGCGATCCTTCGTCAATCAGGGCACACAACGAATATAACAAAGACGTTTTAGACCAAAAAAGAAAATCCAGCGGTGTCAAACGTTCCTCATCGAAGCACGATGAAAGCTTTCGTCGTCGATGACTTGAGTCATCCCATAGGACCAGCAATCGCAAACATCTGTCTCTGGATTTGCCAATTAGAACCCTCTCTCTGCAACTTTTGGCCAGATTCTGATGTATCCCCTATCATAGAAATCAGCGGGCCGAGTTACCTGCGTTTTGTCATTCGGGTTCTTGAGGATCTGCTGGATGACCTGAAGCATGGGCGTGATCCCCGTGCCGCCAGCTACCTGCACCGGTGAACATCCGGTTCTCAATCAGCGGGCTCAACATATACCACTCGTCTGCCAAGCAGGTAAGAATTGTCTACTGCTTCCGAAGGCCTGTGGACGATAGTCTGGATTGGCAGTGGCGTTGATCGCGCGCACGTCAAGGATCACCAGCTTCTTTTAGTTTGGCAAGTCACGTGACCTCTCATACTGGCATTCTTCGGCATTTTCGCAACAAGAACGGCACTAAGGGGCACTTCAACGAAGAAAATGCAAGCGGAACTCTCCAACAAGTCACTGGACACTGCACACGGAAAGGCCGTGACTTGAAAGACAGAATGCACTTGGCCCATTGATTCCACGGATCGGCTCTTCGATCTTCTCTAATTCCGACACAATAAGAAACGATGACGAGACGTAATGAGCTGGTTGTACGGTCAAAACAGAGACTGAGCCTCGGGCTCAAAAGGGCAAGCTGCGCAAAGAATGGCTCGAACATAGAGATGATCGAGTCTGTCTGGACAAGGGCTTTAAAGGAGCAATCACGATTGGATTGAGGTGGCTCACCAAGCCAATCGACTTCTTCATGTTCTCCTTGATGGGGAGCTTAGGGATAGGCCCCTTGATTTCGAGAGAGTCCCCGGGCTTCAGACTGTCGATGTGGCGGCTCATGTTGCCCGTGGGATACACCTGCCAGAGGGTACAGAGGAGACCGCGAAGGGATCGCAATCAGGTCGAAAAAACTCTGCCGCAACAGGAGAAGCTGAAATAGCCGTCCTTTGCTTCTTTCAGGAAGATGAAAGTTGTACAAACTGGTTCCCTTTTTGACGAAGACAAGCCCTTCGATTTTAAGAAAGAACAGCAAGACGACTGATTTAGTTTGGCATCTGGTCAAACCTGCACAGACTGTCTGACTTGGGAATCGTAGAGTCTGCCAGTCTGCAAGAGTTGTCGGGTGCCAGCCGTGAGGACAAAGACGTGTAAACTCTCGGGGGATGTTTACCTTGACGACCAGGTCGAAGTAGCCCTTGACGTCCGGATCTGACACTGGTGTGTACCTGGATGACAGTGGATATCCATCTTCATTCCAGGGAACAAGACTACCAAGTATTATCAGAGACATGTGATACTTTAATGGCTCTCTCGTCAGCACTTGGTTTAGCGAGGAATTCAGAAGAAGAGAAGATGCAGACGCTGGAAACACACCACTCGATACTTCTTTCAAGTCACACATCAGAGGATCTGGAGGGGATGACTTACGGTCGAATGACGGTCTTCTCCTTCCCATCTTCTCCCTTGAGCTGAGCCCTGCAGAAGGCCAGTACAGCTCAAGCTAAAGCAGCTCGAGAAGAGTACTACCCAGTCTCTTTTAACCAAACTTCATACAAGAAATCCCACAAAGTTGACGCCGATCTTCAAACCAGTCAACATGACCAGACATTTGCAAAGATTGCCGTGCAGACCAAGACAGCGTCCGGAACCACCTTGCATTACCTTGATATCAGGCATGAAGCGATGGATAGCCCAATTTTCGTGTCTTCGGGGAGCTCGAACCTGCAGGGACGGGTGCAAACTCCTCAAGAAAGTGACCACAACTCACAGAGGATCCAAGTGACAAGAAGTGCAGCGAAGTAGATACACGATTTGTCCCAAAGGGTATTTTGCGGAAGCAAGAAGTCTGTTGATGGCCGAGCTCTGACGCCTACCCCAATACGCCATCCTTGGACTAGCCAAGGGGTTGATTAGTCAACAACAACGTCACAACAAACTGAAAGAAAAGATCAATCAACAAGATCTGCTAATACTTCTGCACCAAGTGATAACCAGCGAATGGTAGCCTACATTGACCATCAAACAAGCAATCGTACAGACTGTACAAGAGCTCTTAGAAACCATCCGTATGATCGAGATGGGTTTGATCTAGCATCCGAAGGGGCGAGTATGGTAATCTGTACCTACAGCCACGCTCACCTGTACAGCTTGGTGTCAGGACTGATCTGCCGCCGCTCCTTCAGCTTGAAAGATTGAAAGTCCTTGCCATTGAGGGCTGCAAATCACTGCCACACATCACTCCCAAAACCGACTCACAGACATTTTTGTCTTTACAACCACTGAGAGATTGTGAAAGCATGACAAACCTCTGACGGAAGCATATGCAATTCAGAGCTGGATAGGAAACTGAGTGTGGCTAAAGACTAGCAACAAGCCTTCAGAGTATAAGGGAGGCAACTGACATCGTGGGCAGGAGAAAAAGTACGTACCAACTTTCTCTGCTGCATCCTCACCAACCGGTTTCTCACAGGCTGCGGTGCTTGTGAGCTGCACAGGGAGGGTCGCCAGTCACTTGCAAATCAATGAGAAGTCGCAAAGCAGGCTGGTGAAGGGCCATCTCTGTTTGTATTCAGTCACAGATCCTAGAAGGATTGCAGCAATGACAGTATTGCAATGTCCTGGTGACTCAGCCTTGAGATCTGCATTGTAAGTCTGGTGGTGTGAGACCACGTCTTCCTGTACACCAATATGCTCTTGGGCTAGGGGGTATCATTGCTACTCCTTTTCAAGTGTACAAAAGCTCGCCCTTTCTTGGGGCCCCAAAGAAAACTTTAGGCGGCATCCTTGTCCTGCTCTATTGAAGACTTGCTGGCTTATAACCACCATGAAAGCGCTGCCTTTGCTATAGTGCTTTCATGGTTGTTATTGGCATGCATGCAAAGGGGTAAATTCTCAATCAAAGGGTCAGAATACAATCAGAATCTACTGAAGAATGTCCCCTGCCCCATTCAGGACTCTTCTAGCACACTTCATCATGGATCATGAAGAGGCTTCCAAAGGCAAGGTACGAGCCAAACTCACTTGCACAGTGGATGAGATTGCGGCAGCCCCGGCAGCCAATGCTCCAATGGTGGCAAACCTTGTGCCCCAGGATCCTCCCTGATCAGCAGCTCCCGCCGCAGCATTGGATGCACGCTCGCTTGGATCCGGCCTGCCAAACTGAGTAGCTGCCGCGGTTGAAGCCAACCGCAGCTGCTGGACATGAAGCTGGCGGGCAGCACCGCGCAGGAGAGGAAGGCGAAGCATTTTGCCTGGCCTGGTCGATAACTAAGCAGCTCTGATCGACACCACTCTGAAGCAACGCCCTGAAAGAACAAGCTAGAGCAGCTGCATCAGCTAGCTACATTAATGTTATACATAGCTGGCCGGGTGCATTGCTGCCATTGCAATGCTGGCAGGGTGACGTCAAGTGTGCGCACTGCCGAACTTGCAGAGGCCGAGCTGTGGGGTGGAAGAACCTTTGAAGTGCAAGCTCTAGAAACCCTAAAAGCTGCCAAAGCCTGTTCAAAAGCTTCCTAAATTTCATGGGCGCCCACTGCTTGCTATCTACTAGTCTTCCATTTGTTCACCATCATGGCGGAGCTTCAAGAGAGCTGATTCTTACAATGTCTACTGTCATTTGAGCACTGACGCTCTGAAAGGGAAGTTTGCTGAATGGGACGGCGTCTTCCCTATCAATGCTGGCGGGGGCATAATTTATCGGAGCAGCTATCAACAGTCTTGTTTCATTCTTCTCTCACTAATTGCGCACAGCAAACGGGCTGTACAACAGGCGGACGAGCCACCAGACAGTGCAGAGTCAGCGTTAAGGAGGGTGACAGTTTAGAGCCAAGCCCGATTTCACCCTTGATTTGAAACCATGTCTTTGACAGATGTGGAGGTGACTGCCGAGGTTTGGATGACCTGTGTCACCCATGCCTTGTCGACAGAGAAGGAGGAGATCATGGGCCTTCTGCTCGGCGATGTTCTGGTGAGGCCTCAAGGCTCAACAAGCGGTTGTGCATGGACTGTGTTGGAACTTTCAGCAACAAAGTCCCTCTTACCACCTTCGGCACTGCCAGCTGTTTGCTTGTCCGCATTGGCGGCATTCTAAAGAAGCCAGAGCATTGCTTCTGGAGACTTTCCAGTGCATTCAACATGCGAGTGTCCCACTTTTGTCAACCACGGGCCATTGCGCTGTATCAGGGCACTGACCGCACGACCACCACCTCAAATATATTCCCAGAGAAACTCCTTTACAAGGATGCTCATCTCTGTAGGTATACGGAGATGGCCGGGCCACTGCACGCGTCTTCTCGGCAGCGCCGCAGACCCGCTCCGACCGGCGCAAGGACCGCGTGGAGACCAACCCAGAGCAGCTGGCGGCTGCAGCGGCAGAAGCAGAGAGACTCTCAGTTCTCTCCGGCAGGGAAACCAGGGTGATTGGGTGGTACCACTCGCACCCCCACATCACGGTGTTCCCATCACATGTTGGTGAGATGCGCTTTATTTTGCTGAGAGTTTGAGGCCTTTTTCTCTGGTAGATCCTAATGAGCTTCTTCTTTTCTTCTTCCTGAGCCTCTAGAATGATCGAGATGGAAGGCAGTCGTCTCAGGAGAGGGTTTATGCTGGGACTTTTGAGGAGGGAAGTTGATCAATGGTTCTCTTTGGCCTGCAGATGTGGCAACGCAGGGCATGTACCAGATGCTGGACCAGGGATTCATTGGGCTCATCTTCTCGTGCTTCAGCGAGGATGCCAGCAAGGTAGGCTTTCATATGTCGATCGGACGGCACTGCTGAGGAGAAGACATGTTGCTTGAAAAGCCTTGACCATCATGACTGCATGGACAGATTGCCCCTCCTCCGTAGTTTTGGTGAGCCATCCATTCGGCCATCCACTTTGAGCTCTGCTCGAACCTCAGCTTAGACAGTCCCAATCAGCCCACTATGCCCCATTGTACTCGACGAACGGAAAGTGTGAGGTCTTTGCATGGTGCCGCAGGTCGGGCGCATCCAGGTGACTGCGTTCCAGTCAGCTCCCGCCAACCGCCGCTCTCCCACCCCTGTCCCTGTCCGCCCAGCATACTCTCGCAGCCCTTCCCCCCTGCCCTATGCTCGGGGGCCCACTTCTGGGGCTTCAGACTTCCCCCCTCTCGCTGGAGATTCTCCAGCCCGCAAGGCATCCCCAGCGCCTGCGGCCCCTGCTGCTAGCGACTCGTCCATAGAAGAGATTCTTCCAAGTGATGCGAGGATGCCGTCGAGGATCAAGGGGGGAGGCCCTTCTGATGCAGAAGAGCAGGTATGGCTGCCATTCATCTTCAGGAGGCTCTACCTCCAAGGTTGCCCTTCGTATTCCCAGAAGCGAGCGTTTCAGTCGGCAATCGTAAAGTGGACCCTTGAGATACATTCGAACATCTACCGTTTCCAATGTAAGCGTTAGATGTAACAGTCATATTCCCGGTTTAGAAAACGTATCCCGATCACGAACAGAATTCCGATCTCTTGGCGTCCAGGACCCATCAAGTTCGCGCCGGCCGCCCCGTCCCCCATCTTTGGAGGTCGACCCCGGGCTGCCCCCCTCTGGTGGCCGCAGCACGCGCAACAGCCCGTCTCCTTACTACCCGGGGGAAAGCCAACAGAAGGGCTGGTCGTACGCACAGGCGGCGGGCCCGAGGAGGGAGTCGTCACAGGACAGCATGGCGTCAGCGATGGAGGAAGCAGCGGCGCGGTCCATGGAGGATAGCAGGTGACCTCCGGACAGGTGTTTTCAATGATCGGAGCTTCTTATCGGTGGTTCGTTGGCCGGCGACAACCTCTCTGAGTCTCCTGTTTCGATTCTGATGTGGTTCGGGGTTGTGAAGATCCTGGTTGGTTGTTCCCTGTTGTTGAACAGCTTCGTAACCCGACAGGAACGGGCGATCCTCTCATCTACGATTGTGCGGGCGTGTAAATGTCGTTGCTCCTGTCTTCTCGGAGAGACTGCATATCCATCCTGGTCGCAAGGCTACTGTGTGTCCGTCCGCCCATCCCTCCATCGACGCACCTGATTTCATACAGATGCAGACCAACTCACAACGGGTCGTCTCCGCCGCCTCCCGTGCGAACATTTACTCTCGTCAACGGAACCAATCCGTAATCGTCCTTTCCCGCTTGCAGGGGTGCCAGCTTCGTGCACAAGGAGGTCCCTCTGCGTGTCATCTCGGGGCTTGACGTCGTGGGTGCGTCCCCCGAGCTGCTCCTAGACCCGCTGGTCAGCCTGCAGCGGATCCTGTTTGCCGAGGAGAAGGCGGCCTATCGCCAGGCCATCGCGCAGAGCTCCGAGGACGGGAAGATGCACCCCATTGCGGCGATTCACCACTCGGCGACGTATCAGGCGTCGCTGTGCAAGCTCATGGAGTACTGGTGAGTCGCTGGGTGAGGGGTTGCGGGTTATGTGTACGCTTTGTGCTTTAGCTGCAAGATCTATGTCCGTATCAATCCCAATACTGGCTTCGCGACTGCTCGGATTACAGTGGATTGCTGCATTATTGTTCGATGCAGCAAGATAGAGTACAGGAAACGGCTTGATCGTTGTTTAGAAAGTTCAACCTCTGCCGGCATCCCCCATTTGTCCGCAGGTCGAGTGACGAGGTTGTTGAGTCGCATCATTTCACGTCTGCATCCAAGACTCTATGCGTTCAATAAACAGCTTTCTGTCGCAGGTCCGACTGAGTCCGTCTTTTTGTGTTGCAGCTTGAGCCCAGTCCTGACGGCCCTATGGGAGCGGCAGCACCAGTGCCAGTTGCAGCTGGCGTTCCTACAACAAGAGGAGCGGGATCTCCGAGAGGCGGCCGCCGCGGTTGCGGCAGCTGCAGATGCGTCGCCCCCAAAGCTGCAGCGCCCGTCTAGCGTGCGCACTCGGCCAGGGGAACCGGGCGTGACACCACGGGTATCGAATCCAAAGTCGGAAGCGCCGATAGAACCGCTGAGCGGAGCAGGCCTCAGTTGGACAGGGAAAACGTTGGAGGAACTGAGAGGCTTGGAAGTTGGCACGGAATCGAACTCAAAGCCACCGGAAGGGCGAAACGCGGCATCGACAAGGGTCGATCCTGCAGGCGAAGCGGTGATAGAGAGAACACGCGAAGCGCGAGCGAGGGGGGGTGGTGGAGTCGTCGAAGGGCAGGAGAAAGAAAAGCCGCTGATTCAGTGGGACTGATGATGTCTGGAGTATGCTGGGAGTCTCCTCGTTCATCAGTGTACATGTGCAGATGCACAGATCGAAGTGTTTAATTGAAGCCTGGCCGCCAATGTGCTCGCAATAGAATTTGCCTTCATTTCGTCATATCTGCCGCGACGTGATTTTCGAGGTTTGAAGCAGGTAAGGTTGCTGGCATGCGCATGCCGCCAACGGCGCCGCGGCTGCTGGTGCCTGCAGATTGCATGTTTGTCATTGAGTCTAATTAGCCAGCTTTTGCAGCATGTGCACTGATATGGACGTATGTGCCAATGGGCATGGCAGCATGCGTATACAGAATTTAGCCGACTTAAGCATGAAAATATGCTTCGTGGCCATGCAATCGATCTTACATGCATTTACAATGGAGTAGGCGCGCGCACCTGCTGTAAGGCGTGGCATCTTAACATGTACCAGGGCGTCCAAAATGCCAGCTTAACGTACCCAGCCACCAGCCCATGCAACCCCCTCCCTCTGCATTGTCTGTAAACTAGGGTGAATCTGCGCCTAGATGCTGCCCTCAGCCGGCCCCAATTTGGCCATCATTCCGGACGCACCATTGCACATAGCTGTTTTGACACAATAGGTCTTAAAAGCGCATCCTGACATGCATGTAGGATGCATATCGTATGCTGTCGCTTATTTTCAATCTCGACAACTTCTGCCTCATGAACACCATAATTGTTTACCTGATTGTCCTGTTTATGTACTACTCTGTTGTACTTTACATTCTTGGGGTCATCAGTAACCACCACTGTATGATACAAGATTCTGCCTCTACAGCCAATCACCATGCGAGGGTATGAAATAGCACTGACAAAGACCCCGGATTCTAAGCTTCTTGGGCCTGTCGTGCTGCCGACTGCAGATCAACAGAAACAGACAAAAGGCGGTCAAAGATGCCGCTGCGCTTCTCTCCACCTTGTGCTCCATGATACGTTTCCTCCTCAGCAAGCGTCGAGCTACCAGCTGCCGCAGCCCCAGCCCCGTGGTATGCCAGACTCCTCTGTAGAGCAAATGCAATCGCTGACTGGTTATCAGCCGCATACAGTCGACGACTTGCACTCCCCGGCCGCTTGCGCTTGATACCCCGGTTTGCTTCTCCAACGTCAGACGGTGATCTGCACTCCTCAGCTGCGACTGTTCTGACCAGGATACCGTCCCTCAAGAAGCAGATGGTGTCATTCTCCCGACCAAACGCAGGTCCGCTGAGATGAAGACAGAAGGTGTATTGGCTAGGCAGATACAAGGGACATTGAAGATTGATGAGGCAGATGGATCAACAACAGAAGAGCCTGAATCGTAGTGTGCTATGATTGTGCAGCAGGTTCAGCAAACAAATGAAGCCTCATGGCACTGGCTGCCCCTCAAAGCAGCAGCTTACCTGCCATGCTTCTCGATGCGGACTCTCCTGGTGAATACCTGTTTCCAGCATTCATCACTCTGTGGTAGGAATCCTTCTGGCTCAGTCCAAACGTGTCTTGTGTATAACGGCTGCCAAAGGTCATCATCATCAGCTTGCTGACGGAATGCCGTGGAAACTGCACAAGCGGAGGACCCTTCGATCAGCAGCTGTATGGCTGCCAAACACACTGTTGCGGCGTTACAAAAGCTTGCCTTTACAGCTTGTGTTGGCAAATGAAAATGGTGCTGAGCTGAAACAGAAAGGAGGTGCACTTAGGTGGATTATGCATACATGCTGACCTCTTGAAGAAGGCCCCATTCTAAACAGGTCCCAAGAGGCAGCTAGTGATCAGCTCAAGATGCAGGAACTGCAAAGCTTTGAAAGACCAATGGTTCTTTGGCATATTCCTTTGCACCAGATGGACTTGAGGGGTGGAAACTTACCTTGTGCCAGTGAAGCAAGGTCAGCATATTCAAGGTAGCCAAATATCTGCCTGCGAAGTTCCTCAGGAAGGATACTGAGCGCACTGTCAGGCCCCAGCTCCTTGATAAGTGCGGCTTCCATGTGGTTTCTTTGATCAGGAGCTTGGCTTGTCAGCCACGAAACCTATCTACCTACATAGCAGTGACCGTCACTTTTTAGATTGAAACAAGCTTTCGTCCCACTGTCTCAACCGCATGCACATCACCAGTTGCTCTGTATGCCTGCTGAAAAATAGGTAAGAAATGGATCTCCGAGATGAACCTGCAGTCCTCTGCCAAGCTCGTCCTAGCGTGGCCTCAAGCTGCCCTTGTCCCTTTTGCTAAGATTTGTACGTTGGGATTCTGGTTGGCTAGGGTATCGCTAAACGGTACCTACCTAGCGACTTCTGCCAGGAGTCCAGCATGCATGGCGCTGTGCGCATGATTTGTGACTTGTCCGACAAGTTGTCGCGAAGTGTGCTGCTTCAGATCAGTTCTCGCTCCTGCCATGCTGCCATGCTGGCTCGTGCAGGCAGCAGCGAAACACTGAAATTCAAATTTTGAACTTTAAACTTTTGCATCCACCCGGCCCTTACCTTTTGCCACGTGGCAATGCTGTGAACCTCGAAGGCTTGAGAAAATGGAAACTCTTCCAGGAACGGTGTCCCATGGGCCCGCGGCCGCTAAGCGAACCACGCGGCCGCGCCCACAGTACTTTGAACAGCAACTTGCATGAGAGCTGGCCAGAATCTTTGGAGATCGAACTTGGAGGTGGATAGCAGGTGCATTCAGGCTGTCACTATGGCGCTTACCATTGCTGCAGCACCGATCAGTCTCTCGGCAGCTGGGTTTCTGGGGAACGGACAAGCTCTGGAAAGGTGAGGCGTGTTCAAGCAGTCTACTAATATCCTTTGAATGTCACCATCAAAGGACGGCTGGCAGTTATTGCTTAGCAAGGAAGTTTATATGCGCACACGGGTGACTGGACTGCACCACACGTGCAATGTAAACGCTTTAGGGAGAGGGATCATCCGCCCAGGTTTGCTTCAATCATTGTCCACTTGACTAACGCTATCTCTTACCGTGATCATTGTGCAGTAGGCTTGGGCGGAAGAGTGCCGCAAGCGTTAGGCGCTGCACCGTGTGCGCTGCCGCTAATGATAAGAAGGTTGCCCCGGCATCGCGGAGGTTAGATTGATCTGATCTTTAACAAAAATCTAGCCGCACAGTTCCTGGCCCATGTGTGTTCTGCTTTCCTTGGTGGTTGGTGGGAGGGGTTGTTGCATCTACCAAAACTGCATTTTGAATGTGCACTCCACTCTGAAACCGCGGCTTTCCGAGGCTCAGGACGATCAGAACATGGCTTATCAGAACATGGCTTATTTGCAGAGAATTCATCCTACAGAGCAGCTCGGCGGCTTTCCTGGCATCGGTCTTCCACTTTGGGTAAGAAACCCCTTGACAATGTGGAGTGTGGAATTTGGAATGTGGAGATTTGTGCGGTTTCCTGCTGGTGGTGGAAGATTGTGCCAGTGGCGGAGGTGCAGCTACTGGCGATGATCCAGCGCCAGGACAACAAAACGCACTTATTTCTTACGAGTCAGACACTTGCACGCTTGCAGCTCTGCCCGGAAATATGACCCCAACAGTGCTTGCCTTGCGATGCGACACAGACTAATAGATGGTGGCGCAACTTGTCAGGGTTGTTCAGTACTGTGACCCATAGCTTTTGACTTGACATGGTTCTGGCGCCTCCAATGCAGAGGCGATGTTCCATCTAACCTAGGTTTTCAGCGCGACCCCCCGGGTCTAAAGCTGTGCCCTCCATCCCCGAACTGCATTAGCACATCGGAGGAGGCAAATGACCCCAGCCATTTTGTGCCGGCATGGTGAGCCCCTCGATCTCTCCTGGAAAGCATGCTCGAGGAAATTACTGTGCATGAATCAAGCAAGATGGGGAGGAACGCTATGCGGGCGGAAGACTGAGTGTGGCTGTCTGTGATTTGCAGGACCTACAACCCCCAGGATGGAAGGGGCAGAACAAAGCCAGCTACCCAAGGGCAGGCATTCCAAGAGCTCAAGGAAGTGGTGAGGCGGACCGCTCATGGCCTCATTGCGCCTCTTCAAACCTGCATTGTCGAGGGAGGCCTTATCTTATTTGTTTGCTTCCAAGTCTTCGATTCTTTACGTTGAGCAAGTGCGACTAGGGGGAGCCTGCCTCTCCACGAAGCTAAGATCCGCTTCCAGAGAAAATCTTCTAGGTTTCTCTCTGACACTGCTTCAGTCCGCTCACTATTAACCGCAATTCGGGATAGGAAAAGCTTTACGAGGGACTCTCAGAATCTGTTGCTCGTCAAGTGGCTTCCATGTTTACACTTTGTGCATGTGATGATGCATAGCCTGCTGATTGCGCGTCTTTGCTCTGCCACCCGCAGGTGACGACCTTGAAACCTGACGGTTTTGAGCCGACAATCATCAAGGAGACCAACGACTATTTATATCTGGAGTACGAGTCTTCCTTCTTTGGGGTGAGCAGTTGCATCAACCATTCGATCAGTCCATCAGGCACTTCAGTCCGCTGGAGACTCGTCACCCCAATCACACGCAGTGCACAATGGAGAACCCTTGAAGTTGACTTAAAATACTCTTCCAGTAGTTTGTAATGCAGCGATGTGTGCTGACCGCAAGTCCTTCATCGCATTGACAATGAAGTCCGTTGTTCTGTGCAGTTCAAGGACGATGTTGAGTTCTGGTTCCCCCCGGGTGACCGGAGTGTTGTTGAGTACCGCTCTGCATCCCGATTAGGGGAGAGTGACGGTGACATCAACAGGAAGCGCATTAGAGTGAGTCATGCTCCTTGTTCCTGCTCCTCGCAAGGTACAACTTGATCAAAGAAGGTGTTTCATTGGTTTCGTGCGCACTCCGTCTATCCTGATCTTTCGTGGCCTGAATTACAGAGGCAGATTGTTGAAATCCTGGTACGGAACTACAATAATACTCATTCCGGTGATTCTATTCGTTTTGCAGGCCATCCGCAAGGAACTAGAGAAGAAGGGTTGGGAGTCTCTTGGGTTCTAGGGTCGCATCCAATTTTGCCATTGAGAAGCATCTCTGTTTAGATTTTAATTAGGCAGTTGAACGCCACCTGAGCTAGAGATTGACAGCAAGTTGCCAAGAACAACAACTTGTCAGCGATCGATCGGTATTGCATGGATGCTCAGTGATTGTACGTACGAACAGTGTTTCATCAAATGTTCACCTTGAGAACACAGACTCAGGGATTGGTCGAAAGTAGCGACTGAACTCGATATGTGCAGCAAGCCTGCGATCGACTCAAGATCTAGCGCCCCTTATAGCACTGATACTTGCAACTTGATGGAGGTATATGCATGATCATTGTATGACTGCTCCCAGATTGTGTTTGCCACCGATTTTACTGAATCATGATTGCAGGCATATACATGTGCACGCGATACCTGCATATGTATAATTGTTGGATCGATCATGCGCCCATGCAGAGGCGGCTGCAGCTCGTACGGAGCACCCGAGGGTGGTCGACCACATGCCACTTAATTATCCGCAGAGAACATCGAATGACTATAGATGTCTGGCGATCCGAAGTGGCCCCATGGTACATGTCACGGTGTACCAGACAATCAAGCCTATCATATCGAGAGTGTAAATTCCGCCCGGCCGCCTCACTTAAGCACATATGCCACCGGTGATTACGTCAGATGTCATCTACCGGTACGTTTGCATGCAGCGAAAAAATCTTCTCTATGCCTGCAGACCTTATAACTGTTATATCATACTGCGCTTTGATGTGTCTCTATCTTTCTCGGCTCGAGCTTCTTAGGTTCGCTTGATACACACAAGGGGTCTAATTCCAGAACGAAACTATTTACTTGCACGCAGGCAGTTGCAGAAGCGTCTAAGGAGATACTTATACGCCACATTCCATATCCATATTTACTGCTAACCTATCCTGTCGGTATCACACACAAATCGACTGATAGAACGAATCTACTCGGGCTGATCTAGATACTAAGTGTTACCTGCTGACTGCGAGCCAAAAGCACGCAGCGCCGATCGTCTCTGAATGCTGAGGACGGCTGATCGCGTCCTACTTCGTACCATTCCTTTTCTCCTCAATGTAAGCAGCCAGATCTTCCAAAGCTGCCCCGAACTTCGAGACGAGCTGCAAACGAAAAGACACTGTCACTGGGTAACCCACGGAGGTGATCTTGCAATCCTGACTTTATCATAGTAGTACGGTTCTGTCAACTCGCTAAAAATCTGCAGGGTAATCTATGCTGACACGAGCAGATGCATCTCCAGCCCGCTCACCTCTTTTACTTCACCCTCAGTGATGATGAGGTGGGGTGACATCATGATGATATCACCAGAAACCCGGACCAGCATGCCGTGAGCCATGGTGCGGGACCCGAAGTACGTGCCCACGCCTGCAGCAGAACCTTCGTCGTCAGAAAGAGGGCAGAGCCAGTAGAACGAGATCGGAGATTCCAATCTCCAATGACGCTGAGCCCTTGTCAAAGTTGACCAACATAGAGAAGGAAAAAGCACCTTCTGCTTCGAGAGCATCCAAACAATAGATATCTTGGCTCCTTCGAGTTTCCAAGCGCCTCAACTATTCCCACCCTATGCACGTGTCGGCTTGTTCTGCACCCTCCACCGTTCCTGCCGCGTTCAGAGGGAAGCAGGCGCACGCATCAAGTTTCGTTTAAAAGGGGGAAACAATGGTGGCTTACCCCAATCCGTGGGGAAGGCTGCCTTGGTGTCCCGGTCAGCTACAAACTCCACCGCCATTATCAGCCCCAGACCACGGATCTGACCAGTGGAAGAGCAGAGACATGAGAATATGCAGACCCAAGTGTGCGAAGCTCTTGGAACGGCTTCTCGATAGACCATTTTCTCAATGGAACGTTTTCTCGACGAGGTTCGCGACATTCAAGCAGTAGTATCTTCCGTATCCGTCAGCACTCCAGCGATGCTGAACTCAACCTGGACAGAAATCGAGCTATTTCTCACAAGGAGCGCGAGTCAGCCCTGTCAACGTACCTCTCCAATGAAGGGGTACTTGTAGAACTCTCGCATGCCTTCTTGGAAGGCAGGCGCGACCTGGCTCACGTGTTGCGGAATGTTGCGCTCCCTGCACAGCATTAGGAGAGGAACAGTTGGCCCTTCCTTGAATGTCTCAGGAATGCGCCCAAGCGTCAACTGGAACGGGAAGGGTCTCCTAAGAACCCTAGTGGCCCTGAAGGCTTTCCTGAAGAGGATCTGTACGTATGCGGGTCTGACGTGACGGGTCGGGACTTGGTCACTTGCTTCGTTGCTTATTTCTTAAGCAGTGCAAAGCCTCAATGGCACGTGGCGATGGTCGGAACGCGACTTTCAGCCTCCAGGGAACAGTGCGTGTGCTGGCAAAGGACAGCGTGTAGATATTTGGCCGCTTACTGGTAAATTTTGAGGCATTCGCTTGCGACAGCGCATGCCACTGGATGCCCGGAGTACGTGAAGCCGTGGGAAAAGCCGCCTGCAAACAAAACGTCAGCCTTTAGCGGAAACCATCCGCTAGAACTCGTAATTCTTTGCCTGCTGAAACAGGAGTTGCTTAACGAACTGAGTCACTGGCAGCTCTTTTCTTGACTTGCGAGTCCTGGTGGGTACAAAGCCCTCCTCAGATACGCACTGTCAATGCGCAGAGCTCGAAACCACGGCTCCAGTAGTGCAGCTCACCAAGTTTGTTGCTGTGCGCCGCAATCTCGTCGAACAGGTGCTGCGACATCAAGATCGCTCCGATAGGCATGTAGGCGGAAGACAAGGCCTGCACCAAGTATCGCAAAGTGAGGCGCGCACCAGATCCATGGTCGCAAGAACTATTTATGCTCAATGTAGGGGCTGGAAGGGCTCTGCCAGGCTGACGGTGCCAGATTCGTCCGACCTATCGATTCGATCCAGACATTCCGTTTTGACTCATCGCAACTTGCTTGCCACTTGAGAAAGGCATATGTCAAGACTTTCCGCAAATCCTCTCGATAAACTAGTCAAGGACCGACGTGATGAACAGGGAGGGGAGAATTAACGAGCTTGCCAACGGGGACGCGACGTGAGCCGTACCTTTGCGAGGCTGACCAGGTCGGGCTTGATCTCGTACAAGTCGGAACCAAACATTGTGCCGAGCCTTCCGAAGGCGGTGACCACCTGCGCATGGGCAGCAAGCCAATCAACCGCCAATCGAGTACGGGGCTCGCTTTGGAGGTAAACTGCCCCTCCTAGAAGAGACGACAGAGATGGACAACATGGAAAGCGCGCGGAACATTCCATCCGACGATGCGCACATATGCTTTCATTCAAAGGTTAAAAGAACCAGAAGCGGAAAGTAGTACAAAGTAAGAGGCAACACGCACCTCGTCCGCGATGAGCAGGATATCGTACTTCTTCAAGACTTCTTGCACCTGGAAGATGGAAACAGATTGTCAAGAAACACACCGACTTCGTGATGGAAGCAGCCCTGTATTACTGGAAGATAGCACAGACTGTCTCGAGACTTGATTTATCGTCAAAGCACTTGACCCCTTGCTAGAACTGTCAGCAACCTGCTAGATTTTCCCAAAACAGCCAGCAGAGAACGCTGACGCGAAAAGCGCACCGGCATATTAAACAGATAGCTCATCGCTTACCTTCGGCCAGTACCCCTTTGGTGGCGGGATGACCCCTCCCGCCCCCATGACTGGCTCTCCAATGAAAGCGGCAATCTGGCAACGAAAAATCACGGAGAAGGTTCGCTTATTGTGTCTGGTACAGCACCTCGCCTCCAGCCACCAATCACGCGATTTTTTGGCTGCATTACGTGCGGAGCAAAAGCAATCTCTTTTACAACGTCCATACACGACATGTCGTTCAGCAATTGCGAAGGACCAGATTTCGAATCTATTTCGTCTGTTCAGTCAAGTCCAAAATATATAGAATAATATGCACGGGTCTGCTGACGTATCTAAACAGGTCGCGGATGGAAAGCACAAGCGCAGGCGCCAGCAACAAACAAGAGCGAACCAATGACTAACTTACAGTGTCGGGGCCTTCTTGGAGGATCAGCTTCTCGAGACTCTCAGCCAGCCGTGTTGAGAAGTCCTCCTCGCTTTCCCCTGCAAAATCCAAGTTGGTGTCGTTCAAACCGACTCTCGAGGGATAGCGAAGAGCGAACAATAACTTATGATGCTCAAAATAACGAAAACGACTTCGAACGCAAAGTCACCGTTTCCTCAGCTGAAAATCATAATACGTCGCAGCTCAAACCCTTGCTCTTTCCCTGATCAGCGAGACAACGACTTCGCAAAAGAAGGACAGGAGGGTTTGTCGACCAGAGAAGGTACCTCTTGCCGACTACGCAATGTAGCTGGCACTTAAACCCGACCTCATGCGCAGTCGCTGCTCAGATTGTCTACTTCGTGAAGTTTTCGATGTGAAAGATGAGCACTCGAACAGTACAGGGTGGAACCTCCCTAGAGCATCGCAAGTTAGAGGAGACAAGGGAAGAGTTCAGTTATCAGAGCAGGCAGCTGATGACAAATTGCGTCTCGAAAAATGTGAGGATATAGGGGTTTTGGTAATCTGACCTGGGTTTGCATTCCTCCAGTAGTGCGGGGTGTCTGTGTGCAGCACCCACTGGACCGGCAAATCGAAGCTGCCATGGAGGGGCGTCAACCTGCGATGCCAGTTAAAAGTTGTAACTTTCAGTTCTTCATGTAGAAACTTCTCTCAAGCTAATCTAGAATAAGCTTCCTGCCTTTGCACCACGGCCAGTTTTCCATCGCACAACACCTGCTAATTATAACCCGCGAATGATCCAGCTTTCGTGGATATTCAGAACCGGAAGGACCACAAAGTCATGTACTCACCCAGTCAGACTGGCCGAGATAAGTGTAGAGCCATGGTAGGCCTTCTTGCGAGCAATAAACTTCTTCTTGTTGGGCCGGCCCATGGCGTTGTTATAATACCAGACAAGCTTCACCTGTTACACGCACAAAATCCAATAAGCATCACTCCATCTCTTAAGACACGCAGTATTCAGGATTGCCTCAACATGCATATAACAGGCTATGCAGAATCGGCGCCAAATGAGCCTGCCTGCCAACTGTATGCGATTCCAACCTGAGGCGCACTCTCTCACTGATTGACAAGCACTGTCATCATTATGCCAGGTACTAACCTGCGTGTCGTTGCATTCAGAGCCGCTGTTTGTGAAGAAGACCTTGGCCATGGGGGACGCCGTGAACATGTTGATGAGCTGGCTGGAGAGCTCGAGCGCGGGCTCTGTGGTCCGGTTCCAGAAGGACTGGTAGTAGGGCAGTGTCTGGAGCTGCTTCATAGCTGCCTCAACCAGACGCGGCTCGTTGCCCCCTGTATCAGCAACAGAACACCTCAGTAAGCTCGTTCATCCTGTCATAGTTTGTCTTTTGAATAAACGACGCAGATCTCGTCATTGTTGTCTCCAGAGCCAACTGCGGTGTCCCTTGACTGAATAGATAGACATTTGTCCAGCCGTCTACTGCTTTTAGACACTAGAATGCCATGACTGCCATTTTGGATGTTCCACCCCTTGCACACCATGAAACTTAGATGGTCGGTGTACTGGCCAGCTTCGTCCATGCCTTGAAATAATGCATGCACATACCTCTCTGCTTTTGGAGCCATTCAGAAGTTCAAGCTATTGTGAGATGAACCTACTAGCAAGTTGAAAGTTCTCACTTTCTGGTTCCACACAGAATTGAACGGTAAGTCTTGTACTCACCGAGGGCTGTGCACCACAACCCCGCCAGGGCGTCTAGGTACTTGTTCCCTTCTCTGTCATACACATAGATGCCCTGCCCAGAAACATCAAAGTATCATCAGTCTCCAATTGCAGGCACCTTGGATTGCTTGCCCACTGGTTGTAGCATGCTGTCAAAAGGTGCAGAAGTGGAGCAAACCCGGAAGTAAGATACCTACATGTGCGTTGCGCAACATCTTCATAGGAATCTTCAGGATGTTCATTCTGTAGCCCCACCAAGTTCGATGACCTGGTCAGACATCAACAAGGGACGGAGGAAGTCCAGGAGAACCTGAACTCTTCCTGCCTCAACTGTTGTTGGCCAAAGGCAGATGTTTGTGAGCTGAAACAAACTCAGGGCCTCAAAGAAGAGGCAGATCAGATGAAGAACCTGGGGCAGAGGACTCACTTCCGACTTTGTGATGATAAGCGGCTGAGCATCGGTGTATTGCCACGCTGCTGTAAAGGGGGGCAGCATGTCATGGGATTGACCCCTGCGAAAACGGAGGAAGCGTCCATTTTCACAAAACCGGCTGTGGCTTCATTTTCCTCAATGCGTTCAGAAAGTTACTTCCCCTTGATCACTCCACCTTCTTCGTGTTCAGTTTTGGATAGGAGCAGGGCCTCGGTGATCCACAACCTCATGCACAATTCTCTTGGACAGAATTGAAAGATTCCCAAGCCCTCAGGCAAAAGCTCTGTATTTGACTGCGCAATCAACCTCAAACTATGTAACCCTGCTGAGCAACAAATGATAGGAGGCGAGAACTCGAGAAGAAAGGGGGACAACATTTTCAATTTCCAGTTCCTCAGTTTTTGCTTCAAAAGACGGATTGATGCCGGAACTTCAAACTGACCAACCAGCAATTGAGCTGAAACCATGTAGCCGACATCCAATTGGATTAGGGTTTCTGCAACCCTAAGAAGAAATCACAACGTTGTACGATTTCTGAACGGAGTGGTGTAACAAAACTTAGCAGCATTTCAACTCACCCAGACAAAGACATCCTCTCGGCCGCCTTTGACACATTTGCCTGTTCTTTCAAACCTTTCTCTGCCTGCGTTGTGACTGGCGGCCCCGCATCATCCGCGGCGCCAGCTCCATTTGCCCTTTCAACAGCCATTTTCACAATTGCGTGCTTTCTGCTCCTTGACCAAGAAGACAATTGGGCTATGTTCCGTATTAAATGAAGAGCCTAGACTCTAGTGCTAGAGGCTGCCAGAGAGCATGCAGATGTACAGGTCTGTGAGTCTGGCTGTGACAGGTCACATCAGGATGAGCCTCCAGCTAGGTTGGTCTCAGGTTAAGTACCTGGGTTATGAGACTCGGTTTAATATAGAGGGTTTACTAAGTGCCACACTGCCCTGAGCGTGATTCGCGACCCAAATTACTCGGTATAAAATCGGGTTGCTGTAAAACCATGCCAGAGCCACGCTGGCATCTGAAGCTGAGCGCCTACAGCGTCCATGCAATCAGAGCATGCATGAAAAGGAATTTATCGCCTTTGCAAGATGTGCCAAAATGAACACTGCATGATTCTGATTATTACAGAGGTCTTCTTGCTTTGGGTCGCGGTCCACGTTGCATGACCAATGTTTGTACTGACGCGCAATAGTAGGTAGTCAACGCTGGCACTTATGATGGATCATCGAAGTCGAAGATGCAATAACGCATGTGTGCGAACATACCGATAATCCGGAACGCACATTAGAAGAGCAACCGCAACTGCTGAGCATTCCAATGACCCCACCAACCATCACCAATCTTCACACAACGGACATGTTTAGTTCCATTTTCATTTCCTTGCAAAGATATTGGAGAATTCTGTATCAGGACAAATCTGCCAGTATCAGTGGGCCGAAAAAGTCGAACGCACCGGCTGTGCCAAAGCCTTCTGCCATCTCGGATGTTGTGGGATGAACATTTTACAACCGAGTTCGAAAATTCAAAAGTGTGTCACCTCTTCTGGTTGCAACTGATGAGCGAAGGGGATTGGCTGATCAAGACAAGCAACCCGGTGCTTAATCCGAGCATCTAGGTCCTGAACTCGTAGTTTCCCGCTCGGGTGATGTACCGCACCCACTCGACCGTGCTGTAGCCGCTTTTCTCCCACACCTGCATGGGACGAAGGCAACAGTCAATTGACCAATCAGACTCACCTTCATAAGACGAGGCCATACTTTTTCAACGGGAGAATGGAAGTATGCCTCAGCCAGCTTTGAAAGGAAGGATAGCAGACAGCAGCTTCAAGAAGGGTGCACCACCCAGTGTTCTCGAAAGACACTGGAATAGTTCGAAAACGGACCTTGAGGAACCGGACCCGCAGCCCCGAAGCCGTGAACATCGGAACCTGCAAGCAGAAAGCCCGATGTCAGTAACTCTCTGCGCGCTCTCAAGCCAACTTCGCATCCAAGACGCGCATCCTTCGCAAATCATCACCCCACCCAGCAAGTCGCGTTCTACCCCAGAATAATCGCTCCTACCAACGACGACGATACGACACAGAAGACTCAAAAGGAAAGGCTTTGGTCGTCTGTTGCTTGGAGTGCGGCTGACGCACCTGGAATTCCATGGTGATGGGCGGCCGCGACCACGCCTTCTTGTCCGCCATCGTGGAGATGAGCTCCACCTCCGCACTCAGGCTCAGCTCCTGGTTCCCAGGGAATCGCCGAATCCTGCTCGAAGACAGAACGAGAATGAGCATCTTGCCCGCGACAAAGGCTCGTTGCATTGGTTTCCCATGAGAACAAGCTGCACACTGAACCTGGAAAGACAAAACATCCGTGAATGTATCCGGTCACGACAGTTCTTCTCACTCAGGCCGAGACCTTTGCTTCCAAGCATAGTAGACTGCGGTCAACGGGTATCCGTTTTATGTGCGCTGGACCACTCCTGACATTGCGTGCATACTGATCTGCCGCACCACCTCGACAGTGAGCCTCCGTTTTGCCGACCAGGAGGAAGGGAGGCGTGTTCCCTGGGATCGATTGCCAGCTGAGTGACCATTTTTGGGCAGAAATCTCGACAGTGAGCATTGTTTTTGCCGACCAGGAGAGGGGGAAAGCGTGTAGGAGTGCGAGAGAGCGCTGCTTACTTCCAGACGAGGCAGTCCAGCTTGGAGTCGTACTTGGCCTTGCCGGAGGAGGGGATGATGGTCGCCTTGGCCGTGTGCTTGGGCACTGGGACCTTGACCACCACGCCCAGCGCAAACATGCGCGCGCCAAACAGGCTCTTCACCTGGTGTTACGAGGAGCAGAAGCTGTCAAACAGCACCTTCCAACGCCCTCTAAAAACAAGACGTCAGTCCCTTACAATAAAAGAAAGCGGTGAAAGAAAAACAAAGTTGTCCTCGCTGCTGGAAAGAGCAAGAGATTTGGAAACGCGAAATGGTGCTTTGCAATTCCTGAAGCGTCGAAGGTAGATGGACGAAAAGTTTCACGACGAACAGCTGGGCGCCTTGTGAACGCAATTCTATCGGTCTTCCAGGCCGTTCACGCACCTTGATGTTGACCTCCATCCGCGTTCGGCCCAGCTCCTTGATGGTCGGGAGGACCTTGAACGGGATGCTGATTCCCTCCGTGATCCGATACCTGCAATGGAAAGATACAACTATTGAGCTACCTGGTAAATTAGAAGCTGACGTCAAGCAAAGCCGTCAGCAATCGAATCGACTAGATATATGCATGGAAAGAGCAAAAACTGGACCGCCGCATCCAGCAAAGCGGAAAAGAGTGACATTGCTGGCGGACTGCAAACAGGCAGTTTGATGATGAAACCAGCGCAGTGCTCAATCAACCTCCGATGTTTTGAACATGATCCTAACGAGCCACGCTCATTCACTTAGTATTGCACGAGCTGTGTATTTTACCAGTGCTTCTCCCTTCCTCTTCACTCGTCAGCCACAGTCTGATCACATGCTTGCAAACAGGAGCAGCCCTGAGGGACAGGCGGCCCGAAATGACCTCCAGAGTACTCACTTCATGAGCTCAAACTCCCCGTCGGGTGGCACAAAGCTGACGGTCTTCTCCGAATTAAAGCGGCCCAGGTTGACGCACTGGTGGAACTGCACATCGTCCAGCTCGATGGTGTTCTTGCTGCATGCAGAAACAGTCAACACACGGTCAGCCCTGCCTGAATCAAGAGGAGCGCCAAGAATCAGCGTCGATCACCGAGTATTGGGTCCTCTCCGTCTGTTTCCGTCTTGCGTCTCTTCAGCTAGCAAAGTCCGTCCCTGTTTGTGCGCTTGGTAAGCACATGACCATATCAACCTCTGAAAAACAGATTTCTTCTTGTTGGAGAGCAAGGTGTAAGATGAAGCGGCAAGCCTTTGTGGTCGAAGTGAACTTCAGCTGTGCTTATGCGTCTTTTGCCTGGGTTTCCCTGTTGGACCTTCGCTGCAGCTCTTAAGACAACACTTTCCGCAACTGGCTGGCTCTACAATGGCAATGCTATTGCTGTGTATCAGGAACGAAAAGAGGCAGCTTACCCCTTGCCCGTCGGCTTCGCCTTAACGGCCGCCTCCTTGTCCAGGGTCAGCTTGTCATTGAGCCCCAGCTTGAGGTCGGGCATGCCCGACAAGAAGCACTTCATCAGGATCTTGCCTGTGACGTCGCACCGAAGCACCGTGCCTGGAAGGGACCACGATGGAGGTGAGGAAATTGAAGTTTCTCACACGTTACACGCTGACAGGATCGCTGCTGTGGCTTATTTCTGTCGCTTGGCAGTGTCCCTGGCTTTCTGGGGTTCTACTCCAGCTTGGACATGCATGCGCTGGACAAACTCACGCCAACAAGATCCCAGAGAAGCCCTCTGAGACAAGCACAAGACTCTGAAGGGGGTGAATCATAGTTGAACCCAGGGAGAAGGGATAGACAAGGTCAATTTGACCCACCTTTTTGTGACATTAGCAGGTTCACGCTCTCCACGATATCCAGGAAAACCTGAATGCAAACAGAGAGAAACTGAGTAACACTCCAGAGGGAGTTTGGTGAGTGCATGAACCTTCTCCTTGCAAGCTGCGATACAATCAGGCTACTGATGACTGCCGAAATGACACGGTCCTCACCTCATTCTTTTTGTAAGCAAGCCCTTCTCGCCGCCAGGACACTGCCCCAGTTACTTGCAACGTTGCATTTGCTGGTGGTCTCGTGTCTTGTTGCTGCAAAGCAAGTGCAATTGGTATGCTTCATATATAAGATCACACTGTGTCACAAAGCGGGAAGTCAAACCGGCAATCAAAGTGAAGAATCGGATCATGGGGCTGTAAGAAGGCTGTACAATCACACCCTGTACTGTGCAGCCAATGCTGCAAGGTTGAGTAAGACTAACTGCGTCTGACCAAGTGAATCAATAAGTGATCCGAAAAGGAGGGCCTGTAAAACGAGTGAGCATCTTACCTTCGAAAAAGGTGACCGGACACCCTCCTGGGTGATGTACAGCTTGAGAATCTCGGGCGAAAGGTTTTGTGGATATCCGAAGTCCATAATCTCTGCAGGTTCACAAGCCCCACAGAGTTGGTGGTACAGTATAGATAAATCAAGGCTGCTTCCATTTGGCACAGGATATAGGGAAAGCTAGCAAGTATGTTGTGAGGGGTGCCTGCAGATCAAGGCTCCCTATGAGTGCTCTGGATAACCTACCGAAATCATCAACAATGGAGAAGACCACACCCAAAAATTTCAACTCACCATCCAGGAGTTCGTATATGAGCACAAAGTTGTTCCTGATGGCATCCTCGTCAAATTGGCCGCCAAAGTACGCTTTGAAGAGCCCAACCGTCTGTAGAAGTAGATGATGCAAAATGTCAGAGCTCTTCTGACGAGGAACGTGGCCTGCTATTAACGAGGCCCAAGCTGGTGCTACAAGCCCATTTAGGCTGAACTTGTTCATAGCAATCCAACATCAATGATCACACGGAGAGAGCAAACAACATGTCGCCACGACCCCTGCGCCTGCGCAGAGGCAATGAAGAGCCCTTCACCCCCCAATTAGCAACATCTGATTGATACTTTTTCAGCTTGGATTTGCCTGTATGGGAACATGCTTTGCCCCTGACTTACCTCCACCATGAACTTGAAGGCACACGCTGCGTTGGCATTGCTTGCGACCACAATCACGATGTACACGTTGCTCAAGCGCATGTACATGAACGTGGTGTCCCCCAGCTGCCGCACAGGGCAGGTGCCCAAGTCCTTGGTGGTCAGGATGTGCGTACGGAACGCATCCACCATGTTCTTCCTGTGGGAGTATGTCTCTGCTCAGCTATCTACTTGCAGAGGGGTTGCCGATCCAATTCTGCCAAAATGCAAGAGGACTGCCTCTCACTAAGCTCTCACATGGAAGCTATTTGCCACCTTGCTTAGTTTCTTCTCCAACATGTTTTCATTAGACCCTTCAAACTACTAAAGCTGGGCATCCTGACTTTGAGGCAATGCTCAAACAAAGTTGGGTCCACAGATGCATTCATCAGCTGGCGGCGCTTACCCGACATCATCTCGGTAGAGACGATTGATCAGGACGTCCCCACGAAGGTTCAGAAAATAGATTGCTGATGCGGCGATCGGCATCGTGCCCCCTTCTGCAAGATGGAGGACAACTTGAACTTGATCGTGTCTGAAAAGTACAACCGCCAATTGTGCTTCAGAAGCCTTCAGCTCTGACGCAATCAGGTAAAATCCAAACAGCTGGAGCAACACAATGGACAAGGATGAGAAGCACCAAGCCTCTGACCAGCAATCCCGCCAGCAACCAGGCGCACAATTCTGCTGGCAGCATGCTGGTTGGTTCCTGGATCCTGTTTCTTAGACCAACGATAAGCAGGCAGCTCGTGATACTCTTTGCAAATAAGACTCACCAATCAATTCGGCTTGACGACATCCAACACCGGAAGTGTCTCCTCAGAGTGAAACGAGTTGCCCTTGATCTCCGCAATCTCCTTTAAAGATGCAGCTTTCACCCCTAATTTCAAAGTAGGGTGGTCCACAACGTCGGCAGGACACTGTCCAATTCAAGCACCAATCAGGAGCCTTCTATCTTTCTCTTCGCGGTGAGAAGTCATGAGAGAGAAGCCTTGCTTCAGAAACTAGCAGCTACTCGATCGACCACAAAGGCGCCCCTGGGCTACACTGACAGCAGCTCGAGCTGCAAAAATGGTGTCACATGGCCTCCTCTGAAGTGCTGGAATACACAGCTTACGATTTGATCAACTTGCGCGTGTCCAAATACGGTCTCGCGCACCAATCTTAATTCGGGCAGTTGTGGTCTGAATCAAAATGCGCTTCCTCGCGCAAATTTGTTGGTTCCCTGACCAAGCTTGAAGCAGCAGTTGTTGAGTCTTCAAGTTCTTGTCGACTTCGAAGCAGGGCGTTCAAGGCAAGCAAGATTGTGGCAGAATTGGGCCGGAATTAGGGGGCTGTTGTAAGATTCCTCTGGTCCAGGATAGGTGCACTGATTTTGTCTTGGAGACGGTGCAGCAGCCTCATAATCTCAGTGTTGCGTTCTGCTCGATTGACTGCATTGGAAGTCAGACGAACCATCCAATCAGGGGGGCTGGTGGGTCTTTATGTATGATATCGGTCAGTGCACTCCAATTGATATGGTGCTGCAATCCCAATGCAACAACTCAAATGTCCTACCTCATTTGCTGGCTGTAGTATTTGTGGCGCCCAGCGCCTCAATCTTTTAAAGGTGGGCGTCATACTCTGAGCCACAGCGCAGGAGCGAAATGGCGATCTCCAACTCTGCGGAGTGGAACGAGCTGTACAACCGCTTCTACTGTAAGCTAGAAGTGTACACCATGTGCTGGCCCAGTGTGGACATCAGCAAGCATGTCATTGCGTGTGCAAAGTGAGTGTTCACTCCAGAAAAGCCCCATCTTTGCTTCAAAGAGCTCGATGTCAGCGTGTGTAAAACCCTTGAAGTTCTCAGCTTGTAGTTCATTGGTTCGAAATTGGTGAACCTGCCCTTCTCTTCCTCGACCTGGCAAGTCTCTTGGCTATGGAACTTGAAGGGTGGCAAGGCTGATTGGAGACGCAGATTGGGCAGCTTGAGTGTCTTCTTTTGTGTCCTCTTCTGTGCTATGTTTGGGACACTTTGAAAAGGGACACATACCGTAGAAGCTTTGGTATCACGGTGTAACACCAACAATGTCCAGGGCTGTCAGATTACCCAAACATTGCACCACCGCCATCGTCTTAGTCAACCTTCCCATTGCTTTTCTCAAAGTGCCTCAACGGTCTGTCAGGCAACTTCCCGAGACTTCGTCCAATATGGAAACGAAATGTCTGACCTACAGCGCACAATGCTGATGAGTGCACGAACTCTTGCCCCCAGGTTTGGTGGCCCCATAGCCACCGTTCGCGACTCTGGCAAGCTGCTCCTCCTTGCCGCTGAGTCTACGAGACCCAAAGTAAACATTTACAGCGCGTCAGGCCTGGCGCTGGCATCCTTTCCGTGGGACAAGGGGAAGATTGTCAGGATGGGCTGGACTGACAGCGAGGTGCTGATGTGCATCCTGGAGGGGGGGGACATCTACCAGTACTCCATACACGGCACCGAGGCAGCCAAGCCTTTCTCCCTCTGGCATCAGTAAGTGAGCGACTCTGACTATGATGCGCGGCAGAGAAGGGATGACTTTCCTTGTGCTTTCATTGCATCGTTCTTGCTGCCCATTGGTCTCTGATCACAGGTTTCTGTGACTTTCAAACTTGATAGAGTACTTCGTGTCAAGCTCAATTGAAAGCTTTTTGGCCGCTCACCAGCTGGAGTTCCAACATACTTCCAAGACCGTTTGCCTCGCTAGTCGGACCGGGCAGCCTTGTTCTCTCTTGTAAAAGACAGCAAGATCACGGTCATGCTGAATACTCGTTCCAAAATAAGGTTCCAGCCGATGACATTCATGCTGACGTCCTCGTTTGTAGGGTGTCGGAGCAGGTGGTGGAGGACTGTTGCTTCTGGGGCCACAGCGTGGTCATCCGCAGCTCCACGCACCAGCTGTACATGATTCCCGACCTTCGGGACCCCTCTACCGTCCAGCTAGCGAGCCCAGGCCTGGAGGACCCCCCCCACAGCATGGCGATCATTGAGCCCCAGTTCACTGTGTCTGGTAACCTGGAGGTATTGCTGGCGGTGGGGACGAGCGTGGTTGTGGTGGATGAGGAGACGGCGCAGGACCAGAAGCTAGAGGTCCGCCCCGCTCTCCCATCGCTTTTCTGCTCGATTGGCTTGGGACGGTGCGTCTTTGTTTTTCCTTTGAGCAGAGCTGGAACCATCTCGTGCAATTGTCGGGAGCAGGAAAGCAACTTGAACTGAGAGTCGAAGATTGGGGGATCTGACAAAGTGACACGAGGTCGGGGGCGTCATTCCGGAGTCCTCTTGTTCTTGATTGACAAGATTTCTCGGATCGGTACTTCTGTAATAAGCCCTGCCGAGGGCCAGGCTTTGGAGTTCTCCTCGGAGCACATCATGACTCGATCGACAACCTTGGAGAAAGGGGTCTTGGGCAACCACAGTCGGCCTGTTCAAAGCGAGCACCGAGAATCAACAATCACAAAGTTCGACTTCTCACAGGACTCGCATAAACACCGTCTCAATGCGCGACTGTTTTGAATCTTGCAGTTGGGCCCCCTAACCCGGATGGCCGTTTCTCCCAATGGCAACTTTCTGGCGTGCTTCACCTTTGACGGCAAGCTGCGCGTGCTGTCCACCGACTTCACCAAGAACCTGTCCGAGGTCGACCTCCACACGGACACGCCCCCTGCGCAGCTTGTCTGGTGCGGCACCGACTCCGTGCTCCTGTACTGGGCGGAAGAAGGGGAGCTTGTTATGGTGAGAAGGGGGGATTCTTTTGCATTGCTTCATCTCGAGGAGATGCTGAGTTGCATCAACAATTTGCCGTGGTCGTATCGGTGTGATGTAGGAATTTTGTCGATTCATGATTTTGGCTTCGATCGACTTCGTACCTTTTCCAATAACTCTTTCTTTGTGGATAATTCAAACGTTTGCCTAAGCGTCTAAATTATCCGTGCAGTCTTTGTTAAACGGAAAAGGGCAGGCGTCGAGATCGTGACATCGTTTTCGTCAACAACTTTGGGACCGTTGCAATTCCTTATCTCAGAGCGGCTGGAAGGACGTTGATTCGAGTGGCTGATCGTACAACCGCCACGCTTCTCTGCAACACGGAGTGTCTTCGAACGCTATGCCTTTGGGGATCCTGACCCAGGTGCCACGTGTCCTCCCAGGTTGGCCCATACGGCGACACGATTCGCTACTCGTACGACGAGCCCCTGGTTCTCGTCCCCGAGTGCGACGGCGTTCGCCTGCTGTCCAACTCGCTGATGGAGATCTTGCAGCGCGTCCCCGACTCAGTCGTCTCCATCTTCGGCGTCGGAAGCACCGACCCTGCAGCGCTTCTTTTCGAAGCCATGGAGCACTTCGAGAAGCGCAGGTAAGGCATGCCCACATCGCTCAGTTTTCAAATCGTCACAAGAGGATTGTCGAACCCGAGCTGTTGCGATTGAAGGGTCCTCGTATACCAGCGGTTCGTCAACAAGAGCTGCGTCGAAGTTAGCCCCTTCTGTAAGATATCACCATTTGTGAGTTTACCTGTGCGCTGCACAAGTCCCCTGCAAACTGGGGTGAGGGCTTTTTCATGGTGCATCCCTTGGCGCCCGTAGCATATGCACCCGCATACTCGTCCGTTGATCCACGTGAGTTCTAGTCGAGCTTGCGACAATTCTTAAAAGCCCGTATGGATTAACGCAGAATCGATGATGTACGTTTCCCACTAGAAGTTTCCTCGTCACAATCCGCCTGTGCAGCGCTAAGGCCGACGAGAACATCCGCGCGATCGGGCCGGCCGACCTGCCGGCGGCTGTGGACGCGTGCATCGACGCGGCGGGGCACGAGTTCGACGTGCCGCAGCAAAAGGCCCTGCTGCGGGCTGCGGCGTACGGCCGCGCGTTCTGCGCAAAGTTCCCGAGGGACCGCTTCCAGGAGGTTTGTAAGGTGGGCGGTTCGAGCCATGCAAGCGTTTGAGTTGGGGATGGTGCGCAGAGGGGAAACAGAGGATGCTGGTAGCGCTTGACTTTTTAATCGCACGATATGATCCGCATTTGGGCGGTTCTCCTTGGTTGTATTTGTTAGAAAAAGTTCAAAACTCAAACGTGGGAACAGCAGGCAATCATGCGAGTTGAGTTGGGCGAAAAATGGAAGAAAAGCGGACCCCCCGTACCTTTGTCAGAAGGTGTGATTGAAACAATGGCAAGGCTTTGACCAGTTTTCGAAAAGTAGCTGCTTCCTTATTCGTCATGGAGACGCCGTTCTTGCCGAATCCCTCGGGTCGCTGTTCATTTCCCGATTCTGGCGAGAAGAGATATCTTGTACTAGCGTGCCACTGACTCTACTAGTTGCACGTACCTCTCGGATCAAAGTTCGGACTAAAAGGCCGTAACGTCAGACAGAAGCCTTTACAGAGTTGGGAGCGGGACAAAATGCACGGCCCCTTTCCCCCGCAGGTCCTGCGCGTGTTGAACGCGGTGCGGCACTACGAGACGGGCGTGCCCCTCACTCTGCAGCAGTTCCGTTTGCTGACCGCCCCCGTGCTCATAGCGCGGCTCGTGAACGCGAACCGACACCTGCTGGCGCTCGAGGTCTCCGACTGGCTGGGCCTAAGCAAGGTGGGGAAATGCTGAGAGTGTCGGGAATTCGTATGCAGTGCCTTCTGGTGGCGGTAAAACCAGCTTTGTCCACTTCGGGCTACAGGAGGATGTCGACGGATAGATTTACGGCCTAGCTAGTGTGAAAGGTGCGACAGAATGTGTTTCTGATTTTAGAGCCCGCTTCGGTGTTGCTCGTCTCGGACGTGAATGCTCGACCGCCCTCAAACACGACTCCTCAAGCAAGGGCGCCGGATTCCTGGGACACCTAGCTTCCATTTTTGCTGCACCGCTTATCAGAGTTTCCTCGTTCCGCTTCAACTGCGGCGTCAACTTCAAGGCAAACTGATCGCAGCGAAAGGCTTGTCCAAGTTGTTGCCTTGTGCTTGTCCCCTCTTACTACGAGTGGCTCCTCAAGCTCTACGTGCAAGATTGACGAAAAGCATGAGAAGTCGACAGGCTAAGGCTCATAAGGGGAGAGGGGGGAAACAGATTTCCAGCCCCCGGAATCTGACTGCTTGTTACCCGGCATGTCTTTCGCCAGGAGGCCGTACTGCGCCTCTGGGCGTGCGCCAAGATTTCGGGGGTTAGCTGAGGCTGATTATTTTCTTGGGTTCTCATTATCTCTCTTGAGGTCATCTGGAAGCCCCTCAAGCTCTACATTTCCTACGAACTACAACTTTGTATTCTGGCAGGAGGCCGTGCTGCGCCACTGGGCGTGCGCCAAGATCGAGACAAGCGGTGACGTGGCAGAGGAGGCGATCCTGGAGACGATCGTGAGCAAGCTGCGGACGTCCGCGACCATGTCATACGCCCAGATCGCGGACACCGCGCATAAGATGGGGCGGACGCAGCTCGCCGCCATGCTGCTGGACTACGAGCCCAAAGCGGCGGAGCAGGTGACACTAGCGTTCGCTTTGGACTTGCATGCAGCCTCTTTCGGCGGTTGTTGGTGTCAACGGCATAAAGTGCGAAGACAACAGCGGCACCTGTCTGTTTCGCCCGTTGATTTTAGAACATCCGGCATGAGGAATTTTTTTGCCGTTATCTTCTCCTGCGCAATCCTCGTGTCAAACTTTTGGAAGCAGCCGCGGTTTTCCCTCCACTAAACGTCGGTCCAAAAGGCTATGTGAGAGGTTTGCTCGAGCGCTCTCGCCACACCAGCGCGCGCCCCTGGACTGACACGTGCCCGTCACGATCATCGAATGTTGCAGGTACCGTTGTTGATTCGCATGGGAGAGGACGAGCGCGCCCTCGCCAAGGCGGTCGACAGCGGCGATACCGACCTCGTGTACCTTGCCATCTTCCACCTCCAAAAGCACGTGCCCGAAAAGGTGAGGGGGCCGGCCCTAGGAGGATGGGGTTGTGGGGGATCGGGGGTTGTGGGGTTTAGGAGGGGGACTTGCGGGTTGTGTCTAGAATAGTTGTCAGGTACCTGAGCGGTGAGTGCGACTTTATAACCGTTTCTTTGAGGCAGAGAATGGCGCAACTGTCCAGTTGGTTACTTCTTTGTTCGGGCTTTCACCGATTGTAGTTGGTCAGGCTGGTCGCTGCTTTTACAAAGGAACATCCGAGGCCGTCTCCGAAACCAGATGCAGGCGCGCTTCTTTGATTGTTTCGGCCGGCTTTCACAGTATCGTATGCATGGAAGTTCCCTACGTAATCCCTTAACACTACTTTTGGCCTCCTTGGGACTCATGTCCTCGCTCTGGCCGGCTCACTGTAATGGCACTCGCTGCTTCGTTTGCCTTTCTTGACCCTATCACGAACACTCCTATCACGAACACTCCTTCCTGCAGAAGTTTCCCACATTTCCCACCCGATGCTGACCAATCTGTCTTTTCTTCAGGAGCTCTTCCGGATGATTCAGGCCAAGCCCCTGGCCCGCGACCTGTTTGTCTCTTGGACCCGCCAGAACGACCCAGACGCTCTAAAAAAGTACTTTTTCACCACCGGCAACCCGGCGGCTGCCGCCGAGGTGCTTGTCAAAGAAAGCTATCAGGTGAGTTAGATTTAGCATACGGGCTTCGCTTTCGCTTTTGCTGCGATGACAGAACAAGCGGGTGTGTAAGTCCGCAACGGACGTGGCCAGAGCGTAGGTAAAGAGACGGGTGTGTGCCACTCTTTAGCACGAGTCTCCGAGCCTGTCCAGGTTTTTGCCCCACCGCTCTGCGAGCGTACCCGGCGTTAAGCGCAAGCTGCCAGTGTCGACGCATCCGCCTCAATAATTCTGAAACCTTTTCTTTCCAGTTGGACAGCTGCGCTTTTCCAGGGTATCTGAGTGTTCGGTGGGCATATGAGTTCCTCAATTCTCTAGAAAAGCGGACGGCACAAAGCGGGATCTGTTTAGATCACAAAAGCCTCTGCTAGTATCTCCACTCTGCTCAATTTTTACGACCCGTTTTGGCTTCGTTCTGGCACTTGTTAGGCTCTTTCTTGGACGAGAATCCACGTAGCGGGTATATTCAATGCTTTAGACACGTGCCTCAGGCTGCGCTGGAGCGGTCTGGCCGCGGGAGCGCCCTGACGACCCCGCGCATCAAGATCCTGGAGCAGGCGATCGAGCTGTACTCGCAGAACAAAGAGTACGCCTTCCATGCCAAAATGGCCGACGAGGCCGCCAAGCTGCTCAAGTGAGGCTCCGCTCCCGCCTTATGTATCCGCAGATCATTATAGATTTAATTTGTCCTTTCGAATTTGCTGGCGCCCACTGTGCCGAATTAGCGACAGGAAGTTGTGCGATAACCGTACTTCCCGTGCCGCTTCTCTTTCCCCTTTTCAGTACAATAAGCAAATGTGGAGTCTTGTAAAGCGCCCAGATCTGTTTCGGGCAGTGACGCACAGCGAGAGTCTGCCGCCCCTGATATATCTTGAGCGCATCTTTTTCCCTCTTGTTTTGTGCACCCACGACATGCTTTGTGAAGGGCGCTCTCTGTAAATTCGCGCTTTTAATCACCACCGCAAACCAGAGCCTCCCGCTGATTTCTACGACATTGTCCTTCTATACGCCCAGGGCGCAGCAGGAGCTGGAGATCAGCACGCGGCAGGACGTGTTCGTGGACAGCAGCGTCAGCGACTCCATCCGAACGTGCATTGCAATGGGCAACCACAAGGCCGCCCAGAAACTGAGGGTCGACTTCAAGGTACGTGAGCCAGCCGGCTAACTGCTCGACTTCGTGCGCAGTCTATCCTTATATCTCGATTTTTCATGATTCACAAGTAGCAGGATGAAAAGGAGACACTGCTTGATCTGACGCGCCGACCAGCCCTGTATCTTCGTATCTTGTCACTCTGGAGCATTGAGATTCAAACGGGAAGCGGACGGATAGGGTAGCCACGTGCTGATAGTCTGGCACTGATACCTTTCGTGTTCAAAAGCCACGCAGATTAAACCTCCGGCAATAGGTCCGCATTCGATCAAATCATACAAGCTAATGATGAAGCTCCTGCCCCTGAACTTCGGCTGAGCTTTCTTTAGGTGCCCGACAAGCGCTTCTACTGGCTGAAGATCAAGGCCCTGGCGCACGCCCGCGACTGGGACGCCCTCGACAAGTTTGCGCGCGAGCGGAAGCCCCCCGTCAGCTACGCGGCTTTTGCAGAGGCGTGCATCGAGCAGGGCGTGAACAGCGAGGCTATCAAGTACATTGGCAAGATCACCGACCTGCAAGCCAGGGCCGAGGTGGGCGCGCGCGAGCTAGTGTGCTTTTGCCTTGGGGTTTTATTGCAGTACTGCTTTTGGAGCACGTTTGCTGTAAAATTGAGAGTCGGAGAAGGGGCAACCTGCTAGTTATGGAACGCATTCGGCGAGTGTCCGCGGATTGGAGATAGAATCGTTGTGCGAGTTGCTTCAAAGCGCGCGTATCTGCTGTGGGTAGAGGCGCTCTTGGTGCGGTGGCAGGAGACTATGGATGGGATCCCTTATGCTGCTCATAATGTGACATTCTGCTTATCAGATTTTGGGCTTTGCTTGGCATCTTACGCTCTGGTCACAGCCGGTATGCATCAGCTTCCTTTTCCAGGTTTGACATGACGTTTGTGGGAGCCGTTCACTCATCATTGCTCCAAATCCTTTTAGCAAGAAATGTAAACAGTTTTTTGTCTGCAGGCTTTTGCGCGTATCGGGATGGTCAACGAAGCTGCTGAAGCAGCAACCCAGGCTAAGGATGGGGAGCTTCTGAACAGGTTGCGGTCCACTTTTACGAGCAACACGTCGGCAGCCGCCATTATAGATACATTCCGAGACAAGCTATCGCTGCCAGGATGAATGAAACGTGATCCAATCATTACTTAATCAGGGTTCGGATCCTTAATTATGTGCCGTTTACCAACTGAAAATCAGATCGATTGCGCATGCAATTGTTACATCATGCAGCTGACCTCATGCAGTGACATGTACCCATGTACTGGAAAACTTTGTAGTCCAAAGTTTCTGAAATTGTCGAACCATTTAATCATGCGATAATATGCACGGATGCTGGCACTGATCGTTGCCGGCCGGCCCGCCAAAAAGAGCTGTGCTCATGAATTCTGGCTCGAATTCGTGTGACTGTCACACATGCACTGGCACTCCATATGCCAGGCTGTGTATCCCGTTCGTGCACGGGCCTGGTCGCGGGATGTGATGAGTCGGACGTGAGCTCATGGCTAGTACATGGTAGACCGCCCAGGAGGGCGGCGGGGGCTTGCCTCTCTGTGGTGCGACTGGGCAGAATTTTAAAATTGCATTGTGTGGCGTAAAGCAATTTAAATGGCTTTATTCACAGAAGGTAGTGCGCTTGCGCGCGCACACGCCAAACTTAGTCCGTACACCACCTTGCGGTATGCACCCGAGGTGGTTGGGCAGTGCGTACCAGGTTTAGCCGGCACTCTTCTTTCCGGGCACCTTGATCAATTGTGAAACTCCTTCGCGTACAATACTGACGAAGTCCATCGCAGATTAGGGTGATTTGATTTTTAAATTCGGCGTTATAAGCCCGGGGTACTGCACAGTGTCAAGTGCTAGGCAGTGGTGTAAATCACAACGTGGCCGCTCTTTCGACCTTGGCATGCAACGTGGCGGCTTTAGAGTAGGCCTCTTCGGAGAAATCGAGGTCAAACGTTACATCGTTACGGTATCTCGCGGCGGCAACCTCGCGTCCGCGAACGATGCGTAGCATTAGATCTGCGCCGCCGCGCGGGGCAGTCTGGGCTTGGACGAAAACATGGTCTGGGACATTTGGGGGATTTTGCATACGTTTTCGCATCGAACTTCGACCAAGCGGAAACGGGACCAGACTGGGCGATGCTATCTTCCGCACAGAGCCACGTCGTACAGCGTCGCCCGAAGCGCGGTTTCATAGAATGCAAAAGCTTCCTATTTTACTTGGTAAAAGAGAGGCAAGCCAATATGGCTCTGATAGAGCACTGAGTGATCATGTGGCAGCTGGCATGTAGCAATTCGTAGAGGCTTGCCGTGCACTATAATGATGCCACACGTTGGTGGCGCACGACGACGTCGGCGTTGATCCCTAGCCATGGGACAGACGCTAGGTAGCATGCACTGCTAGAGTCTACGACCTGAGCAGGCATGTATTAGTCACTGACGTTCAACCATTGCAATATAGTATAGCATTTTTAAGGCACATCTAATCAATACTTTTGAAATTGTAGATCTCACCAGAAGCGAATCCGACTAAGGAGCAGTTATTTTATTTGTTGAACGATCGAGTTTCAAACGGTGTCCATATGATCAGATTGGCCTCACTGAACGTAGGTTAGTACGGGTTCAGGAAACACTACGACGGAACACCTCAACGATACTTTACATAATGCCTGTTTGTTCTCATCTTCAAGGTTGATGAGCACTGTGTAAAGTTGGCCGCAAATCTAAGAGCAACTTAAATAAAATGCTTCGCAACGCATAAGTACTGCACTTCTGATGACAGGGTCAGGACGCAACGTCCTCCGGCTTTTCGACATTTTTCCGCTTCCGCTCTCTCACGACCTCTTCGCCGGACCCCTCTTCGGGACTGCGCTTAACATTTCCAACAACTTGGGTTGTTGCCCCTTGACTGTAAGTCGCCAGTTGCTTGTCACGCTGCCTGGTTGGATCGCATGGAGGCCTGGCGGCGCTTGTAATGTCTCCAAGCAACCTGCAAACCACCATCACTCTTAAATTGTTTAAGGAGAAGGTTTCGTTGGCAACGGGTTTACCAGGATACGGCAGAATAAGCCGACGTTGCTCTAGCCGTTCTGTTTGTGTGCTTTACTGATCATGCTCAGAAGGGAGGAATTTTTTGTGCCACTTCCTACTGCTTTAGAGCGACAGACGGCGGCGGATGGCTCATCAAAATGAGCAGATACACGCAATCTGCGAAACCCCTGCTTTCTTGCGCTGTTCTTCAGATGGCTTGTCGTAATGCATCATTTTTTATCTTTATTTCGAGCGAACAGCTTTCCTCCAACCTTCTGTGCTATGAAGTACCTGCACAAATGTCAGACTCCACTACAGAGCTCGTCTGAAGGACTCCGGATGGAAACCGTAGCGGACACTCGCACTATCTGATTGAAAACCAACCAAGGTTCAAGGTCGACTCAAGACGTCCCCACAAAACCTCAAAACCGCCGACAATTCGCTGAAGCTTTCTTAACCCTTAACGTATTCACGGACAGGAGCTCTTTTTCCGCCATGCCTTGGGCTTTCTTTTCCTGGCCAGAAGGAAGATAGGTCTCAATTTCATGTTGACTAAGGGCATCTGAACTAAGAAAAGCACACCGGGGACGAATAGGGATGGTTCGGGGGTTAGGGTGGGTACGGGTGCGGAGCGTGTCTCAGCTGGTTTATATGTCTGAATTTGCTTGTGCTGCCGAGCACTAATCGTAGTCAATACAAGCTTAGTCAACAAGAAACGAGAAGTATAGGAGGAACTAGAGCGGGGCGCACCTGGATGGTGGCGGCGGCCTTCGTGCGCCAGTGGTGGCTGTGGTAGCGCAGCACGTTCTGCAGGTCCCGGCTGTGCAGCCGCCGGAAGTGCGTCGTCACGTACTTGAGCGCGTCCGCGTCCAGGTAAAACGCCTCCACGGGGCTCTGCGCAACGAGAGCGGGGGGGTGATTTAAGGACTTATGCCCGAAGAACGCTTCCAAAGGGGCTCTGAGCAACGAGAGCGGGGGGCAATTTAGAGAGTGATACCTAAAGCTTGAAGGCGAAACGGGCCTCTGCGCAACAAGTAGCGGGGTGCCATTCAGAGAGTTATACCCAAAGAAAAACTTCCACAGCGCTCTGGGCAAACGAGAGCGGGGGGCAATGTAGAGGGTTGGGGGTAATGTAGGAGTGCTCTCGAGGGGTATACAAAAGCAGGATATCGGGATTGGTAATAGCCAAACCAGAATCCGTCAAGCCCAACACAAAGTTCGAAGCAACACAAAGCTTAGTGGTGAAACTTGAGGAGAAATTGACGTCAGGTATGACGTATGAGCTTGGGTAAGGCACAGCCGCCGGCGTCAAGTAAGTGGAACAGATGAAAATGTCAGAAGATGTTCTGCTTGACTGAAGATGAGAAGAGCGGTACCAAAAGAATCGAGGTTATTCCAAGTGGAACAGAGGCGAGAAGGAGGTCGCCACAAAGCTTTCGAGACAAGTGGAAAAAGTCTACTGGTCAAGAGAAGCTTCCACGACTTTGGGCCCAACGACAGGGGGTGCATTCCTGAGGGACGATGCGAAAATAAGTGAAATACACTCAGAAAGCCCACAGCTCTTTTCGAGCAGTCTACTTCAGTCTCGTGAGAAGGTAAAACGACTCCGGGGGCTCTGCACGTTGCGACATCCGCAGGAAAGAAATGTTCCAAGATCACAGTGGAACTGTCCGCCTGAAACCGCAAAGCCGGTTGTTGTCTGGCGTGCCGGCTCATTCTTCTGAAGGTCACCAAAAACAGACCAAAGTTTGTCCCTGGTAAAGAGGAATCGCGCTTGACTGGAGCCCAAGGATAGCCTCGCCCCGTACCTCAGCGGTGATGGTCCTGGTGGACTTGGGGAGCGCTTCCCGGGACCAGCTCCTCCCCGCCTAAAGCCCTAAAGCCCTAAAACCCTACAAGTGTAAACCCCTAAAACACTAAAACTCCGTACCTCGGCGGTGATGGTCCTGGTGGACTTGGGGAGCGCTTCCCGGGCCCGGGAGTCGAGGCACCACGACAGCAGCTCCTCCCCGGCGAAGTCCCCCGGGAGCAGCCGCAGCATGTTGAAGAACCCGGTGCGGTTCCCGTTCCTGACAAGCAAGTGCCGACGGCGTCAATACGGGCCAACGGGGACAGGCTCTCGAGTGAAACTCCGACGGACTTGGAATCTACCGCTTTCCAAACCTGCTTTCAACTAGAGAATGGCGCTCCGCAGCTGCCGAAGGCAGGGAGAAACATTGTCCCTCAGGGCTGGCAGTTTTAAGGAGCAGACACGAACCCGTTTTGGCGTAGACGAGGCGTAGAGCACCGACGACGATGCTGCACAAGAGCCTTACAAGATTGCCCACCACCGAAGTCTCTGGAAAGGTGAGCGCAAATCTCTCCCTGTGCAATCATAGACCGCGGGTCAAGCTGGCAAGCCTGTGCAATCATAGACCACGGGTCAAGCTGGCAAGGCGAGCTCGGAAAACTGAAAGTTCAAAGAGGCGCTGATTGGACGAAGGGGCTTCAATGGGGAGCTACGGCGATTCTAAAGCCTCCACCCCGAACAAGCTCGGACAACTTGACCTGATGACGGAAGACGAGTGGTCTCACGTGGTGATGCTGGAGAGTGTGCCCCGCACGACGAAGAGCATCCTGGTGACGGGATCCCCCTCGCGGTACACCTCGCTGCCCTTGATGTACAGCCGCGGCTTGAGCCGCTCGCACACCGCGTCCACCGCGTTGTCGTCCAGCGCCTTGAACAGCGTCACCTGCAGGGAGCGAAGCACAAAATCTCTCAGTCAGACTACCTATTGAGGCCGCGGAACCCACATACGATTGTGTCCATTGTTGCGCATTCTGGGCATCACTTCGGCTTTCGTGTCGATGAGACTTGCAATACAGACTACAAAATCCAAGCGGCATGACAAGCCCCGAGCACGATCCGCATCAGAAGGCGAGAAAGTTCAGAACCCAAATTGTCCTGATCACATTCTCTGGTCAACTTTCCGAAACAGGAAAGTGTCCTGCTCCAACTCTCCCTTCGAATAGTTTCCAATTCCAAACGCATCTTCTTCAGTGAGACTTCCCCACATACCTTGCGCACGAGTTCGATGCACAGGTGTCGCTTGATGTCCCGCCTCAAATCCTCCGGCAGCTGTTCCAAAATCCCTTGCTCGTCCACTCCACTGGTCGCCTCCCACGTGTACCGGTCGTGCTTCCTGACCCTCTTCCGCAGATCCCCGGGCAGTTGCCGGGCTCGCATCCACAGCTCGGTGTCGCGCCCCTGGAGGCGCATCTCGTCCAAGCGCGCGCTCAGCGACTGGAGGAACGTCTGGATGTTGCCCACGAGGAGCGCGAAGAGGACCAGCCCCACGATCGCGACCACGATGCACAGGATGTTCTCGCCCGGGAAGTTGCTCGTGTTCAGGTTGTTGCCGAACGAGCTGTCGAGAGAGAAGGGCGACGAGTGTCAGCTTTGAGCGGATTGCGAAGAGGTGCTCGTATTAAGGTTCGCTCATGTTCAGGTTGTTGCCGAACGAGCTGCCGCCGGGGACGAGGAATGGTTCAGGGTTTTCAAGATCTTGGGGTTTTCAGTGTAAGCTGGGAGGGGTAGAGTCAAGTTGGGCGCAAGGTGGAGAGGGCGGACACCTTTAGGCACGGGACAAGACATCGACTCTCGGTTATGCATTACATTGTGCCAGTTGGCGAGCGATGGTGCAGCACTGGAATGTCGAGAGTAGACGCAGCCCGCAAGTATGCACGACAAGAATGCCATACGAGATTTTACACAAGCTACTGGGACGTCCCGTTCCAAGCGGAAGTTTCAAAAGCGGAGCGAATTCTGGTTTCAGAGTTTTAAGCGCCGCCGCAATGATCAGGCACAGGCTTCGATGGCGACTCAATACAAAGGACAAAGTATTCAGTAACTAGACGTATTGCAATCCGGGCTTGTCGAAGCGCTCACCAGATCTGCTGCAGGCCCCACCACAGGCTGTATAGATAGTTCTGCCAGCCGCGCTCGGACTGGATCAGCAGGATCAGCGGCGTGTAGATCCCGTAGTCGAAGGTCCCGATCGCACCGAACGCGATCGCGGGGTTGTTGCAGTTTTCCTGGATGACTGCAACCACGTTTGGATTGATCGGTGTGGCGCCGCCGCAGGAAAAGTGGTCCGGGCAGACGTCCGTGCCGTTGCAAGCGAAGCTCCGCCAGCACGAGTCGATGCGCTCCAGGCCGAATACGTACCAAACGGACCCCGTCACCTGGGGTTGGAAACGAAACCGTGCTGAGGGCCAATTTATATTCAAACCCATGAGAATTGCATATTTTGAACATTAACCATCTTGTGTTAAGAGGATGATTCATGTGGGATAGAATCCGATGCCGTAGGAGCGCTGCTTTTTCAATCGCGTCCCTCGCACTTTACCCGTGCGGATGCCATATTAGACGCTGTGTGAAGCTGGGGTACAGACGTTCTGTTTAAAACGTGTTTTTGTCTGCAGCGTCCACCCAAAAGAGCATCTCCAAGTGGCGAGCTACATGGCTCGAAGGCACGGACGACCGAAACTCATCTATCTAAAGTAAGTCAGGAGACGAAGGATGGAGGAGCGGAAGCGTAGGCTCACGTGGGCGGCCAGCAAAAACATGGCGAGGTTGATGACGAAGCCGGACCAGGCGGTTTCGAAGACCACGCCTTCGGGTTTGATGACGGCCGCCTGCACCGGCAGCACCTGGATGATGCGCGGGATGTACTGGATGGCCACGATCAGCCGCAAGTAGTTCTGCAGGGCCAGAGAGATTGGGTTAGCGGCAGGGGTTAACAGTTTTGCAGGGCCAGAGACATCGGGTTAGCGGCAGGGGTTATATAATCTCTACTCTAACGTGGCCGAGTGCTCCTCTCTCGTGTTGTGTTGGAAATTTGCCATTCACACTGGTCATATCTGCTTCGACTCGAAAACGGACAAACGGTGAGCACGAAGGGTTAACCCTACTTGGAGCCGGTTTGCTGAACATTTTCAGCCAGTGAATTGGCAAACGAGACTGGGAAGGTCAGGAAAAGGTTTTCCCTACAATCCTTCGAGTTGCAGCCGCCACTACCAAACCCTGTATCCTCGAAACGGTGCGCGACTTTGACATACGACTGCCACCAGAAAGCGGATGGGAAGACGCAGAGACGACTGCCTTACCGCGTTGTTTCCAGTACTTGCAGACCCATCGTTCCAATGCGCCAGGATTACCCACAGTACGATCTGCGGCACAGGACAAAGAGAAGATGCTTAGCCGACTGTCGACAGCAAGGAAAAAAAGTGCTTGATGAAGAAAATACAACCACCTGACGACGTGGGTTGAAAGGCAGGCCCCCTGTTGTTTCGAGCCCTGACAGTAGTTCAGGTGATTCCGTTATTACATTCTCGCCAGCAAGATGTCAGGCCTTACAATACACTCTTTTCCACAGTACCAGGTCGGCAAAGCTGCCGCTTCTATAGCCCCTCCTGTACACCTTGCGAAATTGAAAGAACTAACCGCCACCGACGCTAGTTACCTAACCATGCTTAGCCCCTGGCCAAAAAAGAACCCCCTCACCTGCGGCAGCGGCAGCATGGCAAAGACGTCGAGCAGGAGGCTGGTTTTGAGGTATCGCCAGGCGATCTTCTTGGGGTCCCTGACCAACTCGCCCCGGCCAAAGACGAGGCTCGGAGCATACGCCGTCCTGAACTTGATGATGATGTACAGGAGGTACATGAGATCCGTGAGGCTGCGCAGCAAGGTGATGGTCACGCCGAAGTTCCAGTCGAAGTCGACGCACGGCTGGGCAATGTCGATGACCGGGAGGAAGAAGAAGAGAGGGTCCAGGAACGCGGCCGCCTGGAAATGGTGTACAGTAGGGAAGGTCATTATCACGGTTTGAAAGAGTTAAGGACAGCTTTCAGCGCACTTTCATATAGCGACGTTGTTCCAACATAAGCTTTGTATGCTTTTTTGGCACAATCAGAAGCGGCGCTGGTCTAGAAGCGAATGTTGGCATTAGAGGGTGCGTCAGGCAGAAGTGCGGGCAAGGGCAAGGGGCAGAAAGCTGTGCGAGCACTCGCAGTACTCAAAGAATGATACAAAGAGACGTTCAGGGTGGGATTGCAGTGAATTTCGAACGGGGCGACTACACGCGGCCGCACTGTTGCTCTAAAAGGGCACGATGGTAATATCTACGGAAACAGAGTTACGAAGAACGAAGGATCTCGGAGAGGAGGAACTTGTAGAAAGAAAAGGGGACCACATCAAGAGATTGTGGTCACAGAAGGTCTTATCCAACTCTGCCACTAACATTCAACGATTCTTGAAGTTAACAGCTATGTGGTTATTATACAAAACCTTCAGTCTCATGAGCAAGAATCTGCAGGAGCAATCAGAAGAAGGACTTGACTACAGTCTGAGTCTGCGGCAATCTACGGTCCCCAGCCTAACCAACAATGAAGACGTCTTCAGAGGCGAGCGAATAACCTCACCAGGCAGCTGCAGACAAACACCTTGCTCCACTGGCGGATGAAGTAACTCCCTGGGTCAAAGATGTACGCGCCCTTGTATTCTCGGATGGACATGATGCGAGAGGAGATGGATCCCCTCGTTCTGCGCAACCATGATCGCTCCTCCTCCGCAACTTGGTCAACACTGAGCAAGCAAGGGGACGTATCTTGTCAAGCGGACTTTCTTTGGCGCAAGATCTTTGGTTAGGAGTAGAGGGATCCCTCTAAGAGCCTCACGAGACCTTGGGGCTAACTGCGCTTCTGCATCCTCTATACCCATACGTTTCACAGTCGTCCATTCAACCTAAAGGTGAGGATGTCAGAGCAGCGAGGGGCTCCACATTGTTGGCGCCGGCACCGGCAAACACTCCTCTTGACACTAAGCTTACGCAGCCAGTAAGCAGCGGCTGAATCCGAAGCATCAGTGCGAGCACTGCCAACCTTAGTGTATATCGCCCAAGAGGACAACTCTCACCAAGAGGAGACTTCTGCTTCTGACAAAAGTGCGTCAAGTGACCGGCTACGCCTGACGTCATGCTTGGTGACTCAGTGCCACACAGTTCAGGCATTTTGCTGGAGAGTACACTCAATTGAAAGGAACATAAGGTTTCCCAGCAGATGTACTTTTGGACGCCTGTAATCACAATACCACGTCGATAAGAAGGACCTTGATCTTCATAGGCAGAGAGGCAAAAACTCATGTGGTGGCAACCAGTTTGGGTGTTACCTCAGAGAAGGTTCATCATAAAGATGTCCTCCGTTAGCCATCCTTGCTTCCTGATGTGGCAGCTTCTCGACATTGAAGGGCAGGAATGGGTTCCATTCGCGAAGCCTGCGAGTGTAGAGATCACCATTCGTGCCGAAACATGGTTGTCCCTGATGCTGATGTACTCCAAAAGAGAAGCGAACTGTTTGTTGGATGATCAAAGGCTCCTTCCAGTATAATCAACAATGTATGTATGCTTCTTTTATAAGGCCGTAGCGTGAGCCATGGACCTGCAATGAAAACCCTTCTCCTGGGGCTAGAGAGCTGTTGCAACAGTTTTTACTAGAAGTTTACTTCGCCTTGACTTTGGATAGTCTAGCTAAGCAGCACTACAATGTCCCCATTTCACACTGATGTGATACATTTCATAGGTCTTCCCAGGGCTGTTAATCCAACAAACTTCACGGGAAGCTTTTCTTCCCATGCTGCAATGAGCCCAGGAGGGCACAAAAGAAGTAGAGTATGCTTCAGTGTTTAAGCAGCGGCGCTCACCTTTCTTCGGCACTTGAACTCCCCTCCCTTTGCAGAGGGGCTATCTTGACCTCTTCCATGACGATTTTGACCCTTCAAGCACCAAGAATCTGCTCGAGGTCAGAGACAGAATCCACCAGAGTGGACCATGATGAAGCTAACGCCTCACGCCGCGAAGGCACTCATGTTCACACATGTATGTTGACCTTCCCATTGCAACTTGCAGCTCTCGGAGTCGAGGCTTCAACTTCAAGCTCACGTCTAGGTACCGCGGTATGTGGGGTAACAACGTGGTTAGTGAGTAACCGACTCATTGCCAATGCCAAACGGCCACATACGGTCCCGGCATTGGTCTGGATATGACTCATCTAATACCCACCTCAACGTCATTTCCAAATTCTCAGAGCCCTCATCGCCGATTTAGGAAGATCTGGGCACATGAGGTTTCACATATGTGGTCAGTGTGGTTCCGGTTATAAAAGTGTTAGGGACTGAAGTCTTAACCCTCACTATCGGGAGGAAAGAATCGTAATGAGCTGGAAAACAGGATGGTCCCCCAGCTATTATACCGCCACCTCACACTGCTATGCACTACGTAGTGCTGTACTATACAACTTACAAGCTTTCAAGTGAGAGCCACCAACAAATCTGGATGAGCTTGACAGCATTGCAATTTGCAGCAGCACTGAGGCGTTGAACAGGAGGGCTAAGCCGCGTTCTGGGTCCAGCACAAAGCACGTGATCACCTCTATTTCCAAAGCTTTAAGAAGGACTCAAAAACTACACCTCGAAGTGAAGCAATGTCGGAGAGATCATGGGTGCATAAGGTCTTCGTTCCCAACGCCTCTTCCGGCACCCAGCATTACAGTTCTGGCAGGGTTCATGAAGTGTCTTGCCCTTGTCCAAATTGCCCCAACAGGCGCGCACTGGAGAGTCCCTTTGATTCAAGGCTAGCGGATGTGAGGCTTCAGCTGGAAAAGGTTGGTGCACGGACTGACTGATTCCCAACTTGCTTTTCGATATACTTGAGACTTTGGTTGATGGTCGGAAGTTTGAATGTGCGGTGATGATGCTCTGCCAGCATCTACCAGCTCCTGGCACTTTCCTCCCACACATTGACTTACACAGTGCATAATGAGCATGTGTCGTGCTTCTAGGTTGTGCTTCTGAAGCAACACAAAAGTTCCTGCCTTTACTCCAGTATCAGAAAGGTAGCCCTTTTGCTCCAAATCTAGCAAAATAAAACATACATACAACGCATACTCTAAGCTGGTAGCAGGTTGTTTCTTCCTCATCTGAAATGCAATCGTCACCATCACACAAGATCTGAGCGGTTGACTGTTGAAGTGAATTCCGAGTTGGCCTCCAGTCCCTTAAACCGTTTACTGTGTGGCTGCAGTTGGTGAAGAGCATGCCTGCAAGGCTTTTGAAGCCTGGCAGTCAGGGCCCGTCCCTCGAGAAATGCCTCAAAGGCATGGTGGCGCTAGGTTGCAGGGTCGAGAAGGACAAGGCCCTCATGAAGGCCCATGCTCTGGCAAAGTTCAACTCCGCCCGGCCCATCCTTGCTGCAGGGCTCTATTCGGTGTGCCAAGATTTCCAAGGTGGGTGTCTGTATGATGTAAAGCACCTCTTGTGCAAATGACTCTGCAACAATCTACGACTCTCTTATTTTGCAGGCCTCTTTGTTTGTCTTAAAGAGGATCTGGTGGACATTGGGTTTACAGTTACATTTTGTGGTGGTGCAGCGCAAGTTGCCGGTTGCCTTTACGCATATGTGAATGACGGGGATTTGAGGCGGGGGTTCCCCGCTTACTGGGAGCCGTTTGAGCGTTTCATCGAGCTCTTGGACTCCGACAGTTGGGAGGTATGTTTCTGAAATAGTGGAGAGACCGAGTAGCTTGCGCTTGCATGGCTACAATCAAGTCTCGTTCCCTTGAATCAATCACAGACGAATCTTCTCAAACAATCAAACATTGCACTCAGGTTCAGAGAACTTCCTTGAAAGACCCAAGTCAGTAGTATCCTGAACAGGGTTTGATCAGCTGATGAAGGGATACCTGAAGTTTCCAAAATCGAAGATTCCAAATGAAACTCTTGTTTCTAT